AATATATTTATATAGATTTTATTTCTATATTTTTTTTATATCTTTTGCTATGTAAATAAATATATATTTAAYAATTATTTTTTTTATTATATATTTTTATTTATATTAATTATAAGCTTATACTCTTAGCTGACTATCTATATACTAAGTTATAAAAATAACTAGATATAGTGTTAGCTGTTATAACAAGTATCTTTCTTTAATAATACTAGATTCTACTTAGTATCTTGCAAGTTAGTTTTATAACATGGCCGATCCGCTTACCGATTATGTTAGTTAATTAAGTTAGAATTCCCCTTTATTATATTACTATGTAGACATGTTGCTCACCGGTGGGTCCTTAGTTTAGTACAGAGTTCAACGGCTTCAGAATGGAGGCTTGGTCCTCCAAGGCAAGGAGCAACTAGGCTGTACCGGGTCGGCGTCTCTTGTATGCAGTGACGCACTTTTGTGTACAGGGTGAATGTATTTTTTACTGTAGAAAGATAGGAAAGTCATATTTGTGAAATATGGGTGTATATTTAGTGCTCTTATCCTCTAAGTATCGGCTGGKTTTTTTTACTCATGGTTAATGTTCAGTCGGCATTAGTGTGTCATAGGAAACCCTGCGGCGAGATCCTCGAAATACTATTCAATATTGGTAAGAAGTAAAAAATACGATCGTACACCTCGTATCCGAATGCCCACAAGGTAAATGTACGGCCTCTCACCGTAGAAATACGTGATGTCCATAAGAAGCCTACTCTCCACCGCCCGTCTCTACAATTTGTATCAGTTGCAGACATATACAGTCATTGGGAAGAGATTCGAATGTGATATCAGTCTGGCTTTCAATCCTAGCCCTTTCGGGACGTGCATTGGGTTAATCGAAAAACCTATGAGCTGCTTGACGCTGATAAAACTAATTTCGCTATCCTACGAACTGTCTTATCAACCGTAGTTGCTGATAGGGTAGAAATGTAGGCTGGAACATTTTACCTTTTCGGGTTTTCATAACGTCAGGTCAGGCTTCAGGTATCGCACCGAGGGGCTTGCCGAGTTCAGAATCTGGATTGAGATGTAACCGACTTTGTTGAACGCAAGTGCTATAATATTGGTGGTTTCGAGTTGTCTTTTCAACTGGTTGTCTCCGTGCAAAGTTACAGAGGACCCTCGGGAAGCAAAAGTAGCATCAGCTAGCAATTTCTTCACTTCTTCATGGCCTTGATACGCAGCCCATCGCATTGGTGTGAAACCCAGGTTATCAACAGAATTGACATCCACCTGTCCAGTTTCAAGCAGAAACTGTACCACCTCGACATCGCCAAGTAAAGCAGCCTGTGATAATGGTGTATAACCATCATTATCCTTGCAATTGAGATCAACATTTCCAGTTTCAAGTAGCAGTTCCATATACTCTTTATCTCGTTGTGATAGTGCGGGTGTTAGTGCGTAGGAAAATGGTGTATTGCCTTGGATACAATCCCTAGAGTTGACATCCACGTTTTCTATTGCAAGCAACAGCTTGACTAACGTCTTTTGGCAATTCTTTATTGCCTGGGACAATGGCGACACGCCCTCGTTATCCGTGAGATTGACATCCACATCTCTAGTTTCAAGTAATAACCTGACTATTGCTTCGTGCTTGCGGCATATAGCCCAAAACAGTGGTGTTCGATCAATGACATCTCTGGCGTTAATATCAACCTTCCCAGTCTCAAGTACTAGTTTCACTACTGCTTCATGGCCCTCTATTGCAGCAAGGCATAATGGTGTATGTCCATCGTTATCCTTAGAGTTCGCATCCACTTTTCCTGTATCAAGCAGTAGCCTTACTACCGTTTCATGACCGTTATTCGCAGCATGAGACAATGGTGTGCGGCCACTATGATATTTGGTATCAACATTAACTTTTTCATTCTGAAGCAATAGCTTCATCAAGGCTTCATGGCCTTTTGCTGCAGCGATAGATATTGGTGTGGAACCAGTATTACATTTAGAATTGACATCCACTTTTCCAGTTTCAATAAGCAGCTTTACTGTCGATTCATGGCCGTTCTGTGTAGCCACAGACAGTGGTGTTTGATCGAAGAAACGGTCTTTGATATCGGAATTCGAAGATCCATCCATAATCAATAACTTCACCATGCTTCGTGGCCCCGCCCAGCAGCAAGGAATAGCGGTGTCTGACCGTTATCATCCTTGGAATTGACATTCACTTTGCCAGTTTGGAGTAGCCACTTTACTAATCTTTCGTGACCGTATGATGCAGCTTGGGATAGCGCTGTGCGATCGTATGTATCCTTTGAATCGATGAAGAATTTTTCAGTCTCGAGCAAAAGCACTACTACTGCTGTATGTCCGCCTTGTGCAGCTAGTGATAATAATGTTCTGCCATCCTCAGACAGATCAAGATTCGCTCCTTCACGAATGCTGAGTCGAGCAGTAGCCTCGCTACCAACTTCAGCGGCCCACAGGAGAGCCGAACTGTTGCTTCTCTGGGAGTTATGTCAATACAAAAATGGATTCAAAGCATGGTAAAGGCGGCTGTTGGCTCGACATAATGGGTTTATATGGCTCTCCTTGTCCAGAAAATCTGCTATCAATCGTAATCATTCTGTGGGCAGATGATCCAGATTCATTTTGTGTTTGAAGGTAGGATTTAATGTAAAGATCGCTATCGTTTTGGCCTGTTTGATTTAGGCAGAGGTCGTGGGGCCTGCGTCTAATAACGGTTAGCTCGACTACGTTTTCCAAATTCCAAAAGAACGCCGTACTATCCTCTTTGGGGTTAGACAGGATGCTGATTATCCATCCTAATAAAATGGTCCTCTGCCAAGAACAAGTTCTATTCGGTAACAACCTCAAAGTTCTCATCTTTATCGACGCGGAAACATTTATAGTGTACTTTGCACCCGTATTGCCACTTGACACACTTATCACATCGCGACGCTAGACGCAATCGCCTGCTATGCCAGCCGTAGCAACCAAGCCCACCAAGAACCAGCTAAAAAGAGCTCGGAGAAAAGCCAAAAAAGATACCGTGCGTCATCTTATCCCCTGTCCTGAAGCGAGTATCTGGTAGCTAACAGTGTCGACTTATCCAGTCAACCGCAGCACCGAACGAAGATGCTACTCAAAATGGCGACACCGACAAGCCAATTAATGCCCCGTCGCAACCCGAGTTGAAAGAGGAACAGCAGGATGCCGCCATTCAGCTCGATGATAGTCTCTGGGCTATGTACAAAGATATTGCGAACAAATTTGAAGCGAGCGAGGAGGAAACAACAAAACTCGAAACGGAAAAACCTGAAGTCTTCTTTGACGACGACGATGAAATCCCCGACGAGGAAGAAGAACCCAAAATGTCCAAGAAGAAGCGGAAAGAATTGACTAAACTATCTATCGCCGAACTCAAAGCACTAGTACAAAAACCTGACTTGGTGGAATGGACCGACACGTCAGCTCCAGATCCTCGACTGCTAGTCCACATCAAAGCGCATCGCAATGTCGTTCCCGTACCAACTCATTGGTCGCTCAAACGTGAATACCTGTCTTCCAAGCGAGGCATCGAGAAGCCCGCTTTCGCACTGCCAAAATTCATTCAGGAGACCGGAATCTCTGAGATGCGGGATGCGGCTTTGGAAAAACAAGAGCAAGCAACGCTGAAGCAAAAGCAGCGAGAACGAGTGCAACCGAAGATGGGCCGTCTTGATATCGACTATCAGAAACTATACGAAGCATTCTTTAGGTTCCAAACTAAGCCAGAACTCACGCGGTATGGGGAGGTCTATTACGAGGGCAAGGAGTACGAGACAAATCTGCGCCACTTGCGTCCAGGCGAGCTCAGTGACGAGTTGAAGGAAGCACTCAACATTCCTCCGGGGGCTCCTCCACCTTGGTTAATCAATCAACAGAGATTTGGCCCACCACCTTCATATCCCGCACTGAAGATCCCAGGCTTAAATGCTCCGCCTCCTCCAGGTGCCATGTGGGGTTTCCATCCTGGAGGATATGGTAAACCCCCGGTTGATGAGCACAACAAGCCTTTGTACGGTGGCGATATCTTCGGCGTACTTCAGACTCAACAAACAGCTCAGCAAGGGGAGCCTGTTGAGAAAGATCTCTGGGGCGAATTGCAGCCTATGGAGGAAGAGGAGGAAGAAGAGAGCGAGGAGGAAGAGGAGGAAGCGGAGGAGGAAGAGGAAGATGATGACGGAATGGATGCTACACATGCGCAGAGTGGTTTAGAGACTCCGAGCGGCTTGGTATCTACCGTGCCATCTGAATTTGGCACAACCGAGAGTATTGGTGGAGAATTTGACGTGCGCAAACATCATCGGGGAACAGAGACAGAAGATATCACGCAACCGAAGGCCGCATACCGTGTTATTCCTGAGCAAGCATCGCGAGTTTCGGGATTTTTTGGTGGCGACAGAGTTTACGACCTCAAAGCTCCAGAAACATCGATACCTTTGCTAGGAAGTGAAGATTCTCACCGTAAAAGAAAGAAAGCAGATGATGTCGAAGTTTCGATGGATCCCGAACTGCTGCAAAATAATGATGGAATCAGCAAGGAGCATTTGAAAGGCTTGTACGACGCAGAGAAGAAGCAAGAGTTCTCGCAGTGGAACTTTCAAGACGACCTTAGCGATATGATTGCTAATGAAAGGAAGAGGGTTCGCAAGGAAGAGGAGCGCCGTGGAAAGCGCTGATTTCCGTGATGGTATAATTTATGTCCAATGAGCATACTTCTTACTATGTCCTCCAGACACTTTAAGCAATTGCAGTGACTTGTGGACTGACAAACATGTATTTATATGATATCAGCTTCTGGCAGAGACGCCCTAATCAAACCCCGTATACTCTTTTAACCTTTTGGTCACTCTGTTGCCAGTTGATGTTGTGTTGTCGACTCGATAAAAGGATATTGTATGCTGCACCGCCACCAATGAACGTCATTCGCCGCTGACTAATTCCAACAGGGTTAGCGGTTTTTCCTCCTACCCTCACCTTCCACCTTCCCTTCTGAAACCTTCCTAGAGCCGGACTCCTCTCTATTTTCGCAGCTGCTATTAGGCTTTCTGTCGCTTTCATCGCAACGGGCCAATAAGACAGTAACACCTGGAATTATTCGCCGCGCTCACCCGGCGACGACTTGCTAGAAACTCTAGAATGAGATTTGAAGAGCGGCGAGGCGGCGAAAGTTATCGTCCTTCTGGCAGATATTCTCGTTCGCGCTCTCCAAGTCGCGTACGAAGGCCACGCTCTCCTCCTCCGCCTCGTGGCCCGCGAAATAGATCTCCTCCACGGCTAGCCTCTGATACCTGGGCACCCCGTGGTGGTCATCCTTCCGAAAGGTATCGAAGTCGATCCCCAGCTGGTTTCCGTCGCTCGCGAAGCCCATCTTATCGTCAACCTCAGCGTGCACGCTCGCCCTTGAGACCTAGATCACCACGGCGCGATCGTCCCTCATCTCCTGTTCGATCATGGAGATCTCGCTCGCCCTATAACCAGCGACCATCCTACGATCAGTCGACCAGGGGCGGTGGTGATAGTTTCAGGGCACCTTATGCTCCAAGGTCGCCGAGGAGAGAACGACCCCTCTCCCCACCGCCTGGAAGGCGTGCAGATATATCACCGCCCCCAAGATCAAATTTCAAAGAGCGCGAGTCGTATGGGCGCCCGCCGGGTCGCTCAAGAAGCCCATACCGTGGTGGACGTTCGCCGAGGATTGACCCTGGTGAGGGCAATCGGACACTGTCACCCAACAAGCGAGCATCATCAGGTTATACCTCAGCCTTGAATTCTGGGACTACTTCGCGAAGATCTTCTCCGCCTGTTGTCAATGAGCGTCTCAATGAGCGCCTCCGGATTCCGTCTTCGGGTCGGGAAAGTCGATCTCCCGCACAGGACGGATCATCGCGGCGGCTTCCAATTGATGATGTTGCCAAAGCTTCAATATCTACAACCGTGTCGCCGTCATCTTCGGATTTTGAGAAACCCGTACTCGCTTCGAGTACCACAGCATATCGTGCCTCGCATGAGGTTGTGGATCGACGCGAATACTCTGGCCGTAGTAGGTCTCCGCGATCTCACCGTGGAGGCATTTTACCTGACGATCGGGACGACGGTTTGCGAGATTCCAGGTCAAGCGCGTCGCGTGTCTCGCAAGACAGGAATCTCCCCTCTGCGCCTAGTGCGACCACTTTATCGTCTTCTCAAAGTCGTGCATCTAATGTATCCTTATTATCTGCTCCAACGAGGCCTCGGGGAGCCTCTGGCTATTCCAGTCGTGACCCGACATGGTCGACCTCTTCAACACCAAGACGCACTCCGTCTACACCTCATGCGCCACATGCACCGCATGCACCGCCCACGGGACCCCGACATCGGTACGCATACAGTCCTCCAGCTCATGACCTTCATCGTGCGCCGACTTATCGACATAGCAGCAATGCCCCAGTCAGTCACCAACGGAGTGCGAAGGTCAATTATCTAGCCACATTACCCACGGTCATAAACGGCGGCAGACTGTTACCCTTAGCATTTGATTTCGTGATTGAAAAGAGACTGATGAACCTGAAGGCGGATGAAGGGAAATTGGTGGAACAAGCATTGGACAAGCAGATGTTGAAAAGACAAGGGCTACGGGATTGGGACCGACTACAGCGTGAGAGCGCTCTTAACGCATTGCGAAGTGAACTTGCAGAAGCTCACCTTCAGCGAATGACGGAGGAAGATAGGCTCGAAGGTAGTAGTGCATTTTGATTTTATGATTTGTGATACGCACGTTGTTCGAGCCGTGTATGATAGATGTATGTATAACAAGCGCGACAGTTAGTATGATACCCAATTTATTTGTCTGGTTTTGCAACTCTATACAAGCGATGTGACTGTCGTTGGTATCCCGTAACTTAATAAGTCAATCAATTAGTAACTTAATATTGGAAGTTGAAAGATCCGCGCGGCCGCCCTACCGCCGCCGCCGCGCTGGCGCTCCACCTGCCGGGTAGATCTTCTTTTTTGGATGTACGCCCTCTCCTTCCCACTGTCAACMCTCCTCTTGCTCCTCCCTGCCATAATCAGTTTTGCTTCGTCTACCGATCTAGCGTGTCTAACAGAGGGCTCGGTCTATATCTGCACTCCCACTGTTTCATCTCCACTTCAGAGCTTCCCAAGCAACAAGTTATTTAGGCGGCAGAATCGTCTCATTGGAAACGTGTCCACTCTAGATCGCATTGCGATTCGACGTTCAACATGAATATCTTCAGGCTTTTGGGTGAGTTTACTACTGAGAGAAACCGCATAGGAAGCAGACACTAATTCTGTCTGATGTTAAACAGCGGATTTTTCGCATCTCATATCCATACTCATTCTTCTACAAAAGATGAAGTCAACCAGCGTCAGTCAACGACCATCCCACTACCATTGAACACTCCTCGCCGATCAATTGACTTACGTCTTTATTTTAGAGCTGCTCGGGATTATCGTTCAAATCACAAGTGCTATATTTGATCGTTTTTGTAACGCGTTACTTGGGTATGTCTCTCGGAACCAGTCTCGTCAAGATATTGGTACATAGCGGTAACTAAACGGACTCTATACAGATCTTTTCTGGACGTTCACGGACTCTCTTTACAACACGGTGTTCAAGATTCTCTTTATTGGGTCTTCGACTTATACCATCTATCTCATGCTCAATGACTACAAACCGACTCAGGACCCAAACACTGACACCTTCAAGGTGGAATACCTTCTTGGTTTCAGTGCTCTTCTAGCCATACTCTTCCCACAGCAATACACAATCTCCGAGGTCAGTCTGTGTTTCATATGGGAATGACCAAATTCACTGACTCCTTGAAAGATCCTCTGGACATTCTCAATCTGGCTGGAATCCGTTGCGATCTTGCCGCAATTATTCATGCTACAACGGACCGGCGAGGCAGATACTATTACAACCCACTATCTCTTTGCGTTGGGTATTTATCGAGCGCTATATATTCCCAATTGGATCTACAGGTTCTTCTTCGAGGGCTTTTTCCATGCGATCCCAGTTCTTGCTGGAATCATCCAGACCGTCCTCTATTCGGACTTTTTCTACATCTATTACACGAAGTAAGCCATCTAATGACTTCAGATATCTTGCTCTTTGAGCTCGTTGTAGGCAAGTACTGATACATCAACAGGGTGATGAAAGGAAAGAAGTTCGCTCTTCCTGTTTAAAGCCTTTCACAAATCCAACACCCCTAGATTTCTCTTCCGTTACGATTATACCTCCATGCCCATCATGAATCAATCGTTTCTCGTGGTCATTCTATGGAAAGCCCATCTCATGAGCAGCCGGTGATGAGAAATCGGAGCAAAGCAATGAATGGTAAAAGAAATTTAACGTTTATCTTTTCGGGTCCAACAAATTACCACTTTACACCTTCGGTTGTGCTATCGTTATTGGCGAACAATGAGATGCGCAATTCCTATATGTCAATAAGAGAAAGCTTTTTTTGCTTTTGTTGCCCCTAATGTACGCATATGAGTCTCATTTAGTATGTAATTTAGTCATGAATGACAAGCTGTCGTTATGAAATATATGTATGCATGCTCTTTAAGTCTCTTTCAGTTGATTCTAAGATATAATTGACTTTTTAGGGAGCTCATTTCTTCTTCGACAGCTTGCCTTATCCGTTGATAAATCCCAATACTTGCCTTCACGACACTTTCATATCTGAACTTCATAACTCTAGGACCCGTCCGATCTCAGCCAAACCCAATGACAACCCACCCAAAACAACAAAAAATAAACAATCTTCCATAGAATGGTTTTCTCTTCTGACATATAAAAAACAGACATGCATGCATACACGGGTTATACAAAACCAAGGGATCAGTACCCAGGTCGATATCGACTATTTGAGTGAGTCGCCACATACCCCGAGAGATACTGCGCTTGAGACGGCGAATTCTCGCCTGTCATTGACCTCGAAGGGGGAGATGATGCAGCCGCATCCTGGCGACCGCCGTGGTGAAGGTGTTGTTGATGGGACGGAGAGGGGGACCATGCCATCTCACTGTGACGCGAGATTGGGGAGGAGTATGCTCCCCAATCTCGATTTCCTCTGTCTGAATAACCGTATGATGAGGATGAGGAAGAATTTCGTCGGTATTCATCATACCCTGCCATCGGTGGCGCTGGTTGCGCGCGCATGTATGCCAATGGTGACTGTGGTGGTTGGACTCTACTGAGTTCCATAGGGGGCGAGTTTCGCCTCGAATCTGGAGGGGAAAGATGCGATCCTCCGCGACGGACTTGACATGTTGGACATATCTTGACGAAGCGGGAGATCAATTCTTTGGGTACCCTTAAGGAAGTGCATGATTAGACGACGAGATTTCTTTGTCTGCTAGACAGTTAAATGCAGCGTGGAAATCATTCTCTTACCATGAATATATCTGACGCACTTGAGCCGACGTCTTATCACGACCACCATGTTGACATTGTTGGTGTGCCCGGGTCAAAATCTTGAACAACTTCTCCCGAATGGCGACCGGTTTTCCTTCGTGGCATATCCACTTCCTGTTCTGAGAGGGTCAATACTGAGATCTATGGATCTTTTCTCCAGAAGCCGACTTACCATGGGAAGACGGCTATCAGCTGGTTCAAGTTTGAACATTTTCTTCACCCAGAATCTGAAGAAGTCATGACTTAGCATGTATAAAAAGGTGACGGACAGGAATGCACACCTAAACTGAGCTGAACCGACACTGGTATCCTTTGGATCCGTCAGGACAATACGGATGTGCTGAGCCCTCTGGGCATTAATCAACGCCTTGTCCTGTTTCTTGACCGAGAGTTCATTGACATAACTAAACAGTGAGCCGGGAAAAGCGCTAAGAACTGGGAACGAACGCCTACCTTTCCATTAATTTATCGAAATCTTCAACCTGTGGAAACCCCTCTATTGGTGGATTGATGCGCTCTGACGACATTGTCTGCTCATTTATTGAATCCTGGCTCTCGATGTCATGTTCTGGAATGCCGCGTATCGTTGTAAAGCGGGAGGACATGTCTATGGGGTATCCGGGGTATGCTCCCTGTCTATAAGGATGGTGGTGCTGGCTTAAGTGCTGATCATGGCGTAGGGAGGGAACCGTGTGCATGTCTGGTGATTGAAGTCCCATTGAAGTTTGAGGCCCGAAATATGGCGGTAAATGGGAAGAATATGAATTGTAAGGCTGCAGCACATTGTAAGTTCCGGCTGAGTGATACGGAAGCTCGGTAGTTGGTGTGGTCTCGTATACAGTCGCCATTGATGTGGATTCGCTGGTATGGTTATAATGCTGCTCGTTTGAAGGTCGTGTCTTGTACCCATTCATGACGGGGTTGAAAAAATAGCAAACAATCCAACCTCGCTCGTCTGCCAAAATATGTTGGAAGGCTGATCAGAGTCAAGGTGTAAGATGTATGCATGTATAGCGAACGACTAGCCCTATCAGACCTGTGATGGGTAGATAGACAAGAAGTATAATGATACAAGAGGAAAGTGGAGTTACCTGTTCAGGGGATATTGAATGTCAATAACTTATTTGAAGACAGGAACGGGCATCCCACGGTATATATGTACAGATAGAAGGACAATTTTTAATGCAGTTTGTTTGACCCTGCGAGTGAGGCTAGATGCATATCGGCCTCGCAGCAGTCATTCGGAGAAGCAAAGGGATGAAAGGCATATGATACACCTGGGACGACACACAAAGTCGGTGAGGGCGATGAGTTGTTTGTTAGCAAGCAGACATCATAGGGACCACGAGAAGCGAGACATGAAGCAAGACCTTATTCGTAGAAGACTATGAAATCAGTGCGTGGTACATGATTGAAAGATTATGATGTTGGGAGACACTGCTGGTTCAGCAGATGTCATTGATTGTCTTGCTGCATGCTGTACTATCGATTCCTCTGTCAGGTACAAATCTAGTTCATTTGACCCGGATAGGGTATTATCGAGTATCTTTATGCAAAGGAAAATGATGCGCATGGCTTGGAGTACAGCTCGTCCCTACTTCGGACATTGGCATCAATGCCTGTGGCCACTCCGGACATTACTTGGTATGGGTGAAGATAACTTGAAGAGTTAACCAGGGTTTATGAATGAGCAGGAAATGTAGGCTTCATCGCCATTGGATGCGCTGGCAAGCATGCACAGCCATTCTGGAAGTCAAGGACCCAAGTGACGGGTCCACTGAACCGTGAGTGCAGATTCGAAACGAGCATCCTCAGTAGGCCACGACTGTGGACAGCAGAGGAGGCTGGTGTAATGTCATCGCAGGCTGGATATCCAACAAATAGGAGCATAGACCGGGTACAAACGACCCCGGTCTCTTGCTTCTCACCCCTCCTTTGCCACGTTGATACAATTCTACTCCTGTTCGTCTCTCATTTGCTGTCCGGATGGTAAATTTAGCGTCCCGTCGGGACAGCCACGAGTCGATCGATAACTAGCCATCATCATCATCATCATCCAAGCCAGATCACTAACATGACAGACGGACAGAGAGTGACAGCCTCAAGCCTTGCAACTTGCCGCCCAATATCTGACCTGGGTGGGGTAGCCTTCTTCGTCAGGCTTCAATTATTTCCGTTGCTTTTTTCTTCTATTTTCTCTTTTCGTGCTGACATGACACATTTGTTGTACGCACTCGGCTGTGGCGGCCATGTCACGAGTAAATTTCTTTTTTTTAACAGTAACGCGTGCAGCAATAGTTTCATTTTCTGATTCTGCAGTGCAGTACAGTCAAGCATGGGCTGTCTATCTGTCATCCGGGGCCCGGGTACTGAAAGATGGGCGCGTATTAATTGCTTTTTTCTTTGTCTTTTACCGCTCGAACCGATGGCTGGGTGTGTTGTATTTCCTCGAGCTCGCTTCATATGATGGGCGCTGAATCGTGGCGGACGAGCAGGTTGAAGAATGAGCTCTGTTGTGTGACCATGTTTGGTGTCGGGCCCTAAAATTGCTTGTAACAATAACCCTTAAAAGAGTACGTGACGAACTTGAACCAACTACGTACTACCACTGCCTCTCAAGCTGGAGATTCTGCCTTGCCAATGCCATTCGGGCTGAACTCAGGTTCGCAGAGAAGAAAAAGCCTCCGGGCATTCTTGAACTTGTGTATGCTGTGTAATGACTATTTTTGGTATTGCAAGAGTTCCCTTCCTGTTAAGGAAACTGTGAGATTTACCCGCAGACAAGTGACAAATTGTAAAAGCATCAGGAAAGCTTGGTAAGAGTTAAGGACGAATGTCTTAATTATAATAACCTTCCTAATCGAGGTTAAGTGCCCCCCCGTGACATTTGAGCCTATATCTGCATAAAACACTGTACTATATCACCCCGAACATTGTGAGATCCCGCTCAACGGACGATCGTCTAGATGAAGAACAAATGCAATTCTTAAAAGAAAAGAAAAGGATGACGAGCCTTACCCGTCATACCTGTGCACCGATACTCCCAGCTTCTCAAATAGCCTGGACCAAAACGCCGTGTTATGCAGCCTTGCAGCCTCAGAATAGCCTTTTCAATCATCCCAAGTCGCCCACAGGAGGAACCGAGTCATTGCATATCCGTTAGGTTATAACAGGCAACTATCGGGCATTCACTCTTCCTAGGCATCCGAATGGTCATACCAGTTCGTCATACACTGAGGAACAAAAGTACTACCGTCATTCTTCCATAATCCCCATTTTCCCGTCCAGTTGTTTTTGTCTGAACAAATGGAGCCCCAAGGATTCATCAATGACTCACGCAGACTTGCCGTTGGGCGTGAGATGCGAAGCTTGAAGTCCCCTTCCATCGTCTAATTTAGTCGGTCCTTGATAAAATGCGAGAAAGACAGGCCCAAGGAAATTTCTAGACTGCCCAGATCATGATCAATCAGGTTAAGCAGAGAAAAGTTACGATTAGGTCTAACGGGTCATTGAAGATGCATATCATATTATCTACTGCGTTCGTATCATCAGTTGGGATCGATAGAGTTAGGGCTTGGTGCACGTCAAACCCTAAAACGGCCTCATCGTCGATCAGTTGCTAACACTTCCATTTTCGGGATGATCAGCTTTCTGACATTTACAGCCCCGGGATTTTGAGTCATCTTTAACCATTACACTGTGATGTATGATGTCAGTTATCCTCCCAGCACACCGATAGATTATGCACTTGGTCATCCACGTACTGTTTTCGTCCGAAACACAACATGCCCAAGAAAAAAGGGGGGGGGGGGAAACAACTTTTTCCGTTTTCTTCAAGTAGGGCAATCAACAATGAATGACTCGGCGAGGAAAGAAAGCCATATGGAGAAATTATCCAGAGAGCTTGCAAAGGGGGGAGGGGATTTATATCCACCTCCAATGTCATTCGATTAAGCAATCCAGAAACGTTACACTGCCTAAATGCATGGCCGGAATGGCCGGGATGCCACTATTATTAGTTTACGTATAGTACGATATACTCTTTTGTATTTACCTTCCGGTTCAACAATAAGTGCTTCCCACCAGAATTCTTCATGTAATGTTCTCTGGTAACACGAAAAGAGGCCGAAATCTAAAATAAAAACTGGGAGAGCGGATACTTGCTTGCATTACCAATGTTGTGCATGAAGAGACTAGCCCTTTTCTATTCAATGTCCCTATACGTTTCGATTGTTCAAGCTACATAGAGCTATGCAGACACCCTGCCTTTGCTGATTTGGATCGTCACTAGTTTATGCCTTACAGAGGTTTTATCCTGGTCGTAAGTGCTGGATCTAGGCCTCATGGGGGGTTTTTTGGGCATTTATTGATCAGGGTCTGGAATCTCGGACTGATATATGGTTCAATGCAATCCATGTAGGTATAGCACAATGATATGATATATCAAGGAAAAGCAGTATCATATGCATGATATCTTATGACCGAGTAGATGTACGTTGAATTGGACTATTAAGTACTAATAGCAGTAAACTCGCATGTACATCATGCATCCTTCATATCTCATATGGAAATTGAAAAAAGAGTTATTGAAGCCCAATTATCATAATAAATGTACACATACAATAAATGCAATAATTGCAACGCGAGAAGCAGGAACCCTCCAAGCCCACCTCTTTAGAAACAGTCAGGAAAGAAATCGGTAAACGAAGAAAGCAATTAAACAAGATACACAGCTGCAAGTAAACAGCAAAAATACAGAAACAGGAAACAATAACAATCAGGAGTATTCCCGCCAATTCGTGTGCTGGTCGTGGTCTCGTCAGGGTTCATGATAAGGATGCAATGCAATAGGCAAAGAAGCGCATACACGGCGCTTTCTAAAATGCCTCTTTTTGTCGTGGTCGTTAACTTCGTCATGGTATAACAGGTTGCAAGTTGTCCGAAATGTATGTAACACGTCGCTAAAATAATATAAAAGTTAAAAAAAAAAGAAAGCCACTGGAATCAGTTTCCACCAGGAACCAAATCCCTAATGGCCCATCGCCAGCCATCGCCAGCCTTCTTCCGTTCAGACGACACCCATTTGGTCACTTTCCGTTTCCATCTGTCTTCTTCGGCTCTCTGACGTTTGACAAACTCAGGACCGACGTCAAATTCCTCGGTGATTGGCCACTCCTCCGATGAATCACCGCTCTGATCATCAAAGACCTCCGTTGGGACAGATGCTTCCGAAATGTTTCTTCGATGCTTGGGTCCCGGCCTGTCCTGGAGATCCTCTAACCCTGCAAAGACGTCCTCTAGCTCGTCATGGATGACCGCCACCTTGTCTGCGCCAGGTTGCGTGGATGCAAGTTTGAGCCAACACATCCGCTGGGGATCAAATACCATGCCGCCAACAACTTGGGCACCCTTGATTGTTCCAACACTCGTAATGAGTGCTGGGGCTACCTTGGGAGATCTAGGTGTGTTGATGGCGTCAAATTCTGCAACTTCATTTTCGTTGCCCTCCCATCGGTAAGTGCTGGGATTATACTGCATACCCTGAACATCTGTGACGCGAGTCAGAATATATCATATAAAGCTGCTAATAAAGACGCAATATAACCTACTCTTCGCTTCACTAACCCCCATTGATTTGATTAGCTGTGGCTTAGATCCTCCAGGCCGAGATGCCTTGCCCTTCTTGCTTCTTGCAGTGAGCATCGAATCGGTTTGTCGGGGAGTTTGCGGCCCTTTCCAATTGGTGCTCAAAGGAGCCAGGGGCGCACTGTCTCGGTTTCGCGTAGGTAGAGATAGTGAGGCAATCCTTTGCTCGCGTGCGATTCGTGAGGCATTGGTATCTCTTGCAAATCGAGGCTTGAAGGAGCTGGGTCGAGAAGGGGCACTTGATGTCATGGTAGGAACGGGTGTTTCGGTACGTAGGGCGGTAGGAGACTGTGCCAGTCGGGTTCGCAGAGATTTGGGGGGGCCATGGCCTACTGGCGTCTTGATGAATTGGCTCTCTAGAGTGGCAGATGTTGGAAGATCGTCAAACGATTCTAGTTCATTTCCATCTCCATAGTTTCGCCGACGAGTAGGTCGAGTAACTGAATGCTTAACCACGATATTAGAGCCCTCACTGGCAGAATGCGCATGATGGCGCCCGTGCGTATCGGGGCGTAGAGTATGTGAAAGGCGGGAAGTCGACTTTGTTCCAATAGTGGACTCTGTAGATGTCTCCGAGTCGGATCGACGGAAATGGCGAGAGTATTTGAGGCTTGCGTGATGAGACTGGCTTTGTGACGCACCAGCAGGTAGAAAAGGTACTTGAGGTCGGTGGTTGCCAAGTCGAGAATCTGTAGTTGATCTATCGACAGGAGTCTTGGGTCTAGCAAAACTTGGAATTAAGGAGGCACTTTCTTGCCGTGATGATGGGCGCTGGAAAGGTGCGGCGGACACTGACTCTTCAGGACCACGTGCAACGGGCGCCGAGCGTTTTGACTTGAGAAGCTGTGCATGACTTGAAGATAGATCACGGTCACTGTTCATGCTTTCTCTTGAACTCCGACCACCAAGAGATCGTCGGCCACCCGATGGAGTGACTGGAGGAGATGTATGTATACTTTCGACAGAACTTCGATTTCCATGAGCTGTGAGCCGGGACTGCGGTCTTCTGAATTGAGTAACAGGATTGCCACTTTCGGAGACGGGCTCCAAACTGGTGCGGCTCCTGTTGTGGCTAGAAAGTCGTGGGATTCTGGTCCCAACGGAGGGTGTCTTGTTTGTGAATGTGATTGTCTTCTCCGAGCGGTTAGGCGTCATTGGACGAGCATCTAATTTGCGTTTGACATTTCGGTTGACATTCGTCTTTAGCGATGTAAAGACACTTCCATCATCGACATCTAATTCATCGAAGAAATTGTCGCTTGTAGTAGTCTTCTGGTTGTTCGAGGGCGGTAGCGATTTGGGGCTGGGTTCTTCAGTGTCTGTTCGGAGCACTTTCCGCTTCTTCAGATTATCCTCGAAGTTGAATGGTCCATCAGGAAGGACTAATCCATCTAGAATGTCATCTTCAGTCTCTGCCGTAAGACAACTTGAGGCACTGGGACTAAACGCAGATACCGATGAACTGTGAGTTGAACGCCCGTCTCGCTTTGTGCCACCGAAGCGTCCATTCCCATCTCCATCTGCCCAACCGATATCCCAAATATCATCATTGATGCTAGGAATCATGGTTGGCATATTGGGTGGTGGAGAAAGCTTGAGGGTCATTTCCTGACTAGGGAATTCAAAATCCTTCTCGAAGTCATCGTCTGCATCTCGTGCGAGGCAAACAGCAGGAGAGTGACTGCCAATAGAAGGTGTATGCGGGAGGTTCAGGTTCGATACAGTGTTTGTTGTAGTTGTTGATAAATCTTGTGGTTCTTGTTTGATATCGTGAAAACCAAGGCCTTGAATCGTATCTTTCGCATCGGTTGTTGATTGAGGAGTAGTGGTTCCCACGCCCCTAAATGGGCTGGGCTCAGTTGAACCTCTAGTCTTCGCTGGACTAGACATCAATGGAGTGTGGATTTGGTGTATAGATTCTGGGAATGACTCTTGTCCGTTCGCTTTAAGAGACAATTCCATATCAGTATCGGGAAACTCGAGATCCTCCGACCAATCATCGATGACGCTCTTCTTATGTTGCTTCGACTGTAATTTCTTGATTGAGCCCGACAAGAGGGCTGATTTGGGGACATTATCGGGTATCGGTATGCCCGCGTTGCGTGCAGAGGCGATCGCCTCTTCGGTTCCTGCTTCGTCATTGTCTCGGAGTAATAGCTGCCAATCCTCGTCGCCGGCATTGGATTCGACATCGGAGCGGATTGAGCGACGTGAAGAAATCGAGTCACGATGACCGGATCGAAGCATAGAGCCGGTCACGGACGTTGTGGTAGAAATGGCATGGAATTGTATGTCGTCAAGACATTGCAGGTCTCCATCGTCGTCCCAGGATTCGACGGGCGGGGATTCGCTTTGCAGCAGGTGAAATGTGTCTGCCTGCATGATGACAGACTGGCAAGTTGATGATTCAGAATAGCATGTGACGTCGAAGTGAAAGCGAGTCGGTGCTGTGTTGGTAGAAGCTCGATCGTGGTAGCATCAAAAGTTAGTGTCGTGTGATGTCGTAGATTTTCACTGTAAGTCCGGATTTACTGAAACAGTAGGCGGTGTTTGACAGTAAAATATCATAATTATCGCACAACTGGTGTGCCGAGGACTTGGACGTAAGGATATTTATCATCGACTCGATCAAGAGGTCGTTGCAGGTTGAATAATCGACAGCCGTGTTGAGGAATGCCACAGACACCTCGGTCCGCGATCTTGCAGAATACCAGAGAGTGGAAGCGCTTGACACCGAGATGATTGTGACGGACTGAGCGAATGTCGTGGTATCGTAAGTAGTTGTTGATTCTTGTGAATACAGAAAGTGGCTGGGAGGTGGTTGAGTTCGTTTGGAGTGAATTTCAGACTGGGAAGAACAGATCAGACTAGGATCAACTTGGAGATAGCGAGAGGACTATCGTATCGTGTACGGTTATTGTATTGGTAATTTATGTACTACACTAACAGTAACGTTACCGCCACGAGGAGGCGGATATGCGCCAAGAATTCCGTACCCTGGCTAAATTTTTAGTGGAGTGTCACGCGGGGCTGGGAACATTGTACGTGGTATTACAGATACGCGTAATTGCAAACAATCGCGCCGCGCCTATTCTGTGCCTCATCATGCAGCTCCCACCTCTTACACTACTTTTTTTTTTTTTTTTTAAATTATGGCATGGGGAAGAGTCAAGATTCTCAATTGTATGTTCAGATATAGTACTACGAGAACTAAATGCTATAATGGATAGGTCTCAACTCAATAGAATGTAGACAGTGATGAGACTATATTTCTGAACCCGCCCGCTCATTGGTCAACTCCGGGCGGACCGCCTCCAGGCAGACGAGGTTGGGAAGCTCAGCTACCTCCATTGTATTTTCTCGATATTTACAACTACACCAGTAGATACTTGAAGCCGCGAATTTGACATTAAGGCTCGGACCTTGCACGTTGAGATCGAGGCAGTGACCATGCCCGCAGAAAGCAAGGACTGGGTAATCCGCATCCCCCGGTCCGACAGCGACAATGAATTCGTACTCGTATACATAGCTCCGGGCAAAGCAGCCCTGGACCTGAAGTTCATCGCAACCGAAGGCGAGAATCCATATGTAGGGTCATGTATGTATATGCACCTGCAAGTCGAATATGCATCGCATCAAGTATGCTAACACAGAGTCAACAGTACGACCATCGCGTCTCAAGGATATCCGCGCAAAGAACTTTCGAGGCACCGATACGGAGCTTGAGCAGATACTGAAATCTGTGCTGAGAGTCCGAAATGATGTATCATCTCAAATAGCGGCAAATCCGGATTCTGAAATTGAGGCTACGGCTACAATCAAGGCCAAGGACGATGTGAATGATTTGGTGATTAACATCCGGAAAAGAATTGATAACATCACCGTACGTACTCCTTCCTGTCTCTAGAGTGCGAAACATATCACTGAGGAGATTCAACAGCAACGCGTTGCAACTATAACCCTATCCCAAAACGACGACCAAACCATCGAACTCTTCGAATGGATGGGCCTCATGCTATCACGCACAGACGCCTACGAGCATCAAATCTCAACACTAACCAAGCAACTACAAGCAGCCGAAAAATCAATCAGGGATTTGCAAACTAGTCTTGATGATTTGGTGCAGTCCAAAAAGGAGCATGAGGATATGCTGCTAGGAGGTTTAGCGCAGGTTTTGAATGAGAAGAAGCTCAAGATTAGGAATCAGCAGAGGCTTTTGGCGAGTGTGAACGTTGATTCTGAGAAAGGTTTGTCCTCCTCCTTTCTGGCCCTGCATATCGAAGTGTCTGGTACTGAAATTAAAAAGGGCGCGGATTAGAGTCAACCATCGACCGGGAGGAAGAAGCCCCCAAAATCCGACGGAACAAACGAAAAGCCCCTGCCCATCAGCAAGAACCATCAGATTCAAACGATGAATTCGAAAAGATGGACATCGATAAGCCCAAGCCCTCGAGAAGGGAAGCCGCTGCCCAAGTAGAAGAAGATGAGGAGGAAGACGGAGATGAGAGATCCGAAACGCCTCAACCGCTAGAAGAAGAGACCGAATCCGAGGCTGAGGAGGAGAGGATGAACTCTCCCCCGGAAGAGGAAGCGCAATCGCAGAAATCGAACCGTCCGAATTTGACCAAGGCAGCTGATCCGCCACCTCCTCCGAGGAGAGACTTGCCATTCTTGCGCAGGGGTAAAGGTGCTGATACCTCTGGAAAGGAGGCGGAGATTGTGCCTGAGCGAGATGAAGCGGGTGAAGCTACCGGAGGAGAAACGGATGATGATGAACTGTGACCTGTATATTAGTATCTCACTAACTAGATCACTATCAGGTTGGATTCAAACTTTTGATAAGACACTTTATAGCTTGCATTAACTTGCATTTTGCGAACGTTCCCTTTATGTACAAAAACACCTTCTAGCTGCTATTTTTTTCATGCAGAATTGAGAATCGAGCACACAGATATGGATCCTCGTAACAGAGGGCAAGAAGAAGAAGAAGGGGGAAGGATGGATGAGTGACAGGACAGAAAACAATGTTTATAAGTGAAATGGGAAAGACTAAAATACTGTTGACACATACACTCAATTCAAGCTAGGTAGCAAGCAAGCAGCACAAAGGAAAGAAACGCCGACATGGTACGATGATACAGCTGGACAAGACCTCTTTTATGCCGCGTTGCCATAGACGGCTTGTGGTGACATTTCACCGGCAGCCATGAAATTGGTTTCGGGGTTACCGGTGGCTTTGGCAGCCGAGCAACGAGCCATTGTAGGGGAGCTAGAAAAGGATTAGCTAATGTCATTTCAAGTCTACCACTGAAATCATACCTTCGAGAGATAACGTCTGTGAAGTAAAAGTCCTCAATAACCTTCTTGAACTCGGCACCAGTGGGTTTGGATCCTTTGTTTTGGTCGACCAATTGGACCTTGGAAAGAGCTGGTACTGAAGTAGACTCGATCAAGTCATATCGGCGGAGGGCAGGGCTGATCTCCTCCATGCGGTCACGGAGAGCCTCAATATCATCATATGGTAAAGGTGAGCCAAGGAACTCGCTGACTGCACGGATAATCTTCCAATCATCACGAGCAGCACCTGGCACAGACGTAGCAGCACGAGTGACTTGAACGCGGCCCTCAGTGTTGACGTATGTTCCAGACTTCTCGGTGTATGCTGCACCTGGGAGAACAACGTCGGCCAACTGTGCGCCACGGTCTCCGTGGTGACCCTGGTACACCACAAAGGCATCCTTGGGGATTTCGCTGGCATTGATCTCATCGGCACCAAGAAGCCAGACCATCTTAGGTGTAGTGTTGGCAACTTCCGGAGAAGGAGCTGTGAAACCGACTTCGTAGGCTCCCGCACGGGATGCGGCTCTTTGCAAAACGTTGTATCCTTGCCATTCATCGGTTCTGAATGTGGAAGCGTGCTTCTCAACGAATTGACCAACGCTCTCAAAAACAGACTTGGCGTCGGGATGCTCAGCAATGGCACTTCCAACAATGATCATGGGACGCTTAGCGGAAGCAAGCTTCTTACCAAACTCTCCAGAAAGAGCGGACTGAAGGCTGCTGACGTTAGCTCCCAAGTGTTCAAAGCCGAAGGTGCTTTCAAAGGACTCTCCAACAAGACCGATTTCAAGGTCAGAGCGCAAGTATTGTTTCCTGATACGGGCGTTCAAGACTGCGGCTTCATGGCGAGGGTTTGTACCGACAAGGAGGATAGCATCTGCCTCTTCAACACCGAAGATCTTGGAGTTGAAGAGGTAGTTGGCACGAACATCAACACCGTGAGCAATGGGTGCGCTGCCGTTAGGCTGGTCCAAAGCCAAGTTATCCGAGCCAAGCTTGTTAGCCAAGTCCTTCATGGCAACAAGAGACTCCGTCTCGACTAGCTGACCAGCAACAGCCTTGAACTCATTGGCCCTAGGGCTTAATCTAGCGTGTGCAGAAGCGACCTCGGTCAGGGCCTGTTCCCAAGTTGCTGGAACGAACTTTCCTTCGCGGCGAATGAGAGGGGTGGTCAATCGCTGTGTCTTCAATCCGTCGCAGGCAAATCGAGTCTTATCGTTGATCCATTCCTCGTTTACATTGTCATTAAGTCTGGGAATAACTCGCATAACTTCCATACCGCGAGAGTCGACACGAATGTTGGAACCGAGACCGTCCAAAACATCAATGGTCTCGGTGTGCTTCAACTCCCATGGACGAGCTCGGAAAGCGTAGGGCTTGGAGGTAAGGGCACCGACGGGGCACAGATCGATGACGTTGGCCGAAAGTTCGGAGCTGATGTTCTGTTCCAAGTATGTTCCAATCTGCATATCGTTTCCTCGTCCGGTAGTACCAAGCTCGGGGGCACCTGCAATATCGTTCATGAAACGGACGCAACGGGTGCAGTGGATGCATCTGTTCATCGAGGTTTTGATCAGAGGGCCGATGTTTTTATCTTCGACGGCACGCTTTCCTTCGGTTTCGTGGAATCGGCCGCGATCGGCACCGTAACGCATCGATTGATCCTGGAGATCACACTCACCTCCCTGGTCACAGATAGGACAGTCAAGAGGATGGTTTGCGAGTAGAAATTCCATGACACCCTCTCGGGCCTTGTGTACCAATGGCGAGTTGGTCTTAACAACCATACCGGGCTGAACGGGCCAGGCGCATGATGCAACGGGCTTGGGAGCTTTTTCGACTTCTACCAAACACATACGACCTTTGATATGTTAGTATGATATGAAAGGACCGGATCATACGTGCTTACAGTTTCCTGCGATCAATAGTTTCCTTCAACGATAATTAGTATTGGTACGCATGACGGAGAACGGAGGGCTTACTCATGGTAGCAGTATCTATAACAATGTCAGTAAGAAAAGCCAATTGCCAATACAATAGACGTTACATACCTTGGAATAGTCACACCGGCCTTTTCACAAGCTTGAATCAAAGCGGAGCCAGCTATATGCACCCGGATATGTCAGCCGACACCTTTCGTAAAACACATTGCAGTCCGATTATACCTTCGATTGAGACCTTCTTGCCATCTAAAAGCGAAACAAATTAGCCGTAGAACCTTCAATTGACGACTGGATCCCCACTAACCAATAGTCAACTCGACCTCGGCGCTACGCCGCGTCGTGGTAGCAAAGGACCGGCATGATCTGGCGTTGGCGAATTGTCTCGAGCGCGCGGCCGCACGAAGCAATTGCGGCCGCATTGTGCGTTTAGTATGAACTCGATAAAGGTCAGACAGACAGAGGGGGAGACTCTGTAGCCAGAGGAAAGGACGTGGGAGAATGGACACACGGATTCGAGGTGGAAGGGAAGGTGAGTGAGGTCTTTGCTTCAGTCGAGAGAGCAATGGGAGAGCCCGGCAACCTCAGCGCCAAGCCTGGTCACAAATCAGCGGGCTGTTATTGGGTGGGCTGCCGGGGGATCGTTGTTCCGGGTCACTAAGCGGGAATCCTTCCTTCTTTACGGCTCSATTTTTYTCTTCTTCTTTYCTTCTTTCTTCCTTTTCTGAATTAACTCATTCACGGATGTGATTATTGTAGGCGGTAGGAAGTTGCTTTTTACTCTGGTGAAACCCAATCTATGTCTACCTCCTCTACTCATGATCCAAGACCGAACTTTAGCGCCGTAGCTGGAGCGATCGAGGTGTTTTCGCCCATTACGAATCAGTTCCTTACCGACGGTAGCAACATTCAGATCAACCATCATATTATTATCAACGCTTGATACTGGGGGATCGATGAATGACTGTATTATTTCTATCTATTATCATCTTATACATCAATGAGAGCCTGCTTTATGTGCGGTCGTCTGCTGCAAACTTATCCTTCCAGAAACCCCTAAAGTGGTGCTGGTTACCCAGCTCCGAAATCTGCTCCACCTCCTGCGGGGTGAGGTTGAACTTGACGGTACGTAGATACTCGGTGAGGCGAGCCTCCTTGCTACTCGTCGTGATGGCAATAGCACCGCGCTCAAGTGCCCATCGAAGTGCAACGTCCCCGGGGGTAACTGCATACTTCTTAGCCAGCCCAGCTAGCACCGGGTCTAGGGGACCGCCTGTAGCACGAGTGACAGGAGTTAGAGGTCCGTAGGCAGATGTTGCGATGCCTTTTTCCTTGTGGTAGTCAAGCAGATCTCCGTGCTGGAGGTACGGGTGGAATTCTATCTGGTTGATGGCGGGAGGGATCTTGGCTGTCTTCAATGTAGTCTCAAGGTGGGCTTTGGTGTAGTTAGAAACGCCGATTTCTTTCGCTTTTCCTGCCTCCTTCACCTTCTCAATGGCCGCCCAAGTATCCTGGAGCTCCTTGTCGGACTTGGCTTTGAAGGGAGCATGTATCAAATATCTACAGTGTATCAGGTCATTAACTCACACTAAGCAGGGAGATTGAGCGTACAGATCCACGTAATCAAGCTGCAGTTTCTTCAAACTCTGCTCAATCGCGTTGGGGATATCGTCAATGTTAGGGTACACCTTGGTGACAACAAATAGCTTTTCTCTTGGAACGCCGCTCTCCTTGATGGCAACTCCAAGCTCAGGTTCCGTATTGTACACTTCGGCTCCGTCGAGGTGGTGATAACCCAGTTTGATAGCGGTCTTGATGGCTTCCACGACTTCGCGGCTAATGTCAGATTCGCCGGTTTGCTTGGACCATGCTGTACCAGTTCCGTAGGCCAGCTAATTTGTGTTAGAGTTTTGATGAGCTTTGCAGTGAGATGACCTTACCACTGGCACGGAGGCGTTGCCGCCAACTTTGACGTTCGGGATGTCGGCTGCGCTGGTCATTGTGCTGAATGTCTTTCTGAAGACGAACTGTGTAGGGAGAGGGAGTTGGAGTTGAGAGGAGTAGATATAGTGGGGTTTCCAAGCTCTGCAGAAGAATGTCGCACGCATTGTCAGGGTACTCGCATTTATAATGAGGGGGGCTATCGGAAGGTTATATACCCGGAACAGATCCGATGGTCATCAGAATCTCGCAGCAAGTGCCGATGCAGTTTGTGGTGGAGTCTGGCCTGGATTAGACCGCGATAGGCGAGTCATATCAGACAAATCGATGCTAGAAGATTGCGCCATGAAGCATCATCGCGCGAGAAATGTCGTTACCCCTCATCGACTGAGACTGTAGCAGTGTGGATATGTTCAACAGCAAAATCCCCGTCATCCATGCGTATGGGAGCCGGCATGGTCTTGTTAACCAGTATTACAACTGAGAAATGTGAAAATATGTAAGATAATCAAAAGAAGAGAGTCGTGAACAACCGACTGACAAATGAAGCTGATTGGGCAATGTGATGTCATATTGTGTAAGGTCCAGATCCTCGGCTTAGTAACTTCCTCCGCGACTTTTAATAAAACAATAAATTGTCCATCACTACTTATTATGCTTTGCGAGGACACCAAATATTTTATTTTTCTGTTTTTCCCGTATCTGAGTTGATGTCACGCCTCATATCTCTACGACCATTCCCTTCTCTGCGAATGACCTGCAATCGCATCCATCAAATGGCTTCGCAATTGAATCTCGCGCCGGCAGCAGCAGCGTACAATACATTAGCCACCGTCCCCAAATCGAACACATTCACGTCCAAGCTACCGCCGGACCCTGCCTTCGAGACACCAAAGCAGTCCCACGATGCGCCACGCGAAACACTGGGCCCGCGCATCGTCAAAGGTGCAATGTATACCTATGTCCGTCCCGAGGCCGCCGAGGACCCGGAGCTGTTAGGCGTGAGTCCGCGAGCCATGGAGGATCTGGGGTTGCAGCCAGGAGAGGAGAAAACAGAAGACTTCGTTAGTTTGGTTGCCGGGAATAAGATATTCTGGAATGAGGAAGAGGGAGGAGTCTATCCTTGGGCGCAATGCTATGGAGGTACATCTTCTATCGAGAATTGCTCTAGACGGAGACTGACCGGGGTGTAGGATGGCAATTGTCAGTTTACACTACCGCTAACATCGGCGCTCATCTGACTGTGTCCTAGTGGTGCATGGGCAGGACAACTTGGAGATGGCGTACGTGCTCACTGCATAAGCAACATATGAACGCAATGCTAATACTGAAATAGCGCGCTATCAGTCTCTGCGAGTTGACGAACCCCAGCACAAATATCCGCTATGAACTGCAACTGAAAGGTGCAGGACGAACACCGTATTCCCGTTTTGCAGATGGCAAGGCGGTTCTACGTTCAAGTATTCGCGAATACGTAGTATCTGAAGGTTTGCCCTCTCTATACTTGAGTCGTAGAAGAATTGCAGTCTGACTTGCATAGCTCTCAATGCTCTTGGTATTCCGACCACTAGAGCCCTATCTCTTACGCTGCTACCGAAATCCAAAGTTCTGCGCGAACGAATGGAACCTGGCGCTATAGTCGCCAGATTTGCGCAGAGCTGGCTCCGAATTGGATCATTCGACATTCTTCATTCTCGCAACGAGCGAGACATGATCAGGAAGCTGGCGACATACATCGCCGAGGACGTCTTCCCAGGGTGGGAATCATTACCCGGGGTAGTCAATCTTCCTAATGAGGAAGGTTCCGGAGACGTAAATGTTGATGAACCGCCACGAGGTGTCACAGCTACAGAACTCCAAGGAAAAGAAGGCCAAGAAGAAAACCGATTTACGCGACTATATCGTGAAATCGTACGACGAAATGCCAAAACAGTAGCCGCCTGGCAAGCATACGGATTCATGAACGGCGTCCTCAATACCGACAACACCTCCATATTCGGCTTGTCTCTGGACTTTGGCCCATTCGCATTCATGGACAATTTCGACCCTTCATACACACCGAACCACGACGACCACTATCTGAGATATTCATACAAGAACCAGCCATCAGTCATATGGTGGAATTTGGTACGACTAGGCGAGGCATTCGGCGAACTCATCGGCGGTGCCGAGCGGGTGGACGACGAGGAATTCATCACCAAGGGCGTGACTGAAGAATTCGGGCAAATCCTCATCAAACGCGCAGAGACGCTCATCAACCGGACAGGCGAAGAATACAAGACAGTTTTCAAGAATGAATACGTGCGCCTCATGTCCCGGCGACTAGGTCTTTTGACGAGCAAGGAATCCGATTTTGAGTCGCTATTCTCGGAGTTGCTCGATTCCATGGAGCATTTAGAGCTTGATTTTAACCATTTCTTCAGAAGGCTGTCTGATATTGGTATTGAAGAACTCGAGACTGATGAGCAGAGACAGGCCGTCGCGAAACGATTCTTCCATAATGAAGGCGTCAGCGGAGTCGGCAATACTGAGGAATCTGCCTGTAAGCGCATAGCGACATGGCTGTCATCGTGGAGAGATCGAATCGTCGAAGACTGGACACAGGATGGAAGAACCGATCAAGAGCGCAAAGAATTAATGAGATCCGTGAATCCAAAGGTTCTTTCCCGTTCTCCTAATCCCTGTTCTAAACGGTTGACTAACGACTGGCAGTTCATCCCCCGATCCTGGATCCTAGACGAAGTCATCGAACGAGTCGAGCACAAAGGCGATCGACAAATCCTCGGACGCGTTATGCAGTACACCCTGAACCCGTTCCAGGAAGACTGGGGCGTGGACAAGGATGAAGAGGAGAGGTTTTGCGGTGATGTGCCCCGGTTCAAGAGGGCTATGATGTGTAGCTGTTCTTCTTAGCTATAATTCCTTTGTTTCAACTCCTATAGTCAGTAAGAATACAAATAGAATTATATATCATCTCAATTTCCTCATATTGAAATTTCTCTCCTATCATGAGACAAAAAGGGAATCATTTTTTGTTTGGCAAAAACAGCACAACACAGCAGGTAGAAAAAAAAACTAGAAAGAGGCATCATGAATCATGTTTGTTTTGTCCCTTCCATTAGTTTTCGTCCATTCCAATCCTTCCTTCTCACTTTTCCTTCTTCACTTCTCGCTTTTTTCGCAACCATCCCCTCCCTCGAATCATTTCCTCGTCAATACGTAGGTATCAGTCAGAGAAAGCTCGTTTCAATGCGTGTCGGTTAGGTAGTAGTCATTATGATATGAAATCGTGCGGACCGGTCCATATAAGAATTTTTGTTTAAAAGAAAAGAAACAAAAGAAAGTAAAATTTAAGAAAAGAAGAGAGTATAGTCGTTTAGTTGGGGCAGGCGGACTGGACGTGGCCGGGKTGCTTGCACTTGTAGCAGACGCGCTCGCCGTTGGCTTCGGTTGTGCAGTCACGAGAAACGTGGCCGACCTCGCCGCCTGGATCAATTAGTATCAATCATCATGTAACGAACGCATTCAATGAACAGAGAGACGCACAGTTGTAGCACTTCTGGCCCTGTGTGCAGTCACGGGCCATGTGGCCGTATCCACCGCAGGAGTAGCAGGTCTGCTGGCGACCGCCGAAGCCGCCCTGACCACCGCCGTAGCTACCGCCCTGAGAGCAGTTGCGAGCAATGTGTCCGACCTGACCGCACTTGTAGCATTCCTGACCACCAGCGCCACCAGAGAATCCGCCTCGGGAGAATCCGCCGTTGTTACCGCCGGCAGGGCCTGACTGTTGGCAATCGCGGGAGATGTGGCCGGTTTGACCGCAGCGGTAGCAGGACTTTTCCTTGGGGGCTTGGGTGCATTCACGGCTGACATGTCCTTGGCCTGAAAGTTGTTAGGTATATAGTGCTAGGGAGCGAGAGATTATGGTAATGCGTTTGACGTACCACCGCAGTTGTAGCTATCAAGACAGGTCAGCAGGATGAAAATAAATCAGGCAACCAAAATAACTCACCAAGTAGGTGTGCCTTTCTTGGGGCAGTCACGGGCCTGTAGAGCATCGGGTCAGTCCAATTCGACGGTTTGTATTAGATGTGTTGGTTCAAATTTACCTGGTGAGAAGGCTCGCCACCTATTCGAAACAGTCAGTTCGTCGCGCAAGATGAAGCGAAAGACAGGAGACTCACAGTTAAAGCAGCCACGGCTTCCGGTCTGGTTCTCCATTATGTCGAAGTGGGTTGATCGTAATGAACGAAGAGAAATAGAGTAATCTAGTGAGATGGAAGAGTTAGACGATTTGTAAAGATTTGCGAAAATTGCATGAGGAGGCGAAAGTGAATATCGATCCAATTGGCGTGCGCCATGCTATGAAGAGTGGGATGAAAGCCATTGCAAGGAAAGAGCCAATCTGGCGTACCTAGAACTGGAATTATATATAATTCCGAGTGTGAAAGATGAATGAATGCTCGATTCGAGAATCAATAGCAAGACCGAATTGAAAATGGATAGGTGGGTGGTGAGAAACGAAGAGTTTTTGGAAGAAAGAGAGATGCTCGGTATGTGTGGAGTAAAATTGTATTTTTTTTTTTCTGGCAGGCTTCCCTCAGCGTGTTTGGCGGGCGGCGGKGGGCGGGCGGCCGTTGAGGAAGGCACGAGGCAGAAAACTCAGCCCTTACTATACAGTAAGCGGGGAACTCTCTTTCTCCCATTCTCTTCATTCTTATTCATCCTTTTCGTACACTCAAAGATCAACTGTCATATCAACCGCCAGTCATGGTCTTGCCATCCGTTCGTTGTACGTCGGCCATCTTCTGCGCCGCCATCGCTGTTTGTAGAGCGTACATCCATCCACCGTCTGGCATCAAAGCACTCGTCGAGGTCATCGATTCAGTCGCTCGCTGTTGTCGTTTTCATCCCCATGAACGAGCGCTCAGCCATTGCAGGCCTGTGTGGCTCGGTCCGGTGCATAGAGGTCGGACGCATCGTAGCGCAGTAGTGTCAGTAACGTTAGTCGTCGTCGTACCCTCAGATAGCCGCAACGTAGTAGACATACTACCGAGATCTGGATAGATAGAAGAGAAGAGATTTGGAAGGAGAAAAGATAAGAGCGCGACCAGCTAACTATTTAGAAGAAGGCTCAGGCAACCCCCCTTCCTAAACCGACAGGGATGGCGCATGCATTATTTAATCGGTTTTAACAATTCCCCGAAGGTACCTGGGCTATTCACAACTGGCGCTCGGCATTGTGTCACTCGCAAGGTCCTTTCGTCAAATCAGGTTCTACCAAGGTACACCACAGCCTTACGAGAATATGTACAATGAATGTATATACTTCAGGGATATATAGGGTATATACAAGATCTACGTAAAATCATAACATTCCAAAAACTGTGCTCTCAGTCCTCTTTGGCGCAAGACAACAACCTGCTCGTCGTCAAATCCGACCCAACCATCCGGTTCCTCTGGAAGCGCGTCCAGATCTCTCTGGTAAGAAACATGGCGACTCCAATCCTTGGCCCCGGAAGTTGTACCCAGTGAAAATCTTGGCGCGGACAACGGCTTTTCATAATTAATCCGAACGCTTGACTCGCCTCGTATACTCCGGCTGCGAGAGCTGAGAGGCGACGAGGAAGACGATACTGCGCTTTCAAGCTCCCAGATTCGGATTTCGTTTCCCCGGGGACTGACGGAGACGGCTTTGCCTCGGTCGCCGACTTGCACACTTGACACTGATGATGTGTGACCCCAGAGACGCCGACTATCCCGAATCACAAGCTTGTCCGCGGATGAAAAGACGAGATACATGGTCAAGGTGTTGTCGCTGTGAGAGGTAAGCAGGAAAGGGTGGGAGTATGATAGAGATGTCGGCGCCTCTTTATGTTGTATGTCAGCAGTAGAGAGATTTGTGTATCCACGACTGTGATAGTTATTGTTGGGCTTGCTGTTGCTGTCTGTCGAAGGGTCATCGTGACCATTTTCATCGGCTTTTGGCTGCACTGCAACCGTGGTGGCTAGGCGGGAGGTAATATGTTCACCGTCCTTATTGAATCGCAGTTCTTGTATTCCAATGGTCCAGCCATTACTGATATGAAAGAAGCTGTATGCTATTGATGCTATGACTTCCGAAGCCGAGCATCTGAGTGAAAGTGACATTGGTGCAAATGTATTGTTCGATTCCAACGACGCTAGTAAACGCAGTTGGTTCGGTGCCGGTTCTTCATTTTGGGTAACATGAGATGGTATCTTGTATAGATTGAAGACTTTGTGATCTGATATTGTAAGAAAATATGGAGGAGCCGAAGCTATCGCAGTGATGGTGGCATCGCTTGTGGATTCTTGTGAAAAACGTATCGCAAATTCTCCACGGATCACGTCTAGCTCGTAGACACTGAAATGACCGTCGTCAAAACCAACAGTAACCTCAATAAACGAAGCCGGGGAGCCCTTGGCCACGTAAAGAGCAGTTGGAATATCGTTTCCGGTCGGAAACGGCAGTTCCGTTAACTGTTTCTTGGGCTTCTTCGTAGACCAAGCTCGTAAGCCATGTTCCCTATCCGCAGTGATGACGACACCCGAATATAATTTGATCAATATTTGAGGTAGCGGCGGACGCGATACTTCTAATTCATCTAGTCGGCATGTACCTTTAGACCAGTTGTGACGGAGCCGGTATTGCGTTTTCCAGTGAATGGAATTGTTGTCCTCCGCAAGATGGCTGTGACCGAGCCATTTCGATACTCGCGGTGAATAGGCTGTTCCGGTGGATGACAGTTTCAAATGTTTCGATTGTGGGACAGCGCGTGCTCGAGGCAACACCCATTGCGCAAAGTATCGTCGTTTCCATAATTCCGAATCGCCGGCGAGCGCATGGAATCGTTTAGAGACCCTGGTGGCGGTCAGCATGGACAGCACAGGAGACATACGATCGAAGGAATCGCTTACCTTTGGCATTTGATCAGTGTATCTATAGACACGGATGATAGTATCTGGAGTAATATCTCGTCACTGAGAGTCGATATATAGTCTTGTCCTCGCCCTTTGACTGTTGTCCGTTGACGCTTGGACGAAGTTGTTGGATCATCGCTCCGGGATCGCTTTGACATCCCGGCTTTGCAAGAAAAAAGACTGACAACATGCAAAAAACATATAGTTGCTGTCACGGGCTCAAAAGTGACAGAAACCAGACAAATAATGGATATGTAGTACGTAGTTGCAAGTATTTTAGGTGGTGAGTTAAATGCGGGCAATTCCGCCTCGTCGATCAGTCAGCGATAAGCGATGGTGGCGCCGATAAGTACAAGATAAGGGTAAGGGAAACGACGCGTCGCGCGTTGCCTTCTATCAACTACTCAACTGCAAATATGACATCCAGGTATTGATGATTTTTCGAGGCGTCCTTGGTAGTTGTGCCTGAGACAGAATCGACTTCACACAACGCAATGGACTCCGTAGTCCATCATTTGGACTTGATTTCAAAAGATCTCGAGGCCGCTCGAAACGAAGCTGCGAAACAGGCCGTCAAATACCAGGAAGACACCGACAAGCTCAACAAGAATATCAGGAGTTTGGAATATCAACGGAAGACCGACCAGCAGCGAATCAAGAAGCTACAGTCTGATATTGCCGACTTACAACGCTACAAGAAAGCTACCAACCCTGGTGCTCATGAAGACGTGGTAGTGGAGGAGGAAGATGATGGCAGCGATGATAGGATGATTGAGACGAAGCTGCAGAAGTTGAAGGAGAAATACGATCCTGAGAAAGCAACCGCCATCTCTTGGCCCGAAGGTCGCCTGAGTGTTCAATTGGTCTCGAGCATCCAACGGCTGAAGAACTCTTATAATGACATTTATAAGGAAACAGCGGCTCTAGTAAAAATTATCAGCTCTCTTCGAGCCCAGGTCAAGCATCACAAAAGAAGAGCTGAGCAATGGCAACGCTGGTGTGCCGAATCGTCTGCCAAAGACAAGGCCCCTACAGATACGAACCTGGACACTATTGGCCCTTCGATTGAGCAATGTGTCCACCAGCAGAACAATACTCTTTCGACTCCAAAATCAGTCCGTACCCAAGATGAGGGACAATATATTCCCAGTAGCTCTGCAGTCGCTTCAACGGCATCAAATTCATCACCAATACCTCCCATTTCAAGCAATGAAGCAAGGGGCAACCGTCCGGACTATGACAGTGGTGACCAGTCACGCATAACCCGCGTCAAGGACGAACCTCTTTCTCCTGGATCCCTAGAAGGCCCATCTCTAGGCGAAGAAATATTTCCAGTTGCATCCGAGGACCTTGACGAGGTTGGCGATACGGTGACCACACCACGGAGCCGAAGATTTGCTGTTTTTGAGGATGGTGTGTCTAGACTACAGCATGATGGACCGATAACTACCCCCAATTTTCAAGGAGAGCGTCGCGCTTTTCAACCCAAAGATACCAACCAGATCAATCAGTTTAGAACACCGCAAGAATCAGCTTTCAAACGACGAAAGACTTGTGACAGCGGGGCGTCTGCAATTTCAACTGTTGCCGAAGACGGAGAGGATCAGAATTATATCCCTTCAGCCATAAAAGTTGCTACAGATGAAAATGACACCCCCTCGAAAGGACCAGTTCGACCCTCAGATGCGCATAGACGACTTGACGATCTGCTGGCGGCCCGTCCACACAGGCAGAGTCCTGCACTTGATCGTCCTAGAACCCGTATCCTAGTTCAATCGACGACACCCGTTTCTAGGCCGGGGAATCAACCGGCTTCAGTCAGCGCAAATCAGACGCCGTGGTCGAATGGACCTACTAAGGCAATTACGGGTTATATGAAGACTGCAGAGAAGCGTCCCGTCGCTAAAAGGAAGTTTCAATATGAAACAAACCCAACCACAAAGACAAACAACGATGAGGATTGGGAAGCAATCGTGAAATCCAGGCCTTTCAGAGATTTACCCGTGGATTGTCTCGACCTCAGTCATTTCAAGCTGAATCCGGCAAGAAATCAGGGTCTCGACTACGCTTTCAAAGAGGTCGTTCGGGGAGAATCACGCAAATGTCTTCCTGGATGTATGCGAACCGATTGCTGCGGAGAAAAGTTCCGCGCCATGGTGCGAGCGACAGGGATCAAATACGATTCTGAGAAACATCGGGCTCTCCTTGAAGAGCATCTTGGAGATAAAAAGAGTGCACTCCAGCAGTTGAGTGAACAGGCACTGAACGGGTTGCTGATTGAAGCAAAAGCCAGGCAATTGGCCAATCAGTTTGGCAAGCATAGACACGCTTATGAACGCGCTCGTTCACCACCGGGGTTCTGGCGGACAGACATGCCGACTACGCAGGAATTGGCCAAGGATCGCATGGAAGCTGATCGCATGGATCGTGAAAAGATATACGAGAGAGTGTCGGAGGCTAGGCGACCAGATGGGCTTTGGAAATTTGCGGATGAGATTGATTGACATGTACTACATCTGTACGATAGAGATATTAAGTTGTTGTGCGATGTAAGGGAAATTGTTATGACCTATAATTGTTCACTTCGAAGTAATGATAGTTCATACAAGCTGTCTGCCCTCGCTATGCTCGGGCTTGTGATGATCTTTATAGCCGTTTTTTCTGTGTTTTGGGCCTATACTTATGTGGCTTGGGCTTCTATTGCATATCTTGCGGCGCTTGCCAACCCTGCTTTGAAAGAAAGGGAGTATTTCTTAGACCTGTTGTAAAACTGGATCCTCTTGAACATAAATGTCCTTGTTGTTTGAGATTCTTGATGTATCTGGGAGAGTTAGAAAAGCCAACACTGAATGATCTCATTGGGATTTCTACACCGCAGGACCTTTTCTTGTCATGGAAAATGGCTGAGTTTCAAGAACATCATGGGATGATGGCTAGTCCGGAGTGGTACGAAGAAGACATTGCGCATGGGAACTTCTAGCGTACTTGTTTTGTTTCCATGGTGATATTTCAATGTTCCAACAGTGTGTGCTATATTCCCAGAACGAAAAACCCCCAGATAAACAAGTGAAAATTCAGCAAAGAAGTCCACCGCCTCCTTTCTGAGACAAATCATTTAGACATCCTTCCAAATCTTCCAACTCCTTGCGGAGCGTGTCTTGGTCGTCGCATTTTCGTGCCGAGTCAAAGTCGATCAAAACTGCCTTTGATCCACGAATTAGGAAATTGAATCGATTTGTGTCGCCATGGCGCACACCTAATCGATGTAATTGGGACAGCGTCTGCTGGCAGGCTGGCAAATCGTTTGGACCAGCATGTCGAGCATTAGTGATGCGTTCCATTAGAAACCCAATCACCCGATTATCTTCAATTAAGTGACCCAAAAATCTTGGTCCGATCTCACAGCCATCGATCCATTCGTAGGCAATCGTCTCATTCTCGAGATATTGGATTTCCCAATGAAAGCGGGCAAACTTAGCAACGACAACTGTATCGAATTTCGGACATGTTATTTCGTAGATACCCGTTCGCAGCTTCTTTCCCACCGCAATGTCGAGATAATCGACGTCCGTTTCGTGCCATTTATATCGGACGCCTGGGAATTGAGTTCGGGCTACGTGCTTGAAGTATGGCTGATCACCTTTTGGGTCTCCAGCCACCAGTCCATCATTCCAATCTCCAGGAGGGAATTCCGGAAGAAGTGCGACTAGAGCTGGGCCGAAACACATATCCTCCGCGGTGTAGAGGCCAGATTCGATGGTGACATATTTGATGGATTGTCCATCGATCAGAAGGCGGAAGAAGCTTTGATCATCTTCATCAACCTCTGCTTGGAGTAATTCCACGTTTTGTCGTCTGCACATTCTTTTATTCTTGGGTGATGATCACGAACAGAAGAATTGTACCAAGGTAGACGACTGATTTGATGTATGCAGTTTTGCGGTGCTCGTGCGCGCTATTACTTCAGAACGCGCAAAGCGCAAAGCACTCTACAGGAAGGCGCCATGGTTGAGAAATTTGGAAGTGCAGGAATAAGCTGTCCAGATCCATCATTCACGTAATTATCTACAGCAATAACATAGGACAATTGACATCCTAACCGTGTCATAGATGGCCCCCGCGAGTTCACGACTTTTCAGATCCACCTTGAGCAGCTGCCGTTGGAAGTTTCACCGACCAAAGCAATGAAGAGCTTTGCAATTTCTCGAAGCTGGTCGTACTTGGTTATGCCTTCAATTTGCATACACGAGTGAAGTGAACGCGATTGGCCAGAAGACTAGTTAGTAACTGTAAGAAATACCTCGGCCCGCTGGTCGGAGCAAACCGAGCTGGTTCTACTAATTACCCCGTACATGTGCCCGATCCGTCATMCCAGCCACTCCCTCCAGACATGCGCAACTCAGTCGCGTGCTACATCCCCATAACAAGCACCAAGATATGTTCGTATAGCACCTTTCTTCTGTCCGTGGTGCCTAAATGATGAACTGACTCGATGATACCAGGTAGAAATGGAGTCACATCGACAAACACTCCGTGAACTCAAAGCAGACGTCCTGCGACCATCGAAATGGATCTCCTCATATGAGAACTTTGTGACCAAGAACGTCAACACTGTGAATCAAGTCGAATCGGCGCTGCGGTCGCTAACATATATCATTCCTGGTAAGCTGCCCGTCGCTATAAATCTATTGCATTCAAGGCTGACAATGAATGACAGGCCGATTTCGCGAATCGGAATTACCTTCAGAATGCGGTATGATCTATCAAGATACTCGATAAACTTGGCATACTAATTCTTGTATAGTGCACTCCGGCGTCCAACTCCTATCGCTATACCATGACTCCCTCGTCTCGCGCGTCATCTCCCAACTCCCCTCCACCATCCCACGACCCATCCCCTCCCCGCATGCGCGATACACAAAATACTGGACCACCAAATCGCCCCTATACCGCAAACTCGCCCTCGCGCTACAGATAATCCAATACACAGAATTACTATGGGAAATGACCGCGCGCCGCCGAGGCGAAAAAGTTCGCTGGCGGGTCATTGCGGCTATCGAGTTCGCGAAAGCGGTTTGTCGGTTGTTACTGTTGCGATTGACGAATTCGAGACCGTTGGTTAGTCCGCCTTTGCCGGAGAGGGAGACTGATCCTCGTGCCGCGGAGGCGGAGAAGGAGGCTGCTGCGGGAGATTGGAATGGGATGGATGAGCCAATTGAAGAGTCGTCGGTGTCTTCATCGTCAGAAATTAGCTGGACGATGCCCCGGACTGGGTTAACACTGCCGAGTCTACCAGATGCGAGCGACATATCAAGCTATCTCATCTCCAAAGTGCTTACAGCAGATGACGTCAAAGCTCCTGCGTCTCTGCTCCATCGCGTCTCAGGACAGGGCCAATTCGCGGAGATTCTCTATATACTGAGACCGGTCATATATGCACTAGCGATGCAGAGATGGTCCAAGAATAAGCGAAGCTGGAGTCCGTGGTTGATTGGGTTTGGTCTGGAGTATGGAAGTCGACAGCTTGCGAAGAGGGATCTTGCGGAACGCACTGCTGGCGGTCTGCGCGGGTTGACCGGCTTGGAGAGAGATGAGTTGAAGAAGAGAGGATGGGCGATGGGTTGGTGGATGATGCGTGGCGCATTTTATGAGAATATCACCAGGTATGTTTTCTTCTTACATTTCTGATCATATCGCTAACGCTTGTAGACCATGGATTGGAGGAATCGCCGACAAGCTCAAGGGCAAGCCTATTCTGGATATTGTTGGGGGATTACTGGATGACTATGAATATCTCTGGGACAACTATTATTTTTCGACCGCCAGCCTCTAAATTGGTTTTCATATTTGTCTCTCATTACCGTTATATACCTGTATTGTATCTTATGGCATTGGACTAATATTCGTCGGCGTTCATTCAGAGGACTGGTGATATCATACACAATCATTATGGAAGCTTCTTGACATCAAAAAGCAGTAACCCTTGTCCCATACCAATTCCCAAGATCCTCATTACCCCCTGACATCGTCGACCTCTGCGGCCCCGACAGAAAATCAGCGAGTCCAGCTCCCTCATCTTCGTCAGCAGGCCAATCCACTCTAATTGAATCCTTGCCCTCGAGCATCTCCTTTGCAGTACCCCAGCTGAATCTGCACTCGTTGCCCCAGCCGAACACAGAATCCATATTTTGCCGTAGCCAGTTTACGCATTTCGCGTCCGAGGGGTAGCCGCTCCCCCATCCTGGTTCTTCTGTTTTTGTCTCTGGTTCGTTCATATCTGTATCCTCCTCGACATTCTGTATCGGCTCTCGGTAGGAGGACTCGTAGCAGGTCTCCAGTGCAACGTCCCTCGTCACCTTGGCCACGACACTCGCCGCACTTACACACGGATACAATGAATCCGCCTTCTTCGCAACCGTTATACTTATCGTGGGAAACAATTTCTGTAACTTTGCCTGATACGTCGCTGGGTTTCCGATGGTATCAATATACACTTCCGTCACGTTGATATGCTTCTCGTTTAATACCCCCCGTATAATCTCGATCGTGGCATCCATCGCCTGCGCATTCAGATTGTAGGTGTTCATGCCCGGACGCATCATGCCGGCGGAAATATCTCGTGCAGAAAGTAATTTCACAGCCCAGCCACACGAATCATGTAACGACGCGCCAGGTGTACATATCGACTGCATTAATCGCGCGCGCACGACGGGAGTCAGAACTTTACTATCGTCGAAACTGTGCTCTTGCGTCAGGAGTGGTTGTTCGAGGTGTTTGGGGAGATAGAATGCGCTGTAGACCATAGGACCGAGTACAGGACCGCGGCCGGCTTCGTCGACGCCCAAGACGCATTCTGTGGGTTTTTTGGAGTCATTGGTCGTTATGGCTGTTGGGTCGATGGGTTGGATTGACTGTGGACATGGGGAGTAGACTGTGTATGATTGTCCGTGGAGGAGGGGAGTAGGGTTGATAGTGGGCGGGATGAAGGAGAGGGCACCGGTTGGGTCTGGCTCTTTGTTGGCGGAGGTTTTCGTTTTGTTGCTCGGTCGGCCCATTGTCGATTTCTTTCTGTATGAATGGAATATTGAAAATAAATCTGAAGCAGAGAAAAGAAGTCATATTGCTTAATTGGTCGAGGCGACGTGAACGCGTCGTGCCGGATTGGGTTTAGCGCATGCCCATGAGCTGTTGGCGCGTTCGCTTTCTTTATCGTACAATAATAGACGTTAATTGATGACCATTCGGACTTGACTATTCGCAAACATTCGAATTCTACGGATACTTGTGACTTAAAATTTTCAATAAACTTATCTACTAAAACACGATTTGACTGGCTGTTTGCAGAACATCAGCCATGGCTCCTCGGGGGTTTGCAAAAGCCCGCGACTATGATTACTCCAACGTCGGTAAACAGGGAAGGTAAACAGCCACCGCATGAACACTCCTTGAGCGCGAGACTGACTGCTTACAGGCGGACGGGTATCACTCTCAAAGAAGGCCGACGAGATGAACATGGAATGGAGGAATTAGACGGGGTATTCTCGTCGCCAGAAAAGTCGCCCGTGCGATTCACCGGAAACGACACAATGATGGGATCTGAGGGCATGTCTATAGACGAAGGTAGACTCGCGCATATTGTCAGTATACAAAGCAATAGACTGACTCAAGAAATGAAGATGACGGCCCCGGTCCGACCGATTTTCTCTCTCGTTCAGCCGCCCGACGCTCCCCATTCTTCCCACCGCCTGTCGCAAGATCGCCAATGAAGAGCGGCTTGAGCGGATCTCCGCGTCGAACACCAGGTTTGCGATCATCGCCTATCGCGCAAAACGATGTTCCTTCTAGCCCGACATCTGCCCGCCAGAGGAGGGGTAGGTTGAATGAGGATGCGGCCGAAACAAATTCCCGTCAACCACTCAATGATCGACGGCCAAACACAGCACCTATTGTAAATGGGTCGCGACAAAAAGGTGCCGTGAGCGCATATGCGAACGATGAAAATTTCCCTATCAATGAGGACGACGAAGATGAGGATGAGATCAATGACGTGAGCGTGTACCAGAASGAGCCAATAGAGGAGGACTTTGACGTACACGAAATTGCCGACGATGGCTACGGAGACGATGCCGATGAGATACCTGATGATACTACTAATATTCAGAATGAAGACCCTTCAGAAGAAGAACCATCGCCCGTCCAAGCAGCTAGTTTGCGCACGAAGAAGCGAAAAGCCCCGGCTACGACCGAGGACGTGGATTCGCCAGTCGAGGATATATCTCAGAATCTGCCCAAGAAGAAACGCGCGGGACGGCCTCCAAAGGCGCAAACCCAGAAAGCCACCCAAGAGAAGACGACAGAACGACCGGTGAAGAAAGCTAAAACATCTAAACCACAACCGGCTAAAGAAAGGGAACCCCTGGACCCGGAATTGGAACAAGTTGTGGAAAATCATGTAAAACGCACGGGACCCTTGAAAGGTAGGAGTCTGTATATCTTGAAGCGAGAAGTGCCAAACGAGCAGCAAGCAGCACATACTCGTTCAGGCAGAGTATCCGTGCGACCATTGGCGTATTGGCGCAACGAGCGATGTGTTTATGGCGATGGAGAAGCAGACCTTGGACAGCGATATCCCTTATCCACAATCAAGGAGATTATTCGCGCGGAAGACATTGAGCCAGAGAAGAAAGGAGGCAAGAAGCGCAAGGGAGGCAAGAAATCCAAGTCGAAGAAACAGGAGGAAGATTCGGATGACGATGACGATGAGAGGGATAAGTGGGAGGTCGAAGATGGGGTTTTACATGGATATATCAAGAAGTGGGATACGGATAACCAGGTTGCTTCGAGCGAAGAGGAGGTAACAGGTACGTCTTTTGCATTCATATGTGCATTGATGAAGGAAGCAAGATTTACTGACGATATAGAAATCGCATACGCGCCCACTGGCGTTGAGACGCGAGACGTCAAGGATTCCACATTCCGTGTCGCCAAACTACTCAGTCAACCATTCTTTGGCAGTGGAATAGTCGAACTTCCAGCGAAAGGAGTCAAGAAGCCCAAGAACTCGAAACGAATGCACATGGTGTTCTACGTTTGTTGGGGAAGAGTGCAAGTTGATATCAACGGGGTGCAGTTCACCGCGGGCAAGGGATGTATATTCCAAGTCCCTCGAGGTAATCTTTCTCTCCCTTGAAATGATATCGAGCAGATATTGATTGATGCAGGCAATCATTATAGCTTCGCCAATATAACCCCCAAAGAAGCTCGGCTATTCTTTACCCAAGCCTTCATGCCCAATGGAAGTGACAACGATAATGATAACGAACCGGCATCATCCTCGAAACGAGCCGCAACAAATGAACCTGAGCCTGGGCCTGAAGTCGAAGATCAAGAAGCCGAGAGTAGCAAAGCTCCTGCCAAGGGTAAAGGTCGCGGTCGCGGACGGAAAGCTGTCAAGTAATGGAAGTTGATTAATAAGTTTTGTATTGTGTATAGGTACCTACCTCTGACCTCTTTGAGTACGACGCTTGATTCGATGACTACCCCTGTATATGAGCCTGTTTTGTCTAGCCAGTATTACTATGTAGCGACATTAATGATTGAGCACTGGATACTTTTTTTTTCTTTCTGTGAGGGGTACCTTCCCCACTGACATCACTGGAAAAGGAGGGCAGGTCAACCCGCGAGATTCATACTACGTTACATCCATCCATCCATTGAAAGCTTGAAATTACATCCTGAAGTGGACGGAAACCGAGTCTTGATATTTGACTTTGTGTATATAAAGGAGCTGTGCCCATACGTACATACTCCTCAAACAACACTTGACATATATTCATACCACATAAAAGCAACAAGATGGTTTACAACGCACGTTGGGGTATTCTAGGTTCGTTTCCATCCATATCAATCGCCTAGCCTGGAATCCTACTAACTCGTGAAAAGCTACCGGAGGCATTGCTAAAAGTGAGTACATCACCACCGTACCCTGACTGACAAGATACCTCGACAAAATACTAAGATCCCATACAGCCTTCGTAAAAGACCTCCTCAAAGACGCCTCAGCCCGCAATGCCTCCGACATAAGTCACACCGTCACCGCAGTCGCAAGCTCCTCGTCCGCCAGCCGCGCACAAGACTTCATCACCGAGCTCTCCATCCCCGGCAGTCCCAAAGCCTACGGATCATACGACGAGCTGGTCAATGATCCCAACGTAGACGTCATCTACGTCGCGACCCCCCATTCGCATCACTACCAAAACGCGCGTCTGGCGCTGGAGGCGGGTAAAAATGTGCTGTGCGAAAAGGCGTTTACCGTTAATGCGGCGCAGACGAAGATACTCGTTGATCTCGCCAAGGCTAAAGGATTGTTTTTGATGGAGGCTGTGTGGACGAGATATTTCCCTTTGAGCGTTCAAGTGCGCGATATTATCCAAAAGGAGGAGGAGATTGGGGAGGTGGTTCGCGTGCAGGCAGATTTGAGTATAGGAAACCCCGACGGATTCGATGTTGCGAGTCGCATGGTGAATTTGGATCTTGCGGGTGGTGCTTTACTCGATTGTACGTCTTCTTCCTCTTGCCTCGTAAGGAAAGGTTGCTGACGACGTGATAGTGGGAATTTACTCCCTCACATGGGTCTTTCAGACCCTTTACCACACTCTTCCCCCTTCCCAACGCAAACCCCCTTCTTCAATTCAATCTTCCATGGTGAAATATCCCGCCACTGGCGCAGATGAAGATACCACCATCCTTCTCACCTTCCCCACAACGACACCAAACAACAACAGACGCACTTCTCATGCCGTCGCCATGACCGCTTTTGCAGTTGATTCTCACCCCAAGGGCACACCCTCGGTGCGCATTCAGGGCACGAAAGGTGAGATTCAAATCATTGGTCCTGCGTTTCGGCCGGTGAAGTATCGCGTTGTCCCGACGGATGAGTCCAAGCAGATTCGAGAGGTGGAGCCCGAGTTTCCTGCTGGTGGGCACGGAATGTACTGGGAGGCAGATGAAGTGGCGCGCTGTCTGAGAGATGGAAAGCTAGAGAGTGAGGGCATGCCGTGGGAGGAGAGTATTGTGATTATGGAGGTTATGGATGAGGTCAGGAAGCAGAATGGGCTGGTCTATCCGGAGAAGATTGAGAGTGTTGAGTATCCTGTTGCCTTGTAATTTTTTAATCTACTCTGATGGAGGAAGAAAAGAAGAACATATGAATCATTGACATCCAACGCAAGAAACACTGTAAATACTATACAAATAGAAGCAAGGCAGACTCCATTGCTTCACAACTGCTCATATCACTGGTATTCGCCATTGACATCCCAAAGATAGATAAACGCAGGTAATACAGGACTTGATCTTTCTTGCATTATTAGACAGTCATAAGCACATTCATCACAGCCCGAACATGTGATGCCATGAACAGATAAGAAAATCTATCGTCGTTCGCAACTTTTGTCGTTCCACCTTGTATATGCGTCTCGCCGAATCTTTGTTTTTTTTCCCAAACATATACTTGACGATTATTTGGACAAACCAACCTTGCTCAAGATGCTGGAGCTGGGCTGGAAAACACCGAGAAGACTCTTCCAGACCTGGCCGGGTTCCTGGCTGGCGTCGATACCGCGCCAGATGCCAGTCTTCTTGTAGTAGTCGACAACGGGGGCGGTCTGGGCATGGTAGGTGGCCAATCGCTTCTCCAAGGTCGCGGCGTTGTCGTCGGAGCGCTGAATCAAGGGCTCGCCGGTGATGTCGTCCGTCATGTCCTTCTTGGGCGGGTTGAAGATCTTGTGATATGAGCGTCCAGAGGCAGGGTGTACCAATCGGCCAGTGATACGGGCAACGAGGAGAGCGTCGTCAATTTGCAGTTCAACGGCGTGTTGAAGCTTCTCACTGCGCGCGGCAAGCATGTCGTCTAGGCGCTCGGCTTGGGCCACGGTACGGGGGAAACCGTCAAGGATGAATCTGTTCGCGTCAGTGCGTACTCATATCAAATCATGAACCTGTCACGTCCATACCCGTTCTGGCACTCCGAGTTGGTCTCGAGCTCGCTCTTGATCATGTTGACCATGATCTCGTCGCTGACCAAGCCGCCCTGGTCCATGATCTTCTTCGCTTCCTTGCCCAACGGCGTTTTCTTGGCAACCTGGGATCGCAGCATGTCACCGGTGGCCTACCGGAAAAGGTGGTTAGAAAACTTTGATGCGGAAAAGTAACGGATATTAATTGCGACTCACCAAGTGGCACACGCAGTACTTCTCCTTCAGACGAGGAGCCTGAGTTCCCTTGCCTATTTAAACACAATCGCGGGTCAATCATCAGGACTCATCGGCCACATGTCCGAGTTGAGTGCTAACTTACCAGCACCAGGAGGACCGATCAAGATAATGCGGAATTGCTCAGCGAGCGATTTCGAGCTGGAAGCCGGGCTGCCATGGACGAGGCGACCCTCAAGATCGGCAACGCGCGACTCAAGCTTGTGAATGATGTCCTTGAGACCGTCGACGGTCTCCTGGGTGATGGGTGCCATTGTATGGTTATCCGTAGGGGAAAAATCGAGAGCACTAACCGCGATGGGAGTCTCTCTGGACGGATGAGGTAGAGAAAAGAAAAGAGAAATGGGGGATCGAGAGAAGTTGACTTGATCAAGCTCTGATGACGGAGACGGAAGAAGAGAAGAGGAAGCAGCACGAGAGAAGACGGGAAGACCGACCTCGGGATAGCCTGGCAGACTAATTCGACCTGCCTGTCCACAGTAGTGTCCTGCGTCTAGCTTGTTGGCTCCGCACGCCCGAAGTGACGTTTTGGCTTGTTTTACTTGGTCTAGATTTACTATTTACTGTTGGATATGTGGTTAGATCTTTGGAACTCCTTGATTCAATTGCTTTATCAAAGCTTTGCGCAAGGATTTTCGTTATTTACCCGGATATCTACCTGCGGATGCAACTCGGTCATTTGCCGTGGGATATCGATCTGACGGTTGACAGCTGATATGGTAAGTATTGATTATGTATTCTTGAAGCAAAGACAGGATTGTCGCAGAAATTCAAGAGTAGGATTTCGAGCAGACTCTTCTTGATTGTAGGACCTCAAGAAAGTAGAGATCATGGTGAAATGAACGCACGGCGAGAAGTAGGTCGCTGCCTCAGGCACCAAGCGTAATTAGCAGTAAACAGCTTAGCTTAGTTAGCAGAGGTAGCTTCCTCTTTCATCATCCATCTATCTCTCTACACCACTCTGTACTACCTACAGCTCCATTTACACCTCTCCGCATCGCTCTACTGAAACTGCTATATCATCCAAACAGCGTCTGTCACTAGATTTATCGTCATCGCCGCACATCCTCGTCCCACTCATCACAATGCCGGCCACCACGGCAGAGACTCTGTCCATCGTGACTCGCACAGTCTCCGTGGCACCCCTCGTTCTCCTCTCTGCAGCAGATCACTACGGTCGAACTGCCAAAGGAACCCGGAAGCGTGTCGTCGGGGTGTTGTTGGGACAGAACGATGGCACAAACGTGAGGGTATCCAACAGCTTTGCAGGTATGACCAAGCTCGTATCGATTTCGTTTCAATTCGCTAACGTTTGTCTGTGTAGTCCCCTTCGAGGAAGACGAAAAAGACCCCACTGTCTGGTTTTTGGATCACAACTTTGTCGAATCGATGAACGACATGTTCAAGAAGATCAACGCCCGGGAGAAGCTTATAGGATGGTACCACTCCGGGCCGAAGCTGCGTGCAGCCGATCTAGAGATCAACGAGTTATTCAAGCGATACACACCCAACCCGCTGCTTGTGATTATCGATGTTCAGCCAAAGGAAGTTGGCGTGCCAACGGATGCATACTTTGCGGTGGAAGAAATCAAGGATGTATGTAATCGCATACCCATCAGCAGTCCGGTCGATGCTAATTGTACACAGGACGGCACTACGACGTCGAAAACATTCGTGCATACACCTTCTATAATCGAGGCTGAGGAGGCCGAAGAAATCGGAGTGGAACATCTCTTGCGCGATGTATGCTCACCACACCACTGTCTAGGATCATGCTAATGGTGATAGATCCGCGATGTCGCAGTCGGCACGCTCAGCAACAGAATAACAGGACAACTCCAATCCTTACAAGGCCTCCACCTCCGCCTACGAGATATCGGACAATACTTGCAAAAAGTCCTCGACCACGAGCTCCCCATCAACCACGCCATCTTGGGTAATCTCCAAGACATCTTCAACCTTCTCCCCAACCTGTCAACCCCGAAATCCGCCAACGAGGCGAACGGCACCGAATCCGATATCGAGAATAGCGAGCTTGTTCGCGCCATGAGCGTCAAGACCAACGATCAACTGATGGCAATCTACCTCAGCAGCTTGATTCGCGCCATCACGGCATTCCACGATCTGATCGAGAACAAGATCCAGAATCGCCAGCAACAGGAAGAACTCGAAGGAAAGAAAGAAGAAGAAGTAGCGACAGCGGCAGCTAAGAAGGACGGCGCATCTACATCTGCGACCAACGGCGAGCACGCAAAGGATGAAAAGGACACAAGCAAGGAGAAGAATTCGAAGAGGGGGTCATAATTTTGTTGTTACTTGTGTATCGTAGGAATAATACTAGACCAGTTTCCTCGTCATCGTACAATCAGAAACGATATATCATGCAGCACACCACCCAGCGACCTCATTCGCCCTATCAATATCCGCACTATCAACCTGATACGTTAAACACCTCCCCCCAAATAAATTCGGACATTTAGCAACCAGCATACAAGCCAGTATATGTTTACAAACAGGCACCGCCCGATCATCGTAGGACGCTTCGCGGTTCCGTAATGTGCCTCCAAACCAGGCTTCTTCCTCCTCGCTTTGGCCGTTGAAAATATCAACCTCCACATCGTCATCATCTTTTGGTGTTGAGGAGGACAATGATGCCGGGAAACAGTTCAGCACAAACGCTGGACAGGAGCAGTTCCATGTCTTGAGGTGGACGTGATATGCCTTTCGTACTCCTCCGGAGTCTCGGTCATGGTTGGAGGTTGACTGCACGATGAATATCAACGTATCCTGATCCGCATCTCCGAGGTTCAGATTATTGGCGCGATTATTCGGGTGGGTATATCGCGTAACGAACCCTTTGTCCAATATATCAAGCGCAAGTAGCAGCTCATTAGGGAAGAGGCAGTGTAGCGTTAATAGCAGGTTTTTGAGTTGAGTTGTATTTTTCGCGGAGAGGTTGGTGAATATATTATTTCTGCTAGGCTGTTGATGTTGGTGATGATGTTGGGGGTTGAGGTTGAGGTTGAGGTTGTCGTTCTCTGATGGAGCAGGTGGTGGAGAGATTTTGGAGAGTTGGGCGAGGAGGGTTGTTAATATGGTATTTATTGACATGTTTGTTATATCAAGAGTTATTTTTATGCCAAATAGTTCAGGAGACTTGGTATCTCTCAGGGAGCACTTAAGGATTGTGGTGATGCTTTGCTGTGTGGTGCATGGCTCTTGCTGAGGTGAAGTTTCGTAGGGTTATCCGTTGGTGGATGATTTATTTCTACCAACTACACGACAGCCAAATACACAATTATACATGACAATCCGACAGCTAGCATCAATAAAAAACATTAAAAATGTACTAAAATCGACATAGGCGTCCAGCACCAAACTCTTACAAAACTCAAAAACGTCCACATATACCCAACTCCAAATCCAACTGTTCCACTTCATTCTCCAACTCACTTCTTGCGTCGAGCCTTGCTTTTCATTTGTGTCTTGCCAGGCGCGGCTGACTTGGTGGTTTTAGCTCTTTTCGATGCCGGCTTAGAAGTTGCAGTCTGCTCAGTTTCAACTTTATCCACATCTGGAATCTCGTCACGACCCCTTTTTGCGCGGGCTCTGCTTCTTGTCTCCCTACCGCCGTATCCTGTAGAGGGCTCAACGACAGTTTCGGCTCTTTTGGTTGATGACGCCGGTTCTTCCGCCTTCTCATCCTCATGGTCGTCTGAAGCGTCATTTTTGGTCTTGTTTGTGCCTTTGCTTTTCGTCGCCTTTCTCTTGGGTTGCGTGGAAGATTTAGCCTCAGTCTTGGCTCTTTTAGATGCTGGGACAGATGTCAATTTTTCTTCTTCATCCAATGCCTTATCATGGGCTCTCTTTATAGCTTTGCCTTTTGCCTGTTTTTTCCTGGGTTGCACGGAAGGCTCGACCTCAGTTCTGACTATTTCAGATGTTGACTGTAAACTTGTCGTCTGCTCATTTTCATCTTTGACCCGGTGTTGATTATGGGTACTCTTTTCAGTCTGTGCTCTGTTTCCTGCGTTCGTAGTATCAGGTTTGGTGGTAGATAATTCCGGATGTGCTTCAGCTTCAACAGCTTGTTCGGTCGATAAATCTGACGGCAACGGCTGCTCTGCTTGACCGGGCTCTGAAGGTGAAGAGATATCTAATAATGAAAAAGCTTCAAGCTCAGCATTCTGTTCCACTGGCAGTTCTGTCGATAATGGCTGCTGTGCTTGACCGTTTTCTGAAGGTGAAGAGATATCTAATTCTGGAATTGATTCAACTTTAACAGCCTGTTCGGTCGGTAGATCTGACGGCAACAGCTGCTCTGCTTTCCCAGTTTCTGAAGGTGAAGAGATATTTAATTCTGGAATTGATTCAAGCTCAGCATTCTGTTCCACTGGCAGTTCTATCGGTAACGGCTGCCGTGCTTGACCGTTTTCTGAAGGTGAAGAAATATCTAATAATGAATTTGTTTCAACTTCAACAGCCTGTTCGGTTGGTAAATCTGTCGGCAGTGGTTGCTGTGCTTGACCAGTTTGTAATTTCGAATCACTCGTATCTCTTTCGGATACATTGTCTGTAATTCTTTGTGTTTCGCCTACTGTCTGTCTAGCAGCAGTTGTAGAGGTAGATGAATCCGGATTTGCTTCAGCTTCAACACCCTTTTCTGTCGATAAATCTGTCGGCAACGGCTGCTCTGCTTGACCGGGCTCTGAAGGTGAAGAGATATCTAATAATGAATTTGCTTCAATCTCAACATTCTGTTCCGCCGGCAGCGGCTGCTCTGCTTGACCGGGCTCTGAAGGTGAAGAGATATCTAATAATGAATTTRCTTCAACCTCAACATTCTGTTCCGCCGGCAGTCCCGCTTGCATTGGTTGCTCTGCTTGAGCATTTCGTGTCTCCAACTCACTTGGAATCCCCTGGGATTGTTCATCGTTTGCAGCTCCTTGTGACTCGCTTGGTGTCTGTCCCGAGTCAGACGCGAAACCGAATAGGTCTTGATCTCCAACACTCTCTCCTTCTGGCGTAAAATACTCTTCTTGATCATCTGCAGCCGCAGACTCTTCTGGCTCTGTCTCTGGCTCTGGCTCTGGCTCCCCAGACTCTTCAAGAGACTGCTGGTCTTGCAGTGCAATTACAGATGATGGAAATGTAATTTTTGCCAGCAGTTGAACAGGCACTTGAAAAAGCTTTCGGTACATCACCATAAAAATCCGCCAATCACGCTTTAGCATATCCTCAATCTTGTCATCCAATCCTCTTCGGGTGCATCGCACAGTGACTTCGAATGGCGTGCCGTCGTTTTTTACCTCGTAGCCTTCTTCTGGAGGCTCGTAATCATCGCTATCCTCTTTGAAGATATAGTCGTTGAAGTATAACCAGCGCCCCGTTTGCGGCTGCTCAAACGCACACACATAATGCCCTGTAAAGCCGGTGTCTCCTTTACGGAGAATGACGCCATACAAGTGATAGAAGGTCCAATTGACGGTTTTTGGATCCAAAGATCTATCAGGGTAACTTGAAACTGCCAATGAATGCTCTAATCTTGTAACCTTTCCACTCACGTGGCCCACCATCTCTCCATTCGCTGACTCCACGAGAAATTGATATGGCTTGCAATGAATGACAAGGATAGGCGGCGCAGCACGAAGACCGTAGAAAAAATCATGCACCGGTCTCGGATCGCCGTCGGTTGTTGGTTTTCTCTTTTTCGAAGGGCAACCAGCATTATTACATGCCGCTTTCTCGGACTTGATGAAGCGAAGAGTATGACACAGTGGCTGGKATTCAATGTCTTTGCGGGAGATTGTTCCTTGCAAGAAGAAACCTTGCTCGAAATCTTGCGCTGAATCTTGAGTGTGAAATGAACATTCCCTACATTTCTTGACGCATTGCTTTTGCACCTGAATGAGCGGAGCCCACTGGTTGGCACTACTTGATCTTAGTACGTGGAAACCTCGCTGACTGCATCAATCGAAACACCCACCCAGTACTGATTATATAGCCTAGTAGACTGTCCAAATACTCTTCAGCATCATTCTGTCGGTTTAAATCAATCAATCCGGGATTGTGAGTCTGCTTCCAAAATTTATCCACATCTTGGTTAAATGTCGTATCGTAATCTCGATCACTGGCCCAGAATCTTCTGGCAAGCTCACGCAGTGCACAGAGTGGACAAAGATCGCCATCATGCTTCTCATGGTTGTCGTCGATCCAGTTCAGCAGCAGGGGTGTATGAAACAACCAGATGAATATGGCATTTCGATAACACTTAAGTCCTGGACGGTTTTCGAGTGGCCATGGTTCAACTGATATTGCTGGATCTGTGGGATTTCGCAAGTGGAAATCCAGATTCTCCTGAGATTGTATCAGCTCTTTGCCTATACCTGATGATCCAGCAAGTCAATACATACTTCAGCCGCCATTTACGCGTGATCCTTCCCAGGTGTCGAGACTATTCCCATCTGATCTCCTGCATGTGGACTGCAACAGGTCTGAGGAAACTGTCTCGACATCGCCTTTGAGGACGAGAAAGGTTACATATGTACTTTCCCCCCTGCAGGCGAGACTGAAGAACTTCATTTGCGTTGCGTTGCGTTGTTCTGTCCATTCTTTCAGAAGCAGCATCATGTCTGTGGCGTATCTGAAGATGAAACAAGATGGAGGAAAAGAAGTGGTGGTCAAGTGTTGAAGATAAAACAAGGAGGAGGCAGCCATAGCTCCTTCCTTCATTGACTTCTTTTATTTCTTGTCATCCCAGATACAATCAACAACAAAGATCATTTCATCACCTCTTCCCACTTGGTGCCATCCGAAAAAGTCTTTGCTTTGTTCCAAGCAACCACGCATGGTATTTTTGGATGTGAGGTGTCGGCAATGCCATGAAATCTGCACACAGACAAGGCGGCTCTGACAATGAACCATTCTAGTCGAAACTGAGCTGTTCAAATATCAAACAATGCGTATAAGTCTCTTTCATGTTGATATGACGTCAAATCGTAGATAGCAAAAGCTCTATGAAACCTCCATGTTGCTCAGTGTCCTCCCAGAAATAAATGGTCAAGATGTGAGTGTGATCCACCTTGCGCCAACCCTAAGATCACATGTGCACGTTAGCCCTGGATCATATGAGGTAGCACCCATGAAGTACTGATATTAAGTATTCTAGTTTTCTAGATGATTATCTAGATGTTTTTCCGATCATGATAAGTATAAGGTGGGCCGGTTAGGGTACCGGGCCGGGTTCTCTCACCACTAACAGCTAAGTAACTAACTACACCTACTTGATATTAGTAATCATTTAGAATTATTTCTCTCGTTTTAATTTTCGTCTCGATATCCATTGACACTATCTCATCATTCAGACTCGGACAGATTAGTTATTGTAATATTGGTCATAGCAATGGCGACGGCCACTATCACAACCGCCATTGAGCTTGAATCGCACCCGGACAATGTCGCCAGAACGACAGCTGCCGCTGTCCACAGTACCAGTAGTAATTACTCCACAGAACGTCGCGAAGATGACGATGTCATGCAAGCATCGCTCGCCGCAGACTCCGAAGTCCCTGATGGCGGCTATGGGTGGGTTGTAATCTTTTCGTGCGCAGTGCTCTGCTTCTGGTTCGTCGGCACAACGTATTGTTGGGGCGTTTTCCAAGCAGCGCTGGTAGAACAGGGAGTCGGCTCAGCTTCGACGCTGGCTTTTGTGGGATCGCTTACGACTGCTTGTATCTCGTTCATGGCTGTGCTCAATGCCCGAGTGGTGCGCAAATTAGGCACGCGGTTGAGCGGAATGCTTGGTATCTCGTTGTTTGGAGTCGGTGAAGTGATGGCTGGATTTACGACGGGGAATGTGGTTGGGCTGTTCATGACGATTGGGCTGGTCATGGGCTTGGGAGCGAGGTGTGTATCTCTATACAGGGCATGAGAGAAAACATAGCTAATTGAACATGTCAGCCTGCTCTTTATGGTAAGTCAAGCTTCACCAAAAAGAAAGCATCATTCCTATTAAATAAACATCAATAGGTCGTGTCTGTTACACCAGCTCAGTATTTCAAGACCAAAAGAGGAATCGCCAACGGAATCGTCTTCTCAGGGGGCGGGCTTGGTGGTGCCATTACCAGTTTCGTGACGAACGGTCTCCTGCAGGCTCTTGGTGTAGCGTGGGCATTCCGTGTGCTCGGATTCATTACGCTGGCCACAGGCTTGCCAGCAGCCTATCTCATCAAAGAGCGCGTACCGGTTCGACCGACCTCCTTCGTTGAATGGCGTCTGTTCCGTGACTACCGGTTTATACTTATCTTCCTAGGAGGCGCACTTGCGACGTTTCCCCTTTTCGTGCCCCCGTTCTTTCTGCCTCTCTACACGAACTCGCTAAACATGACCCCCAGTGCAGGTGCAGGTCTGGTAGCTGCCTTCAACTTCTCATCAGCTATTGGCCGTTTGCTTTGTGGTTTCAGCTCGGACAGAATTGGACCGTTGAATACAGTGTTTTCGTCCTTGTTGCTAAGTGCCTTGAGTGCGTTGGTGCTCTGGCCAGTCTCTACTTCCTTGGGGCCACTCATCGTCTTTGTGATCGTCAACGGCATGGCTAATGGCGGCTTTTTCGCTACCATGCCAACCGTTGTGGGCAACGTGTTTGGGTCGGCAAGGGTGTCTGTGGCTATGGGTATGGTGGTTACGGGCTGGGGCGGTGGCTATCTCTTGGTAAGTTGAGACCAACGTACTGGAAGGTACAGAGTTGTGTTTATTGACCATTCTCTGTAGGGGGCCCCCATTGCAGGATATTTACTGAATGCTGGCGGAGGCGTAAAAGGGGGATTTGACGCTTTTCATCCTGCAATCTATTACGCTGGCTCGATGGCTCTTGGTTCAGCAAGCTTGATGTTGATGGCACGTTTAGGAATTGACCGGAGATTGATGCAGCGGATTTGAACATCAGCGATATATCGTTGAGTTTACCATCCAGTGCATATGCGCAGCCAGTTACGGCTATCATTGTATTAGTGTATATATGTAGTATAGAATCTAGAAGTCGAGCGAACATGTTTTTATTCCTCTCTTTGAGTCACAAAAGAGGCCATCAATAGCAGCTGAGTATGGCTGCATATCCAGTCCAGCATTCTCGGACTATATGTTACATTCGCTCAAAATCTCATTCACCAACTGGACACAATTGCCAGTTAGAGTCATGAACGGTGCCATATGACTGCTACTCGGAATTTCCTTCACAATCCATTCCTTGCCAGTTCCTTCTATCATTTGGTACTGAGCAGCCTTGGGAACAGCTCGACCCTCCCCAGTGACGATGTATGCACAGCGACCGTCAAAGGCCGATTCAGTCCAAGCCGAGGAGGGCTGCTCCGACATGAACGCCAAGTTTGAATGTGGTTTCAATTGTGCGGCCATTTGCTCTGCGAGGGCTGGCTCAACATCTGCAGCAAATATTTCAATTGCATTGTCTGGAACATTTAGACCTTTTTCGGGCTGCGGCCATTGAAATTCTTAGTTATCGAAGGACTTAACGCGGAGAGATGTTACATCTACAACCCACCTGATTAAGCAGAATCCAATCCGGAAGCTTTCCTCCTTGCAAACCAGCACAGCTCAGGCCCTCCGGCACTAGAAATGCACCAATACAGACCAATGCCAATATACCTCCTTTTTGACCGTTTCGTTCGCGGTCCGTCTTGGAATAGCCCCTTACTGCCGATGCGCTTGGCAAAGAAGCATACGAGTGCATTAGCACAACGATGTCTTTGCCTTGGTTCTCGATTAGTGGCTTGATAGCTTTCTCGCGGATAGTTGTAGCATCCTTTTGGCAATCGGCGCTCGCGGAATCGCAGGAGGGATACGAGATATAGCAAACGGGGTATCCTGCTTGCTCCAACGCTTGAAGGTAAGAGGCATAAGTAGGCTGAGGTAGCCAGGCTCCTGGCAGGAAAACGATAGTTGGTTTGGACATGGTCTATAGACAGTGGACAGGGAGAACCTTACGTTTTACGCTGAGTGAAGAAGGAAATAATGAGTCACGAACAGATGTATCCGGATTTTTTTATGTTGGTTGTTGGTACATGTATGCCCCGCCAGCCAAACCAACATTACATGGTGACAACATAATGCGAACATCCCCAACCTCTATATACGAGTTCTTTTTTTCCATAATTGGTAATTTGAAAATTCACACTGCGCATCCAATCATCTGAATTAGATAGATGCGGGATTGACATCGGCTTKTGCACGAAAGCGCTGCAATGTCAGAAGGCTGAAAATAGAAGTATGTAACCATTTGGATAAGCTGTGTAATTTGTGTTGACACTTTTCAGTGTCTCGACCAGTTCGTGCAGCTTGCATAGTCACATATCCATATTAGTTTGAAGCGAGGAAGATAAATGGAGAAGGGCGATAATTGAGCGCCGGCTTCGAGTTGTCCCAATTATTAGGGCTAGATGTTAAGGTTCGCTCTTACCAGCTACTTATAGGCCATACAATGGCCAAGATATTTACTAAAATGGCTTTGCTGTTGGAAATCCTTATAGAGAATCGTGGCTATAGCTGGTACCAGTAGCAAATAATTCTACAAACAATCTTATAGGTCTTGATGTTTCCATCATACTCTTTACACATTTCCAAGCATACTAATCAGCCCTAACAGCTCTGTATGCCATCAAAAACAACCTTTTAACAGAATACCATAAGAACATCAAAGGATTGTTACGTTGCGTGTACTTTAGCCGAGTTCTGATCATACGACATAAAAACGATAAATCGGGCCTGATGCCAATGGCGCAACTCAGCCCCAGCAGCTGTATTCGCAGGGATAACCATGTGTTCTCTCGTACAAGACACCATTGAAAACAAATAGCCAAAAAAGGCCATTACATCATATCATATGCTATGCACAACGATCTTTTACTCCGGCAGCTAGCAGCCCAATTGAGTGGCTATGCTTGGGTAGTGCCCTAAGATCTACAAAGCCGATCTTCCCTTGCACCGATCCTATTGGCCTGGACTCAAGTACAATCTGACGTCGCCTAACTATCTGCAGTAAGAAAGCCAAGAATAGGTGAATCAGAATTCAACGTGTTTGTGTTGTTCCTTTTTCATCCGAGCCTTACGGGGAGGACCATGTCCAATGATGTGGAATGCAGCGAGGTATGTCTCAGTATACCCGACGGATCATTACTGGAATGATAGCTAGACGACTGGGATTGACTCAGTTATGTTTATGCCGTATGTTTATGCCAGTATAATCATATCATACTTCCTACTACGGAGTACGTACGTAGTACATAAAAAGCAATGATGCAGTTTAATTTAAATATGTTGATCATTGTCTGTTCCTCTTTTGCTTTAACTCATTATGCATTCTGCCCGATAACCTTCAATCTTCAACTTCAATAACTCAATACTCCCATTACATCAATCAATTCTCGAACATATCCAATTGGTTCACCCAACTGTCGCTGCATTAGACACAATAAATCAAAAACATGCAATTCAAATCCACCGCCCTTATGGCTCTGGTCACCCTCACCACAGCAAGCCCTATCACCAAAAGAACCACAGACACAGTGACGGACAGCTGGCCTGTCTCGGGCTTCAGTGTCGGCTGCTCTCCTGCCGCATGCGTCTACAAATTCGCCGTAACCCGCGCCGCCGGCCCTTACAATCCAGGCTTTAACACAACCTGCGAAGGCAACGACTACACATCCGACTGGCAATCGTGCGGCGATTCCTCTGTCTCGGCAAAGATTGTGCCCAAGACAAGCCCGTTCTGGGAGGTGGATGTTATGCATACATATGACACGGTCAACAAGGAAGGGTGGGCGCAGGCGTTGGCCAATGCGACGGTGGAGGATACAGTGTCCAACTTTATTGTGACGATTTATCAGACTGAGAGTGTTGAGTAATCGGATGCGTCTGTTGGAAATGCTTTTTTTTGTGATACCATTTCCTTTTTTGGGCTCGTTCTGGCGATATCTTGGTGTTATGATGTGACGGTCGACCCTGTACAATATGTTGATTCCCAAATATAACGATTTGCTTCGAATGTTATCTTGTGCAATTTATTATCATCAGATTCTTCTAAATTATGTACGGCGCAGCCTGTAGAACATTAGACTGATAAATCGGCAATTGTTTCTTAACATACCAATATTAAATCTCCTCCATATCATCGTCCAACTCCAGATCCAAATCCAACGGCGGAAAATCACCTACTTCCACCTTCTCCGGCTTCACAAAGACCCCTCTGTTATTACCCGCACATTCGAAATATCTCTTCCCAGCTATGCTTCCATCATTTTTGCCCGTGGGCTCATCCAGCTCAATGCCAACCCAAAACGGTTCAAGAGGGTGACCATCCTCGGTTGTGAATTTCTTGTCTTTGAGCGGAGCAAATGGGATTTCAGCAACTGGGCCGATGTATCGAATGGTACCGCGACGGATATGTGGTGGTGAAGAGGGGAGAATGATTGCTCGAGCAAGGAGTTTTATATCTGTGCCGTTAGAACATAGTGCCGCTCTGTAGGACTGCATGAGACATACCTTTCTTCTCAATTGCTTCAATATCCTTTGCTACCTGCTGATGCAAGAGGTCCTCCGGCGATTGCGCGTTCGGATCGAATCTGCCTAGCTTTTGAGACTTCTTCCAAGCAAGCACCGAATTATTCAAGGATTCGTATTTCTCGGCGGGKATTTCATATTTCTCGACAGATGACAAATCCGTAAAATTGAGTCTTGCTGCGACTGGGCGTGTATCATGGACCTATCATAAGTTAGTTGACCCCTGGCCATCGCAAGTCTCTGCTCAGAAAACAAACCTCAATTTCACATCCCCTCACCAATCCCCACTCGCCAATCAATCTGTCTTCCCCTTCAATCCACTGATCCGGTCGTCCTGGAGACTTGAATAACAGTCGTTGACTACCGGGCGGAACACCGGTCATAGTCTCCAGCTTTCCCTTGAGTTGAGATATGCTCCATGACGGTGTGATACGTCGCTCTGTAGCTAGCGATGGTTCATTCGACGAGGATTGTGTTGCTGATGCTGTTGAGATGATGACGGACACGTCCGCAGGGGTTGCTTGGAAGGACATTTTTTCGTTCTTGTGTTATCATGTGAGGTACGTAGATCAATCGATATAAGAGATATCCGTATGACAGGTAGAACGAGAAATAAAAGCAGTTGGAAGAAAAAGATCCCCTGAACCAAGTATTTGGTGGTGCGGGGAGGGAGCATGTGGGGTTGCGTCGTATCAGTTCCATCCTCCGTTGTCAGTCTTTTTTTTTCTTCGATCTACATCTTCTACCTCGCTGCACTCTCTGCCACTTCTCAACAATGGCTACGACAGGTGAATCGCAAGTCAGCCATGACACAGCCGACGTGAAACCAGATGCCGAAGACTACGAGTCCAAGCATGTACATGAGGTGTATCAGCAGATTGCCAGCCACTTTTCCGAGACGAGATACAAGGTATGCCTACACTGACTTGATAGACTCTCTACATCCCGTCTAACGACTTAGCCATGGCCAATCGTCGAACGGTTCCTTCTCGAGCAAAAGCCAGGCTCGATTGGCCTTGATATCGGCTGCGGTAATGGAAAGTACTTGAAAGTCAATCAAAACGTCTTCATCATTGCGTCTGACAGGTATTCTACACAATTAGCTACTACCCAAGCTATTTATTCCTAACGTATGGTGACAACAGATCCGATGCGCTTGTCCAAATCGCGACGCGACACCAACCGCATTCCACTGTCGTCGCAGACATTCTCAGCCTGCCTCATCCCGAGTCCTACTTTGACTTTGCTATATCAATCGCAGTGGTACATCACCTGTCGACGCCAGAGCGACGGATACAAGCTGTTTCGGCTATTCTGCAGACATTAATACCAGCAACAGACAATGACACCGACCACAAAGCCAACACTGGCGGAAAAGCGCTAATCTACGTGTGGGCTTTAGAACAAAAAGCCAGTCGCAGAGGCTGGGACAAAGGTCATGAACAGGATGTGATGGTTCCTTGGGTTTTGCGCAACAAGCCGGCTGTTGCTATGAAGAATAAATATGGACAAGAAGAATCGAAAGACCAAAACAAGCCACCAGAACAGGACAAAGTATTCCACCGATTTTATCATCTATATGAGGAAAACGAGCTCGAAAGAAATATCCGTGCCGCAGGTGGTGTTGTCATCGAATCTGGATATGAGAAGGACAATTGGTGGGCGATTGCTTCGAGAGCAGCTCCCTCTCCGACAAATCAACAAGCTGGTGGCAGCTGATTCTCGCTTTTCTCGCCAATATGCGGACACAGACCTATTCAACCTGAACGAAGTCGCCTGCAAGAGTGGTATCATTGTCATATCTCCAAAGCGCGTGATCATAAACTCAAAAGAAACAAATATCCACCCGATTCCCAAAATTAGTCGCTAATGTACGGATCATTCTGCCTCCCATTTCTCGTTGCCTTCAGACGCTATGCAAACAAATCAAGAACTGTATATACACGATGAATGGTTTATGAAAAGATCAACTGGCTCATGGTCGCGTTCGAGGGATCATCGTTGGTGACAAGCCCGGAATGTCTGATTGAGGATGGGGAAGAGTCAGCGGCGGCGGTGGTTGCTGCTGTGGTTGCCGAGCACCTTGGTGATACGGATTCATGATGGGTTGTGTATGTGGGGAGCTGTATGCTGGAACCCCAGCTGTCAATTCTTCGACCGATGGAAGCTGCGGCTGTCCCTGAGACTGACCCTGAGGGAGAGGCGGAGGTAGCGACGGAGGAGGGTGGTGCACTGGTGGTGGAGGTGGAACGTGATGCGCTGGGGGTAGTAGTTGCGGCGCAAGTCCCTGAAGTGACATTCCTGGAGGCATTCCTGGAGGCATTCCTGGAGGCATTCCTTGGGGCATCGCCAGCGGATGAGGTGGTGGCGGCGGTACGGAACGTTGCGAAACACTGGCGACAGACATTGATTGTCTTCGAAGTCGAGGCATGACCGTTGTGTTGCGACGTATTTTCGGGGGTGGCTCGATCGCGGAACCACTGGATAGCGAAAAAGGGACAACCCCGGCGCGACGAGCCATTTCTTGTTCCCCCAGTTGCCAATGCATAGCTTCCGCTGCTCGCCACGGAATGGCCATTTCCTCTGCCACTTTTGCCCACATTTCGGCTTTGAATCTATACTCATTAGTCTACAGATACCCGCTTTAAATTGTTAGTATACTCACCTCTCATACAATCTAGCCAACTTATTCTTGCGATCCTCATCCCACTCACTTCTCCTCTCGAGGTAATTCTGATAATGCAACCGACAGCTAATGGCGCTTCGACCGGGTAATTTCTTGCTGATATCCTCCCACTTCATGCCTCTGCCGCGCAACTCGATGATCAAGGCATCCTCATCGGACGACCATTTAGACTGTTTCTTTGCCGGGGGCTCATTCCCCAGTGAAGACGATGAATGCCGTTTTGTCCCTGTCGGGGTTGAGCCTAGTATAGTCGTTGGATTTGCTGTTGCTGTTGCCGTTGGTATCATTGCTGACGCTGGTCCCGGTGGTCCCCTTGGCGTCGGTGCCCCTGAAGCTAACATGGAAGCTCTCCTCGATGAAGCTGCTGAAGAAGACGATGACGGCGGGCGATTTGTTATTTGCTGCTGATATGTTTGTTGATGTTGTTGTTGCTGCTGGTGCTGTTGCTGATGTGGAAGCGGGTTTTCTTCTTCATCGTCAGGTTTGAGTAACAGTGAGATATCCACTTTGGCGGGGGATATGGGATGTATCGCTGGTGGATGTATGAGGATCATAAGTGTGTCTTTTCGGGGTGTTGAGTAATAAAAATAGAAGGGGAAAGAAAATGTTAGAGTAGATGAGATGTTGTGTTTTATGTGGATGTACCCGGTGCGTGGTTATGTCGTGTCGTGTCGTATCGTCAAAAGGGCAGAAAAAAACAAAAAACAAAAAAGTCTTGATTAGTTCAAATCTAGACAGTTAATGGTCGAACGTGGATAATGCTTGTTTGAGTTGATCAGGTTGGTATAAGTAAGCTTCGTTGTGGCAATGCGAGATGGGCAATCCAATAGGGTTTTGTTGGTTGAACAGGGCGTGGCTGTGATGTTGATGATTGTTGTCACAGAACCAGTTGGAGTCCTATCTGGGCCAGTTAGGAGAAGAGATGTATATAGGCAGTAGCAATAAGTGATAGGCAATTAGGCAATAAAACAAATTTCCGTTCTAGTGATTAGGGGCAATAGAGAAGGGGAGTGAATGGTGGAAATGGTACCTACCTAAACGGAGAGAACATGTACACCAAGGCACATAGCACCCAATCGGATGGTTTGACAGCTGAAATAAAGATGGTTGACAGACGTAACGGTCAGGTCGATAGGCCGCACACTGCGCAATCAAAGAGTAACGTTTTGTTTCAGGTATACAAGCTCCCCAAATAATGATCGTTGGGCTGGTGGGAATCTTCGCACTGGAGAGGAGCTCGAAATGATGTGTCTGAGCTCTATATAGTATGACGCTGAAGATCCGAAGAATCGGAAAGAAGAGCTTTGGGCTAGAAGTCAAAAGCGGCGATTCAGGCCTTCAGGGAAATTAGGCGATTAAGGTTCTGGATCTAGTTGCCAGTTCAGTCAAGTCGGTGTGGATCGTGAAGAACGATCCCAGGTCGATGGAAGAGACGATGCGAAATAGAGCTGGGATGAGGTTTGTTTTGGTTTCGGGCGGTCGACAGGGTTGTTGGATAAGCAGTGTTTGAGCTTGTGCTTTTGCTTTGAAATTGGGTTAGAGGGTGCATGTAGGTAGTCTGTGGTAGCATGTATAATATCAATGTTATACTGGCAAGGTACGTAGGGACGTCGATGTAGCAGCCCAATCAGTTTGAGTCACGGTCTGAGAGCCGGCCAACAGTGGTAGCACGAGGGTTGTTAAAGAAGAAAGAACTGAGAGTGAAGAAGAAACTTGATAGAAAGGACAGGTTCTAGACCGGAAAATATGGTTACGAGACCAAGGTCGTACTGTGTGCATGGCTAATAAGATTAATTGAAGGGTCGGCCTCCACAAGGCGAGATGAGTTGGTACTAGTACTTCTAGAGCAGAATTGATTCGAATTAGATTTGGATGGGGACATTGGAGAGGATCTCTTCAGCTTCCTAGACGAGTTAGTGTTCTCAGAAGTAAGTGTTAAGTGTTTACAACTTCAAGACTTAAGTGAGTCAACAGAGCTATTTACTGTCATTACTGACTAAGATTTATGAGCTGCATGGTACCTACTCTATGTATGTACCTCCAAGTACACTCACATACTACAGTACAACAGTAACTACAGCTGTAGTACCCACAGTGGAACTTCCCCTCCGTCTTGAGTCGAGCAACAGACAGGGCAGATGGCGTTCTCCATTGGTGATCCATATAAACCATGATCCATGTTCATCCTCTCTTAGTCTCTTACCACTCTGCTTGTAAATGTTAGCCCACTACGCAGGGTACGCACTCTTCTGCTGTCATATCAACCTATTCAGTAACTGCTACATACGGAAACACAGCCATGTTGAACTGCCTGAGCTCAGTCCAAGTCATTCATGCGATGCCACTTATGTTATGTTCAGACGAGTGTTCCAGGTTGCATTGAGTTTTGATTTGGCCCTGATCTGATACAGCTGATCCTGGCTGTAGTCTGCCGGGTACAGAGTACACTGTAGTCTTGACTCTTGGTCCTGGGTTCATCTTGATATGTGGTATCTGTGCTATGTAGAATAGTAAATACAGCTGAAGAGTCAGATCGTGCCCTGTGAAGATAAATGAGGCATCGGACAGATTTTGAMCCCCGCCACAAGTTCTAGTCATGCTGTAGCACCGCGTACCGGGTGGATCATGATGTCGATACGATTTACTACGTTCTAGCTATAGGTCGAACGCCAGTTGCGCCACGTTTGAGGTTGACGCTAGCCGAACTCTGCTTCTAATCTCCATCGACAGTAATACGATTCGAGTTTGTTATGCAACTCAAATACTAGTAGTGTTCGGTATTTAGTAGTGTACTGTATATAGTAATGCACTTTGTGGCCACCACGGAGTTCGCCGGAGAATACAATACACTTACAGGATTCCTCTGTAGGACCCAAGTACCTGCCCCCGAAAAACCGAATAAAATCAGATCTGACAGGTACCAAGGTACCGGACACCTATCACATCTTAATAGCTTGATAAGATCCGGAATAGTAGCATCGCAGCAGCAAAAGTAGGCATAAATTAAAGGACCGAACCCATGGTTTGAGAAGGAAATGAGGAGATTAAAATTACAGGGTGACACATTTCGACCAGCAGTGAACATGTTCTTTCGCTGCCGGTCTTTTCTTAGATAATCATGTATCTAGTCAGCTACGTTAGTTAAACGTTAGTTAACGATAGTTACTGTAGTTAGCAAGAACACCGTGTCGCAAGCGAAAGATCTCCATCGGAAAACAATTAAGCCGTTAGGCGATGGCAGCTGCCTCAAGACTAGGAACTGCGACAAAGTTCAACGGTCAGTAGCGGCTGGACCCTTGTAAAACACGATGCAATCAATTAGGTCAGGTATCGTGCATGCATTTGCCTAGTACATCCTGGCCAGTGTCCATTGTGGCCGTGACAGTCCACTCAAAGTCAAGGTCTCGGCTGCCAGCAGCCATGGTTGGTTGGATATGCTCAGTTGGAGCTAGACTAGTTGGGCCTACGGTAGTACGCACTAATCGTACTTGACTAGTGGACGTTCGACAAAAAGATCCGAGATCAGCCTAGTGTTTACAGCCCAGAACGGTTTCTTCCTGGTGTTTGGTGCAACTCGCATGGGTCCGTCCTTGTTTCAGCGTACTATGCAATCATAGCCAGGATGAAGCTATCTATCTAATCACCAACTGTCCGTAACTTACCTACTCCGTAATAAACTAAGTTATGTATTATACATTATATAATATAGGATCAAGTTAATAACACGAGTTCATGAGGCACTATTCTCCATAATTACAGAGGTTACCCGGAGGAAACTCGGCCACCAAAACTGGATCGCATGGATCCATGTCCTGGCTAGTCTATAGCAGAGATTCGCTATAGCGCCATCCAATCCAAGTATGGCAAGTACTTGACTTGACGTGTTCACGGTTGCTTTTACCGAATCTCACTGGCAACCTTCGGACATGTCGATTTGCCTCAACTGGACAGTGGGCAAAATCAAACCTTTTCTTCGCATACTAGCACAGCCTCATGTAAACCGGCAAGAAGCCGATCGCTGAAGCACGCAAGCCGGGGAACCCGCATTGTCTGCCATGCCGTGAGCTGCGAGGCAAACAAGGCGAGTCGATCGTCGTTTGCCGGGCGTCTGATACGTTCTGTTTTGCAAGTGTGGCGAGTGTGGCGTATTTTTGTCTGTCAACCTCTCACTAAAGTCTAAGGACAGTGGTTGAGAGAAAACGGTCGTAGCGATAAGGAGTTAGGGCTGCAACGGTGCGTACCCTAGTCGGAAGTACTTCTCCTCTGAGCCAGGATCGACTCGCCCTACAGCACACTCCCTCCTTAGATCATTTAATTCTCATTAGCCTACGCACTTACTAACTATTTGTCGATCAGCTCAATTTCTGCCCAGTCGAATCGCATCGCCAGACCTCGACTGGGATACCTGGTCTTGCTGCAAACACTAACCAGATAGCAATGCATGAGTTCTACAACCACAAGCCACGCAGACAACACAACACAGCAAAACTTTGAAGTCATGGAGTACAATGAGGCGGTGTGTCACCGCCTGCCGGCCTGAAGAGTCATTCAAAGCAATCATAAATGCATTTTTTTTTTTTTTTTTTTTTTTTTTTTTTTAATTTTTCTGGTCGATTCAAGATTCAAGATTTGAGACAAATCGTAGTGGCGGTAAAAGAGTGCACGTCCTTTGCTCGACAGTTCGCAGCCCTCAACAAACAGCAGAATGGACTGAGTCATGGCGTCATGGCTGAAGTGACGTTGCATATGAGCTACTTTTGTTTCAATGTCTTGTTTATTGCATATGATCGATATCATAGTTTCAAGTTGTCACCTTTGTTTGTGTAGCCTTAGTGGGAAGAAGAAAGAGGTAAGAAACTAATAGTTCATGCCACGACAAACGGGATTGCCCTTAGTCTACCCTAACCCCCCAGCCCCCCCACAACCCTACCCTACTTTCAGTTTGTACTCGGGACATGTTTCTGTTCCGTTTATCGACACATCTAGGCCTTCACACCCCGTCACTCGCAAGTCGGAAGTCAGAGAGTATCCATTGATCCAACGTTTTGACATGCCAAAATCAAGAACTTCTCCTCAGCAGGCTGGAAATGGCGTCGGACGAGAGGGGCAAAAGCCAACGTTCAGATCCCGCTCCGGCCCACAGCTCATTTAATTTACTCTTTTACCTACTTCTCAGTAGTATCTAGTACCCAGAGTCCTCGTCGGATGTTGCGTTGCCACTGGGTTCTTCTCCGCTGAGATGAGACAGCAGATGACGATCTCGATGGAACTAAAATAACGGTCTCCTCCTCCAGTTCTTGAGTGTGTGTCGATCGTTGCTTCGACTCTACTCCGTAGTACAACAGTGTGTCCTCCAAGAGTCACGAGTGTGTTTGTGTGTTTCGTGTCTTTGATGACCATGCTGCCTCTATCTGGCGGTGAATACGCATTAGACTAGTCCTCGTATATAGGCATCGACATATGACTGCGTACTAGTACTAGTAGATGCTGGTACAACGAACAGTTCCTCTGGTTAGTGCAGGAATGGCTTGATGCTAAATATAAAACAACCCTATCGGAGAATTTTCTCATTTCCTTTTTCCTGTGCGACTAGCAGGGTGCTGCTAACTGTTAACTTTTACATCGATGTACTACGTAGTAGTTTACACGGAGGAAGACTGTACGGTTATTGGTGCCGCTCCTAGTCATAATTTACCACGCATAATCTATTACCCAGCAAATTAGCATAGAAATGAGACTTCGTATACGGAGCAATAACTTGGAACTTAATAAGCAGCATATTTGCGCACGACATGGGTTGACTTGCCGTGTCTGAGTCATCTTCAGTAGTTATAACTAGTCAGTAGGTAATAATTGATTAGCGACGATCGTCATGTCGGTTTATTCTGATCCATCATCTTCGTCGTCCCGTCGGTGCATCCTGCCGTCCTTCCTAATCCTCAAGCCAAACTGCAGCTCCCTGCATGACATATTATCTCATACAAAGCTCAAAACGGACTGAGGGAAAAGGACACATGTCCCCATCCGCATAATCCGTATGGATCACATGAAATATTCCCAATCCGAAACAAAATCAATAAACAAAAACAAAAGACATGTGATCATCAAACTAAAATCGGCCGTCTATCTCTCTTGGGAACTCTTATGCGAACTAGTGCCTTAGGGCTATAGTCAGACACATACTACCAAACTAATATTGTCGGTTCGTCCCGGTCAAAAGCCTAAAGCATCAAATCGATGCATGAATAACACTTTGTCGACTGCCAGGAGTTCGTTCGTTTGTTCCTATTTCGTTCGATGTGTCCGTCCCTTGTTGATTTCAGCTGATTTGCATGACTCTCAACGCGTGACACTTGCATGAGCACCGAGGAACGAGGATTAAGGAACGGAGGTAGATGGCAAGCAAAAGGAGGATCAATTTCGTCGGTTGACGACTTTCATGCTCTTCGTCCATAGATAGCAATATCACCGAAATGAGCCTTGTCTTCCGGAAACTCGATCTGGTCATAGAGCCCGTCAATCACGCTCTTCATTCGACGTGAATCCGGATCCGTCCTTGAAGCGGCGACGTCAGAGCAGATAAAGACGACGGAAAAAAGGTATGCCTGACTTACACATCCCTGTCATCCTCATCCAAGATTCTGTCCCATATCATAACAGCTGGTTTCGCGATATCAACCACAATCTGCCTCACCGGCACATTCGGTGAGAATGAGAGGACAACAGTCGAGTCATCAACTTCCAAAAATCCCTCTGGGTTTTCAAGTATAGTGGCAATTCCGTAGTCATCCTGGAAAAGCTCGCGATCGATATTCGTATACGCCGGGTCTTGAATGAAGCACTGAATGTGTTTCTCTTTTTGCTCTCTGGTAAGATTGACATCTTCATGTCGAGCCTGAGAGAGTATGTCATGCAACGTCTTAATCAAGCCATGCTGGTAGGATGACCTCCCCTTTGATCGTTCATCAGAATGTGTAATTGATCCACATGCAAACGCGACAATCTTCCTTATCCTGCCTGCATTCTGTCGTAGTATATCCAGATTCCGCAGTTGTCTGCACTGCTCACTTGCCATCCACTCGTGTAAACTCTTATCAAAATCTCGCCCAACATCCTCTTTGGGCCTAAATGCATCCTTTGCCGTAGCAACTTCGCGCGTTTCTTTGTCGAGATGCTTCACTCTGTGATAGACCACGAGGTTACAAAATGCTATTTCTGGATCGAGATGCTCCACCCATTTCTCTGATGTCAGATGTTGTATGGCGGCATACTCAATGACAGGCTTGACGCTATCTTCCCTTAACATGCTGATTTATATAATACTATTGAAGACAACATACCTAGTAAAATCCGCCCAATCATAAGTCTTTCCAATATGCAGCTGAAATCGAACAATGATTCCATCCAAACCTTTCACGAAAACATCTCCTTTACCGCCTTGCGCCATACATTTTTGTACTTGTTCATGAACATTTCGGATTCCATCCATTGTAAAGAACGGAATGTCTTCGGCAATCATCGTCTTGATGCGGGCTTTGACTTGTTGCTGTATGGCTTTTAAATCTTCTATTGTTGGATCAGACGATGGTTTGGGAACACCTATACGCTCGCGATCGGTGAGGACGATCATCATGTCGCTGGGGTGGTCCTCGAAATTACTCTCGACTTTAGCTTGTATTTCTACCTCATTCGTGTCGTCGCTTTTGCTTTCTATTATCATGCATATTATCGTCGAATGGGTTTGACGTGTGATGGATGAGAGTGAACGTGGGCGTTGAAAGAGGGGTCAATAATCAACATCAGGCAGCCATTGAGTATGACAGGCCAACTCCGTTTACAAATGTCACGGGATTCCAAAATAAACCAAGACAGTGCGTGTCGTTGAATTCTCGGCGAAATCTTTGCAAGTAATCCACTATAGCAGTACCGATTCCCACTTAACCCAGAGGCGTTGACCGAGCTTCGTGAGGACGGCGACGTAAACTCCTCACTGATGCTGGGGAGAATTTCTGCAGCAGGCTTTCCAGCCATTGAAATAGGCGGACGAGATCTCAGCACCAAAAAAAGTCCAGCAAACCTTGTGCATGAATTCCGAGACGTCATTTTGCTCTTGGGCACTGGAGGACATATTCATGACGTGAAAAGGGCATCTTGGGATGTTATTGACTATAAGAGTAGAGATGGCATGAACGTCGAAAGCAGGCAAAAGCAAATGCCCTATTCATTCTGAGTTCGCGACTGGCTGTATTTCAGAAGTTTCTTCACTCATCTTTCCCTTTTTCTTCTCTAGTAGCTTAGAATATCTACTGAAAGATCAATACTTTTAGTATTTGATCAGTGTTCGTGGTCAACGTGGAGATAATTCCTATTTGTCTCTCCCGTATATCTAAGCGTTCCTATATGGCCTACACAAACTAAAAAAAATGAAGTCTTATATCGCCATTCCAAGTCGTCATCCTTGCGATAGAAGGCTAAGAATCCTCTATCGTCGTGTCGAAAGGAAAGAGGCTCTTGACCTGGCCTTAGGATCTTTTGGGGGACACCGTCAGTCCAAGAATTTTGCACAGTCTCAGGTATTTCTTCGTAGTCGTCTTTTTTTTTTTGAGCATGAGAAGCAAGCTCCTCGTGCGATGTTGTGGGTGCCGATCCACGCAGGATCGACTTTTTGCTTATTCAGGTCGTTGTCTTTGGCCATGTAGAGTACCACAGTCCCACGGAGAAAGAAGTCCACGGCGTAGATTCAGTATCCACTAGTGAGGTAGTCGTCTGCCATCCATTTAGGACCCTTGACGCAGATGAAGATTTCGACCTAAGATTCGTCGGATTCAGTAGACTTCTGTCTCTTATGTCCTGATATTGTAGAAGTAACACCGTCCTCTTGCTCAATTCGGTTCCTTTTCAAGACTGCTGAACGAGTATTCAATGATGTCGGCGCCTTGTCTTCCTTAGCCTTAATTTTTCCCTTTGTGTCCAGATCTTTGGTCGCGGCCTTCTTTCTGAAGCCTTGACCGATTTTGGGGTTTTGCCAAGGACTCGTTCTGCCGTGTGTACCACAACTCGAGTCCGGATATATTCCCTATTGTTCGAAGTTATATCTAGATGTATAGCATAAAGTGGCGGCCAGGTCATTAAATCGTCGGTTGACTTCCTCGAACTCGTTCGTAAATGACGTGTTCGGGCTCGTCACTGTCTGGAATTTGGCTTATACTCAATGCCAAAACGGTCTTTCATCATACATTGAAAGTGGCTATCTGTAGTACTGAGTCGGCACTTCGTATCTATCTTGAATCGAAAGGAGAGATAATTCAGTGTTAGGTGAAGTCCCTGTGGCTTCGGACGAGTACATGTAGCTAGAAAGAAGATTAGCATCACGAATCTTTGAAGTGAAGCTTGCAGGACCATCGGCAAATATAGACATACTAGTGATTAGCTGTTGCTACCAGACCCAAGATATCCCTCCCCAGCTGGAAGAAACTTTGCAGCCATGAGGTATGTAACAGAATAGTAAATTTAGCGAAGTACTCGCCGCTATATCTCCCGCTATTGGGATATCTTGTCGTTTCTTTGAGAGCTTTTAAACGATATGACCAAAAGTGCAAATATAATAGAGAGTTTGAAAAGGATAGAGAAGTTGAAAAGGAAAGAAGAGAGTAATGGGAGGAAGGAAAAAGATCGTGGATATTTAAGGGGAGCTGGCAGTCGTGCCTCGGGCGCTGAAAAGGAAAGAAATTAGATAAAGAAAACCGTTTCATGTCTGCTGCTGCCTAGAGAAAGACAAACGGCCAATAAATGTCAATAATGAATAATGAATGCCAAAAAAGAATCATATGAGCAGCTGTATGGATTTAAACGGAGCTCTACCGACTTAATCGAAAGCGTTTAACTAGGAAATGATGTTGGTGTCCAGAAAGAAAGCCTATCCCGAACAAAGAGCACTTCGTAAGATCTATTATGCTGAATTTTCCGAGGCATGTATCACGGTGTTTTGTTTTGATAGTCCGATAGACTATTCGAGCGCTCTCCATAGTCATATTCTTTGGTATTCAGAATAATTAGGGCTTTCTGTCGGACTTAAACCGGAGCCAATCCACAACTCCGGCCCATCATCGGAACCTGACTAGTCCCAATGTAGCATAGCGCAAACATCGGAATTCTGCAGTCCCCAAATATTCCATCCAGACCGTTTTTTCTCCAGTCGGCAGTCAGTATCAATCAGCCAACCAATTGATCTTTCTTTCTTTCCTCTTTTGTTCTATCTTTGTTCTTCTTCTGTTGCTTTTCTTCAGTAGGATCCAGGTTTCTCGTCTGCAATCTTCCCTGTCCTTCTTTTCTCTCGTCTCCTCCGAGCAGTTCAATTCGGTTTCTGTATAACGACAACAACGAAGCGATGTCTCCCGCAATGGCTACTGTTGGCGCCGGCTCGGCCGCAAAGGATATCAAGAGGGAATCTGGAACTGCGCGATTACTCGGTTCCGGTATGTGTCTCCCTGCACTTTACGAATGAGGATGATTATTGACTGTCGTTTGACAGGATCCGCTGGTATTGCCGAGTTGCTTGTTTTCCATCCCGTATGTATTTTCTCTGAATCCGAATTCAGTATGGCTCAGAACTTACAAGGATAGGTTGATACAATTGCCAAACGATTGATGAGCAACCAAGGAAAGGTACGGTTCAATCTCGACGTCCGGCGGAAACGAAAGATGGCAACTGACGCATGCGATTAGTCCAATACAGCTGCTGCGCTGAACCAGGTCATTTTCAAGGAATATGCGGCTGCCTCTGTGGGCCGCAAGTTTACTTCTCTCTTCCCGGGTCTCGGATATGCTGCTGGATATAAGGTAATTCCTATGTCTGCGGGGTCGTCGTGAGAATGTGCTAAAGGAATAGGTCCTGCAACGAATCTATAAATACGGCGGTCAACCTTTCGTTCGCGATTACCTAGCACAGCATCACGGCTCGGCATTCGATTCAACCTTTGGCAAGGGAACTGGCAAGGCCATCATGCACGCTACCGCTGGAAGGTTCGTTTTGCTTCCTACCATCTGATGGATGGTGCTGATTGGAATAGTATTGTCGGAATCGGTGAAATCGTCCTCTTGCCCCTCGACGTCCTCAAAATCAAACGCCAGACCAACCCCGAAGCTTTCCGTGGCCGTGGATTGTTCAAGATCATCTCCGATGAAGGAATGGGTTTGTACCGTGGTGCTGGATGGACTGCCGCTCGTAACGCGCCTGGCTCCTTTGCAGTATGCTCCTCTCAGACATCTGAATATCTAGAATACAAATACTAATCGACTGGATAGCTCTTTGGTGGCTCCGCCTTCGCTAAAGAATACATCTTCTCCCTCCAAGACTACAACGCCGCATCCTGGAGCCAAAACTTCGTCGCCTCCATTTTCGGCGCCAGCGCATCACTCATCGTCTCCGCCCCTCTCGACGTCATCAAGACTCGTATCCAGAACCGAAACTTCGACAACCCCGAGTCCGGAACCAGAATCATCGCAAACATGATCAAGAACGAAGGTGCAGGCGCCTTTTTCAAGGGCCTTGTACCCAAGTTATTGATGACCGGTCCCAAGCTTGTGTTTAGCTTCTGGTTGGCGCAGACTCTAATTCCTGCTTTCGGAAAGGTTATTTAATCCTTTTTTTCTTCCTGGGCATAAAATGTTGTAATCGTTTCTTCTTTCTATTCGGTTGGCGAATTGTTTATCTACTTCTTCTGGTCATAGATTTTTTGTGTTGGATGGGGAATGGGGTTTACTGAATCTATCATGTATGTAATTTATCAGTTAATTGTTATATATTTACTCCTCTCTGATACTTGGTAGTCTAAGATGTATTTAAGACTTCAGCACGCACATGTAAATGGTAGCATAAAAATGAATGGTCCGTGCGCTCCCCAGACCTAAATCTCACGACGACATGACTATCACCACCTCCGACATACACAAGATATATCCATCATCATCAAATCTCGAGTCCTTCTTCAGCCAATAAACCTCAAAGTAACCTGGTCAATCCCATACATATCAAATTCACCAAACTCGCAGCGGCAAAAAACCCGAACATCCACCATCTCACCACCATCGACAAAAAACCATCCACCCCAGATCTATCTATCCACAAAGAAAGGAAAACGAGAGAAAAGAATCATGTCCCATCCCTACATAATCTCAAAGTACGCCTCTTTTCCCTCCAACTACCCATTTACCTATCTTATAAATTAATTCACCATCCATAAATCCATCCTAACCTATTCTTACACCGGGTATGATTAGACTAGCAGACCCCCTCTTCGCCATCGCAATCGGCTCAACATCCGCCGTGCTGCGAATCCAGCGCGACCTGCGTGATCAAACCGTCCAGACTCAGAGTGTCACACCTTCCGGTATCACAGCCACAGCCACAGCTGGCGCGAAGAGGGAGGATGTCTCATTCACCAAAATTGCCGAGATTGGGGCGAGGCGGGTTGGGAGGTGGTGGAGGGGGGATTTTCAAGGTTTATAGTCTTTTTTTTTCATCATGTATAAATTTAGTTTTAAGTGTTGATTAGACAAGATGGACTTTATGGTGTATAGTATAATTTGTTCATGGATGAAATTGGTCAAGATATATATAATATGAAGTATCATATTTAATGTCTATCTACAATGCTCACTACAGGAGAAATAGTCTTGTTGAAACAAGAGAATAAAATTGATTAGCGCATTGCGCATCTATGCTCATAAAAACATAACCGTCATGACATTAGCGCCGAATCTCGCATAGCAAGGAATTTTTGGCCAACAAAGGAAATGATAAGACAAATGAAAAGAATTTTAAAAACTCCCAAGCTCATCAAACTTCAGACTCATTAGGCATTTAGTCGAGCTCCTCAGGGCGCTCCTCAACCTCATCAGCCTCGCGAGTAGCAGAAGCTCCGGCAGCGCCGGGGGGAGCACCAGCGCCACCGTAGGCTGCAGAGATGATGGGGTTGGCAACACTCTCGAGCTCCTTCTGCTGGGCCTCGTACTCCTCCTTGGTGGCGGTCTGGTTGCTGTCGAGCCAGCTAATGGTCTTCTCAATCTCGGCCTCGAGCTTCTCCTTGTCAGCAGCCTCGATGGTGAGCTTGCCCTCACCGAGGGTGTTCTTGAGGGAGTAGGCATAAGACTCAAGACCGTTCTTGGCCTGGATGCGGGAAGCCTCGGCTTCATCCTCAGCCTTGTACTTCTCGGCCTCAGCCAACATGCGCTCGATTTCCTCCTTGGAGAGACGGCCTTTGTCGTTGGTGATGACAATCTTGTTGCTCTTGCCGGTACCCTTCTCAACAGCAGAGACGTTCATGATACCGTTGGCGTCCATGTCGAAGGTGACCTCGATCTGGGGAACACCACGGGGAGCAGGGGGGATACCAGTGAGTTCGAACTTGCCGAGCAAGTTGTTGTCCTTGGTACGAGCACGCTCGCCCTCGTAGACCTGAATCAAGACACCAGGCTGGTTGTCGGAGTAGGTGGAGAAGGTCTCGGACTTCTTGGTGGGAATGGTGGTGTTGCGCTTGATGAGAGGGGTCATGACACCACCAGCGGTCTCAATACCGACGGAAAGAGGGGCAACGTCGAGAAGCAAGATTTCGTTGGTGGACTTGGAAGAAGTGTCACCGCTGAGAATTGCAGCCTGGACGGCAGCTCCGTATGCGACAGCCTCATCGGGGTTGATAGACTTGTTGGGCTCCTTGTTGAAGAAGTCGGTGACAAGCTTCTGGATCTTGGGGATACGGGTGGATCCACCGACCAAGACGATTTCGTGGACGGAAGACTTGTCGGTCTTGGCATCACGAAGGACGCGCTCGACGGGCTCCATGGTGGAACGGAAGAGGTCCTGGCAGAGCTCCTCGAAACGAGCACGGGTGATGGAGGTGTAGAAGTCAATACCCTCGAAGAGAGAGTCGATCTCAATGGAGGTCTGGGCGGAAGAAGAGAGGGTACGCTTGGCACGCTCGCAAGCTGTGCGGAGACGGCGGAGAGCACGAGCATTGGTGGTCAAATCTATGCGGAAGTTAGTAGATGATCAAGATAAAAAATGGGGAAGGCATGAGATCAGATCAAGGGAAAGTCAGTGCAATGAGAAACGATAGTAACGGAAGAACGTGGCAAAAGAAATGGAAATGGAACTGGAACTGGAACTGGAAGGGGAAGGGGAAGGGAAGTGGCTCCGACCATAGACGTGAAACTTTGGCTGTGTGTGGACGGCCTTTTTTGTGTCTGTGGAAGTTCTGCTGGATGTCCGTATAGTACTTGCATGGCTCACAGCGGTACTTCTTGTTTCGTGCAGTCTCCAAGCCTTCTTCGAGTCTCTTAATATGTGCTTTGGACGTGTTGTGTCTCCGAAGCGAACTCTCATGAGGAGTATTGTACCCACAGGGATCACACTGGAAGGCATTTGGGTCTCGTGACTCGGTTCGAGACTCGAGGCTACCAAGTTCAGGAGTGTTCCGGATGTGTGTAATGGACTCAGTGTGTGTCTTCCAATCGGAGAGATAAGCGAACGACTTTCCTCCACAGGGCTCGCAAACCCAAGGACCGTTATTATTTTGTACTCGTCGAATGTGACGTGGACTCTCGTTGTGACGGAGAAGAGACGCATTGTCACGGCAAGGGACGTTGCATGTGGCACAGTAATATTGTTTGGTATCGACAGCCACAGTTTGGCGGAGTAGTGTTCCTGGTTTCTGCTTCTCATTGTGTATCCTTTGGCGAGCCTTGAACTGAGACTTGTATTGAATAGCAATCTGTTCAAGTTCCTCACGAGTGAAAAAGAGATATGCTTCGTTGAATCCTTCAAACAAGGGATTATGTGAACACAGTCCATCCCATTCGAATGAGTCTTGTGACCAAGGACATGTATATTCCAAACCGTATAAACTCGTCCGACGTCGCATGGGCCAGAACAGGGATGAGAGTACTGCTTCCATGATGATAACTGCTATACGGAACTTTTGGAGGTCCTCCCTAGCAGGTATAGGGCACCACGCAAGTAGTGTATGATGGACGATACTGTATCCTTCCCGAATTGAGTCTCCAACGTACCGAGGAAAGGAAGTAGAACCGGAACTATGGTAACTGGATACTCGAGCAAAGACACCTCCAATAGCAGCAGTTCCGGATCCAATGTACAGTTGTGGACGATCAGAACCTGGCCTCTTAAGGACGAGTAGATAGACACCCCAGTGACGTTTAGGAATTTCGGATGGTAGACTCTCAAACCACTCGACGGAGGGCGGATTGGACGAGAGGAGGACATTATACAGACCAGCACAGTAGGAAAAGCCCACAGCGTCAATAAACCGCGAGAGCTCAGCCAATGACGATGCCACCAATCTGTACTTGGGATTGATCCAGAAACGTGATGAATCGACAAGGAGACACTCGCAAGCGACATTGAGTAGATACTCATGAAGGTCACCAGCTTCCGAAGCGGACGGTATCTCAGTACCGACATCAGTGGGGAAAGGAGAAACATCATGACGAGACTCTAGAACAGGAGACGACATTCGAAGGAGACACGATGGACACGGACGACTTCCGGGATATACAGAAACGAGATGGACGAGATGGACGAGATGGACAAGATGGACAGGATGGACAAGATGGATGACAAGATCCAAGATACCACGAGTCCCTCCATAGTAGTGTTCATGCACTCTCGTTCACTCGAGGAAGGTGTGACCCCAGACGAAGGATACCATGAGGAAGGAGCGACAGAAGAGGAAGGAGCGATGGATGCGGATGTAGCGAGTGACGACATCGTGCAGTACCACAACTTATAGACGGAAATAGTCCACAAGCAGCGAAAATCACGAGATACATGCAATATGTCCAATAGGATGACACTAGCAACGAATCAAGGATGACGTCCAGTCACAAAAAAAGAGCATCGTCACAAGAGACGTCGAAACACAATGTAGCCAAATAGAAGAGCAAGTCCATCGTGAACTAAGAGCAGACATAGGTGAATCGGAGGAAGAGACGAGAACACGAAAAGCCAGGTAGTAAACGTCACGACGTCATCCAGTCGGACAGAGCTGACAGACGCTGCAAATCACTGGAAAAAGTGACGAGCGAAGACAAGTCCAGTTGTGGACGAGCGAGACGGAAGTGAGAACATTTGGAGAGCCAGATAGTAAATGTCACGACGTAACTCGGTCGGACAGAGCACACAGAAGTAGAAAGACAAAGGACGAACATGAGGGGGTATCATAAGAAAATCAAATGCTAAAAAATGGTGGGTGGAAGGAAAAAATGGAGGGGTATCACGTGGTGCGGAAGGGAACGATGCTGGAAGTCAACGGACAACAATTGGGCTTGAAATAATGGAATTTTGCCTACCTCTGTAAAAATTGTTAGTTTCAAATCAACTCAATGAATAAAATGGAGGAGTTACTGACCGTTTATGTTTCCTTTTGAACTCTTGGACGAAATGGTTAACGAGACGAGAATCGAAGTCCTCACCACCCAAGTGAGTGTCACCGGCGGTGGCCTTGACCTCGAAGATACCCTCCTCGATGGTAAGGAGAGACACATCGAAGGTACCACCACCGAGATCAAAGATGAGGACGTTGCGCTCACCCTCAGCCTTCTTGTCGAGACCGTAGGCAATGGCAGCAGCAGTAGGCTCGTTGATGATACGGAGGACGTTCAAACCGGCAATGAGACCAGCATCCTTGGTGGCCTGACGCTGGGAGTCGTTGAAGTAGGCGGGGACAGTGATGACGGCATTGTTGACGGTACCACCGAGGTAAGACTCGGCAGTCTCACGCATCTTGATCAAGACCATGGAGGAGATTTCCTCAGGTGTGAACTGCTTGACCTCGCCCTTGAACTCAACCTCGATGACGGGCTTGGTGGCCTTGTCAACGATCTTGAAGGGGAAGTGCTTGGCATCAGCCTGCACCTCAGGGTCGGAGAACTTGCGGCCGATCAAACGCTTGGCGTCGAAGACTGTGTTGTGAGGGTTCATGGCGACCTGATTCTTGGCGGCATCACCAATGAGACGCTCAGAGTCGGTGAAGGCAACGAACGAGGGGGTGGTTCGGTTACCCTGGTCGTTGGCAATGATTTCGATACGGTCATCGCGGAAGACACCCACGCAGGAGTAGGTGGTTCCCAAATCGATACCGATAGCGGGGGCCATGGTGAATGTGTGTGTATGTAGGAGAGGGGGTATCACAGGAAAAGGAAAATGAAGTGGAAGATGTTGATGATAGTGTACAGAAAATTCACTCGAGGAAGTGTGAGTAAATTAAGCTTTGGAAAAATGTGTGTGTGAGTGAGAGAAGAATTGAGGGAAAGGCAAGAGCAGCTGGAGGGCGTGATACATATAGGCGTGGGCGGTGAGTCGAAGCTTCTAGGAGCTAGATTCTAGTGACTTCCTTACGATTCCACGGCCGGCTGGGTCCTTCCACTGTGTGCCAGAGCTGTCTGGACGCCGGCCGTCCATTGGCTGGGCCGATGGATCCAGAGGCTTCTTTGCCTCTTTATCTTAAGACACATAATATCATCATAATTATTCTTTGACTGATTTTCTTAGAGTCTTTGTGTCGCTTGTCCAGCGATTGTCCGCAAATGTCATGATGTTTTGAGGGCGGAGGTGGGGCTGCCTTATATGACGTACCAGAAAGAAGAAAATTCTGCTGTGGGTGGCCTGATTGCTAAGGCGGTGTTTAGGCGGGGCATCTGCCACTGCCCGTAACCATGACGATTTCGGTAGCCTGAGGCATCAATCTAGGGTTGCAAACATGCAACCCTGAGACCGCGGCATGATTAGTTTGTATGCATTACGACGATACGAGTTCTGATGGCATACTTACTCATTGCTGACAGGCTGTGCTTGCAATTATCTTTTACATGATGATTGATTGAGTGTGCTTATCAGGCGAAGACATCCGATATTCACCTATATACATAGTACTCGATATCGTCCGTAGTATTATTGTACGACAATGTAAACAACCTGCCAGAAGGCTCAAAGCATGCTCAGAGGAGTGCATGCACTATGGCACTCCTTGCATCAAGCCTTCAAAACCAACACAGCAAAATTAAAGAACTACACAGTAAAGTAAACTACAATGACCTTGTTTGCAAGGCAGGCGGTCAATAAACCTACTTTTAGCGTGTTGACGCTCTTGCCCAATCAGCAGCCGCAGACGCTATACTGTCCCTTGCTCGCTTGATCACCTTCGCGACTGAACATCGCGTTTACTACTTCATTTTCGTTTCTTCTCTTTCTTCACTCTCCCAACTCGATGCCCTCTCTCTCATCGTTCTTTTAACAATCATTCTTCATTAATCCTCCTTATTAAAAACAAATAAACTCGCGACAAGCTATACCCCGCTCCATTTAATCACATCAAAATGGGTGACCACTCTGTGACCGACTACAGCGACCCTGCTGCCAATGCCCCCGACGCAGCTGCTTACGGAAAGGGAAAAGGCAAGGCTGTTGATGCCTACGATGACGTGAACATGGGCGAGGAAGAAGACGACGAGAGCTCCGAGGAGGAGGAAGAAGAATTGGTATGACCCCGCAGCAGATACATGTTGTTGCAGTTATTTGGATAAACGCGACCATCCATGACCATGACTGTCAGTCAGTCATCTGTTATAAGCTTTGACTGACAATTTATTTTCTCTTACAGGGCGCCGAAGGTACAATCTCTCGTGATGAATGACCCATCAGCCCAGCAATGTCATCAACAAATAAACAATACGCGCAATCAAATTAACTAACTTGCAAAAATCTAGATGACGACGAAGAAGAAGGCGACAACCTCGAACCCATCTCCGCCGAAAATATCATCGAAGGCGGTCGTCGCACACGCGGCAAGCGTATCGACTTCGCCGAAGCCGCCGAGAAAGCCAAGGCTGAAGGCGACGACCCAATGGACGACGAAGATGACGATGATGAGGATTTCCACGGCGAGGACCACGATGGCGATCACATGCAGGAGTAGACGATATCATCGCGACTACGCGCTGCTTCTTGTTGTAAGATGGGCATTGAATACGACTGCTCTGAGGGTTTTTGAATCGATGTATCATTTATTCCGAGTATGCGAACACGGGACGATGTAACGGAAAATGCGATGGAGATATCCTTGGGAACGGAGGAGTCGCGTTATTGCCCAGAGCAGATAACGGTTAGTAGGGATTACACATCGCAGTGCTATGATCAAAAAACCAAAACAACAATCAAAACAAGATCATTCTATATGAATCTCTTATCCAACTAATTTGATTCATACCCATCGTAAAGAATATTAAGTGTAAACAGGTAAAGCAAAGGAAGTTGCTCTGTCAAGGATAAGCTTATCTCCGCATCTAACCAAAAACACGCCAAGCGCAGGTACCTTGGACTCGCCGCAAATCATCTCCGGACAAGTTCACAACATCACCAGTCAAGGCACCTAGTCATCTCATTCGAGATTCTCACCACCATGTCCACAGGGCGATAATACTGATACTGATCTGAGAAAATCCGAGCCTACCAAGGCTACGAGCCTGATATCTATATCATGGCGTCACGGTACCAACCATTCTCCCTCCTCTCCCTTTATCACTGTATTAACGATGAACAGCTTCTCCCACTCAAACCTCCACCAACGAGACCCGCGCTCCTCTTCCTCCCTCTTCGACTCCTACAGCGGCGACAGAGGCTCTCGGCCTMCCAGCCGTTCMCCTGCCACAAATGCTACTTCTTCGACCTACGCAAACGCATATCCCGGTGCTGTGAGTAATGGATACCCGAACGGGGGCGGTGGATTATATCCCGGAGGACAGGGGCAGCAGCATGGCTACAGGGCTGCGACGCCGAACTCGAGGTTTGTTTTTTGTGTGTTGTTGGTTGAGGTGTAGAGCTGATTGTTGGCGTTGATGAAAGGGGTCATTATTCGGATGCGGTGTTATCGGAATTGTACGTTTCTTCTTTCTGACGCATAGAGAGAAGGTGAGCTGATTGTTTCCTTTCAGAGAATCTCAAAACGATAATGAAGTCGAAGGAATCACGGCCAAGGTCAAGGCCCTCAAAGAGGTACACTCACACTTCCTCAACCCTAAAGATCAGCTCCAAGCTAACATGTACGATAGCTTACAGTCGCAATTGGCGACGAAATCCGCTCTTCATCCAACCTGGTATCTATCCCTCAACCCTATCCATCGTCACATCACAAGGACTGCATCTAACAAGACCGCTCCATGAATAGGCAGATACCATGAACGAAGCCTTCGATAGCACCCGCGTCCGTCTCCGCGGAACAATGAACCGTATGCTGCGCATGGCCGAACGGACGGGCGTTGGCTGGAAAGTCTGGGTTGGGTTTTTCCTAGCTGTGTTTTTGTTGTTTTCTTATGTCTGGCTGTTTTGAGTAATTGTCACCATGAAGATTTCACCTGCTTTCGCTTTGATTGCTTTTTTCTTACATTATTATTAATGCTTGGATTGAGATGGGGAGGATAGTATATAGCAAGCATGGCTATTGCATGGGTTGGCGTTATGTCATTTAGGGCTCGCTTGTATATACAGGTGCCAAGAGAATGAGACCTTTATATTCCACCTACAATTCAGGAGACAAGACTTCAGTGACCGGCCGTGCCCGCTGCTTATACTCGGGCGCGGCACGGAGCTGAACATCCAGGATCTGATAATACAGCTATGCAATTAGGCGGTATAATGACTACACACAAGATCCTTGCGAATAATCAAGTGCTGGTGTCGCGTAGGTAACTAATATAATTTAGCACCGGGGGTATCTATACGTCCAAATCTGCAAGTTCCAGCCAAAAGGCCAGACAAAGTAGTAAATTAGTCAAGACTATCCCTAGGTCCCCCCCGTCTCATAAACCGCCCAAATCTACTCTGTGCCTGCCTCATTCGCGCATTTCGCGCAGCTTGACCCCGAGCATAGCTGGCACTCGTGATCGAAGCTCGCAAATCATCATCTTCGTCTTCGTTGTCAACTCCCATCATAGGCGAGGGTAGTGTTTCATTATCCGAGTCGGACTCGGCCCCAACCCCGCTCCAACGCTGCAGAAACCGTCGCTGTGCTTCTGTTTCTCGAGTTCGACGCATTTCTGCTTGTGGTGGTGGCGGCAGACGAGTACTACTACGCCGTGACCCGCGTCGTGCAGTATTCGTACTTGCCGGTGTTTGGGTGTTAGTCGAAACCGCCCCGTCAGCTGGGCTATTATACTGCGCAAACGGATCATGTGTGTTGGTATGGTCTCCATCCATGTCAGAGTCATCGTCGTCTTCTAGCTCCGAGTCGGTGTGTTGCCATTCCTCGGCTTCTGGGATGTCGTCGTCCATGTCTTCGTCTTCGAGGTCATTTGCTTCAGGTATATCATCGTCCAGATCGCGGACCGGAATTTCATCTCCACCGGCAATTTCGTCGTCATCGCCGTAATCTTCCTCTTCTTCATCGTCGTCATCGTCATCTTCATCCGGGTATCCGTCAGGTATATCATCGTCCAGATTTCGATCCATAAGCTCTTCTTCATATGCTTCTTCCCCTTCCTCGACGAGGCCCTCTTCATCGGAATCCGCAAACCCATCCTCAGCTTCAGGAATATCATCATCGAGATCCCGTTCAAGTTCATCCGCTCCAATTCCATCCCCTTCCCCGGCAACACCAGCATTATCTCCTCCCACCATCATATCCTGCTGCTGTTGTAGCATCGTCTCCCCTCCAAATGCATCAGCACCCGCAACCCCTCCAGCCTGAGCCGCAGCTACCATAGCAGCAACATTCAGCTCCTGCTGAGCCGCTGCCAACCCTTCCTCGCGCTCCGCTTCTTCCTCTCTCATCCCCTGCATCGTCTTGGGTATACCGGCCGGTTTGATCCATGCAGCTCCAAAGGAGGCAATGTTCTCTTTTCGGAGTCTTAGCGCGCGTTCTTCGAGTTGTAGCATGGCGAGACTGTTGGATGGGGTGGTGGAAGAAAAGAGGGCGCGGGTTGATGTCGGTACATTCGTGAGCAGGTTACCATTGCCGTTATGTAGTTGGTGTCGTCGAGGTGCGGATGGTTCTGAGGAGCCATTCGTGCTGCCTCTATATCGTGGGCGAGAGGATCCGAACCAGAGCTCGTGTGACTTTTATTGTTAGTGTATGGTTCTGCGCGTGGGGATAGAAGACTTACATCGCGAGGCGCAACGAGAGGAACGGACATCATTTTGAAGATTTGGCGGTCAAATTGAATGCCGTCTCAGTATCGTGTTGTTTCTTAGAGTTGGAAAGAGTGTAAACATCCAGTGGGAAGCTACGATAAGAAAGTCTGCGGGGAGTGCCAGGATTATTTGTACTAGGCTACAAATACTTGCTACAAGGCTGCCATTATTCTCCAATTGAGAGCATTATATCATGAATTACAAAAATCGAATTGACATATAAATTATAATTAATTCCGTCGTGTTCGAGGCTTCTGTTCTGTAAGGCCATACAGTGCAAACAGAGCAAACACGATGATTACGTACCTAAGTAAGATGGGCGAACTAATTCCGATATGGTCTGACCTGGAGTATCACCAGCTGACATTTTTCAATATCGAGGCAAATTCCTCAGCTATAAGTCTTGCGTCTTTCTTTCAGAGTCTCGGAATTATTACCTACTTCTCGCCGCGATTACGTCGAGCCAATTCCATCTCACAGCACAATGGCGTCCTGTCGCCTCTATACGCCATTAAGCAGAGCTATTCCTCGGAATAGCATTTCACGGCCGGCGCAAATAGCTTCTCGTCTGCCCCGGTCTCGTACTGCGAGGTTTTACAGTTCGAAAAAAGAGTCCAAGGACCAATTTATTATTTGGCGACCATGGCTGCGTCTATCAATTGGAATCCCCTTCATCGGCGCACTCATTTATTCAATGGTTTGACACCTCGAATATCGAACGAATATGAACAAACAGCTAATACTTCACAGGCCACTGAGAATGCCGCCGAAACAGAAGCCCCCTCAATCGCCGAAATAGACAAAGCTCTCAAAGAAAAAGCGCCCATCACGGAAGACTCCCCCATGCGCCTGCGAATGGAGAAACTGATCAAAGAGCACCAAAAGAAAATCACCGACGAATTAAGTCGAATTGACGGCAAGGCCTTCCAAGCCGATGAATGGACTCGCCCCAACGGCGGCGGCGGCATATCTTGCGTCCTTCAAGATGGCAACGTCTTCGAAAAGGCCGGCGTCAACATCTCCATCGTTTACGGCGAACTGCCGCGGCCCGCCATCGAGAGAATGCGCGCAGACCATAAGTCCTTTGTCGGCGCAGATGTGGATAAACTCACTTTCTTCGCAGCCGGGCTATCGCTCGTGTTGCACCCGCACAACCCCAATGCGCCAACTGTGCATTTAAATTATCGGTATTTCGAGACCTCGGATCCGAAAGATCCTATCAATGGGGATAAGAATTGGTGGTTCGGCGGTGGCACGGATTTGACACCTTCGTACCTTTACCCGGAGGATTGCAAGCATTTCCATCAGACCATCAAGGATGCCTGTGACCGTCATGATAGCACGTACTACCCCCGTTTCAAGGCCTGGTGCGACAAATACTTTTATATCCCGCACCGCGGCGAAGCGCGTGGTGTAGGCGGCATATTCTTCGACGACCTTGATGCACACTTCCTCCAGAGCTCATCGTCCTCGTCTCAAAATCCCCAAGAAACTCTATTCTCGTTCGTGAGTGACTCTCTAGGCTCGTTCTTGCCTTCCTACGTCCCCATCCTGGAACGCCGAAAGGATATGTCATACACCCCCGAAATGAAGCAATGGCAACAACTCCGCCGTGGACGATATGTCGAGTTCAATCTGGTGTATGACCGCGGCACGAGTTTTGGGCTCAAGACTCCCAATGCCAGGGTTGAGAGTATATTGATGAGTTTGCCGCGAACGGCGAGCTGGGCTTATATGGATCCTGTATCTGGCACGAGGACGGATGCAGCTGCTGTTGCCAAAGGTGAAGAGGGTGGTGAGGAGACGGAGGAGATTTCGAGGCAGAAGGAGATGTTGGATGTTTTGAAGCATCCTAGACAGTGGGCTTGATTCTTCCCTTAGAGGGTGGTGTAATAATTTGTTCTTATAGGATGTACATATTGTGGATTAGAAAAGTTGGGGTGATCATGTACAATATCTACCAGTTGATTGCTATCTAGAAAAGATACAATGGCTCAAAATACAAAGAAATATGAATCATGTCCACCGAAAAAATAAAAGAAAATGCTAACGAAAGACTAAATGGTATTAAACCCCCAATGTATGCTTGAAAAATCTAGAAACATGACACAAGAAAAAGTAGGTACATGAGAAAAGAATGAGGATTATTAAAAAATGTCTATCGAGAGAACCACTTACATCTAGCCTTCTCCCCTTTTTACAGGTTGCGTGTTCATCGACCAGAACTCGCTGCGGAGACAAGACTTCTCTGTCTCGCAAGCCATCCCTTTGGTTCTGTGCCTCCCCCAGTACCTGATGTAGCAGGATGGCGGTATCGTGCGACTGTGATGTTGCTGTGTTGAAGACGGCCTTGGAGGTCGTACCATGCTGACATGACAAGTGACAATTCGCGGGATTGGCGGTTGATTATTTCTTGGAGTTCAATCTATGATTCGGAGATGTTAGTGGCTGATTCGTTTTTTACGATAGGGAAGTAGGCATACCTCGCGTTGTTTGGGGATGCTTTCATCGTCTTGATCACTCCTGGCGTCCTCGATGTGTTTAATCTGCTCCTGCAGTGATTTGATGAGATCGCCTTGCTGGTCGATATACTTCATCTCATGTCAGCTCTCGTTGTCTCATACATAGGGTTAAATAACACACCTCAGCCCTTCTAGCAAGTGTCTCCGCACTCTTCTCCGTAACCTCTGCAAAATGCTTCAATAACTCAATACCCGATTTTTGAGGCGCATCCGGATTCTCATTCTTCGCTCTCGTCGCAAACTCAGCCAACAATGTCTCGATCTCCTTCATGAATTCTTCATCCTCGGCACGCATTGCGACCTGTTTCTCGTCGAGAATAGCACGCAATTCGTCGCGTTCAACGACCATGTCTCGGACCAAAGCTTGGGAGGCGTCGATTTCGGCTTCGAGATGGTGAATTTTGCGGGTAAGTTCGTCCCAATCTTCGCGGACTTTGGTGATCTCGCTTGAGTTGGAGTCTTTGACTTCGGCAATCATGTCGAGCTTCTCTTTGCTGACGAGTTGTACTGTACCAAATAAGTAAAATGTTCAATAAAGCAGAGACAATGAACTTACACTCTGCTCGGGCGTCGTCGAGCTGTCTCTTGGTGCTATCAATCAGGTCTTCGGCATCAGCGAGCTTTTGACGAATATCGGCATATTGGTCGTAAAGCTTCCAGTACTCGTCACTGCCACAGTTTAGCTTTATCCGTAATCAGGGGAAGGGTTACGTACCTCTGTGTAGACTTTGCTTGAGCAAGTTGTGCCGTTAGGACTAGATTTTCAGAGTACGATTCAAGACTAGATCCGAGCTGTGGATAGTCAGAATCAAGATGTTCCAATAATATGAATGATGCATACCGTGTTGGTGGTCTTCAGTTTGTGCACCTCCTTCTTCAATTCCTCGTTCTCGGATTTCCTGCAGACTATTAGCGATAGTACTGATTCATGGGAGATATACTGACAGCTGTGTCTCTCTTGCCCCAATGTCGTCGAGATCTTTCTGCAAAGTACTTTGCAATCTCGGAGATGCGTTTCCAGGCGTGTAGGAAGGACTATCAGTCGAACCCTCTAATTCCCGAATCCGCTCACGCAATTCGCTAATCAAAGCCTCATCCCTATCCCGTTGTTCTTCCGCACTCTGCAAACGCTCGGTCAAAGCATGATTATTGAACTCCAACTGTTTCTTCAAACTCTGAATCTCATGGCGATCCTGCTCGATGCGTGGCAACACACGTCTATACTCTTCAAGCTCCACATCGCGTTCCGAAGATCGCTTCTGGTTTGAGTCTGCATCTTTCAATTGTTGCTGAAGGTCCTTGACCTGGTTCTTGAGTGTTTGGTTCTCCTTTTCAAAGTCCTGGCTTGCTTGCAGTTTCTGGCGGTATTTTTCTGCCGCGTTTGCTTTGCGGACCAACTGTTCTCTCTCTGTTTTCATCTCGTCGTAGTCATCCTGTAATTTTTGGAATCTTTGAGTCTTGACGCGCATAGACTCTAGGGACATCGTGAGACTATCGATTTCATCCTGAGCAGCCGATATCTTTGCTTCTTGGTTAGCAATAAGCTCCTCTTGCTGCCTTGATCTGCTCTCCAGAGCCTTTGCACTGAACCCCGCGTCTCCTTTGCCAGATTTGAGCGTGACTAGTCGATCCTCAGTTGAAGCAAGCCGGGTCTGTAGAGTATCATTGTTCTCCTGCAAACGAGCTAACCGATTATGCAAATCCTCCAATGCTTTCTCCATCTCTTTCTTCTCTGTTGCCAGCCGATCATTTTCCGCCAGCACCTTGCCTACTCGCTCCTCAAATTGTAGCTCCGGGTCAACTGCGAGGTCACGCTTCGCAGCGCCATCTCGATCGTCCTCGTCCGCCGACAGATCCTCATGTTGTGAATTGTGCGCCTCCTCAATAATGTTCTTCAGCCCCTCCTGAGTCGGTGTACTCAACTTCTGCAATGTCGTCACGTACGTCTCGGCGTTGGGCGAGCTGATAACCGCAATCAGGAGTAATTTGAGCAACTTATTCGTCTCCTTTAGCGAATTCGACTCGGAAATCGCCTTGAGGTCAGGCGACGGATCCAACCCGGAAGGAATCTCATCATCGAATTGTTTGCGAATGTACCCCGTCAAGAGTTTGTGGAGGTGTTTGAGGTTCTGCCATTTCGTGACCCAGTGGTCGGATGGGTTGCGCTCAGGGAGTTCGTCGAGGAAATATTGAGGGTCGATGTCCTGTAAAATTTCCCATAAGATAATACCGTCACTCAGTTCTTCGGTATCTCTGATCGTCTTGCCGAGGGAGAAGCTGTTTATCCATTCGAGGAGGACTTTAGCGACGCTATGTTCTGAGGCCATTTTGTGTTTATGCACGGGTCTGGCTCCCTGACCGTACGACAGTGAGTAAACGGCGGGKAGGGKCTATTATTGCCAGTGGTTTTGTCTGAAGATTAACATTGCTATTTTTGGTAAGCTGGAGGTTGCTCAGATCATGGTCGTATATACGCAAGGTAGAGTCAGCATGTTGTCCATCAGGAGCATTTGTCGCGCCGCCTGCAGATCCGCGCGTTACTCCGTCTGATGTCTCCGCTTGGGCGGAGCGTGTCCCGCCATAGTTTCGTATGATACTGTATTACTTTGAACGTTGTAGGTTGGCTAATTATACAAGACAAAATTTAGGAGTTTGCGCATAATGCAAGTTATCATATTCAAACGAACGTCGTCCAATTAACCAGACCTTCACCAGAAACGCCGATCCAAGACCTATATAATACAATACTAGCCCGCCATAACCTATTGATACCTCCTGACATGTTCTCATTAACTCAGTGAGCAGCTATTCGCTGCTTGTCTGCGGACATCAGTAGCTTTCTCCAACCGTTGGTGTCATTTGCATTCGAAATCGCGATCCTCGAGTTGAGGCTTTACTTTGAACCGAAATCGCCGTCAACAGTGACAATCTTGTCCTCCTCAATGACCGGAAGGAAATTGGCGGACGATGCTTGGATAGTCTCGATAGCGGATGAAGAAGCTTTGGCGGCGAAGCCCCTGTTCATATGTTAGTAAGTAATCGAAGTTTGACGAAGTGAAGTATTTACTTGAACAGATCTAGAAGTAGTAATTAGTGTATCGTTCAAATGAAGAAAGGTGATGGATCAAAAAACTTACTGAATTCATGAGTGATCCAGCCGCCCTAAAAACAATCAGTTCAGTATATACCTTCAGAATTCGTGTTATTAAGTCGCTCACAGCATCAGTTATAGCCTTCTTTGCCTCATTCAATACCGAATCTGGGGTATTATCCGGGTAAGAAACGACAATGGGTTTTTGAACCTGGACTGCCAATACAATCTGGAAAAGTCCAAGGATGAGGACAATAAGGTATTGGTGGAATAACTTCATGGTGGCGGTTGAAATTGATAAATATCGAGTATCGTATACTTCAGGTATACTTCGGATGGATGCGCCACTGAGCGGAGCGGGAGATCGGTGTAAGGATGCTGACTGAGGTTGGGATAGAGATGGTATGTCGATTAGGCTGTGTAGGTCTCTGGCAACGTTGTACGAGTATTATATTTGATCTTGGACGAGGAGTGTGATCTGATGATGGATAATAAATGGAGGAATTGGCCTGCTAGTTGCGTCACTGCGGAAGGACTGCCCGATTGGTGCCTCAGGTGTCAATGTCACGCGACTGCTTTTCATGTTTGCCCTGTTTGCCCTGTTTGCCGAAGTTTGTTTGAAAGACTTCACCTCTTTCCTTTCCTCCACATTGTCCACTTGCATGCCATCTTCGATCAACACCTCACTCCAACCTTCAATATTCCCCCTCCTCGTTCAATAAATATACATTTCATGCTCTCTTGTTCAGATCCGATTTAATCCTTCAGCGTTGCGTTTTAGCGTGCATCAGCCGTTGATCTTCGTTTTCAACCATATCTTAACCTCGACCGTTCTCCATACACACGTCCCTTTTCTTTGGACTCCGGTGGGCCTGTTGGATAAAATCGGGTAGAAGAATCTTGCGGCGGACAGTGGGCTTAAGAGTGCTTCAGTGGGATTCGGATTCCAGGTTGTCCTATCAATCGGGTTTGGGCGTTTCGCATGACCTCTTTTCGCAGTCTCGCGAAGGTAGCTAGCTAGCTAGCAAGGAAGCATTCTACAAGAGCCTGTTTATCGTCATCTTTTTCTGTCATCACATATTGCACTTTACGAGAATCAGAATTCTTACTTTGGGGGTCTCCGGGGCCTGATACGTTTTTTCCAAGCCAGCCACGTCGTGGTAAGAGAAGAAAAACAAAACAATATCTGATGCTATAAAGAAAAACAAAAGAAAAGAAAAAAGGACCAGAAAAAATACGAGGCACAGAGAGAGCAAAAAATATAGAAGCTTCGCTTCAAAAGAGAAAAACAACTGAGTTCATCAGCAAAGTGCTGCTAACTGTCCTTAACACTAACTTCGCTCTTCACCCTCGTACATCCATCATCCTCATCATGTCGTCGGGACTCCCTTCCGACGAAGTCGCGGAGGACTACAAGAACTCATTAGAAGATTTAACGACAAATGACAAGTTCCAGATCAGCAATTTGACCGTCATAGCTAAGGAGAACACAGAACACGCCATGGCAATATCACGAGTCTTGGAGAATCATATTCGAACAGTAGGTCTTACTCTTCCTGATCGAGCGCGTGATTTCATGTTTGTATATGCATATATGTTTTGAAGAGTTACGTGCGTCGTAGTCGCAGCCTTGAAGAAAAGCTCTAATATTGCTTTTGGTAGACACCGCCATCTCAAAAACTACCTGCTCTGTACGTAGTCGACAGTGTTGTGAAGAATGTAGGAACACCCTACACTCTCTTCTTGGGCCGGAATCTTTACCAGACCTTTATGAACGCATACACTTTGGTCGACCAGCAAACGCGAAGAAAGTTGGATGAGATGCTCAAGACTTGGAAGGAGCCTGTTCCTGGTTCTTTAGACCCTCGACCTGTGTTTCCGGTGGATATTACTCGCGGCATCGAGAATGCGCTAATAAAAGCCAGAACTGCTGCACTACAACAACAGCAACGACACCAACCACAAGATGTGCTTGCCCGAGGTCGGAATTCTGCAACACCTCCGTCTTGGACACATACCCCTACTCCTCCACAGGGTGTACAGCACAGATATCCAGCAGGTTCCCAAGCAGGACATCCGCAAGGACATGGATCGGAGGTGAGTCTAGTAAAATGTGTCGGCTAAGCATTGCTAATCTGTCCATAGTCACATACCCCTCAGCAGGGCCAAAACGTAGACCTTGCGACACTTCATCGTGATATAGAAAACCTGATTGGCACTGCACGAGCAGAGTTTGCTGCCAATCCTTTCGATGTTTCGATTCAACAGCGTCTGAAAGCATTGTTAGATCTTCAAGCAATTCTGCAACGTCAGCAACTCTCTCCAGACCAACTCAAGCTTGTCAGAGATCAAGTCTCGGCTTTAGCTCCACCGAAACCTGTAGCAGCTCAACCATTTCCTCATCCAAATCTATCTATCCCGAATATATCGACGCCGCCGACTCAACCAGTCCCACAAGCCACACCTCAGCCTAATCTAGCAGCTTTACTAAACCCGAACACGCTTGCCAGTTTGATTCAGGCAACAGCAAACCGCCAGCAATCAACTCCTCCGCCAGCTGTTGGCGGTATGGTTCCCCAGGTTCAACCATCCGCTGTTCCCCAGCCTACCGCAACCCCAGTAGGTGACAATCCTCTCATTGCCTCACTCAGAGCACGGGGACTTCTTCCTCCCGTATCCAGCACGGGAACGCCTCCAACGGGGACTTCCTTTAGTCTCCCTTTGCTTGTTCCCGGACAGACTCCGCCAGCATCGGTTTCTACACCGCAAAGTGCGACAGACATAACGATCAATGTTCATATGAGCACAGCTTCTATTAAAATGTAAGTAAACTCGATTCTTGGCTGTAATAGATATTCTAACAGTATATAGTCCTCGCCCAGTTCTGATAAATAGTCTCTACGATGCAAAAAGCAACCGCTGCGGCACTTGTGGACGACGGTTTACTAATACAGAAGAAGGCAAACAGAAAAAGGCTCGACATTTAGATTGGCATTTCAAAACCAACCAACGTATGACGGACTCCATCAAACGAGGACAGAATCGGAGTTGGTATGTCGATGAAAGGGTATGTCTATTCACTTCGACTGAGAGATGGCCGTTAACACATCACAGGACTGGATCAAATCACGCGAATTCGACGACGACAGCGGTGTAACAGGGACCGGAGCTGGTGGCAGTGGCACCGCTGCCGAGGAAGAAGCCGCAAAGAAGCAACCACAAAAGCAATGGATCCGCGCCCCAAATGATGTTACGCTACGAAACGCACCATGTCCAATTTGTCAGGAAAAGTTTGAGTCGACGTGGTCAGAAGACGTGCAGGACTGGATTTGGCAGGATGCACTCAAAGTAGGGAATCGTGTTTATCATGCTAGTTGTTACGCGGAAGTTACCAAGGATGGTCCTGCTGCTCGTGCAGGGACTCCTTCGGTGCGTACAGGTACACCGGACTCTGTGTTAGGGAAGAGAAAGGCTGAGGTGATTGCCGTCGTTCAAGTTGGAGCTTAAAGACATGCTAATATTTTATATAGGACACGGATTCACCAGGCTCAAAAGTCCGGGTCAAGACGGAGCCTATATGATCTATCTACATGATAAATTTGCATATTTCATTCTTCACAATGTATTACATACAAGACGCTACATAGCTGAAAGGGAGCTCCGAGACTTTTGTCTTTTTTTTTTGGTTGAAAGGTAGCATCAAAACAGAACCGGTACGGTTAGAACAACGCATCTGAAGCATTTTGCAATAGCGTTTCATTTACTGGCTTCCTACATTTACGGGAGTGTTGCTTTGTTAATAAGTCAGTCGTGCTCATAAACAAATGAACTACCTATGGTAATCTATTAGACAAAGCATACCACATATATGAAACACCAATGTTCGGGTCAAGTAAAATATCAAGACAAACCAATAGGAAATAGAGACACAAAGAGCGGCCATTCTCGCACGTTCTGTCGATCTTGCGTGGTGTACTTGAGAAATAGTGTTCATTCTTGGGGGTAGAGAGAGGTTATTTTAGGGTTACAAAACAAGTAGCCCTAAAACGGGCTTGACAGACTCCCAGCAATAACATCAGCAACAGCTTTTCGTAATCGGGCAAATTATTGGACCTGCGCCCGACACATTGTTTCGATTAATTGTAAGCAGGACTCATCGAATCAAGAGATTCGGCTTCTCTGTGTACGACGTCTTTGATAAGATTTCCGCACTGTTACTTGGGCGGATGATTGATGAGGTCAGTAATACTGCAGCGTTGGTCACGACTTTCCCTGATATCTTGAAGGTTATTGAGTAGAAAAAAGGGGGGGGATGAATTTCTTAACACTTCCCAGTATAGTTTAATTGATTGTAGCCAACTTTATAAGCTGTTGACTGTAATGACCATAGATATAACGTTAACATATAGAAGCCTCTTCGTCGTTGGATCTTCGGGTTGGGATCCTTCTGTAGCCGGTGTCGCGAATCGTGTGGGGAGTTCTCTCCCGTATATATCAAAATCTTTAGGTATCAGATTTAGATGTGAAATGGCCTCCTAATCTTTATAGCCAGGTTCACCGATTTACTAGCACAGAAAGGCGTCCATGTATACAATTGATGCTCTCGCAGGTTCTATCAATTTTACGAAGTGTACTGGAGGTCTATTCCTCACGCCTGAAGCAGCTGGGGTTCTTTCCTAGACAATAGTAATTCAGCAATTGTCCCAGAATAGAAGATGTCAACGGCATGATGCTTCAGGCTGTTCGGTTCAGGTACCAGGCTGGAATGTAATCGTGGAGGTGGCCTTGACACGTTTATACTCTGCGGTACCTTCTAGTAGACTGTCGGTTTAAATTTCGACGGACAAGTCTGTCCCTGTCATTACAATTTGATTTTCACTTGAGCGATGGCCTTTCAAGATTGTTGACTGACTTTCAATGGTGTGGGAGCTAGTTCTTGACGGTGTCGAGCGGTCCCTGGCTATATGCTTTGGACGAGTGCTAACTAAGCTACCATTTGAATAAATTGATCAATGGTGAATGAATGAAAGATTGATTGCTTCTATCTGAGAGCGATCTAGTGTCTTGGCTAGTATATTGTGTTGAGACAATCTCACGGCATCCATCATGAATATCCTCGCTTGCTGTTTCATACCACACTAGATCATGGTTCGCATCAAAAAGCGGACCAATCTCGTAATTCCAAGTGAGATTCAATACTGCCGAGATCCGGAGTATTCTTGATGTGTATACGAGACTCGGTATGTTGCTTCCATTATTGGGGATTCATATGCGGAGCCGGCGTTGGCGACCTCTGTCTCGTCTTCATCACTCACGTATCCGAGTGTCTCAAGGTTGGCCATTGGAAATTTGATGTCGGGTGGGCAAGAGAACTGGCAGAGCTTGTGGAGTGTCGCAAATTCATCAGTGGACGACTCTTTCAACGCAGGAGAATCGCGTTCTTCCGTAAAAAAGCCACCACCCCCTAGCTCTCGACGGTAGCATGCTGCGAGCTCTTTCCGATACTGATTTGTACTTGCACCACGTTAGCTTGTGCCATACGTCACTCAAAACGAAGGGTGACGGTAGATTTGCATCAGAAATTAACAACATGCAAAAGGAACAAGCTGATACAATGCGAAATCTCGTTCTCAACACGAGGCTCGCAAATCAACGACATATCACCTCGTCAAAGCACCCATTCCAAAAATAGGATGTGGCGAATAGTCAGGTAGTAGCATGATCAACTCAACTCAACTCAATCACACACCAACGTCGAGAGCAATGAGAGCAAACTAGGCAGAACACGGACGTGAAGAAAAGGAAACATGGCACTTACCGTTGTGAGCAAAGGGAGGATAATCCAAGAGTAAACGAAAGGCAGTCGAAGAGGGATTGAAGAGTGGAATGATTTGCCAATTAAGGAAAAGGGCAGAATGAAAAAATGATTGAGAGCATATAATATACATGTGTTCTAAGGATATTAGGAGATCTCGTCCAACATCCCGACAAATATCATACCAAGGTCACCCTCACCAGCAAATTCGTATACTAAATCATTTAGTATGCGCGCAACTTTTCGGTCTAGCTGGGAGCAGACAGCCCAACACCCCCCCTGGGCAGTGTTGTTGACAGTCGAAAAGAGGAAGAAAGATTGAGAAGTGGGAGGAGGGAAATGGGGATATGTATATGGGTATCTGGAGTGCGCCCGATGTTTGTATCGTCATCAAACATAGTTACGCCCATTGTTTGCACGTACCGTGTCATACATATAGAGTACGCCCGACGTTTTGTACTCCGGGCAGCCCCGTTACACAAACATGATCATGTGCAACAAGGCCTACGACAATGAATTGTGGACGGGGTTTTCAGGTGTCACCAACAAGGTGGCAAGCTTCAAAGACAAAGAGGGGGATGGTAGTAAGACGGTGGTAAGCCGGGGATGGAGGACGGGAATAGCTTCATATGGAAGCCCTAGTCACGTGCTCTGTCGCGCCCATCCAGACTTCAGGAACCTCGTGTATCCAACACATGATCTTCAGTTGTTTCGAGGGTGTACTAGACCATTTCAGTAGTCATCTGGGCAAGATATCACTTAGTTTGCGGCGTGACTTTATGGTTAAAACACTCCTCACAACTCCTGTATATCGAATGAAGGCCTTCCCGTGGTTATATTAGCTGTACTGTAGTACGCAATACAAGTAAAAATATGAGCGAACTACTTTATTCGGTGACTGTCTTGTTCTACCGGGACTGCTGACGGTACGAAGTCCGCTGTCTATCTCGGCAAGGGTGTTCTGACAAAACAGTCTCGAGTAGCGTCTAGATAGCTAGTGTCCGTACAAAGCAAGTAATAAAATTCGTATCAGACTAGCAAATATGTAATCCGTAAAACGCCAGCACGAGACCCACAGTCTGATATCATCGAGTACTCAAATTGTCAGGTACTAGTCGAGTAACTAAGACGCATCAGACTGCAAAAGGATAAGACATATTGCAAACACATCTAAAAGCAAAGCAGTTCGTTCCGTTCAGTTATGAGGTAGATTCACGTCGCGTCATCTAGCAAGGTTCATAGAGTTGTTGTCGTGATTTCTTATTCAGCAGTCTCCGAATGTGTTCTCGCCGGAGTATCTACTCATCATTAGCATCATTTCCATCAAGCGGCATACTTAATCAAGAGAGACGTACGTAATGTATAAGAAACCATCCTCATCCTTGTGCTCCTCGTAAATACTACTCATCAACGCCGCAGTCGGCGGCAGCACCTCATCGACAAAGATAAAAATCGCCTTTTCGGGCGACAGCTTGATGCGCTTGCGGATTACGTATACGAACTGGCCGACGGTGAGGTCTGCGGGGACAAGGTATTTCTTCTTGTCGATGGTTGCGATGTCGGATTTTTCAACTTTTTCGCAGATGACCTAGCACTTGTCAGAAAGATATATACGATGGGAAGAAAGAAGACGTACCGGGATACGGTCGGCGTATTTCTGGCGGATTCGCTCGGCTTCGGCCTTGCGCTTCTCGAAGGGGTGCTCGTCTTTGAACTTGGATCGCATGGTTGCTGTGGATGTCAACGCTGATAGTCGAGTGTGTGAGTAAGATGGAGAAGACAAACCTATTATAAGGCTTCTAGATGTGAGGATAACGTAACGTAGGTGGTGGTGTTGATGAAAGATAGATGGAAATAGAGTGATGGAGATAGATGAAGTGACGATGGATGGAGTGGATGATGGCGAGGGGAAGTGGAGTAGGCAGCCAGACAAGGCTCAGCCAGCAGCCAGACTCCGAATGACTAATGGCTGCCCGCCTGACCGCCTTGTACACTGCCCAAGCCATGTGGCGGTGAACAGTATTCCATCTCTTTAATTCTCTCTTACTTTTATTGTATTTAATTATTCCAGATCGCATACTATTACTGCCCTATCTGGATCTACTCGATACACCATATATGGCGTACAGTATATACGATATCGTACTTCGTATGGATCGCGATAAGCTTGATGGATCTCCCGGCCCGCTGTAGCCCCGCAGACGTCCAGAGCATAGTGATACTAATTGCACATGATATTGTAAGGAGTATCATCTGCTACAATATCTGAGTGGTGACTTGTGACTCATTATTACTACGAGTCACAAGTACTCTGCTACTTCCCCTGCTACTTCCTACCGCGAAGCCTCCTGTTTGACTGTACACTTCTTGATTCAACTATCGTAATACATAACATCGTGCTACGCCTCATACACCCAGTACGGCTACCTCTTCTTCCTCCTCGTCTCGCGATGAGTCTCACTCCACACATCCTCGAACACCGTCTTCTTCGCCCCCGTATGGCCCTCATAAAAGTTAAGTTTGCGCACAACCTCCATAGCGCCCGTACCCAGAGACACCGTCTTGCCCATAATAATACACTCCGACACGCCCTCCACGCGGTCCGTACGACCCGTTCCGCCGGCGTCGAAGAGATGGTCAGCGGTCTTCTCAAAGGATGCCAGCTGCAGGACCGAGTCGCGCATTTTGGCCATGCCGAAACGGGTGATTCCTAGAACCTCGCCGTTTGTGGTCATGATATCTGCTAGAAGGTGCATCTAGGTTTAACAAGTCAGCACCTGTCTCCTCAAAGTTGTATCTGTTGGATTGCTTACATGACGTGGATCAATGTCCATGTCCTTCATGACTTCGCCCATCTCGTTGATGATAGTCTCTCGCGCTGCCTCAATGCCGAGAACTGCCCGCATCTCCATGACGTTATTGGTCTTTGTCCGCACTCCCTCAACTCCATCAGTATTCATACACGCCCGCAGCCCATATCCTTCAACCAGCAACTTATTAAGCCCGCGCTCAGAATGTATAATAGCGCGCCTGGCTTGTGGATGTCCCAAGACCTGAATATCCGGCAACATACGCTTGAGATGCTTCAAACGTAGATACGGGTCTGCACTCGTAGCGGCAATATCCGTCTTGCTCAGTCCGGCCTTGCTGCTCGGGTCCATATCCACTCGGACCTTGATATGCGATCGAAGGACGTCGACCGAGAGATCGCTTCCCTTGAAGCGGCGGTGACTCGTAATAGCCTCCCTGATTTGGGGGAGGGTCAACTCGAGCTGTAGATTTTCAATAGTGTCCCAGTTCAGTTTGACGGTAATATAACCTTCCTTGTCTGACCAGGACTCGCGTATGTAGTGAATGATATCACGCAAGAACGTCTTTTCGATTCTGCCCTTCGCGATACGTGCTGCGTGAAGTTTATCCGGGACGGCGAGGTGGCAGGTAATAACTGGAGTACTAATCTCTTTCGAAGCGTTGATAATTTCCTTGATACGGGGGACACCCTGCGTAAGTGCCAAGTTACCGACACCAGCAAAATGGAAACTATCCCGTCAGTATGTCTCTGCGTTCAAGGAAAAAGAAAAACTCACGTCTTCAGAGTCATCTGAGTACCAGGCTCACCAATAGACTGCGCTCCAACTGCACCCACAGCATGGCCTGGCTCGATCTTGGCCTTTTCGTATTTGAACAGACAAGACTTGATGAAATATCGCAATGATCCCTCCGACAGCTTTCCGACATGGTCAAGTGTCATTCGAGCTTCTTCATCCGAAAGAGAGTTGTCCATTGCTTTTTCCATAGCCACCACTTTTTTCTCAATGTGTTCCTGAATAGAGTCAAGGAAAGCACGTGCACCACCTAATTGATCAGTACCGTAATCGCTTTCGTCATTGTACGGAAGATCTTCGCCGAAGAGGCCTTTGCGGACATATCTCTTTCGTTCTTGGGAGAGTAACTCTTCTGTGATAGCCCGAATTTCTGACGGGCGCAAACCTCGCTCGTTATTATTGTGCGTAATAGCCATAGCGTGGTTATATGTTCGATCAAAGTGAACAGGTTTGGCTTTTCCCTCCATATCCACCGGATCCAAATCATCTCCACCATAACTGAATTGCACAATACTAGCAGATGACGTGCGAATAGTACCATCATACTTGGCCGACAAATCCTCCAAGGATTTCATCAAACGACGAGACATGTAACCAGTCTCGGCAGTCTTGACGGCAGTATCAATCAAACCTTCACGACCAGACATGGCGTGGAAGAAGAACTCAGTAGGCGACAAGCTGGAAAAGAAACTATTTCGCACAAAACCCTTTGACGGTGGATGACGGGCATTTTTCGGGAAATGAGGTAGCGTTCGGTCCTGGAAACCATCTTGCACACGCTCACTGCTGATAATCTGCTGACCGACGACAGCAACCATTTGCGAGACGTTGATACTGGAACCCTTGGATCCAGACGTGGCCATGATAAGAGGGGCGTTGTATTTGCTGAGCTGCTTGATACACTCCTCACCAGCTTGTTGACGAACTTTGGACAGAATACCAGAGACTTGACTCTCCATGGTCTGGAGCTCATCGCAACCAGGCAACTTTTCGAGCTTTCCGGCTTTGTACTGGGCAATGACCTCGTCACAAGCAGCATAAGCTGTCTCGACAAGTTCATTCTTCGTTCGAACCAGCCTTTCGCTGGGATAAACGTCTGTGATACCGATTGAAAATCCAACATTGGTAAACCAGCGGGCACACAGTTTAGACAACCGGTTCATTCCCTCGGCTGCAGCCGGTGGGCCGAAATCTCTAAGCATAATGTAGAAAACGTTGTCCTTCTTTCCAGATCCGATTGTACTCTTGTCCATGACACCGCACATAATCTCCGAATTTCGAATGACCAACCAACCGTCGTTGGGATCTAGATCTTTTGGCTGTCCGTCTTTTGGCGCCTTGAACTCTCGACAAGCTGCATCGATGTTGACTTTGACGGGATCGTCTTTGTTTGGACGCATAAGGATGTTGAATACCTGCTTTCCGGTCCACATCATCTCAGGCTTGAGAATAGCCGGAGGTGGAAGGTCGAATCGCGTTTCCGGTCCAAGCATATACAAACAGATCTGAGTAAAAGATCTTCGATCAAAAAAGTTGTCCTTGCTACTCAACACATATGCCGCACTAATGAAATCCTGAATAGCTCCAATAATTGGCTCTCCGTTCTTTGGCGTCACCAGGTTGTTCTTCACACCCATAAGTTCCATCGCTTCAGAACGAGCTTCCTCAGTTTGAGGAATATGCAAATTCATTTCGTCACCATCGAAATCGGCATTGTACGGATTGCAGACACACTCGTTCATGCGGAATGTCCTATAAGGGCGGACCTTGACAAAATGTGAAAGAATACTAAGTTTGTGCAAAGATGGCTGTCGATTATAAAGCGCAATATCGCCGTCAACAAGATGACGTTCCACGAGATCTCCAATCTGCAGCTGCTTGGATATCGAGTCCAGACTTCTTGCAGAGTGTTTCAACGAGATTGTCAAACCACTGTCCTTTTTGATGACTTTTTTAGCACCGGGCCATTTGTTGATACCATTGCGCACCAGTTTCTGCAAGTATTCCAGATTGTAACGAGTCACAATCTCCGGGTAGGTCATGTTTTTCGCAACTAGTTCCGGAACTGCAACCTCGTCAATTCGTAGATTAGGGTCTGGTGAGATGACGGTACGTCCAGAAAAGTCGACACGTTTTCCTGACAAGTTACCACGGAATCGACCTTGCTTTCCTTTCAAACGAGAAACCAGCGACCGAGTCGGTTTGCCAGCCTCGCCTTTCAGACCAGGAACATCACCATTGATATAGATAGCTATCTGTAGCGTCATGTAGTCCCAACATTCCATCAAAGTCGGAACCGGCGCTCCCTTTCTCAAATTGTTCCTCAGTGTGATGTTGCTCTGCACAATATCACCGAGTTTGGCAGTCAAATCATCTTCGTTAGATGCGCCATCCTGGCTCACCGAAGGACGAATACAGTTTGGCGGAGCAGGAATATACTGCCAGAGAAAAGTCTCCGGACGGACTTCCGTAGGATCCAAGCCCAGAAGCTCACAGTCCGAATTCGTGATCTTCTTGAACAGATTCATAACCCGAAGCGCGTGCAAATCATCTTGCGCCTTCTTGTAAAATCTGTCAACATCTGGATTCGAAGCTCTGGCTTCCGCTAGAGAATTATCAAAGACAATTTTGCTAATAGGCGGGACCTTTTTCGCAGAGGTCGACTGATTGAAGTGGCGGAACTTTTCGTGCACGATTTTCAGCGCCGCCGTACCGGCCTTTTTCACCACACCATTAATCGCACCGCATCGAGGACAATCTCGCGTCTTCTTGCATCGCTCAACAACTCTCTTCGCAACCTGCAATCGCCGCAGATTATCCAGCCTCGGCCGCCGCATCTCCTTCAAGAACGCGCGCCTCTCGGCCTCCGGCAACAATATCGCCGAACATTCCTTGCAAATAACCTGCAAAATGCCAATAACTCTCTTGAAATATCCAATATGAAATGCCGGAAGCACTAATTTCACATGTCCGAAATGGCCGTTGCAGTCCTTATGTCCTAAACCGCATGTCAAGCACGTTTCCATTTTACCACTGATACCGAGTCTGCGATCAAGGGGGCCATTTTCTTGCACGACGCGATCTCGCTCGAGATCGTAGAATCTTCGGTCCGAGACTTCGACGACGGCTTGGCTGATAACATCGTTGTCTGATCTATCGCGACGTTAGCGTCGAAACTTCGTCGCAGACAAAGAAGAGAAGGAGAATGAAACTTACAATGCGCCGAATTTCAGCTCCTTGATAACCTTTGGCACGTTATCAATTACCTGCGCCTTTCCCAGGCTGACTTTGATTTCGCTCTGCATCATCGCAGTTTGTCTTTCTCAGTAATACGCATTATAACTGATGACTCAGAGTGTTGGTTCGCTAAAGAGTGTTAATCGCACTGAACAGGTTGTGAAATTCAGTGGTCCGGTATTCCATGTAGGTCAATATCAAAAGCTACAGCCCATAACACCACTGAATGTAAACTGTAGGTCGTATGAAATGAGAGAGGGAAATGTAAATTCAAAGTCTGCGGGGGTTGGCGACGATTTTTTGCGGCGAGGAAAAAGCTAAGCTTGCGGCCCCTCTCTGCTTGCTTGCTTTAAGCTAGTCCCATTTGGGATGTGTCACCAAACGGGATTCGACAAATGGAAGCATTTACATGGACATATTCTATGGATTTAGCTAATTAGTGAATGGTGTAAATATTGCGTAGAGCAGCACAAGGATCACTCAGAAGAAGGTTTCGTTGATCTTCAGATATTTGAGATATGAGAGATATCGACCTCCATACATCCATCAAGCATGATAAGCACCGATCCCTTCTACACCATCCTGTTCACCGTATAACTCATTATTTTCATCATCCACAAACTCGAAACACATGGCCCTCCAGTTCAATTCTTTTCTCCAATGTAGGCCGTAATATACTTCCCTTTTTTGTGTCTTTCTTCCATCTTCGTTGCCATGATCATCATTATTTTCATTATCATTAGTAGTATCCTCAGATCTTTCAAGCCCTCCTTTACTCAACGGCTGCAGTACTTCCATCGAAGCTAACCCTCCAGTCACAAGCCTCCCCCGTCGCAGAAATGTGATCGCCCTAAACCGCGATAGTAGCACACCCATCGAACACGCCAAACATGGTTCGTGCGTGATGTATATGTCCAAATCCGTGCAGAGATAACCACCCGCAGCGCGAGAAAGAATCCTCCCCGTAGATTTGTCAGTATTTGTATCTGTTGTATACTGAGACGAAGACGGGCGACACAAATAATGCGACTCGAGAGGCGTAAGCGTCGTATTTCGTATGGTAGCAGAACTGTCCGTCGAGGTGGCAACTTTATCGTCCCTCCGTCTCGTAGCCACCATCTCAATCGCTCGCATGATGGCGTGAAATTCTGGTCCACCCTCACAATCAACCTCATATCCTCCCTCCTTTGCTTCCCCTCGATTTAAAAGTCCAGGCGCACAATATCTTGCATCGCCCGCAACAGCCACAACGCCATTATCATCGGGGTTACCGCGATCATTAGAGCTAGCAGCAATAGCAGGATCAACGATAACTACCCCGATCCCCCTTCCCCTCCCCATTTGTTTCGCTTCCCGCGCAACTCGGCCAGCTAACGACAAATAATAGCCCGCTTTGGGCGCAACGCTTGTCTGCGTAACGCTCAAGATCTTGGGCGGAGGCGCAATCATGCCACGCGGAGAGGCGGCGTTGAAGCTTGTTGGCCAGTAGTTTTTAGACCATGTTTCTGCTTGATGAGCGTTGAAGGGGGGTTGGAGGGGTATTATTACGCGGTGGATAGGGATCGATGATGTTTCTGGCTCGCCAATTTGTTGGTTCGATAGTGAGGAAAACACGTATGGTGATAGAAGTTTCCTCAGTTGCTCCTCTTCGGGTAATGCCGGTGGTATCAGGACGAATATCGTCACTGGTGGTGGTGTTTGTGCCGGTTCATTCTCTGATAAGGCAGTTCCATCCCACTTTACTGCTTCTTGCAATGCAATACATGATCTCTCATTTTCAATCTGTTTCTTGATTGCATCCGGCAAAAATTCCCTCTTCACAAATCTCCGAAGATGTGTGAATGGAGTATTCAAATCTTTAGGGAATGCCTTGTCGAGTACTCTTCCACCTGTTAATCATGATATCCCTCATACAAAGTATTCTAGAACATACTTGGTGACCTGCGAGGCACATTTCTGTATTATCTCAACAGTGTATGCATCTCCTATATGATATTAGAAACGATCCCGTCAAATTTTAAGGGAAAAACGAACCGAATTCAAAAGTAGGATTTGTCTCCTGCACAGTTGGGACGGGTACGATGTGCCCTTTCAACGGGGTAATCTCTGGCCCATTGTATCCCTGGTCAGACACATCCATAATTTCTTTCTTTTGGAAAGTCATGATCAGCAAGTCGAAAATTTGTAGTTCCGGTCGATATTGTACAGGGTTTGTGCCGCACTAATCCCGATTAAGAATCGTGCTGTCTGCTTCCGCAGCTAACCCGACTAGGCTCAGATATAAAAAGCTTGTCTTGGCTGTCAATATACATCGTTCAAAGGTTAAAGAATGTGATAAATTGCACAAATATATTATCTGCGATAATAATGCTCAAGTTCCACTACCTGTAATGCTAGTGATGAGACAAATAAATACAAGAAAGTAAATCGAGACTCGAAATAAAAGTCGTATACTCATTTCGACAGAAACCCGAGAAATACGTGAAAAAAAGCCGCCCGAACCTTTTGAGCCACCGACCGAAAGAATAAATCAGAAACACCGTCAGATGATCTCTCTAGTTTTATGAGATGATGGTAGGAATGAGAAAATAATGATAATGCAAGTAACCGGAGATATGCAATAATAAAAATCAAAAGATGAGATTAGGTTGATGGTGGAGTAGCAACCACGCCTTCCATGTTGCTCGAAGCCGCGGACACCAAGTCAGACTGCTCAGGCTCTAGCGCGTATCCCTCGCATCGCTCGACAAGACTCAGATAGTAGTCAACCAGCACTTCAGGCTGCGGAACAATTTTCCATTCCMCCCGCCACAGAAAGTCCAGCTCGAGCATCGCCAGTTCAGTGATTGTGATACCTCCAACCCGAGCATACGTCTTGTTGGTCCAGAAGCTATCACTGAGACCCTTGCTGGCAACCGTGGCACTCACAATCAAGAAACGATGGACCGTCAGACTCGAAACAGTGAAAGCAGGATATAGAGCACATAAACGATCGATATAATATACCATGCTGAGAAGAATAGGAGGCGATAACGTCGCATGTGTCGTCAAACGCTGTAAATAATCTCGCACCGATATACGGGGTGGTGTCCGTGAGTGAAAACGAGTGAGTCGACCACCTTGTAGCGGGATGGTGTCGTTATATTGAATCAGTTCCATGATCATGCTTGAAATCAAAATCACCAAATCGTTCGGATGCACCAGTTCATAGCGTCGAGGTAGCAGTTTGACGGCCGGTACTGGCGGTCGTAATCGCTTCAACCGACTCTGTTCTGTTTCGTCTCCATTCGGCGTCGTTTCTATCTCTCTATTTGCCGTGCTGACAGCTTGCTCGGTGCCGTCGCCCAATTGACGTTTTCCTTTCACATCTGAGGGCGAAATAGCAGTCACGCTCGTGACTGTACTTGGGTTGGTGATCGGCATCTGAGGTACAGCCGCCCCAGGCTGTGATTGGGGTTCGGTCTGGGCAGGCTGAACGGTATCATTATTATCCGCACTGGTCGTATTATTGCTCGCATTAGTCAACGCCTGGCGGGAGTCGCCCCCAAGGGTGTCTGCGGACATGCAGCCGCGAGAATGATCCCCTGAGGGCCCCGCGGGATCCTGCGAGGTGGTAGTGGCGGCTACAGTGTGGKTCTTCAGAGCAGCGCGTAACTCCTCTACGCTGTGAGACAATAGCGAGCGAGACGCGGAGGGACGATGCTGGCGAAAGGCAGGGGACGAGGCAGAGGTGGTAACTGCGGCGGGGGCGGCAAATGGKGAAGGAGAATTGAAGACTGAGTAGGGAGATACACGCGAAGACGCGGCAAATTGAGCGGCGGCGCCGCTACTGGATGGGCCGCTTGCAGCTGCTGGAGAAAAGTGCCTGTTATTAGGGGAGCATGCCCCAGACTGGAAGCTTGTAGAGGATGGAGACGAAATGATCATGGCTGGCATGTTTGCGTGACAGTGCTCGACTCAGCGGCCGCGATCCAGCCACGTGCCACACCAAACGACAGGGACGGAATAGCGCAAGACTCGACAAACATGCCACTAACCATTCTTGGGCTAATAGTGGTGAATGTTCTCTGGCTAGTGTTGTTAAGTAACTTTAAGTATGGCGACTACTCCTGTCACATCTGGTGGTTGCGATAGGAACAGATGTAGGTACAAAAGACAAGGAAAGGAGAAGGATGAGGGGATGCTGCAAGGCGGGAACGCGGCATATATGAGCCTATTAAGTACATAATAAGAGTCAGTCAGTCAGCCCAGCAGAGTCAGCAGAGAGCAAAATCCCACAAAACAATCGCTGCCCCTTCCCGGTTTTCGGCTCCTCGCTCTCTGGTCTATACCCCCGTTTGGGTTTAGCCTCTATAATCCATTAGATATGATTGGCGGAGACGCCCACGAACTGCAAATTGACCTGTCAAGGCGATCGACCCTAGTCTGGAAGAGGCTAGCCTGTGCGAATTTTTCTATCATACGTAATGCTTACCAGACTTTTCTCGTGTTTTGCTGGCTCGCTTGGCATGACTCAGCCGGTAGGATGTATGGTATTGTCACGCTGACGATCAATCATGTGTGCCTACAGTGCCTAGGCGCTGGCTAATTCGCTCATAAAACCCTATGCTATCTGCTTTGGCAGTCTGGATTATTCCATCTGCACAACCCATGCCAGTGGTTCAGCAGCCTCAACCGAAGGTGATCCGGGGTAATTAATAAAGTGTAAGCTCCTAAGTGGGCAGTGGGCACTCAGCACGAAGTTTTACGTAATGCCACACCACCCGTATAGAGATGCTCTTTTGGGAATGGGTTTGCTGTGAAAAATGGACATGATGCATGCCGGCTTTCCGTCAGGTACCCCCGTAAACATGAAATATTGCCCTTCTGGGACAAGTGTCATGCAGCTAATTTTTCACAAGCAAATTGAATGCAAAGCGACCCTGAAACATCAGCCGTGCCTGCCATTATGGCCGGCCTAGGCAACACTATAAGTTACACAACTATCCAAAGTCTCATGAAACACCTGAGAATTGATGGAGACATCGAAAATCCAGTCAAAAACGTGCCAGAGTTGCGCCGACTCTAAAGTGCGCTGCGTTCGCAATGGAGACGACGTGTGTAATCGGTTCGTCGCTCCTTTTTACTTTGCGAGGGTATGCTAAGTCGAATGAGGTGTACTCGCCTAGGTAGGCCCTGTGTTGATCGCAAAGCACGTCGGCGCTTTCATGGATTCCAGAAGGATTTGTATGTAGACCCCTCGGACGTATTCATAAGCCTGAGCTGACTTTAGCATAGAAAAATAAAGGCCCTTGAATCTCAGATTGGCAAACTTACTCAATCACGGAACGACTCATTTGATGACCTTGACAGCCTTGATGGAGTCAACAGACGTTCAACCGAGGAAGAGGACGTTGTTACTCGGGGGGTCCTTTCTATGCAGACTGCTACATCTCTGCTGGACACATTCAGGGAGACGATGACACCTCATTTTCCGTTCGTTATTATTCCCCCAGAGACATCGGCAGAGTACCTTCGCCGTGAGAAGAAATTTCTCTTTCTGGCTATACTTGCGTCGGCATCGTTCGCAGACATGCCATTGCAGCGAAGATTGGGCATGGAGGTGAGATTGGCGGTAGCTTCTCGTATGATCGTAAATGGTGAAATGTCATTCGAACTACTACAGGGATTGCTGATTTATCTTGCATGGTAAGCATCTTCTATGACTTATTCAGTTTTCTTGAACTAAACCTTCAAAGCATAAATGCTGACCGCGTCAAGGAGTCATTACCACTCACGGCCAAGCCCATATACACAATTTTTGCAATTGGCTATTAGCATTGTGATCGAGTTCCGCCTCGACAGGCCACCACTGACAAAGACTTGGAAGACTCCTCTTAAATTCAAAATCGAGTACGATACTGAAGATAAGACCTGCTGCAATCGACCATCTTGGGGTCTGGACGAGAAAAGAGCCATTGCTGGTTGTTACTATTTGTCGTCAACGTGAGTTCAACTTGTCTTTTCATATTGCTTTCTTTTCATGTTAATTCTTATTTTCCGCTAGAGTCGCGGTTTTGATACAGAAGCAATTCCACTTCCCTCACAGTTCATACATTGAAGACTGCTGCAGAACAGTTTCCGACACAGCGAAAGCTCCTTACGACAAATACCTATTTCATATGATCCAGTTACAGCATAGCGTTGACAAAATCGATCAGTTATCAGCTCGACACGCGTCCGAATTGGGAAATCCTGGTTCAGGGGCAGAGTTATATATCACATCTTTGATCGCGGATCTGGAGGCATTTCAGATTAGGCTGCCTTTTCGCATATCTGATTTTCGTGAGTGACCTCCTCGTTGCAGAAGAGCTCGGATTAATCCTTCCATAGCGCTCCTTGCAATGCAATTTCATTCGGCAGAGTTATCCATATACCAATTGAGTTTGTCTGGCCTCAAATCACCGGTATCAGCTCACGCTACGCTCAATTACCTCCTCAGGGATGAATTATTGAGCAAAGCTCTCATGGCAGCTGAGTCATTGATCAATGTATATCTTGCGCTGCCGCTCGACTCGGAAGCCGCGCTTAACAATACGCAATGGATGCAACTAGGATTTGCGACGCTAATTGCCAGCAGGCTGCTTGTTGCAGTGACACCATCACAGACTGGTATACGCGCTACAGACATGGCTCAACGCCGGGTATTATGGTCGAATATGTTAGTGCAATGCAGGGCACGAATTGATATCTTATCTACCGAGCAGGTAGATTCAAATGGAAACAGAAGTGTCTTTCATAATTTCCGGCAGCGTCTCATTCGGATCCAGAAGTGGATTGATGAGGCGAGTGAGAGTATAGGTCCTTTGGATAAGCCGCAAGATCAGTCACGTATAGAAGGAATCTCAGCGGACGAAAGCTTTGGAAATTACTTCTCGATATCTCAAGACGATCTATTCGACTCTATGTTTGATCCTATGTTTGGCGATTGGGCCAACGATACCGGATTTAGCGGGTGATCAACATGGTTGTCACACTTCAAGACATCTTATACTGCGTGTTATTCAAAATTCGTACTCGCGGGGTCATTTCTTTACGTTCCAAAGGCGATGCAGTCAATATCCTGAAACATGCCGAATCGAGTTCGCCGTTCCGTGCGGCAGTGTACGAGCACATTTCCGATCCGAATTTCTGATTAAAAGATTTTATCTTGTACTCCTATTAGGGCAAGACTTCTATCTCCGAGCCGAGGTGAACGCTGTAAGGGATTCCAACACGTCAAAAGTCCATGATACTCTTCTTTCGTTGAAGAGCTCCACTACTGGTGTAATACCTCAATTTTGGCTTTCACAGCTCTTATTTCGATCTATCCCGGATTATAATGTTGGGTTCGCTAAGTTGGCAGCTGATACAGAATCTAATGCGAACTTGAACGCGCATGCAGATATCGTGGGTGATGTCATTATCGATGCATTGATAAAGATTGCTCTCTCGAATGCAGACTCTACGTTTTCTGGCACTTATACTGCAAGTTGATTGAACTCCTCGATATCTGTCTCTGTGGATCCCCTCCTTGGAATGATTATTGATTTATTCATAAACAACAGCGCCGACTTTCGGTACCACTAGCAGCACTGTATAATGTCGATGATTATAATGCGCTAAAAATGCAATTGTATTACACGCATTTGTCATCTAGAATAGAATCTGGAGGATTAATTCTGTCATTTTGGCGGTATAAGAAGACGAGGATGACTTTGCAGATGCTGGAACCCCAACTTGTGTCTCTTGAAGAGACGTTGACAAGTACAAATATGGGGTGCTGCGCTTGATTTGTTCGTCTTTGAGTTGGATGCTAGTGAGAAGGCATTGCTGTAAAGATTCTGGCTTTGAGGGTGACGCTGGGGGTTGATTGAGATGTGCGTTTGCTTGCCCATTATTTACCTCTGCCATTCTTTCCGTGTTTGAGAAGCTAAAATAATTCATTTGATACGAATTTAATACTTCGAGATACCCTAATAACATACGCATCTTTGGAGAATATACAATCCAGTCGGCGGGATTGTTGTTATTGACGACGTTGTGCCTGCAACTGTCAATCTGTTCCAGTCGTGCTCGCATACACCACAATGTAAGGTCCAGTCGAACTCGAACATGCACTTTATCAAGGCTTTGAGAGGAATCTCAGTACATACAGAGCCGCTCGCAGGGTTCCAAAGTTGTGGTCGTTCTAGGCGTACCATGTCCGTCGAGACGAATACCAACGACTGAAGGAGCTCAACAGGCGATTTATGCAGGGCTTTGTTGATTTGGGGGGGGATACTTAGCAAAAGGCTTTGCATGCAAAGATTTGGCGTTATTTGGACATCTAAAGTAGGACCAAATAGTGATTCGATTACTGGAAATAATATGAAATTTGCAGTAGCATATAGTTTATACTTGTTCATCGGCCAATCAAATTGTAGTATTAACGGCTCTCGGCGCCAAAACCCGAAAGCTAGCTCTGACACGTGACTGTGACTATGTAAATACGCTACAATAACGGATTTACCCGTGCAAAAGAGAATAACACGTGATAAAGATACCGCTGCCTGGTAAGATACCGTATTGATGAAAGCTCATGCCAAGAAATCGAGACCGCATACAGCAGGCAGTGGTATCATCATCATGCTTGCGGACCAGCAGCGCCCTCTTCCATTATCAACCACAACTCCACAAATTCAGTTGGTATCTCAGGCGGACGAGATTGATCTGAAGGGACGTGCAATAAGGTTCCTAGATTCTATCAACAGTACCCCGCACAACGTCCCGAACTACCCACCAAATCCATTTGCCATCGTTACTTTCACATCTCCAGTACGGTACGCCATTGATACTACCACTTCACTTCTACCCATCGAACTAGTCGTCTCTCAGTTGCAAATACCGGCAGCAGTATCAGCTTATCGAGGGCGCATTCCGTCCTTTCTTCGATCTACCGATCGATAGCGGCCGCGGGAATAAGAAGCACGTCTCGTCACAAGATGGCCCGGGAGGAGGGGCCGCTGCTCAATCGATTACTGAATGCCACTTCCGTCTCCGAACAGACAGTAGCACTGCGGGCGCTGAAACATGAAATAATTGGTCACGATCAGAGGAAGGAGAGCTGGGTCAGTTCGGGCATTGTGCAGATATTATCACGGATTTTGGAATGCTCGTCACGAGAAGAGTATGAGGCGAATAAGGAAGTCGTGTCCGGTGGACGGCGGGGAGGGGACCTTACAGGCAGGGCATTGATGACGGAGGAGCAGGAAATTTGCTTGCAGGCTGTTATTATCATGGGCAGTTTGGCTCAAGGTAAATGCACTCGGTTTGCTAGGGTAGAGTCAACAGCTAACAGCAGTTTAGGTGGCCCTGCTTTTATCTCTCCCATAATGGCCAGTGAAGCCATTCCTTCTATGCTTGCCATTATCTCGTCAACCGATTGCCCACAGTTGCTTACAGTCGCCATTCTCAAAACGCTAAGCAACATCGCGGATCGCTACCCACTCCAGAATATAAATTGGCCTCAGGATAACCGTCTGGCAGAGATAATGTTTACTCCTGAAACTATTGGATGTTTTGCTCGTATAATCGCTTCAAATTCGTCCTCTGTAGCAACACAAACATGCGCAACTTTTGCTGCGAATATCATCACCAGATTATGCACCGAGGAGACTCATAAGGTCGCTTTGGCGGAATTTGGTATTCTGGATGCTTTAGCCTTGAAGATTGCATCTTTTGTCGTTTCCCAAGGATTTGTATTACCCGGTGCAGAGAATCATCTAGGTCAAGACGGAGCATTGTCTATGCTCCCGCAGCCAGCTCCTCCAGCAGCAAAACTAGGCCCAATCCTGCGTGCGACTTCAATCATTGTTGAGAATTCAAAATGGCGTGCAGAACATTTTCTTTCCTCGCCGGGCATTGTGACCGTGTTCCCGGGACGGCTTCCGGAATTCTCGCCTACAGACATCAAGAGGAATCCATGGGGAATGCCGTATCTGTCAGGATCGGCTGTTCCCCGCCAGAACCATACGAATCCAATGGACGCTCTACTTCCCGTTGTTCCTCTTGCGCAAAACAATGCTTCTACAAACTTTCCACCTCTGGTCCCAATCGGGTCGTTTCATAAGCGCTCGCTCTCGTTTCTAGAGGCGCCTTCGTATGAAGAAGACGAGAGTGCACTTGTGCCGTGGCTGTTCCACATGGTCAGAACAGAGAATGGCATGTCTCGTGTGATGGCAGCTCGGCTAGTCACTGGTCTGTTCAGACTTGGATTAGCTAGAAAGCATCGGATTCCCATGTTCAACTATCTGGTAACTCCGTTACTACTCAGGATGCTTGACAAGGACTATGATTTCAGGGACGAATCGGACCCTGAATTTGATGGTATGATTCCAACGGCTATAAGTCTGAAAGAGGAGATACCGTCAATTATCGCTACATTGGTCATGGACACGCAGGAATTGCAAAAACATGCTGTTGAAGCAGACGCTATCAAGATCCTCTCCCAGCTTCTCAAAGAAACATACAACCCACACTCCGAAAATGGCAAACCCATGTGGTACGCCGAAAGCAAAGACAAAGATATGTTATCGGCTGTACCAGCAACTCTGCAATTGGGGCCTGTTGGCTACAGTCCGATGACCTGTCATATAATGCGATACCGAGAAGGTATTTTGCGGGCGTTAGCAGCGCTCGCACCATTCAGAGACGAATATCGAAAGGCAATTTGCGAAAACGGAGTTGTTCCTTACATAATCGACTCTCTCAAGCCTCGACCGCCAGTGGAAACGCAGGATATAACAGGCACAAAGACTACCGCTGCAGATGGCAATTCTATACCCACTCTGCTTGCAGCGTGTGGTGCCGCCAGGGCTCTTACGCGTTCTGTCAGTGTGCTAAGAACGAGTCTGATTGATGCGGGAGTCGCTACTCCTCTGTTCGAGTTGATCAAGCATCGGGATATTGAGGTAAAAATAGCAGCGACATCGGTAATATGCAACATTGCACTGGATTTCAGTCCTATGAAAGAGGTACTTACCTTGTCTTTATAATATGGATAATGAACTAAACAGAGAACAGGCGATTATATCTGCTGGTATCCTTCCTATCCTTTGCGATCATGCTCACTACAACAACACGAAACTTCGCTTGGAGTCACTTTGGGCTCTCAAGCATATTGCATATAACTCGACAAATGATATCAAAAACAGAATTGTGACTGGTCTTGGTGCCCCGTGGCTAGCAGAAATCATGTCAATGGACCCAACCAGTCAACGAAGTCTTGCGGCAGACTTCAAGATGGGTATGGGAACATCCAACTCGGCTGGTGAAAAGGTTGACTTGCTCAACCCGATGGAAGATGCTTCTAGAGCGGAGGAATCAAGAGACGATGCACTAGCAGGTGGTAGTAGTCTTGATGCTCTTCTCGCGGACCCAAATCGACGGAAAAAACTGGCCATGAGCGGGGAGATCGATCAGTCACGGCAGGCGAGACAAGATGACATCGCAGTACAAGAGCAAGCCCTAGACTTGGTCCGCAACATCATGTGTGGGAACGGTGCAGCGGAGATTGTCGACTTCTTTCTCGCCGAAATTGGTCACCACCAGTTTTTGAGCATATTGGCAGAGAAAATGCGACCGAGACCAAATCCCACTCGACGCGACACCGCAGCGAATCCTCCTCCACCACCAATGCCAGCCGAAATTCTCGTTGCAGTTACCTATGTACTCGTCAATCTCGCAGCTGGGCCACCCAAACAACGAGACCTTCTATTCACACACCGCGAACTTCTCAAAAATCTGATGTGGCTATTTGAGCACCCCAACCGCGTCGTCCGAGTAAATTGCGTCTGGGTAGTGATCAACCTAACGTACGAGGACGACCAAAGCGATCGCTCAGCATCCCACGATCGAGCAGTAAAACTCAAATCATTGGGCGTGATAGATCGCCTTCACAGTGTCGAAGAAGATTCAGATTTGGATGTACGAGAACGAACAAAAACAGCTCTACACCAAATCCGCAAATATATAATGGCATAGAGTCCTCTGATAGAGACTCGTTTGCTTTTTCCGAACTGTTTGAATTAATATTCATGACTCATTCATGTACATGGAGAAATGTCTTTCATTCACGGGATACTTGGACTATTTAACATCTTTGGCATCGTTGAGCGAGGTTATTATTTATTTATGGTACATTTAGCAATGAAATGTGATATTAACATACATATTAACGATAGATGTCGATAGGATTGATAATCTATATGCCCCGCAAACGTCATAAGACCCACGCCTTAACATTCATACAATAATATGTCAGTTGATATTTCAATTTTCATTCAGTTCTCACCAAACGAAGGACATTATATATATAAAGAAACCAAAATCAATGGCACCAGTACCTCCATCCGTTCTTCGCGCCCTATCCCTCCCTCTTGATCTCACCCCCTCAAAAGCTACTCTATCAACCTCCGGCCTAGGATCAGGCTTCTCCAACACGGGACGCATCACAATCTCCATACCAAAACCTCAGACAAACAGTGGTTTGTCTGAAGAAGACGAAGAGCAGAGACAATACTTCCTCAAAACCTCACCCGACGGCGAAGAAATGTTCCAAGGCGAATTCGCCTCGTTGAACGCCATTGCTGATGCCGTACCTGGTTTCTGTCCTAGAGCTTTAGGATGGGGTCCTCTCGACAAGGGCAAAGGCTACTTTCTAGTCACTGAGTTCCTGGATTTGTCGGGTCGATCATCTCGCCTATTTACCACAAAATCGTCCAAAACGAGTCTTGCGTACAGATTGGGAAAGTTACATAGCACACCTATCTGTTCGTCATCCTCTTCGGCAAAACGATATGGCTTTCCGGTACCGACGTACTGCGGAAATACGCGCCAGCCAAATGAATTTTATGACTCGTGGGCGGAGTTTTATGCGAATGAGCGGTTACTCATGATCCTGAAAGAGTCGGAGAGGAAGAATGGATCGGACGCTGAGCTACGAGATTTAGTCACCAGGACCGCGGAGACGGTTGTGCCGCTTTTACTTGCGGACGACCACCTGGGCTATGACTACCGCGGACAAGGGGAAGGAATATATCCTGTCGTCATCCACGGAGATTTGTGGAGCGGGAATGCGAGTCAAGGCCGCATCGTTAAACCCTCTCCTTCTCCTTCCGCTGAAAACGAAGGCGACGGAGGAGGGGTGGTATACGACCCCTCAGCTTGCTATGCGCATAGCGAGTATGAGCTAGGGATTATGCATATGTTTGGCGGGTTCGGAAAGGCGTTTTTCGAGGAATATCATTCCATTGTCCCGAAGACAGAGCCGGTGGAGGAGTATGAGGATCGGGTAAAGCTTTATGAATTGTAAGTCTTCTTTCTCGCCTCATTCCTCGATTTATGCGGTGCTGATTTGGGTTATGTAGGTATCATCATTTGAATCATCATGCTATTTTCGGAGGGGGGTATAGGTCTGGTGCTGTTGCGATTATGGATAAGTTGATCAGCAAGTATGGACGTGGTTAATACATCGCCGGAATCGAGACTGATTGTTAGTTCTCGCTGTATGTACATGTAGAAATAGATTGTTGGGGTTTGTAAAAGATATGGAACGTGCACGGACCACCTCTATCAAAGGCGATCCCGTGATTTCGATTTTTATGACATCCATTCATCCCAACTTCTTCACCAGGACAACACCTGGCCGTAAAAAAAAGACAAAACGATGGCAGGGCACCACAACCGAGCCAGAAGGGGCGGCGGCAACCACCCCGCTGCCCGAAACAATCCTCACAACCGTCCACATCACCATGGACCTCCTCCTGCGCGCGCAGTAGCAGAAGAGGTAGGCCACAAAATGTCGCCTCAACAACAACGACAGCATCAACAACATCATCAGCAACAACCGCCCACAGGACCAAGGGCAATGCAAATATTTAATCCGCATCCATCTTTTATTCAGGTCGCGAAACCGTATGTTTTTGAACATACGATTCAGGAATGTCTATCGGCGACGGGAGTTGATCCGCAGCGCGAAGATGATATTCGGATTTCTGGCGTGACGTGGATTGATAATGTTCGCAAGGCTCTTCGACTGTATGTCGTTATCGTCTTCTCAATTGCTCAGTGATGCCGTCGCTGATATTGTATAGACCCGTGAAAACGTATAATACTGCATGTGTGTATTACCACAAATTCAGACTCGTTCATCCCGACAGCCAGTACAGTTATATGGTAAGTCTCCTGCATCGAATCGCCTTGAACATGTTATTGACTTGTCCAAGGATGCTGCGGCCGCAGCTTTATTTACTGCCTGTAAGATTGAAGATACCCTTAAGAAGAGTCGCGACATCGTGTGCGCTGCATATAACCTGAAACTTCCTCCATCGGAGCAAGTCTCACCTGACGATGCCGTAAGCTCCTTCCACCCCCGCATAGATTTGAAGATTGATTATTAATTTGCATAGATATTCGACCAACATTCCCGGGGAATCATCATCCTCGAAAGACTGATGCTCGAAGCATCAGGTTTCGATTTCCGCAGTCGACACCCTCAAAAACTGCTCGTCAAACTCCTCAAGCAATACGGCTTGAAAAGGGACAATGAAGTCGGCATTCTCGCGTACTGCATTTCTCTTGATTTGTATCGCACTTTTGCGCCGTTGAAGCAGACTACGGGGACCATGGCGTTTGCATGTTTGGAACTAGCGTCTCGTCTTCTTGATGCTGGATTGAAAGATGTTGAGGCTGGAAAGGATTATGAGGATTGGAACCTAGGACGTGCTGAAGTCATGGGTACGCTTCTCTCTTCTGACTCCACCACACACCATCAGAATAACTGACGAGAGTGATAATAGAAACACTGCTGGACCTACTCGATCTATACATTCATCATCGATCGTCCACGGTTGTCGGTCCCGAATACCCACTCGAAGCTTTCCTCGCAATCCGCATTCCGCTCAATAAACAGAGTGAAGACGAAGGACTACCCCGATTCACCCACTGGCGAGATAGCAGGGTTTCTGTATCAGTCAACATCAAAGCAACCAACGGCACCGGTCCAAAACACGGCAAAAACAACAAACACAAAGGCAAAGGCAAAGGCAAAGACCAACGAGACCGCGAATTCGAGAATGCGGCCCCAGCGGCAGTGGGCCCTCCACCGAATCCGCTTACGCCGGTATCTGCGAATGGTGAAAAGCCAGGTTTGAGTGATCGAGGCCGCGATGGGACGGTACGCTTCATGTTGGATGTCGAGCGTGCCGAGGCAGAGAAGAAGGTTGTCTCGAGTTATTTCCGGGATACCATGGAGGAAGTCGAGGAGTAATACATCAACACCGAGTCGGGCTGATTGCATGGGTTGTCGGAGTCTGCTGTCCTTTTTCATGTTTCATATTTCGTCTTTCTGATTTGGACTGTATCGGTTGCATTTGTTCGGGATGTACGCATTATGGATGGTCTGCTTGCTTTCTCGAGTTTGTTCACATATTGATTGAATGATACCCCTTTTTCTCTTTCTCTTTCCGCTTTTCGTCAAAAAGCTTTCTATCCCCCGTAGAAGAAGTCAAATGGAAAAGAATGAATTCATTCCAATAAATACTAAAAATTAAGCCAATAGATATAATACTAATTCCAATACTAATGCCATCATGCATCCCATTTTGTATAAACACAGAACAAGCAAATAAGTCAAAACTCTGACTACCCAATGAACTCGTACATAGGCTTAATCCCATACCACTCGAAAAAAATCAGTCATCCCTCCCAGAATAGAAAAGCATGAACCCAGAAAGGTTTTCTAGTCATGACCAAGAGAAGAAGATAAAAGCTGAGAGGGACACAGCAGATAAAGAGACAAAAGTGATCTGTGATCTGCCTTTGAATAGGCTCTGTCATCATGACACGAAAGATGAGAAAGGCATGTGTCGGTACATTTTCCCTTCATGAATCGTGCAGATGAGAAAGGTCATATGAATTGAGAGGATGGTAGAAAGCGAAGCCCTCCTCTTTAATTGGTGTATCGAGGAGACGACAGCGAGTAAATTTAGGAGAATTGAATAGTGTAGCACGAAGACGGACATTCCCTCGTATTACCTGTAGTATCGGTTCGAATAAAATGAATAGGACAGAGAATATTGCTTGCAAGATAAGGCCGTTGTCATCACGATGTTGTTCAAGAACGCCCTAGATGCACACTAAACACGCGCGACTAGGCTGACGACTTTTCATGAGATTAAAATATGTAGGATTTTGATTGTATGTGATTGCTCGACACCAAGAAGGTCCAATTGTGGAAGAACGGGAAAAATCACGTCAAGAAGGCGTTCCAAGTCTATCGTCTGAAAAGCTCGCCGGTTAGACATTCAAGAGCCTATTTGAGTTAGTAAGTGACCATGTAATAGTTGTAAACGAACGTACCGTATCTGTGACAACGCCTTGGTTGTACAGATATTTACTAAGTCCTCGGACAACCTCAAGCTGCTCATCGACCGTCAAGCCATTGATTGCAGTTTCAATGACATCACCAACACTAGCTGTGTGGAGAGCAATGAAGCTTTGGTAGTACATGAAAGCAAAGAATCCCATGATGAATTGACAATCCATACGGTCAGTGATACCGCCATGTCCTGGGATTGACTCGCCAAAGTCCTTGATCTTGAACGTGCGCTTCAAGCCCGAGGCGAAAAAGCCGCCAAAAGGTGCAATCAGAGATGCAAATGACGCAAAAACAAGAATGTGGAATTGCATCGGCGCGACGTGAATAGTTTTGGGAAGAAGAGGCCAGTTTGGAAGCTGATATGTGTTCGGGATGAAGACTGGGTTGACCGTGCACTCCAAGCCAGTCACAACGTTGGAACCTAGGTCGGTTACAGGGCAAATAAAGTATTTATACTGCATCAGGATATTGGTCATGAAATAGCCAAAGATGATAGTGCAGATCCATGCTCCAATGAAACCCTCAACGGTCTTCTTTGGAGATAGCTTGATGAGCTGCGTGCGACCGAATGTAATACCGCAAACGTATGCAAAAATATCGTTCGTTATGACGAGGGATGCGGGCAGGAAGAACCAGATCATGCCCTCGAAGATGTTGTTCATGATGAAATGAGCTTGCACGACGATCAAGTACAGCGCCATGTGAGTCCAAGCAAATTGAGTGAATTGGAAACGATAGTGGCCTTTTTGGAGCGTGGCCACGAAGAAGACGAACCCTGTAATCGTTAGATGTGTTTACTATAGCAACTCCAGCAGCGCAACTTACCGAAAACGTAAAGCATAAAACTTAGGAAACGATGGTGTGTTGCGAATGGCAGCAGTATCCGATCCACCAACAAAATGTGTTTGAAATAGTAGATGACGCTCTCCCCGTAAAGAAAGTACATGGTTGTAGCCAAAAAGTACCAGTTCAACGATTTCGTGAACCGCAGGTTCCTGTCTTTGCTGGGGACATTGGCAATCGCAATAACCTCCTTAAAGGACACAATTTGAACGGCGGTAACGATGGCAATGAGGTATATATGACCGGAGAACATCGCACTAAAGAAACCGGCAATCATGACAAAGGTCCATATCGTTCGAGTGATGAAGGTCTGTTTCTTCTTCTCGTAGTCCGAGAGAGCCGGAGCGTCCGAAACCTGCTGTTGTTAGCTTGGTCGTCGCATGAACCGAACTCTCGGCTCGACACTTACCTCCTGTGGATTGCCATCGGTTTTGTTGACTGGATTCTCGCCATCGCTTACTTCTGAGAAGCTTGATCGCAAGGCTTGGTCGCCATTCGAGCGATGGGGAAATCTAACATTTCTTCGGCCCATCATGGAGAAATTTAAACGAAGGAGTGAATTGGGCCTGCGCTGCCACGGACAGAAATAACAGAGTAGTTAGTTCGCGACAGATGGACACAAATCAACGAAAGGGTGGAATGAAGAATAAGGGGGATGAGAAGGAAAATGAGTGAGGGTTGTTGTCCGCATTGGATGGGAGCAGCAAAAGTAGGCCAGTCGACGTCAGTTGCGGCCGTGGTAAAACTTGGGAGCCTTGGTCCCTCAGGCGCAGCAAGGCTTGGCATTGGCGGGTGAATCTCGTGCGGAGCGCGGAGATAACCTTCAACACATCTTTAAAATTAACAAACATCAAGCCCGAGACTTGTCTAATGGCACCATTCACAGGCTGGTGGAATGGACAGCGATGACGAGTTCCTCGACGATGGCCTGGACTTTGATGCCATCCCCACAGGGACACTGCTTCAACTCGAGCAAAGCGCCTGGCAAGCTACTCAAGCACCGCAGCACGACGAACGCAGTCAACAACCCGGTCTTCAGACGGACAGAAACCAATTGAATTATGAGTCGCAATACAATGCTCCGCAGCGTCGCCAGTCGGGCTTCTATGGCAATGTAGAGGTTATTGATTTAGACGCCGATCTTCTGGGCAACGATGAACCCTTGGAAGACGTCGTCAAATCGAACCCGCCAATCGCCCAGAATGTCCTGCACGGTCACGCCGCAAGTCAGAGACAATATACACCAGTTCAGACACAAAATATCCAGTCCGTTCAGGACAGCCATGATCGTGAAATAGGGGCGAAGATTGAAGAGGTATGCATTCCGATCTGATCGATTGAAGTAAGCTGATGAAGCAGTTTTCACGCCAATATGATGCGATCAATGAACAATTGGCATCGGCGAGAGAAGACGTGACGAAGAAAACCGGCGAAGTAGCCATTCTAAGAGCGAATCTCACCAAACAAGCCCAAGAGTTCGAGCGCACGATTGCTTCCCTCAGAGCACAATTGACGGAACTTACAACAAAGAACAAAGGTGTTGAGCAAGCTGCTATCAACGATCGGCAGAAACTTGAAACAGAGAATCTATTCCTAAGAGAAGAGCTACGCGACGAAGCACTGCGAGTAAACAACCTTCGCGCCAAAAAAAGAGCGGAAGCCCCTCAAACGCCCAGAAAACAGAGAACACTACCCTTTCGCGATGGCTTCGATGACGATGAAATCGGGGTCGGATCACCCACCAAGTCCTCCGGTGGACGATCGAAACGAGGCACACCGAGTGTATCTGGAAAGCGAAAGCGCAAAGTTAGCGATGCCCCGATACCTATGGCGCCTTTGCAATTAAGCCAAGGAATTGGGGCTATGGAAGCGGAAACACTGGCTTTAGATTCTATGGACACTACAACCGAGGAGAGAGGCCATATTTCAGAAGGGTTTGAAGAAGGGTTTTACATGACACAGATCCTGAATCACAGAAACTATCCCAATGCGGAAAGTGATTTGGAAGTTATGGCTGGRCTAGCATTTCCATCCGAGCCTGACAGAAAGATTTCTTCTATCGTGTTGGAGACAATGAGCGGAGTGACATCCAACTACCCTGTGAAATATGCACATTGCCTGATACAGCTGTGGGATCGTGCTCTTGTTGAAAAGTTCTACAAAGTTGTTCCTTCGTTCATGGATTCAATCAAGTTCATTCTTCTGCTCGATTTGTACTCGATCAGTCCGCAATTAACAACCGAACTGGCCGGCATCCTCCAGGCCTCGATTTATGTCAATGCGGCCACTCGCTTTGAACACTCTGCGGTATCCTCAAAAGTCAAGGGCGAAAGTCGAAGAACTCCACGAACAGTGTTACATGCAGATGTCGACTCGACTTTTGCATTAGAAATCATGTATTTACTAGCGCTAGCTTGTCGACAAGATGACGAATCTCACGAACATTTATGGCGCAACATACACTTTGATATATTATTAATGACTTTGAACGACCACCAGCCTTTGCAGGACATTGTTCTATCTCTGAAGATACTATCGACCAGTCTGCGACAAAACTCCTTTGGAACTATTCAACCCTCCGAGGCAGAACAGCGACAAGTCGAATACCACTTCATCGAGCGCGTCACGTGTCTTCTCTTCCAGCGCATTGAGCCCGACGAAGGCGAAGAGGACTATCTTCCTCTACAGATCTGTCAGATGCGACTCGAAGCTCTCACCTTTCTGGAAATGATCACATTTTATAGTTTCGAAATGACGACAGACGCAAGTAAAACCGCCATCATCTCCTACCCATTAGTCCTCCCACGCCTCTTTCGAACATTATACGACGAAATGGATCGTCTTTACACGCTGTGTCCAGAGCACAGTATCCGAACAGCTCTCATCAACCGATTGACGCACTTGATATACAGACTTATCCGAAGCGGCGGTGGCAAGAACCTCCACGAAGGATTGTCGCGGTTGAGTGGCGCAAAGCAGAAGCATCGACTTGTCCTGTCGCGATTAGCATTTAGCGAGGGTCAGTATTTGGAGTCTGGTATTACGGAAGAGACGATGGAGATGGCGCGGCAGTTGCTGGAGGAGGAAGATATGAGTCCTGAGGAGGCTGAGGCGCTGTTTGATGCATTTCCAACGGGCGGGCGTTTAAGTGGCAGGGAGGGTACACAGGTTGAGCAGTGGCATATACGTAGTTAGATCTACTTACATCACTAATGAATATTTTCATGCTACATGTATTCGAGAAATTAGATGATAATATGCATGAGACAATTCAAATTGGAACCGTCAATCGTATCAAAAGAATGCTTACACGACTGTTACCATAGACCCTCAGAATAGATGTGCCTTTAAACAAATGCACCATCTCCACGAATGTACACTTGGTGTAGGTGAGCTCTAGTCTATTTGTACACTATTTGGGGGAGTTTTTTTGTTGCTCATTGATTTGTACATAACAAGCAAACAAAAACAAGTACGCGCAGTACACCAGATAATCGGATCCTAGGACTACCTGATAGTATCTAGTACACCTCGAACTTCGACTCTTCTCCATACCCTCGCACAAGGCCAGGAAATGATGAAAAGATAAAATGCACCAAAGGTGAAGAAGCCAAAGAATACGCCTGCCAAAGACCCGAAAGGCCTTTGGACAAACCGGTCCTCCGCGCTGTGCAATGCAGGGACCAATCTGTGGTAGCCCGCCTTGATGATCGCGGCCACCCAAACAAGGTAAGTATGAAGAAAAGAAAGAAGAGAAAAGTCGAAAGTTGTCGGGGGAAGAGGGAAGTTTTTATAGGCAGAGGAGGCGCTAGTGCCACTAGGCCCTCTTCGGATACGAATCATGTGATTGGCTAATGAACAAAGGGGCATGAACGACAAACAGTGCAAACATCGTAAAGTCACGTGCCCCTCGGAAACTGATGTTTTTTGAAAGTCCGCATAGCAGCGTTTGGAAGTCGACCCAGCCAGAGTCGAGTGAATTGTCTATCGTCAACTCACCGGCACCATGAGGAACAGGGCAACGACACCTTTGAGCAAGGCTGTAAGTACAATGCTTGTATCTTTCTTGCTCCGAAATATTGCATCAAGCTGATTGTCGACTACACAGAAAATTCGACAATCATGGAGCAAATACAACTTATATAACCTACACCGATTCCGCCCCCCCCCAACCTCCAGCAGAACATTTTTCCAGCAGAAATGGACCGCCAAATCCACAGCCCGATCTTACCACGGCGAGCAAATACGTGAGTCTCAATGGACTCGAATGTTCTCTCGCCGACTGGCCAGTGTCGTCCCTATGAACCCGCAACAGCTTGCCAGTGATGACGGATCAATCATTTCCGCCGGTCGAGGTTCCGGCTTAGAGAGCGAAGGGAGAAAATTTACGCCGAAACGCACGCCGTATACGAATATGACTTTTGCGCCGTTGGAGCGACGGTTGGATGTTGCTATATTCAGAGCTATGTTCGCTAGTAGTACGAGACAGGCAAGGCAGTTTGTGGTTCATGGTGCTGTTACTGTGAATGGGAAGCAGGTTTGTTTTTTGTTCTTGCTCAATTGGGTTTTGCAATTGAGTCTTGCTAACGTTGACTGGTAGATGCAATTCCCTGGTTATCTCCTCAACCCCGGGGATCTCTTCCAAGTCGAACCTGAGCGGGTCATGTACGCCACAGGTGCGCCGAAGAATAAACTCGAACGTCGTGAGGCCCGTGTAGCGAAAAGAGCAGAAACGAAAAATGACGAGACCGAGGCTGAGAACTCCGAGGAATCAAGCGAAACAAAAGCAGCGGAGGAATCCAAGGAAGTGCAGAGTCCCAAGGAAACATTACAACGTCTTCTTGCTCAGGCCAAGACCATCATGTCTCGTGAGAAGGACGTCCTCCCTGCGAAGAAAAAACAAGAGCTCCGTGGATTCCAGAAAGTCGTCCGTAGTGTCCTCTCCAAATCCGCCACCAGCACCATTCTCGCGGATAACCTCGAGTCGCAATTCTCCGAGCTGCTCGGTCTCTTGAAAGCGAAGAAAGCCGAGCCTGGTACTTCCCGCCGCAATAAAAAGGATACCGAAGCCAAGAGCGACAATGCCGTCGCCGAAGAAATTACCAGCGGCCTCAGTGAGGAATTGAAGGATGCCTTCAGGCAGGCCGCCGAGAACCCAGACTCAGTCGACGCCTCCGAACTTAGCGAAGACGAAGTCGAAATCCTCAAACAGGCCATTGCTCAAATGCGCGACAACCCCATCGACACCAGCAAGCCTTATGCAACGCCCTGGCGGCCTCGCGACTTTATGAACGCTTTTGCATTTATTCCTCGATACTTGGAGGTCAACCACAAGATTTGCGCGGCTGTCTATTTGCGACACCCTGTTGCGCGACCGGGATTCTCGGAGGTGCCCAGTCCGTTTGGCGAGAGTATCCAGACACCTGCTTTTGCCTGGTACCTTCGCAGGCGGTAGTCCCTTTGATCCTCAGAGCGATTCGATTTCATTCACTGTATTAACTCGCCCTTTTACTTCCTCTTTCGACACTTGTGATTCTATGTAATGATAGAAGCGGAGGTTTTACATCATCTGGGTTGTATTTGTATAACATTATTAGCATGGACTGTAAATGTTTAAACATTCTTTATATCCGTACTTTTTCCTGAAAGTAAATTACAATACAAACATACGTACGATAACCATAAAATACGACCACGCGCCAAGCCACCAAAAAATTTACACAATTTACACAAGTTCCGTGGTGGCTGGCCTCTAAAAACAATCCCAGACGGTCCGCCGACGATCCACTTTTTCCTGAAAATTTTCGTAAATAATCTTTTGCGCTTTTTTTCTATCTCGCCGTTGTTACAATACTCGGATACCAAGGTGATCTATAAACATCAACATCAACATCAACGCCAACATCAAGTTTTCAAGTCTGATTGATCGCGAGAGGGAAGATGTTTCCCTGGCAGGGAGAAGGCAAAGGGACTTCGTTCATACTTGCTACCCAACAGCGCGAGCAGCGTCAGCAGCAAGCGCCGCAACAACCGCAGTCGGCGCGACAGGATAATGGGTACGGACGATGGCGCTTACCGTCTGTGATGCRGGGGGCAAGCCAAGCCGTGAATGATAAACCTAGTAGTAATCATACATCTTCAAACGTGGCGAATGGGAGAGCTTCGTCATTGTCAAATAGAGAAGAAGCGCTCGCTGGGCCGGAGAGTATCAGTCTTTCTGCATCTGGCGACGACGATGAAGAAGATGAAGAAGAAGACGGCGACGCAGAGCAGCAAGGTGACTCTGAAGGCGAGGACATAGATTATCGATCTTCTAGAAACGAGTCCAACCCAACTGCTACAACAAAAAACGGCACAGAAAAGCAAGCAACACGACCACCCGGTCAAAGACTAGGAGAGCGCATGCCACCCCTGGGCTACCCACCACAGCCCAGCTTCCGCAACAATCATGCGCGTCGCCTCAATACCGAAGAAGAAATCAAACTCTTCGAACTGTGCATCAAACACAGCTCCACATTCGGCGAACGCAGCAAACTGTGCGAATGGTGGAAGAACATCGCCAATGAATTCATCGAGAATTACGGCGGGCCGTATAGCTGGCATTCCGTACGCAGAAAAGTTGATCTCGTCACGAGGCAGAGGATCAAGTATCTTGCAGACCTCAAAGAGGGGAAGATTGAGGCTGATCAGGCGACGGATCCGTGGAAAAGGGTGCTCGATGAATGGATTCCGACGTGGGAGAAGTTCGAGGTTTCGGAGAAGAGGAGGATTGAGGTGAGGGATCAGAGGGCTGCAATGAGGAAGAGGAAGGAGCCGCCTACTTCTGTTACTGGTGGAGTTGCTGCAGAAGGCTCAAATCCTTCTTCTTCGCCTGCGCCGTCTTCGTCGACGCCAGCTGCGAAGCGGAAATCTACTGGAGCTACTCCATCTGCTGGTGCAGGAGCGCCGGGATCATGGCAAGCAACACCGTCCAAATGGACTCCGGGCCCTAGCCCCTACGGCCCTCCGCCGTATGCTATACCTGCAGGACCTATGGCACAGCCACCGCCATCGACGCCGGGCATGAAAATGCCAGATGGATATGATACCATGTTCCGCAGTCCGGCGCATCCGACTACACATCCTTTATACCCTTACCCTCCACCGCAACCATACTACACTCCTCCTATGTCCGCACCGCCAGCAGCGGACAATACTCTGACCTCAGCTGTTTTGGAGACATTGACAAAGCTGAACAAACATCTCGAAAAGGCGGACGGCACTTCCTCCCCTATCGTAGCTGCTCTGACTACCAACAATAACAATAACACCATCGACAAACCCATCGAAAACAGAACATCATCTCCCCAACGAGACGCAGACGCTGAAGATCCCCAAGAACCACCATCCACGACAGTAATATCAGTCACAACCCTGCAAAAACTCAAGACAGAGCTTCGCGCGGAGTTTGAGACGGAACTAGCCAAGATCCGCGAAGCGTTTACCGCGAAACTCGATGCTCTGGAGCAAACTCAGGAGATGATTATGGATATGTTGAGGCAGGAGCCTGGGCGGGAGGGATCTAATTAGCCTCGCTAGAGGACAGGGATGAACGATTCTTTTTGTTTCTCTTTTGCGTGTTTGTTTTTATGTTTTCGTTTATAGATACCCTTACTCATATAGTATACTCAGCTTAATCTACGTCTTACTCTCTCGATTCGTTACATATACTTCGATCAACTAGTAGAGGCAGACAGTTTACAATTTGTATGTGTATTGTGTAGAGCTAGAATACACTCGCCAGACACCTCCTCACCAGCGTCAATGAAGAAAGAATACAAACTCTAATGAACAAAAGAAAATGATATGGCAAAAAGATACATGTGGCTCCCAATTCAAGTACATAGTTTATGCTTCTTTTCGACTCCGCAGTAAAAAAGCATAAAAGGACGCAAAAAGGTAAGGTGATGATAGATTAAAGGGTTTGGACATTACATCAGCCGGGCTGTTTAGTAGTAGAAGGTCTCGTCAATGGTACGACCTCTCATCCAAAGAGGCTCGCTTCCACGAACGAAGATATCCTCATACAAGATACGGTTGTTAGGCTCGGGGGCAACCATCTGCTCAGCGATAGCAACCTCCTCATCAACGAAGCTGCGGGCCTCCTTGTCGATGGTCTTGAGCTCCTCCTCAGAGACGACGGACCAGTCGAGCAATTTCTGCTTGAGGCCGGCAATGGCGTCATGGGTGCTGCGCATACGCTGGATTTCTTCACGGCTACGGTAGGTGGTACCGGGGTCGGACATGGAGTGTCCTCCGTAACGGTAGGTGACGTACTCGTAGACCAAGGGGCCCTTGCCGGAAGTGGCGTATTCGCGGCCGTATTGGACGGCGGCCTTGATGGCGAGGACGTCCATGCCGTTGACCTTGATACCGGGGATATATTGTCCGCGCTTGTAGTAATCGGTTAGGGCAGAGGAGCGGGCGGCAGAGGTACCCATTCCGTATTTGTTGTCTACCAATTAGTCTTCTTCAACCCAGTCACGGGGCGAAACAGAAACTCACTTTCACAGCCGAAAAGAACAGGCAGGTTCCACAGCTTAGCCATGTTGTAAGCCTCAAAGACTTGACCCTGGTTGGAGGCACCGTCACCATAAAGCGCGATAGAGCAGGTCTTCTCGCCATTGTACTGCTGAGCAAAAGCCAAACCAGCACCGACGGGCACCTGAGCACCGACAATACCGTTTCCGCCGTAAAAGTTGGGAGCAAACATGTGCATGGAACCACCCTTTCCGTAGGCAATACCCTCACGGCGACCAAGCAATTCACCAATGATGGACTTAACGGTACCACCGCGCATCAGAGCGAAACCGTGGCAGCGGTAGGCGGTGATGAGCTTGTCCTGGGGGGTGATGGCGTGTTCGATACCGACGGCGACGGCTTCCTGACCGGTGGACAAGTGACAGAAACCGCGGATTTTCTTTTCTTTGTACAAACGATCGGCGGCCATTTCCATTCGTCTACTTCGGTTAGAACGGTTATATAACAGAACAGGGATATTGCCGTAGCTCTAACGACATACCGAATTGCTACCATGTCGTAGTACATCTGCTTCAGCTCCTTCTTGGTGGTCTCCAGAGTGTAAGGAGGCGGGTCAAGCTCGTAGGTCTCGAAGCTCTCATCGGAGAGTCTGACTGTGAAGGGCTTATCATCTTCCTGCAGGTTGTCAGCATGGAAGAAACTGAATGGAGCAATAGCAATACCTCAGGAATATTCTCGGCATGCGCTGAGGCGGCGTCGGTAGTCACTGAACGACGAGCTGCGAAAGGAGCAGTAACGACTTGGCGCCTGAGCGGCGCAACCTGGCGCGCCCACAACGATCGGGAGAGCATTGTGATAGATGTGAGGATGCAATTGATGAAAAGCACAGAGTCACAAGAGAATGGAGACAGAGGGAGACACAGGAAGGAAACGGAGAGAAGGTAGAGACACGGAGTCCGCCCCGAGAAAATGCAGCAGCAGAGACTAACTGATTTCGTTCACTTGTTGGGGACTTTTTTGTCGCTCTTCACCGGGCCGGACGGGATCGGGTTATGTAAGCGGCGCTAGCTGTGTTTGGCGTAGCGGCACCTCTAACAAGCTCTCGGTGTATTTGCATCTCCGGCTTATCTACATACAACCCTACAGCGATAGAGCACTCTAATTCGTGGAAAATAGACATCACAGTGAATAGAACGTCAATATAGAACACGAAGTAGACATATCATATACACACCGTACAATCAACGATCAAGAATATATATAAAACACCGGCCCCCACAATACATAGATAGAGTCAAATGCAGACCTATATCGAAACGAAATGGTATCATAGATAACAAGGGAATATGAAGAAGGAAGAAAGTGTAAGAATAAAATCATGACTCGTACAGGTCGGTATCAAGAAGAGACTACTCTTCGGTTAGCGCATCATCGCCCATCTCACGCCACTCCTTGGACTTATCGGTAAGCCTCTTCACTCCAACCACACGATCCGACCACAAGGACTCGGAAGGTGTGCGGTATGTGAATGCCCGCTGCGACGAAACCACGCCGATAGCTTGCAGCACGGCTTTGCGAGAATCGCGGCTAAACACGGCCGGATGGTTGATCCATTCAAGCGCTGCTTCCAAATCAGCATCTAAAGCCGCCATGACGTGTTGATCAACAGCAGCCACAGGGGTGATAGTAGCTGTTTCGGATGCAGCAGATGAGCTGTTGGTTTCTTGGAAGTGCGACGAGCGTGGAGACGTCGAGTTGGGTGTTCCAGCAGGACTGTGAGGATCGTTCAAAAGACCGTTGGATGTGCTGGGCTTATTAGCACCAGGAGGCAGAGGTGGGAGTCCTCCTTTTCCAAGACCCTTGAGAATACTTCGGGTCTCGTGAAGGAGATGTTGGGCACGGTCGTGCTGACCGCGAGAGACAAGGGTCAATGCCCTGGTCAGCATGTCCGATGCTAACAATTCCATTCGTCGTTGCACGATCGATGGATGAGGAGGGATAGGAGGTGTTGAGGGTCGTCCTCCGTGCTTGGCTCGCGGGTTAGGAGGAAGCATGGTGATAGCCAAGAGCGACGGACGAGGAGAATGCGTTAAATGTCCTTCGCGGAGAATATCGCCGTATGTGAGATCAGCTTGGATGAGAGGAATCTCTTCCACGCTGACCACTCGCTGCTCGTCACCATCAGAGCCACCTCCGAGCGCTTCTAAGCCAGACACCAGACTTTGCCAAGGGTCTTGAGGAACATGTTCCTGTGTGGCATTATCAGGCTGAATGACAAGCTGTACGAGAATGTCTCGTTTGTCGCCAAATCTCAAATCGCCAAGAGCAGCTTCGGCGTCCTTTCCAGTAGCTCGTTTTGTCGTGTGCAGAGCACCGCTAATCTTGACAAACTTGGCTGGCGAGCCTTCTGGTAAACGTAGCTTGAGCTTGACATTCTGGTGTGAGGTCGATTGAAGAGAGCCAAGACAGCCAGCGACACATTCTCTAAGCATCATCCAGTCTTTGACATACGTGTAGCAAGCTTTGGTGCGAGTCGACAATTCGATCAGAGTGTCGGGCTTGTGGGTGAGCCCTAAGCCGAAGGAATGGATTCCAACCCTAAAAAGTCAGTGACGTTATTCAGTTGAATAAGGGTCTAACATACTTGGCAGCTTCCGCTCGGGACACAACAAAGTCAACACTTTCCGGATCAGAAGTCGACGAGTCGCTAATGAGCAAAATAGTGGATATAGGATTGTTCGATTTTCGCTGCATCAACAGATCCATAGCTACATTGGCACCTTCAACCACATCTGCTCGCAGGCTCTTCTGACCAACAGGTCGGAGCGAGTTTAGAATCTTCCCCCAGCCGTTCCACGCTTTGGTAGTCATTCCGACAAGAGGAACACCTCCACCGCTTGATCCAAAAGTGACCAAGCCCATTCGATCGCGTGGACCCAGATTCTGTACCAAAAACTTCAGTGCGTCGCGCAACAGAGTGATCTTCAATCCTTGCATAGACGAAGAGACAGGTATCACAACGACCAAGTCTAGTGGAACATGGAAAGTAGCGGGGCCGGTATCTCGCATTGTATTGGTATACTCTGTCAGTGCCGTGTTGTTGGACTTGTTAGCACCGTATGACGAGGTCGCTGATGACTGGCGTTTATTTGTCTTGGTAGTGCGATAATCTTCCTCTTCGGGCATTGCGCTGTCGGCATCAAAGTCCCTCACAGGTTCGGGATTGTGTAATCCAGCAAGGGCGCGGCGCCACACATCCAATTGGCCCCTGTTTTGGAATCGGAGATGGAAGCAGGGTAGATCACTGACAATAAGATTTAGTGTAAGAATCGGTTCCTCTATAAATTGGTTAGCCACTGTCTAGTCATTAAGAACTTGTTCTTCATACCAGTTACCACATCAACTTCACGCAAATGCTTCTTTATCAAAATGGAACCTTTCAATGTGCAACGACTGCTTTTGCGTTTACTCTCATGTGCAGCAGAGTCCGAGGCCAGTTTCTTTTCTTTTACGCAAATGAGCATTTCAGCAAACAGATAGCATTCAAGCTCTTGCCACGATTCCCGATCTTTGCCAACATTGATAGATCCGTGTAAAAGAAGTTTTCCAAACCTGTACAATCAGCAAGGCTTCTTCTTTGTTCACCGAATAACATACCGTTGAAATTCTAGGCCATGCCAATTCTCAACTCGCAAGCGAAGATCCTCCGCAATTTCGTCCAGATTCTCTCGAGATTCGGCAGGAACAGAACGCGATGAATTGACGGTCGGTGAACGAATCGGCGAGTAGACGTCCTCCGGAGGAAGCTGGGCGTTCAACGGCGTGAATCGGAGGTCGTCCATATCAGGTCGCCAATGGCCATCAGGAACCTCGACAGTAACCACACAGGTCAAAGGTTGCTGCTGGCGGGAGCGATTTAGCGTAGGGAATTCGCTGCGCACCGTGACAATGGGAGCAGGGATCGGATTCTTGATTGCGCCCGACCGTGGACTCAAGTCCGATTCCATAGCCTGTACGTCGTAATCGTGTCGCCGACCAGTGCTCTGTTGCTGTCCGTCGGTGTATTCACCCGACGACGCCACGCCGGTATTCCCACTGTCTTGACGGCTATGACTCGTTTGCCTTCGAGAGCTGTTTGTAGTCAATCGTTCAATCCGTTCGCGCTGACTACTAGTGTCACGGCTATCCCGCCTGCTGAAATTATGGTCTTGTTGCTGCTGCTGTTGCTGTTGCTGCTGCTGCATTTGATAAGACCTGAGGCTCTCTTGTTGGGGCTGCTGATTATGGTTACGATTATCCCATGGAGTTGGGGTGGTCAGAGTGCTCCGAGTTGTGGCAGCGTCACTGACTGACGCTGATCGGACTATGTTACTCAGCTTCTCTGTGCGCACGCAATTGAAGTTTAGTAGACCATTCGGAACTACCGTTCGGAAGAGATGGCTAGACTTACCAATATCCAATACATTTCCACCTCGGCTTGTGTCCAGACCGAGCGGCGCATTGCAGGTAGGACAGTATTGCGATTCGAATTCTTTGATGTACTCGTAGAAACAAGCCTCATGCGATACGTGAGTACACGAAAATTGTAATATACGCTCGCCACGCAATGTATGTTCCAGAGGCTCCTCGCACACGGCGCATGCGCTGCCGACAAAGGTGCGCTCTCTACGGGTTCGCGCACGATCGATATCCATCATTGCTGTACTATTCCGGCCTGCGCGATTATTGAATGAGGTCTGTGAGCGATTTGAATGAGACGAAGCCGGCCACGGCTTCGCCCTGTCTGAATGCTGCGACTGCGACTGCGACGGAATGACCGAGCTGGATGTTGTGTGGTGACCAGAGATATATGACTGTCTCGACCGAAGACTTTCCGGACGGTACTCAGACGGATTGCGAAACGATGGGCGAAATGATCGAGTCGTCGAGACAGAGTCTGCGCGAGAAGTGGTCCGTGGAGAGGACGAATATTGGTGTTGATCTATAGCCGATTGGCGGAGAACCTCTTTGTTAGCTTTCTTTCAACATGACAGGTCGGGCTGGCACAACGCGGCGAATAAAAGCACAGGAAAAAAATAGCTCAGTCATTCATTGAATGTGATGAAGTCATCACACAAAGAAATACCGAGTCCTGGGTGCATTGGGGCGGAATGAGACGGGGGACGGTGATGGGCGCGGGGAGGGGGCCAGCGGACAGAAACGGGGACCCATGATGATACCAGGTCATGCAGTATGATTGTCAGCGAGGAAGATTGACATTGATGCAGAGGAAAATTATGGATTAATTGTAGTATTATGTGTCAGATGGACCAGGAACAATCAATGGCATTGTGTGAGTATGCAAAATTGCGCATGTCGGGGGGGGAGCGTGCGGAAGTCAAACCAATTCAACCATTTAATAGTTGCCAGTCACTTACCAGAGACTATTGATTGCTTCTTTTTCGAGCGCCCAAAAAGAGACAGATCAGATAAATGAAGTCCCGAATCTCTAGAACGAGAGGCTTGATCTTCTCTGGGCGAAAAGCGCTGCTTCCACATGAGTCCCTGAAGCTGGAAGAAAGGGAAATAGTAGTAGGAGAACACCGGATTAATTGGAGCAGGGACGGACAGAACAACTGGAAATAGGAGACAGCGTAGGTTTAGCCACAACGCCAGTCGTCAGTGCCAACGGTCAGTGGACAGTGGTCAGTAATTCTCCGCAGCATGAAGTTGGATTAGTTCGTAGCACTAGAGGGGAGAATGCTAAGTTTTCTGTAACTTGGCTAACTGAAGAGAGAGACAAAAGTTAGTCTGTATGGCTTGGTGGAGACTGCCGTTCTTTCCTTACGGCAGTCTCCGTTTCGGCAATTTCACGTGATATCTGTTGCTGTCCAGCCAATCAGCGTCTGAGGTACCTACGGGGCTGGCTGAGTCTGTACGGTTATGTGGTAATTACATTACCATACATTCAGCCACCGTCACAGTCTTGCAGACACATCAACTAGCTCGTACTACGTACATATGTATTATTATACACAGTATCACATCAACATGTTCATTAATTCTACTATGTACATATACAAAGATGAGATATATTCTGAGCAGAGCACTTAACGCTACATCTTTCTACATTTGAGCTGGATACTGACTATCCATAGACAGTACTCCGAGCCTCCGACTGAACTCTATGCATGCCCTAAAATAGGTGCATCATCTCATCATCTAGAACCGGCTCTTGACTTGGACTATCCAACGGCGGACTAGAAAAAGCAACGACAACGACCATACTATTATAGTCTGAAGGACACAGCTATCTAGTGTTATCTACGCATTCAGCAATCACTTAATATCTATCGTTATATGTACCGTCGCGCGTGAAGGTTCGCTCCAAAACTTCAAAATATGCTTTCTTTCGACATGGGATCCGAGTGAGAGGTAGTATTTTCGACTCGACTACGCGGCGAAATTATCCGAATAGGAAAGTCAGATCTATGCGATCTGGTATCCACCATCCAGGACCCTCCCAGCAATAAAATCGTGCTTGGTTCAAGGCTGTCTTGGATGGTTCGTATACTGTGGCGTAGAAGTGGGCACTGCATAGCATAGCTCCAGTGGGCCAATTCAAGGCTTCAAGCAGATTCTACATTAAGGCGCCATTTTAGGTAGAACAAGCTACAAGCTTGAAACTCCAATGTCAGAACCACGGGGCTGTTGGTCAAGTCTTCGACTGGCAGTCACAGAATTGGCAGGCTTACCTCATGATGGAGTCCTGAACAGACGGATTCACGCTACGTTGAAGTCGCCTAGCGTACCAGGCATAAGTTTACCACGTAGGATGTACGAGCCATCTTCGTACTAGGCAAAGGCTAGAGATTGTTAGTGTCGCGGTCCCTTGAGCCCTAGGCGCTAGTGATTTCCTGAATAGGTAATAAGCGGTTTTGTGGCGGGCCAACCTAAGAAGACTAGAGGGTTTGGAGAAGAACAATCTAACATTGTGTGTAGGTTGGAAAATACATAGGAACAGCTAAACAGCACTTGAAGAGAATTCGAGCCACAGTTTATCGAACTACAGAACATAGAGATGGTCTGCTGTGTAGATAACCAACACTCAATAATTGGTACGTAAATAATACGTACGTATATTTCAAGTAATACACAGTACGTCGTACATTACAGACTCACTAAAGCGACCCCTTACTTTTTCCAAAATCATCGAAGTTTCCGAAAGCATGGCCTGGCCACATGGATCGCAACGACGCAAAGGTTGCGATCCACTCGGAGTATCGTGCGACTAATCCAATTTGCGAAATAATTGTTTAGCTTCAGCCTTCATGCGGCGTAGTGGAAAGTTTGCTACTGATCAGAGATTCTAGAGCACTAAAAACTATGATGCCAACCCATTGACTATTATGCATCCAGCAAGTGAACAGGTTCTGCATGATGCATTAGCTGCTGCGAAATATCGTGAGGGGAAACAACCGAATTACTCGAAAATTGATCCCTGCCTACGTGAAGTTGTAACCAACAGAACTGTTGGTGTGAGAGAATAGGTCAAACTCTTTAAAATGCGACGCAGTGACCTCTTCCAGGGTACAATTGGCCCGTGTCATTTCTTCAGAATTAATTAGTTATTGACTTATTAAGGAGCTTATATAGGCACAGGATTAGGGTTAGAACGTCGAATCCCGACCAGCCAACCAACAATCCTCCCTGGCATCGCGTAAAAGAGACCCTAGTCCTCATCCCGACATAGTACATACTCGGTATGTAGTAGTTCTGGGGAAAGGACAATTGATATGCAGCGAAAAGCGACGAATTCGGTCATTACTTTCGCTTCGATTAGAGGGTACGTTAGTAACTTTGACCATATAAGAGCTATCCCACTATGACGATCATGGAGCCTATCCCCGTTGTGACTCGTGAGTCGTCTAATTTTTTGGGCTATCTTCCCTAAATTTCCCCGGCGAATGACGATCGGCTATATTGAAGCCGTTAGAATGCCCACTTGAGATCCGCGTACAGCAAGACCCTGGTTCATATTTTACTAGGTGCGGTTACAGGGTCATGATCCATGGGAAGTCAACCCTGACTTTTTGGCCTTTCGTGAACCAGAACATGGGTACCTACATCCGTCCGGTCCTGGTTAATGGTTATGCCAATGAACAGCCTGCCCACACCCGACAAATGTACACAGCTATGTCATACGTTCAAGTCGCGAAACGACGGGTTCTGTTCGGTGCTGCTTAAAGTAAGGCTAACGGTCCGCTGAAATGGTCCATGGTACTGGAATCATATTTTTGGGTCGTCGTAAGAACTATTTAATCATACGTGGGACGTAGCATTATGCGCGGAGTGCACTGCGAATTACCTAGGTAACCTCATGCAATAATGCGGCAATTAAGCACTACAAAGTACAAGTCTGACAATCCGAATGGTGAGACCTGGAAGTCTGACTCGTCACGCCGTAAGGTAATCAACTCTAAGGCAAGTGAGTAAATGACAAGGATGTACAAGACCAGGGACTGTTTCAAGTCTTGATACTAGTCGAGGGACAATCATGTCCCAAAAAGTGACAGGTTGAGTAAGTTGAGTTTTTTTGTTCCAGGTTTCATTCTTGTTCGAATTCCATAGTCATTGATGCATCAAAATGTCATGGATGCTATCAGCACGATCGCATTGGAAGCCATTGACTGTAGTCTGTCGGCAACATGTCGAGTATCAGGCACGGTCAGAGTCGAGATAGATTGTGTCCTCTGTCGGAACTCGCCGATACTACTAAATTTAGATTATGATCTGTCTCAACAGTTATCAAGGATCAAGAGGGCTTGACTCGTTCACACAAGGCGTAGAAAAGTGACCGACGACCTGACCTGGTCGTGATCAGAGCTTTATCGATCTCAGGGTCTGTTCTTTTTGTTGCGATGAGATCTAGTAACGTTGTTTGTGTACAAGTACTCGGTCTACTTTATACGTGTACTACGTAGTACCAATAACCTTGTCTATGTGTCACTTTCCAGATCATGTCTTTAAGCTGTCTTCCAATTCGGTTTCCGAAAAACGTCAACCCGGAGATATCCCAAGAGTCAAAGTATCCCCTCCATCGGCACCAGGCAACTGTCAGCAGTATTTATTTACTCCGCAAGCCCACCTTTCAAAGTTTCGGTGATTGCTCAGTCTCAGACAGACAACCTAGTGGTACAAACCTTGAACTGACACAGTTAATTTCGAGCACCCGAATCAGGTAGGCATTCAACTGAGAAATCATCATCTTAAAGGCGAGTTCCATTGAAACCCATATTTCGGACCCCAAAAACGGATTGCAAGGTTTGTTCACAATGAAATTTCCACTCGATATTTTATCAAATAGACTGCATATCTGACATAAAACTATGTAAGTAATCCGTAAGCTGATTTGCATTAGGCCCACAGTGGCTGACGGCAGTTGCATCTAGTATCGTGCCACTATTCCCGAAGCACGGTGATGACAGGTCTTCGCGGCCACGTGCAGAAGACGAATATTTCAATTACACGGAAAATTGAACAAGTGAAAGCTTTGTTGTGCATATTACTCTGGCATAAAATTAAAGTTATATCTTTCCAGCTTTTATGTTGTGGTTGGTCTCAAGGGCTTCAATTTAGCTATAAATATACATCAATTAATCTCTTCCGCATCAAATGATTATAATATAGACCAGACACCATATACCTAGGTAGGCTGATATACCGTTTATCTATTCAGGAGGGATACAATCAGCTCAATCAGACACATCGCCTATGACCTGTTGCATGCGCAGACGGACCGTTATGAAACCCTAATCCGAATGTATAAATAGCTACCGATGATACACACCTCTAAGCATTCTGTATGTGTCTAGGTAGTCAATAGCATGACATATCACTTGACATGCCATGTATAACACGATCGACTTTTAGTGCAGTCATGCGAGTATCCATGAAGCTGAATGGCTCTTTTCCTGCGGCAAAGGGGGCCAGATGTCGATCTAATGCATGCAGAAGATCATACATGGCATTTACCTAGAAGTATCACTCAAAGCTTGATACGTAGAACGAGTGACATTGTTGCCACCCAGTTTCGAGTAAGGAGATAGTCTTTAATTATCTGTAACGGGTTTGGAATGGTTCTGTTTACGAAAGGTGTGGCGATGGACGTCACTACGGGTGTGTATATATACCACTACATGTACTATTTGGCCCCATTGAAGGGAAACGACACCGGAGTTTTGATACATGCGCGAGTGTCAGCTTTGACTTCGTGGATGCATAAGTGGCTTGTGATATATATTGTTCAAGTGCTATACGAAGAGGATTATTTTTACATCTTCTTGGGAGAAGAAATTGATGTATCAACATCTGGAGCAGAAGAAGATATGCTAGAATTCAGAATCTGCAAAGTCTTACATACCTCGGTAGGCTAACATAGCACTATTGTTAATTTTGCGCCGGGGATTGCCGCTTGAAGTCCAGGTGCCAGATATAGTTCTAGATTGGGTAATATATGGTTGCCCAGATAAATGTAGTTACCACCGGCTGACGACTACCCTCGATGTACTCACAAAGAACAATTACCAAAAAACCTCTGTTGCATCGATTCAACACCAGTAAAGATATCCTTATCATGAATAGTCAAAGGCTGGAACGCAGTCGAACCAACACTCACCCCATCTTCCATACCACAGACGCAAAGCAATCTTCAATCAGGTCGGTAAGCATCAATCGCTACTCTTTCCACCAGATATATACCGATGCAGACAGGTAGTCATTCAGTCTGATTCGTCAGGCGTGAGACAAATACTGTCTGGCCGACTGGCATAACGATCTCAGGACCCTCAGAATAAGGAGAAATATTGTAAAAAGAAGAATTCCACACCAGTAAATTTCTGAGGACCGTCATGATATCAATACCGGTAGTTGCGCTCGCCTTTGCTCCATTGTAGAACGAGAAGAGTATCTGAAAACCCTTCTACGGCAGGGGGGAGGATGTTGGTCTCATACCAGGACTTGAATAGTTGCCAACGTTTTATGCCTTCTTTTCATTGTTCGGGTGTAATTCTGGGGAGCCAGGTCCTGCAAACGGTTAGTCATACTGTGGGCTGCTGAAGTGAATGGCGTTAGGACATACCGTTTGAATTGCAACTAAGGATTGAGGACTAGTTAATGACTGTAAACCTGCTTGTACCCTGTGTGAATGGCTGCAGAATATAGTTCCATGGTTCTGGATTTGCTGCTCACTCAAAGAAATGTTCAAAATATGCTTCAAGGGTATGTTTTCTTCAAACGGTTTGATGGCTTCCATATTTCCTCAAGGCTGATCGGTGTTCTCTTAACACTAAGGAAGCTTTCTAGCTTTTGTATAGAGTTTTCTAGCACAACTTGATGATGGATGTCGTCGGTAGGCCAGTACTCTATTGGATAGAGAATCCTGGTCGGTTTCTGGCGAGCATTTAGAATAAACATTTATACAAATATTTTTAATGTTCAGTTTGCATTCCCCTACCTTTGCTGATCCGGGATCCTCGAGGGATTCGTTTAGAGCTCGAGACAGCTTAGCTGATGCCTCCGTATCTCGTGCAAAGCCACCCACTGTATCTGCCAGCCTAGATATGCGCAATTGAGTTGAGCATATGAGAAGCCTCTGACAGAGTTCGCGTGGTATACTGACGGAGTATAAGATATGATGCCCTCAAAGTCAACAGCACCAAGTGATGGCCGTACGCCAAACAACCCCTTAGCAGTAGCCGGAGATCGAATGCTACCCAGTGCTATGGCCAAACAGTCAGCAGTTATCAAGTCACGTCTCCTTCGATGATAGAGAGAGCACTGACTATCCGTCCCAGCGCGAAATTCATAACTTGCCACTGCAGCAGTACTACCGCAACTACTCCCGCAAGTCGGCCATTCGGAGTCTGCGAATTGAGTAGTCCTGAGCTTGCCGACGATCACTAAGCCTAGCCCAAATAATCCCTGGATAACAGCTGGGTTTTATTGATGTGGGAGATGAAGCTTCGTGTAGGCTTGTGATGCAGCCCCTTTTCGTAGATCACAGAGGTCCATAATGTCTTTAGTCTTAATATGGACGCCTGCGAAGGGCTTGTCTTCTGTCGGCGTATAATGTAAACGAGAGGGAACTGCAACAGTCAATACTGAAAGTATGTTTCCCCATAAGCCGCAGCATCAAGGGCTTTGTAGCTGTATTCGTCCCCGAAGTTGGTCATCTCAGAGACATTCCACATATAGAAGAATACGCGCTGTATGTTCTTTATGAACCGTGGACAAAATAAATGCCCCAGAGTCATCCGGATAAAGACGATATGTCGGATACAGTTCTCCAAAATGCAAGAAATAGGCCCTTCGTTGACAATGTCTATCGCGTTCGAGCGAGGTATATCCGGGAAGTCTTGAACGACCGAAGAAACGCTTCAACTTCTGGTGGAATGGTACACAGACGCGAAGGTGACCGCAGCAATAAGTTTTGAAGAAAGCCGGTTGACCAGAAATCGTCGGATTGACTGAAAGTCTTCATGGTCACGTTGATAAATCTCGATGTAAAGGTTTCACTGTGGACGGTGAGAACGGTTTAAGTGAAGCAAACCGGCCTGACCCAATCGTTTCGGTAACCTATATCAATAGTAAGTATGTTTAGTGGCAAGAAAATGCCCATCTAGTATCAAGGAGACGTACCTCAGGAACCTGGTGCATCTGATACGCGACCTCTTCCACTCAGATAGTGATTGACACAGACTATTGAGATCCACTGCCAATGGTGAACCATTCGGCGGCCATCATGAGGATATTAAAGTATGAATATAATGATATTCATTCGGGTTTAACCTTTAATCTCCAAGACATAAAGAGAAATTACCGATAACTACGATTTGAAAGAGCAAAGAGGCAACCGGACCCCCTATTATTTTGCTCTTCTTGCTGTCGTCTAACTCGTTGAGTCCCTGTACTCTGCTTTGTTTCATTACTGCTAAGTCCCTCAAGTGCCCGTATGATAACATGTATTTTTATCAGTAGAGATTCCCACTTCATGGAAGTTGTTTTGCTTGAGCAAGATTTTGGGCTTTCTATAAAGTAGCCAATTTCTCATGATATTTCCATGCCGTCTCTTTTCTCAACTGGTAATACTTCAGGTGCTAATCAAAGCACCGGCTTTTGGCATATCTGAAAATTATCATATAATACAATGACTGAAACAAGGCAAACGAATGGTTTATCAAAAGTAAGAAGACATACAATGTCAAAGTGAAGTATGTCGAACGAGTAAACAATCGGTTAAATCCCCGCTATGATGTTTGCAGTATTTGCACTCCACTGGCGGGAAGCTTCTCCCAAAAATTAACCCCCGCTGAACATTTTCGATAGACTGGAAGCTTTGTCAGTGAATGTTGTCGTTGCTTAACAGAAATTCTTGAAGTCAAGGATTTTTTATTTAACTTGTCTGAATAATTCAATCTTCTTTTCTCCTTTTTATAGTGATACGAGCGCTCGCCCAGCGTTTGTGCGAGAGCTATGTCGTTGTCAATCCCCGGTCCCTCCCAGGCCGGTCTCTTCAAGCCTGGATACCAAAGGTGCGTTTGACGAGTTTTGCGGCCTATCTGAATCATGATTTTCGGGCGGAGTAACCTTCATCATTTACTTGATTACTTTGTTAACATATTTACTGCCACAGCCATGACGCCGAAGACGGTGCCGTGATCCGCAACATCGAAGCATGTCGAGCAATTTCCCAGACCGTCCAGTCCTCTCTAGGCCCCTATGGCCGCAACAAGATCGTCATAAACCATTTACAAAAGATGTTTCTTACTTCAGATGCCGCAACAATCTTGCGAGAATTAGATGTCGTGCACCCCGCCGCCAAGTTGCTTGTGATGGCCAGTCAGCAACAGGACTCCGAGATGGGCGATGCGACGAATTTGGTCATAGTTTTTGCCGGAGAGCTGTTGAAGAAGGCCGAAGAACTGTTGAGGATGGGATTGAAGACAAGTGATATCGTGAACGGTTATGAGAAGGCGCAAGACTTTACCTTGAAGACCTTGGAGGGTTTGTTCACCCCCTGAATTTTAAGATGCTGTATGCTAACGACTTTCAGACCTCGAGGTGGATCGTCTCAAGGAAATGCGATCCGCAACAGAGCTCAGCAAAGCCCTTACCACCGTCATTGCCAGCAAACAATCCGGCAACGAAGAAGCCCTTGCCGCCCTTGTCTCCGAGGCCGTCCTTGCGGTCCTGCCTAAGAACCCCGCCAACTTCAACGTCGATAATGTCAGAGTGGTCAAGATCATGGGTGGTAGCCTGGAACAATCACGTGTCGTCAAAGGCATGGTTTTCGGCCGTGAACCCGATGGACAAATCAAGAAGGCTCGCAAAGCCAAGGTCGGCGTCTTCAGTTGCCCGATCGACACCTCCCAGACCGAAACCAAGGGAACTGTTCTTTTGAAAAATGCACAGGAGATGCTCGATTTCACAAAGGGCGAGGAAGACCGTCTCGAAGCTACCATCAAGGAGTTGTACGACTCTGGTGTACGCGTTGTTGTTGCTGGATCCACCGTTGGCGAATTGGCTCTCCACTACCTTAACCGATTCAGTATCCTGGTTATCAAGATCATGTCCAAATTCGAACTCCGCCGTCTTTGCCGGGTGGTTGGAGCCACACCGCTCGCTCGCCTCGGTGCACCCATGCCGGATGAGATGGGCAATATCGATGTGGTCGAAACTACAGAGATTGGAGGTGACCGTGTGACTGTTTTCCGTCAAGAGGATGCCAATACCGTTACTCGTACTGCTACCATCGTTCTCCGAGGCGCTACACAAAATCACCTTGATGATGTCGAACGTGCTATTGATGATGGTGTCAATGTTGTCAAAGCCATTACCAAAGACCCCCGTCTCGTCCCTGGTGCTGGAGCTACAGAACTTCAGTTGGCGGAACGCATCTCTGCATTTGCAGACAAGACTCCTGGATTGGCTCAATATGCTATCAAGAAATACGCAGAGGCATTCGAAGTTGTTCCCCGAACACTGGCCGAATCTGCGGGTCTCGATGCCACCGAGATTCTTTCACGACTATACACCGCCCACCAGCGCAACAAGAAATCCGACTCTGAAGAAGAAGACGAAGATGATGATTCAGAAAACTCCGCAGAGGAGTCTGAAGAGGAATCCGATGAAGACGATGAAGAACCATACTGGACAACTGGAGTCGATCTTTTCGGAAACTCCACGACCGGCACAGTTGATGCTTTGGAAGAGGGTATTCTAGATCTCATGGCTTCTAAGAGCTGGGCTATCCGCCTGGCGACCGAGTCTGCTCGCACAGTCTTGAGTGTTGACCAGATTATTGTTGCTCGTCAAGCCGGTGGACCGAAGCCACCTGGCCAGAACCCTAACTGGGACGAGGACTAAGAAAAGAATGAATTGAACTAATGGATTTGATATCTTATACTTTTTGTCATTATTAATTTACTTTCTTTCTAAAAAGTAGAGAGAAGATTTGGTTCTCAATGAGAGCATGCAAATAGATGACTTACAATTTTCAAATATTGCATTCTCCAGCCTTAACTATTCTTCGATAAAACACGCGTTGAGATCATTTACGAGATGATCCTTTCTGGAAATCCAGTCGTATCATTGTAACATCAGTACCAGATATCGTAAGTTATCGAGATTAATTACATATAGTCACGTGCTGCATATCACGTGGTATCCCAGAAAATTAGTTTCAGAAAAGAAGTTCCGACATCAACAACCCCGGGAAGAAAGAAAGCTGGTGTTCAAGGCCACTCTACTTCTACTATTATCTTTCCTACCTCTCTTCTTATATCAAAATTTTTTCAATTCGCCATAATGTCTATCTCTTCACAAGCCGCAGCTCGCTGCTGCAGACAGGTCATCCGCTCTTCCGCCTCTTCCTCTGCTCCCTTCTTGCGCATTTCGACATCTTCCTCCACATTCCAGCAACGACGACGGACGGCGGTGCCCAGCGCTCGTCGATGGCAATCTACTGATGCTGCTGCTGCACCTGCGAACCCGAAGATTGTACAGATTGTTGATCAAATTAGTCAATTGACTCTGTTGGAGACTGCGGATCTTGTTGCAAGCTTGAAGGTTGGTTTCCCTCTGGGCATTGATGCACGACCATCTCGAATGAAATTATGTATAGCTTGAGATGAAGAGGCTATTTGCTGACCGACTCTTTCTATTGTATAGTCTCGCTTAAACATCCCCGATCTCCCCGTTGGCGGCTTCGCTATGGCCGCCGGCCCTGGCGGTGCTGGTGCCGCCGCTGCCGTCGAAGAGGAAGAAGCAGCCCCCGCCGCCGCAGAAAAGACTCTCTTCAACTTGAAGCTCGAATCTTTCGAGGCCACCTCAAAACCCAAGGTCATCAAGGAGATCAAGTCGATGCTTGGTCTTTCGTTAGTCGACAGCAAGAAATTTGTTGAGAGTGTGCCCAAGGTCTTGAAGGAGAATGTCGCCAAGGATGAGTGTGAGAAGATTATTGAGACCCTCAAGGGTCTTGGTGCGAAGGTTGTGATGGAGTAGAGAGGGCAATATCTGGGATTTGTTCTCGGGGATTGGCTTGGACGACGGTATCTATACGGTGTGTTGGCCTTCTCCTTTCAGGATGTCAGCTTCTACATGCATATGGAATTGGTGGACGGTCACATTTGTACATTATCTACTTTCAATGGGAGCAAGAAGCGTCTGGTTTGGATGCGATTTCTGATTCTACCTGGGTATCAAGGTTGAGTCGCTGTTTTACCACTTTATCAGTTGAAATAATGGCATATAGATTACTTCTGACGGATGTCTTATCACGACATTGATTCTCATTAGGACTACCTTTGACAAAGTCATAACTCATAGGCTCAAGCAACCGCTCGAATTGCACTAGACGGTGGGATTGGATATCCTAGGCAATCAATTAACAACGTCTTATCATGCAACAAGATTGATCATATCCAGGACTCACTCAATCAAATTCCCATCCGGATCTCGCACATAAATGCTTCTCAATGCACTTCTCGCCCCAGTTCTCCTCACCACTTTCCCACCTTCCAACACCTCAATTCCTTTCTCCTTCAGCTTCTCCAATACAGTCTCAACATCCTCTTCAGTCAAAAAACACAAATCCGCGGTCCCCGGCAACGCCGTAGCCGCCTTGGGCTCAAATTCCTTGCCGGCTTGGTGCAGGTTAATCTTTTGGCTACCGAATAAGAGCGCGTGGCGGGATGTGCTTGTAGGGTCTGAAGGCGATGTGAAGGATTGATGAGCCATGCCTAGGATTTGGGTGTAGAAGTTGATGCTGGCTGGGATGGATTTGACGGTCAGGACGAGATGGTCGAGGGAAGACAGTGTGCAGATGGGTGGTGAAGATGGAACTTCTGTAGACGTTGATGCTGTTGATAAGGCCATGGAGGGAGTTGGGATTCTAATCTTATGGGTGTTGACGTAGAAGTGAGATGAAGATGTAACTCGCCGCGTGACGGCACCTCTGTGGACTGAGATTATAGCTTGTATTCTTCCGATGTTCGTTATGAACCGAGACGACATGTCTTTTATGAGTTCTTGTAATATTCTCCTTGAAACAGATTGAAGCAATCAGTAAGTGTCTTACTGTAGAGATTGAAAATCAGACGATGGGTCGAAAGGGTATGCTTACGGCGATTGACCAATCGGAGGCCTTTTTGCTCCGCAACAACAGATCCGTGACTGCTCTTTGAGCTTCTTCATCTTCATCTCACTGATTCAACACCCTCCACCATCAGTTGGCATACCGAAAGCTAACTGTCCAAGTATATCCGCTCGACCACCGCTCAGATGTAGTACCGCCGCCATGTCTCTCCAACAATCGTCCCAATTACTGCGGCCCCTTTGCCGGTCGTGTGCTCGCAGTCCGTCTTTCCTCCTCCCCTCCCCAACCAGATCAGTGACAACCATTTCAACCAACCGCTCAGCAACACGACCCTACACGATCTCCGCATCGCGTCAAGGCAAATACATTCAAACATCCCCCGCCGCCGAAAAAAAGAGCAGCGGCTATGGCAAAATCCTCGGCCCACAGATCCCCTACGAGGAATGGCTTAAAAATTACCGCGAAGTCAAAGCCAAACTCGAAATGAGCTACATGCAAATGTGCGCTTCCGCCCATGTCAGAGAAATGATCGACCCCAGTATCACGCCCAAGATATTCCTCGAAATTGGCAGAAGACTTATAGACCAAGCATACCATTCCAAGGCCATCGCCGATTCTCTCAAAAATATATGGAAAGGACACCCTTGCAGAATATACGAGGTTGCGTTCGCAATCCGTAATAGTGGTCCAGGGCTGCCGTACCAGCATGTGTTACACTGGACCATGAAGGCCACTTCAGACGCTGGGCTTGTTGAGACATTGGGCGTCATAGTTTCTGCTCAAATCAAGAAAAAAGGAGCCATGCTACCCAATTCACGTGAAATTGAAATGATCAAAAAAATCGCCTACGAAACGGATGATCCCAAGGCTCTCAGTGTTTGGGCAGACGTTGCGCGAATATGGGGACAGACAGAAGAGGCTCTCACCATATTCCAGCATCTCAATAAGATGGTTTATCCATCCGAGCGACGCCCCATGTTTACTGATGATATCTCATATGGGGGACTTATCAAACCGCCGTGGAGTGCAATGTTCGACATCTATCATAAGTCCGAAAGGTTCGACGAAGCGAACGAAATGCTGAAAATCGGTGCCCTCCACTATCGCGACCCGCAAGCACTCGTCTCTTACGCTTTTATCCGAAAGGAGAAAGATGATTGGGAAGCGTACGAGCAATGCTTAGTGGCGGCCGCGATGTCAGGTCATGGCGATGCCTGTTTCCGATTGGGGAATTACTACTATCTTATTTCCAAGGACGAGATACCTTCCAGAGACCAAAGATTAGCTGAAAGACATCGTTTCCGAGCTTGGGTAGCTAAAATTTTTGGATACGCCTATAAGAAAGAGGATTGGCGTCGCTTAGCCTCGAATTGGTATGAAATGGCGAGTGCGCATGGCATCTCCGAAGGAGCGAGAAATTTGGCGGTCTTGAAGCGTGAAGATGGTCATCCGAATGCTTGGGAGCTCATGGAGCAGTTGAGGTCTGATCCGCGATTGTGGAAAAGTAAGAACGTTATCAAGTTGAGGGATCAGTGGGATAATCCCAAGTTTAAACCTACGTTGCCTAAGGCATGGCTTGAGTTGTAGATTTTACTCTCTACTCGGTTGTAATTATCTCGAGATACACAAATATCGTTTCAAAAGCAAGTAAACATTTGTAAATCCTACAATCTAGACTACAATAGCATATAACAAGGTGATACATAATACAACTTTGACCCCCAGCTTACAAAGGTAACCCCTAAACTTACATATCATCCTCACCTCTCCTCTTCTCCTTCTTCGCTACACCCTTCCCCTTGCCGTCCCTCGGCTTCAATTCCGTCATCCCCATCTTCCTCAAATTCCATGTCAGAGCAGACGAGGCTCTCATACCGGGAAAATCCTTGGAAGAGTACACTCTAAACTGGTCGGAAAAGATTTCGGCCAAGATGGGGGACGGTCTGCCGGTTTCTTGTGCAAGACCCCAGTCTAGTAGACGGAACTTCAGGCGATATAATCCTGCTGTACGGACGGAGAGGTCTGCAAAGACGAAAAATATTGTTGGAGGGGGTTTTATTGTGTGGTATTGATGCTGATATTGATATGGTGCAGTCTCCGGATCGGGATCGTATGGCGTGTAGAAAGGGGATACATATGTCCTTCCTGATAGTATCTGCACAGGACGTTGATCTGAAGGGTCGGACTGCTCGTTAATGTGATGGGCAGTTCTCGAGTCGATCCGGTAAGTATTGTGAGCTCTACCATCATCACGCCGGTGCCTTCTAGTAGTTTCTACCACTTGAGAGCTGTGGACAAGCACTTCTTTTCCATCTGGTCCTGGCTTTCCCACAGAATATAGCAGACAAGCTACTGAAAGCCGCGGATTCTGCAATGTTGCCAAGTCGGTCCTTGAGTCTGGTCTGAAGTCGGTCATCAGTAGTTGTAAGATTGGCGGGGGATCGATGGTACGACGATCCTTTTCGCCCGCTGAGCATGCCCTAGTTGCAATGGGCTGCTGACGGATGTGTAGTCGTAACCTTGGAGGAGGGGAATAATCGACCATCGCTCGCTCTGCGGAATGTGATGTCTGCTCTGAGGGATTCAGAAGACGGTCAAACCCCATAGGTATACCACTGTGCCTTCGGCCTGTATGTCTTGAACTGGCAAAGTTAATATAATAATAGCAGAGGATAGAGGAAAGCTTCCAATGTATGTTTGTATACATGAAATAGCATACTTACCCAGATAAAGACTCTTCTGGACGAGCCATTGATGACCTTCGTTCGCCCATATTCGTACCTCCTCTCTCTGTTCGAGCGTAAAGAGGTTGATAAAACTCTTCAGGCGAACGAGGATATGTTGATTGAGAAGAATGATCAGGGTAGATCGAACTAACACTTCCATCAGTTCTGCTCGTCCATGATCCAAAGAGCCTTTCTCCTCTTTATATACCTGAACATCGACGAGCTGGGTATGCTATTTTGAGAATTGGAAGATGATGGCGATAGCAGTAGCCGGTTTTCCGCGGCCACAAAGCTGGAATTCATGGTATATTCTTTTTTTTGTGTTCCCATTAAAGAAAAATGAGGACCGTGCTGCTCGCCCTATTGACGCCCTGACTGTCTTTCCAGCGGATAAATGGGATCCTGTAAGCCGGAAAGTATCTCAGGGAAGCCAGTACCAAATGGGTAGATATCACGGCTATGGTGTTGAGGGTGCGTTTGGACGTTTTCGACGTACGTTCTAGCGCAGAATAACTGAGTCAAAGGTGCCTGAGCGTCGTTCTTTTTTCAGGATTCAGTGTGAATCCGTCAATTGAGATATATCGGCAAGTTTAGTATCCGTATCCGTATCCGGTTGCTGTAGCTTCATCAAGAAAAGCTTTTTGCCATTTTGGCGGATAAGGCTCTATCTCAGCTCAAATATTCACAGAAGTGATCAGTAAAAGCTTGATTGAGCGGATATACTACGAATCGGTGGCAAAAGTCGAAGYTTTATATGCAGASGAGCCATATAAGAGTATTAAGTCTTGGGAGGAGGCATGACTGTACTGCTATATCGGTGATAGAATCCCAATTTGACAGAACAATCGTTTTGTATGGATAGTGTCATATGATGCCAGCACCACGGCGATCATCAGCCAGGTTGTTTCTTCAAAATCCTTGGAACGAAGAAACAGCGTCTGGGATTTCTGCTGAGCGTAAGCCTTAGCAGTCACGAATCTGAGTCCAAAGTGGATACCAATATCATGGGTTAATCTCGGTTAACGGGATTGTAGATGTTGGGCAAGTATGATGAATGCAGGCGAGGGATTTAGCCTGATCAACGTTATGGTGGGTGAGTGTTAAGCCATGATGAACTCAAAGCTTTCGGCAGCTGAGCTCTCTTAGCTTGCTATGCCCTCAAAAAGTAAAGCGTAGATGGCACAGTTGTGCCCCGTCTGGAATTGTACCAGGTTTTGGGTAACTAGATCGTCAAAGCCAGGCCCTGATGAGGTTAAATACTTTTACCACGGTTCATGTGCTGACCATAACTGAATCATCATGGTTCAGGCACAGACAATTGCAGCCCTAGTCAGAGTCACGAGCAAATGAACGAGACAAACCTCGCGTGTCCCTAGAAGCTTGGGCATTCTGAACGGTGGGACTTACTCAAACTGGCAGAAAGGTCAATGGTAGCTCCGAAACAGTTCAAAGTAAACATGCAGGCTGTGTGTAATAACGACATCTCTGACGTATCAACCTGTCTCTGACAAATTCAATGCATGAACACCTGCGTACTGTCGTCGCGATCGGAGTCAGGGCGTCGTCCACATATTTCTAGAATAGGTCTAGTCCGTAGCTGTGTTTCCACAGGCTGAAGGAACGTGTTGGAGCCCGAACGTGATTCAGCAATGCGTATAACCTATCGGCTGTTTGGCACGAGATTAAGGACCAGTCAGAGCTGAAACAGACATGCAGTGGCTTATCCCGAACGACTGCAAGAGAAAAAGAAAGGATTCATTCTGACATCACCGATATGTACCATCTGAGAGAAAATGGTATGCAGAGTACATTCCGAAATTCGGCGTTCGCTGAAGATGATTCGCCTAGATGCAGTTCTTTCGCAAATGACGGGGTCGTATGAAACACGGCCTTTCATTTGATATTGCATTCGGGTGCTCAATCTTATTGATGCTGAGGACTGTGGAGTCTTCTTGATGGTGATCGCTTCGCGTGAGACTATTCAGTGATTTTATGCAATGACAAAGCTCATTGACCAACGAGAATCTGACAAATTCAAAACGAAACGGGGAGCTGACGGCCTCGAACACGTCGGGGCGGGTGTGTAACCAAACCTAGTGCCGTCCAGAAGTAACCCTTACTTGAAGACGACACACTAGTAGTACGATCAGCCACCTTCATTTCTCATGTGATACAAGCCTCTTACAGGGTTTTTTTGACAGTTTTCAAACCCGAGTGAATTAATTTTACTAGCATGAGTAAAGCTGCTAATGGTGGGTCCATCCGTGTACGGAGTACAGTGATATCAGATGCGATGCTACCGATAGAACATCTTGATCTTCGATCCGCCCCTACATTCAGAATCAGAGCATCACCCGTCTTTGAAACGTTCTCAATGAGCTAGATCACGTTGCTCACTATGCTCCGCTTGCATGTGGCTAAGCCATGAAAAAAGCAAAGTAAGTGGAGCAATTTTCGGTCGACGAAATCCTGGCCACAGGAAAAAGCATAATATCTTTCGTAAAAAGCAAATCGGTCACTGACTGATCAAGGAACGGTTTCCGCGCCCAAAAAACCCGCATCCTTAGCTCGCACCCTAAGGTGACTGAATACGAGAGCAAACCGAACTTTTGGGAAAGCGCTGCAGCCTGCTGCTGTCATTGACGTGTGGCTCGACTCGTGTCTGCACACACCCGGTTACACTCGGTATGGAAGCAAATAAGCTCTTGCATGATGCATTACGTCGATTATAACGGCGAGCCGGGAACAGCTTCCTGACTGACTGCCGTCCATTTATCACCTTGGCATGTAGAAATGGGTAAGATCAGCCGGTGAATGTATGGTTAGAGATATCTGCAACGAATCCGAGAGACGTAGCTGAGGACGATGATCCTAATTACGCACTAGGTAGTTCGGATCACGAACGACCTTTCAAGTACGTTGTTCGGTGTATATCATTCATGACGCATGCTGCCGTGCCGTGCATTTACTGACAAGACGTACGTGTATGCAGTAGCCTGGTTGTGACACCAAGAAAATCGGACGTATCACATCCAAAGGTAGCCGTTACATTGCCGTGATCGCCTGTACTCGCAAGTACAAGTCCACCTAGTCTGAAGGCTGAGCGAAGAGGCATCTTAGAAAATCCTCGTAGACGGTATGTTTCGCTCTGAAATTGGCCGAAGAAACTACTGCGTCGTTGTCACATCTGCCCTTTGCAGTAATTGCTGCGCGGTTTGTCACCAAACACGCCGCTAAATTCACCCAAATAGCTCGGGAAAGGCTCGGAGTTGAAATCATTGAGATCTATCATGGATATCAATGGACGTGGCGCCAAACACTGTTCGTCTGTTCGCCTGTTGTGCGGGCACTTGCATGAGTAGTCTACCAACAAGACCGTCACATTGAGTTGTCATTGAGCTGAAGCCAAGCAATAAACGTTACAGGGAGACAGGTAGAAACCAATGCATGATATGATGGAGTAAGAAGGGACAATACTCAAAGGGTTGCGGTTGAGATGAGGTTGAAGTTGATAGAAAAAACGTAAGCGGATAAGATGACGTCGGCTCTTTCCACCGGGTCCTGTCAACTCCTGCAACTACCGACCACCTACTGACACTTCCTACGTCCACACTTCAAATATGCTACCAGAAAGTATTTGATTTTTTTTGTACACTTGATTCGTTCTTATCTACAACGATCATTGTTATGTGTCTCACGGCTGCAAATTGACACCGGGATCCAGATCCAGAACATACCGGCTAGCTGCGTTTTTCACAGGCGTGATAACCCCGCTGATATCCCTGTCCAAGTCCTGGACACTGGTAGGCATAGCTACATGCGAGAGTGGACCAATGAAAGAATGTTGTTCATAGCCAGTGACAGGACTTTGCTCGGGATGAGCTCGGTATTCTGGATCAATAATCGCGATGTCTTCTCCCATGTAAATGATTAGATACTCTGCTGATAGTCGGTCAAAGACAACGAGATAGCCGGTCTTAGTCCAAGGAGTTGATTCTTGAGAAGCACCTGAGTAGAATTCGCGTCGCACGAGATGTCCGAGCTGTACCAGATTTCGGGAACGGTCTGAATGAACAATGATTCCCCTACTTGCAATCTGGGCTCGAAGTAAACCCAATGTTTGCGAATCATGCAGAGAGAAGGATATCCTGGATGAGTCCGAGACTCCGGGAATCCATTGAGGTGACCACGCATATTCGATATCGTAGTTTTCGAATGATTCAATAAATAAAGGGATCGCCAATCCTGCGCAATCGTTCAGAGCATCGATCAAATCAGCAATCTTGGATGCCGAAACAGATGTACCATTGTCGTTGATGCGTGCGAGCAGACTTCGTACGGTCGAAAAGTCAGCCATATCATTGCCTAAATCCGTGTTTTCTGTAGATGCTGAATCCTGCTGCTCTAGCGCCTGGCTCAGCGCTTTTTGGATCGGTTCTTCGACCATTGCAGGGACTTCCAAGCCATTTTCATTTAAGAAAGCGGCCAGTTCTGTCGCTAAGTCTAATGATGGCGACATGTCTGTGACTGTCTTCGACATAAAGTCCATACAGGCCATCGCATAATCTGTCATGCCGAATTTGAAGAAGATCACGACAGACCTGTACGCATCATCAACCATAGCTGAGGTGAGAATTTTCGAGGAGCGCTGTATTTCAACAATCTGCTCCACCAGCTTATCCCACATGACTTCGTGAGCCTTGCTTGCTCCAAGTTCGCACAGAAGCTCAATAAATGGTGCATACGTTCCTTCGCCAAACTGTGCAACGGTAAGAAATGTCGACCCTGGACCTGTAGTATCTGCCACGAGTTCTAATATGGGACGTGTATCATAACCTGGGTCGGCAAAACGAACTGTCCGCAGCGTGCGCAGAAGACCTTGAGTCAACTCTTTTGTGGTCCTCACATCCAACTTACCTCTATACGATGCTAAATGATAGCGGAAAGCAGGCACCGAAAAGCTTTGGACTGCGTAATATAGGCCAGCATCTATAACCGATTTGGGAATAGAAACATCCGTATCTTTGTGTCTGGATATGACAGTAGTCAACACAGACAGAATTTCGAGAGAGGAACTCGACTTTTCGCATCTAACAAGCGCATCCTTCAACGAGACGTCCAGCTCTGACATTGGGCTAAACCCAGCAACTATAAATTGCTCGAACCATAGTTTCAGTTCCTGCAAGTCGGATACATTTTGCAACTCTGTCGGCACGCGTGCACCACCCGGTAAGGAGATAAGGCGTCCATGCGGATCTCGCCTGTCGAGTTTCCTCTTCGCCAAAATGAGTGCTAGATCGTCGTTGATTTTACTTCGAGTTGTCTTCCTTAAGGTCGTTGTATGAGTCTCAGGGTCTCCGCTTAGAGCATATCGTAGCACTTGGGACGGGGCCACTGTGGAGTCGTTGGCAGCGCCGGTGGAGTTGTCGATATGAGCGCTACCGTTTGAGAGCCAGCGGTGATGACATGGCTGTCGTTTCGACAAGTGCGACACTAGCCCTCGGTATCTAGACATTCGTCTTAGTAGATTTGAATTAGAGAACGCAAAATATTGGTTGTTTACAACGAAGTGACAGATCTCCTGAGGAGTGGATATCTTAGCTTTATATTACAGCTATCCCTGTTTGAACCCTAGACTTATGCGGGGTTGGTATTAGAGTCTGTATATAACATGTACGTTACTAGCGGTACCCGAGCGGCTGATGACATAACCCAAAACTCGTAATTTCGTTAGTCGCGGCTTCTTCTGTAGGAATTTGACATCGTCATTAATCTCAGCTAGGAGCGCCATACAGATTCAGTAACAAGGATCAATTGCCATTAAGATGTCGTCTGTCGAAGCTGAGCCAGTTCCGATAAAGGATACTACTAAACCTACAGAAGAAGACGCTCAAGTCTCAAAATCCAGCAATTCAAGCGAAGAACCCGAAAAACCACAGGCTTCAGACGATGGCGCTTCCAGCAAAGCGCAAGAGCGACTGGAACGGTTCAAGGCATTGAAAGCCCGTGCAGTGAGTCAACCCGAGCTCTCATGATTATGGGTCGTCCTACTTACAGAAAAGCAGAAAAGCGCCACTGACAGCAACATGAAAGAGACGGTAGCAGAGTCCCAACGACTTGCCACAGACCCGGCTTTGCTCTCCAACCTCTCACGCAAACACGCATTCGCATCTCACAACCTCCTTAAAGCCGACACCGAAGAAGCTGGCGAGGATTTCGAACGCAAGCGAGCCTGGGACTGGACAATAGAAGAATCCGAGCGATGGGATAGACGTATGGAAAAGAAGCAACGACATCGCGATGATGTAGCCTTTCAAGACTACCGCCAGGATGCTCGCAAAGTGTATAAGCGGCAATTACGAGAAATGCAGCCTGATTTGGATGCGTACGAAAAGGAAAAGATAGCCGCTGTGGAACGGGCGGCTGCAAGTGGAGGACTTGAGATTGTTGAAACGGATGATGGCGAGCTTGTTGCTGTGGATCGAAATGGGACGTTTTATTCTACGGCTGATTCTACCGACTTCACTGCGAACAAGCCGGATCGCGCGGCGGTTGACAGGCTGGTTTCTGATTTGAGAAAGGCAGAAGAGGTTCGGTTGAAGAAGCGACGTGATCGACGCGGTGAGGAGGACGCTGATGTCACGTACATCAATGAAAAGAACAAACAGTTCAACCAGAAGCTAGCTCGATTTTATGATAAGGTGAGAGCGCTTTCTATTTCTATTAGAGCTTCGGTTACTAACATACACCCTATAGTACACGAAAGAGATTAGAGACAGTTTTGAGCGTGGTACAGCACTGTGAGCGGAGTGTCTGTTCTTCAAATATCGCGAATCATGTCATCTTTCCGGCCGCCGTCAGCGGATTAGCGAACTAGAGCATATTTTTCCGCCAAGCTTGGGTCGCCAGGTTCTCAATCTTCTTCGTTCCGACAACGCCCCGCGTCGTTTCGTCCGCAATAGCTTCCACGACCGCCTGTGCGACAACATCTGCCTTGAGTGGCTTTTCTGTCATGGATCCCACAAGAGATTTAAGCCGTCCTCCAAGAAGAGCATCAACCTCTGAACCAATCATTCCACCTAAGGCGATTGGTAGGGTGAACTTTCTGCTAGAATCATAAAGGAAGCCTGGTCGGATGAAGATACTTCGAATGTCGGGCAGGGATTGGGATATAATGGATTCAGCTTCCCTCTTCGTGCTTATATACCTGGCTGGAAGCATCGGGGCACCGCCAGCAGCAGAAATGTAGACAAAGGTTGGCACATGTTCAAAGGATGCCTCTTGCGCAAGCGCGATTGCTATTGGTAGAGTTTCAGTCAGTATCGTCTGTAGAACATCATGCAATGAAAATAGCACTATACCTGTGTCCCTATTCATAACTTCATACGTCAACTGCCCATCACGTTCCTGCGGCCTCAACTCCTCCCCAACTCCTCTATTCAACGGATCCTGCGTGCCCCTCTTGGTCGAACTAAACGCTCTCTGTAACCCACTAACAATCGACTCTTTACCGGACACAACACCCTTGTAATCCGCCTCCAGCAATATGCCCATTGTATGCACTACAGCCGTCGCATCCTTGAGATATGGTTTGTAAGTGGCTGGTTTGAGAATGTCGGCTTTTGCCCATTCGACGTTGCTGGCCCAGCCCGGTCGTTCTTTGGAGGCAGTTACGGTGTCCCATTGTGGTTCTCCGGAGCGGCTGTATCGTATGATGCGGTTAGTGACGAACCGGACGGTGATGGTGGTGGTTGTTGATGGGTGTGTACCTTAATGAAACGACCTCCCAGCCTTGGACGGAGGCATGTTTACATATCCTTGAACCTGAGATCGAGAGCATAAGGTTAGCAAAGCTGGGTTATTAGAGCTGGTGCAATGAGGCTAGAAGTACCTAAAAATCCGCTTCCGCCTGCGACAACGAGACGTTTGGCGGCCATGTTTGGCAGTTATCAATTGATTGAAATATGTAGGAAATGATCGAGAAAATCGTGGAGAATCAGCACTAGAGAAGTAGAAGTAGCACTTAGCTGGCCGTCGAGTTGGAAGGCATGGTGTAAAGAATGATTTATAGATCGGAACGTTTGAAATGGTTTAGCTACGTAATGAGACTTGTGGATCGAGCCTGTCGGCAGCTATGCCGATCCTGAGAGCGGCGGGAAATCTTAGCCGCACCTTTCGTGCATTTCGTCCGATCTACGAGAAGCATACAGTATTATGTTGTTTTGTAATAATCCAGGAAAAGTAGTTACTTCAGTTTAAAGCATACGACCAATGATAACCGAATAGTTTCGTCCGGGCCTTGTGTGGATGTGTAGAGCTCTAGGCCGACTGTGTTGCTATTGGCTAAGCTAAGCTTGCAATTTACGCGCGAGGTCACGTGCACTTGTCGGCGGATCAAATGTTTGGTGCAATCATCTTCCTGTCTGTCGAGCACATTCTGGCAGTGATTTTATCTACAACTACAGAGCATCTCCCCATCTGATCATGCCTGCTGCTACCGGCACTAAACGCGTCAAGGTACGTATCTTCTCCCGCGCTTCAACTTGTCGCAATCTGACACGAATACAGGGCGTTTCCGTCTACAGACCATTCGGTAAGCCCGACGTCACATAGGACGAGAGCTTTACACACTAACCTCCAAAGTCTTCGGCAGCGAAGCCTACCCCTTCGACCCCGAGAACAAACCCGCCAACGCTCCCCCAGACCACACCCACCAATGGCGCGTCTTCGTCAAGGGCGTCAACGGCGAAGACATAACCTACTGGCTGCGCAAAGTGCAATTCAAGCTCCACGAAACCTATGCCCAATCAGTGCGCACAATCGAGCAGCCGCCCTTCGAAGTTACGGAGACTGGATGGGGAGAATTCGAAATTCAGATAAAGCTGTATTTTGTGCCTGAATCGACTGAGAAGCCGCAGACGCTGTGGCATAGTTTGAAGCTCCATCCGTACGGAGATGATATCGAGGGGAAGCGAGAACGAAGAGAGAAGGTTGTCAGTCAGAATTACGAGGAGGTTCTCTTTAACGAGCCTGTTGAGCAGTTTTATGATATTCTGACTGGTGGTGGGAATCCGCCGAGTCAGCTAAGTAAGGGGAAGAGTGGAAAAGGAAAGCAAGCCTTGACACAAAGTGGTGCTGGGAGAACTGCAGAGATTCCGGACAGCGATAGTCCTGGTAATCCGTATAGCAAGGCGACAGAGAATGCAGAGTTGGAAAGACTGGGTAATGCCATGAAGACGGTTGACCAGATGATTAAAGAGGAGAAGGATCGACTTGTGGAGAGGGAGAAGAGGTTGGCAGAGTTGAAGGAGACCGAGGGCGTGCCGGCAACGACGAAGAAGAAGTGATCATGCGTTGAACGAAGTTCATCAAAAAATCCCAGAAGCAGTGCTTGACCAAATTTGCGACAGCGTCAACTTATCCCGTTCGGAGTCAAGTCGCATCGTTCCTCCCCAAGCGCTCGTACTGTCGACTGTAACAGTGCCAACCGACTTACCACGAAATCGCTGAACTCGGCGCTCTGAAGACTAAGTCGGTCCCCTACACTCAAACGCTAATCCCATCCGCCCGGTTCAGCTATCGGTGTATCAACGAGGTGGAAATCTAGTAATCATTAGATCCACGACTTGAGGGATGCATTATGAGGGATGCATTATGGTTCGACCAGTCAATATGACAGATCCCATTTTTAGGTAATCAACCAACCAACCAATTTAAGTAGAAACAATGCATTCATCTTAAAGCCTTATCTATATAACACTCAATCTAGAATGTATGTACATAGACTGCGTTAAAAGCTAAAAATCGTCATCTGCCAAGACCCGCTGACATATGGAACTAAGTTTCCACCTTCGAAATAAGCTACGCCTTCCGAGAAAGCGCCAACCGCAATCATTCTACTCGACAATCAATCAAGCAGACTAACATATCTTCGATTCAGCCATTTAGCCCTCATTCAACTGCTTGCGCCTTGAGATTTTCTCTCTATATCAGTCATTCTTTTTAACCTAAGGATCTGCTTGTTCACCTCCAAAGCACCGTTTCACGACCAGTAATTGATCTGCCTACTGTCTATCGTTAAAGAAATCACACAAGACCAAGAGAGATCTTCATCCCATCTCTTCACGACCGCCAGTCGTCAGCCATCCAGCATGTTCTGTCTCAGAAGGTACTTCCCTCCTCCCTTTGTCCATAAAACTCACACTGACAAGAGAATGAAAAAGCTGGCTTCCCCTCCTCTTCATCCCAACAAACGCCTCCCCACTTTTCATCCTCTCCTTCGTGGTCCTCACCTATATCCTCCACCGACCCTGCATCTACTGCTCCGCCTTACTCCTGATCCTGTTTACATCTTCCTGCCAATGGTCCGACCGCTGCTTTTTCGATTTGAGGGGTGACTGGTTTGCGCCGCGGTTTTCGCCTTCGTCTTCATCTTACAACGCGAATGGGTCTGCCATAGGAGGTAGTAGTGGGGGGAATGCGACTATGTCGACGGCGTTCGATGCAGCAGGCTTCGGAAACGACTCCTTCGCGTCGTTTGTGCGCGACAGTCTAAATTCAACTGCGACTGCGGTCGCGGGCGCCGCAGTCGAGGAACTCAAAAAGAGGACAGCGGGTATACTTGCGAATGGTACGGCTGCTGTCGCCGGTCGACAGCAGGAAGAATGGACTGGTTTGGGGCTGGAATGGTTGCGCAGTTTGTTGGGGAGGAGGGAATGGACTATTCCTTGCATTGATGTCAAGGTGCAACTATAGTCCTTTTTTTTATCTGCTGCATATTGCGAATTTCTGAGGGCTGGGTTTATTGCATTTGATATCATGTCGTCAACCTTGGAAATAGATCACAGCTATTGTTTATAGCTAGCAAATATATCACGATGGAATGATTGTTACATACATAGTCAATGAACGGGATAGCTGAAGTAGAATTTTGTTTTTCTTAAACTAACCATAGACGTTCAAAATTAAATACATAAATACATACACACATATCAAAATATCACATCATGATACATTGGAATCAAATGACAAAATAAGGGCGGATATGTACTGAGGTATCAAGTAGACAAGATAGAGAAAAGGAGGGAATCATATCGCTGACGAAGAGAGGAAATAAATCATGGAGTAAATTCAGTCAATATTATCAAGAACATGTCGAGAATCGAGATATTAGGCATAGCACTTGTTATGTTTTTTTTTTCGGGGTTTCGTTTTCGTATATATAGATGATGGACAACGTGTCTCAAACTTAGGTGTAGCCACTAGACACTGCAGGCCAGTCGTCTTCGGTAATGCTGCTCCAAAACAGCCACACGCAGACGACGGAAAGTAGCGAGAAGAGCGTTTCAAAAAAGGCGCCGTTGATTTTGCCATGGACGGGATTGCAGATGTGAGGACTGATGACAAAGTCAAAGACTTGGGCGATGGCGAAGAGAAGGGCGGCAGCGGTGAGGTAGACTGTGAACGTTAGACATGGCGACCGAGTAATGTAGAAGAGTAGACATACTCAATGGCCTGCGTTCGCCAAGCACGCGCAAGACGAGGATGGTTTCCAATATATAGAAGAAAAACAGACAGACAAGCGGGAACAACAGGTATAACACATAGAGACCGATGTTGCGATTGTTGCCTGATAGGCTGGAATCAAAATGGCCGGTCCAGCTGAATCCAGTGTCCAAAGCAATGTAACCAGTTCCGATGAAGAGGACTACTGCTGAACCTGCAAAAAGACCTACGGACAGAGGTGTGCCATCGTCGAGAAGCTGGAAACCGACAAGAGCGTTTAGGAAAAGTACCCAGGAAGTAGCAGTTATAGCGGCGATGTGCACGGCAGTAAATCCCTATCTTGATAAGCATGGTCTCATGCAATTTTCGGACTTTGTACTAACCTTGCGGACATTATCCGCTAGGGGAAATGCGCCAACAGTGAAGATTTCGCAAATTGAAATGATGGCATAACCGAGCAAGAATAATTGAATTTCCCTATCGATGTCAGTCTTGATTGGTGTCAACGATCAGACGAAGTGATTACCTCCTCCCCACAGCTGCACGTTTTCGTTCCGATAAGAGAAGCAGCAAGATGCAGGTTACTACCGCGATAAAGGCTACCAAAATCGATCCTATTCCGGTCAGACACTTCTCACCATATCTCCAACAAAAGAGACTCACCCAAATTGCCCAAATATCTGCCATTGCTGAGGTGAATACCGGTGAGCGCACAGCCCCCGTAGGCCAGATTGGGAGGTTGATTGCTTGGAACGAAGAGCTATAACGTATCAGTATGAGTCGCGCAACGACTATTGAAGTAATTGGACTTACATTGCACACTGGCAACGTCGAATCGCGACAAAAGTTCTATTTTGAAGATCGACCATTATTAGCTTCAAGCCCCCTCGTGCTGCCTGCTGTGCTGTTTCAGACGCATCCACAGCCACACCACTCACATGGAAATTCCCGAATTGCGTCGAACCCATATTGACGGAAAAAAGTCGACCTTGGCAGCGATATTAATTTGAATTGAAAAGCTTTGGATCGTCTGCCGGGTCTGTTGTCGTGACCGTATTCTCGCCCCCGACCGGCAACAACTGCGACGACCGCACCACGGGAACCGCGAGCCTCGGACTGGAGTTCTGTCGGACAAAGAATGGGAATAGCGAATCGGCGCAAAAAGCGGCGGTCAGCTCGATCTGTACGTAACGTCGCAAACGACAAAGACCGCAGGCGTGTGGTCGGCGAATATGTCGAGCAGGAGTGAAAGAGTTGTTGGTCGGGTTGGCGATGGTGTTTGATGTTTTAGACGCCAACGTGAGCCAACTTGAGCCAAGATAATAAGAGCAGAAAACAGGCTGTAAATTACGCTTCCTCGGGACGTCAACCACCAGCCACAGTCTAGCTGCTTCTTCGAGGCTAGACCGTATTATATTTGGTCTATTTCAAGGAAATTTAAGCTGCATTGGCCAATCAGACGCCGTATGTCGGTCTGACTGTCCGACGTTTTGCAAGGTCACACCGTCACAGCGAGGATCAGTCCGTTAGCTTGAGATTGCGCGCATTCTATTGGTCAACAATGAATCAGGCACGGACAGCCACTACTAGAAAAGGCATAGCGTATCACGCTAACTGGTTTAGCGGGCTTTAATTCGTGCTTTATCGTTTCGTATTTGTGTATTTGCGATACGCACTATTTCATCGACTATCGGGACATAGCGCGACCAATCCTCGCTTTCCCTTCAAGGCTTGAATTATTAGAATTGAGATTAGATTTCCTTCGACTTGATCAATCACATGAGAAGATCGATGTCGTACAATTTCTGAGTCAGGTCATGGTGCGCTTCCCCAAGTGCTCCCTGACTACTCACCGCTTGTGTCTTATGCGGAGAGTCATCCACCAGGCCAGCCCTACAAGCAAGGGTGGCTAGGAGTTTCAGAAAAGCTGTGAGAAAAGGTAAAACAGTCAAAGCTACAGTTTCAGGTTTCTTCTTTCCCCACTGAATGCCGTTTATCATCAATGATATGCCAATCACGTGTCAGATACTACTGCATAGTGCATTGTATATGAACGTGCGCACATCTCAGATCAGAGTTTGATGCCCTTGCTGGCAGTCCTCAGATGTGAATGATAAATTGCTAGTCTCCCACCTTTCTTGCATATACTTTATCTGCTCAGCTATCCCCTGCTCGATATGTGCCTATCCACGAGAAAGAAAAGTAGTGTATTCTTTCCCAACCACCGACATTTCTATATGGGCATCACCAAAGTGTAACACTGGTCCTTACTTGGACGCTGTGTCAAACGCGATGACATCAAGTTGCATGCTGTTCGAGCACATCGCGTGGAGGTCTTTGAGTACTTACCAAGCTAGGCAGTGACTCGTGGTGGCAGTTCGCCATTATGCCTACCTTGCACCTCTATTCGCATTACCTATTATAATCGAAAACAATCGCAGGTTATATGGCTCACCCAGCTTAAAAACCCAGTGAATATCATTAAGGGTCTACAAGACTTAAATCTATTGCATGGATCATCTAGTTCATTTTGACGAACCATAAACGAACAAATGATTCGTGTCTCGAATCAGGAGCACCGCAGCCTCGTCGAGAGGGAACTAACATACATCCTCAATCTCAAGCTTCTTCCCATCATGATCACCCAAATCCAGCTTCAAAGTCCGATTGAACAGCTCTAGAAGCATCTCAAAGCAACTTTTGGAAATGGCCGGATCGTAACGGCCTTTGCTGAGTTCATCGCGGATGAATGCGTCTGTGTTGTTCTTAGTATTTTCGAGTTGCAGATATAAATAATGAATGGGATACTCACGTTGAGCCCAAGCAACTTCATAAAAACTAAACAAAACACCCTTCTCATGCAGCGTCTTGCGAATCAAATCCCGTCCTTCAGGCGGGACATGGTTATCGTTCTTTCCAAAGATCTATTCCATCATCTCAGTCGAAGCCAAAAATTTTACCGGTTTGATGAAGGGAAAATACCATAATCAACTCCCCCTTAATATCTCCGGCACGCTTCAAACTGTCATCGCTCTTACCCTCACCCAACGTCGCGCTGTGGATGTCAGTTGCGAAATAGCAAACGGCAGCTTTGACTCTCTGATCGAGCGCGCATCGGTATGCCAAATGACCGCCTAGACACATTCCTGTGGCTCCCACGCGGCCGTTGCATGTGGGTAGGGAGAGGAGATAGTCTACTGAAAGGGAGGCATCTTCGTCGTAGGCTTGTATTTTCTGCAAGAGACCATCAATCTGAAACACTCACCTAAGGCGTAGGAGCGATGGAATTACCTTTGAAATCTTCCACAGATTGCCCTTGTCTGTATCCTCAGCATCGTACTTCAATGCCTCGGGGCCCGTGAACTCATGGTAACTCGATGGAGCGGCACAGATGTATCCCTGACCAGCAATCTGTCTTGCAAACCTGGCTACTGGGCCGGTTACTACCTCAAATGTCAGATATCCATCAATTTATGTGAATCGGAAAGGATAATGTACCTTGATAGATCTCGCTAAAGACTACGACACCTGGGAATCGGGCATTAGGGTAGCCCGGGATGGTCGGATGGAAGATGTATATTCCTAGAGAGATTGAATGTCAGATTCACCAGGCAGAAGATATTGTTACGCCAGAATAATTACATGACCGAAGACTGGGAGTCACTGGAAGTCATTGGGAGTCACTTACTCATCGATCCATCCTGTCCACCGGCCTTGGTGGGCACGTCGATGTGAGACTCTTTGATCAGCATTCTGGCAGGTCGGCCGGTAAATCCTTCTAACGCCTGTGATGGACTGTAGGAGTCGTCTACAAGCGATTCAGATAAAAATAAGGAAACGTCAAGAAGATGTTGTCTAGGGCGTCGAAGGTTGAAGGACGTCAGAATAGAGCTCCCACTGTCCCGCATGTTGCCCCACCGTCGAGAAAAGGTACCAATTTTCTACTTTTTCGATCCGTGATTTTTTCAATCTGTTAATACTTACTTCATCTATGCCACATATCAAACTAGCAACAGGCATACATAATAAAAGTCTAAGGCATTTGTTCATCCTGCCTCTGTTTTCTGGTCCATGTCAGGCAAAAATCGAGTAGAAGACCACAACGGATACATCCTGCCCAATGTCGGTGAATTCGCTTCTCCTTCCTCGCCAGATCCCATAGTATGCGCTATAGAAAGGCCCCTCCGTCTATTGAAACGTCCATATATAGGAGAAAGTCGAGTTATCATTGACAATGCACTCTCAATCGGTGATTGGGCTTGATATTCGATGGGAGTGTTTTGAATTGACGTGGGTGATGTGACTATTTGTGACCGTCTGAATGCTTCCTGTGGACGAATCTTGAGGTTGTGCGGGTTACGGTCCTTTGAAGAACTCCTCGGTGTGATCTCGCACGCGTCGGATGGCAGTTCGATGCGTTTCTCGTGACGTGCTTATCACTGTTAGCTCCTTGCATATGTTCAAGCCGACTGTAATGAGATAGCTCACTGTCTAGTTCGAATATGAGGTTTGTGTCAACATGAGGCTGAGTTGTTGCTGGCGTAAACTCTGTGCATGTTTTTTCTGGCAGTGCAGTCTGCGGCCTGCTTGATTTTTCGTCTGTGAGATACGTTCCAGGGGCAGAGAATGTCATATAATCACTTTCCTGCTTGTAAATTTGGTAGAAACTTTTCGGCGCAATATTCTCCCTACTACTATCAGGTTGGTTTGCTTTATTCAACATTCTGTGGCGAACAAGCCTTCGAGTGGTCAGCCAAATGAGGAAGGAGATGCAAATGACCCCAGCACAGACAGAAACTGCGAGGGTGGTCTTTAGCCTTGCCTCTGTTCCACTTGACGGGTTAGCATGCGTACCAATCATGCTGGTGGCTGTTGATGACGCTGGTGTGACTGTTGTTGATGTATAAGGGTAATACGTCGCGATAGGCTTGGTATAAGTCTCCGCAAATATGCTGCTGAGACCTCCATCACCCCATGACGATGGCAAAAGCATGTTCCCTCCCTCAGTCGTACTGATCATGTGTTAGATGTAGCAAACCGGATGATCAAGAATAATTTACTTTCCACCAATTCGATCAGTGACTATCAAGGGCATCGAGTAATTACTCCACTCATTAGGGTCGTAAGTATTCTGAAACTGAAGCGTGTTAAGATTGAAAACTTGCAAGAATCCTCCATCCAGACAGTTCGAAGAATCATTCTTGTAAGCCCCACCCAAGACGAACATCTTATCTGGATAGACCTTGATGCACTTGTGACCGCTACGACCATGTGAAGACTGGCCAGAATATACCTTGATCCATGTAAAAGATGAAATAGACAGGATGTAGACATCGTCTGATGGAGCGGAACTAGCATTGATACCATCATAGCCCCCATAAATGTATATGTTGAAGGTACTACCGTCAGATACAGGAGCCATGACCGAGCAGAGCATCGTAAGTTGTGGCGGGATGTCCCCAGTAGTAGTTTGCAGAAACCTACAACCAAGTTAGCACATTTTCTTCAGGATGCGAAAGATATACTTGCCAAATTTTAGACGCAATATCGTAGACCGGAAGCTCTTTCATGAAAATGGGACTATTTTGGCTCTGTAACCTGTTGTTAGAAAAATAAAAGACTATCTAGGAGAAATTTTACTTACGCTAGCGGCTATGTCCTCATCTGTCAAATTGTCGTTAGAGGAGAGGATTTCGGGATTAATGACTCCTCCTATCACAACCAAGATTCCTGACTCCGAGACAGGAAGCCATACTATCTCGGCATTTGCTCTCCCAGGAATATGGGCTGGTAGGCTACTATTCTGCCAACTCTCGTTTCTCATGGCTGCCAAGTTCACGGTAATCAAACTTGTGGCTGTTGAATAAGTTGAGCCGTTGTCCCCTTCCACCAAGTCGCCCATTAGTCCATGCATGCCACTGAAATAAAACCCAAGGTTCTCGCTAGGAACAGAAACCCCTGCACCATTTGTGACGTAACGAGTAACACTGTTGTTTGTGCTCTTTTGTTCAAAGCCAGGTTTCCAGCTTTCAATCGATGCTGAACCTTCATAAGCTTCGTATCCTAAGATCACTTCTGCCGGTGGCGGATTTGCACCATCTGTCACGCGAGATAACCCACTATCGTCATGTCATTTGTGACCAAAAGCAGGAAAAATGTCTAGGTCGTACCCGTAGAGAATCAACTCATTGTCATTGGCGAACATGGTCCCATCTTCAAAATTAGGATTGAGATTCGTTGCCAAAACACCGTTACTCTTTTCCATAGATTGAAGCAAAACTGTCATACTGGTATGTTGATCGAAAGATTGTCTCAGACTGAGGTTGTACATGTAGCCTTCGTTGCCATCTGTGCCTTATCAGCGATTTGCATTATCATTTGGAGAAACTGTCGTACCATCACTGAGAGGACTACCATATGTTCCGTCGGACAGCCCACTGTACAGGTTAGCTTGCTTGTAACTTTCGAGTGACTAGATATTATCTCACAATTGCCACCATAAGTTGCCTCCATCAAGATAGATCGTGTCTCGAATGATATTTGCTTGATTAATGTAAAAGTTAGAAGCAGGCTCCTGACCTATAGTATGAAATCTCACGTCTTACCTCGTAGTTGTGACCAACTGCAGATTGAGACGTTTACTTCGTTTGCCCAAGCGAGGCAATGCGCCGGAAGAACTTTCATTAGTAGAAGTGCCATGATATAGGATATCCCTAATGTGCAAATAGAATTCGTATACATCTCTTGTAAAGAGAGCTTGGTTGTTGATCAAGTCAAATTGTCGTTTGATTTGAATCATTTTTTGACTCGAATAATGATTGGAAGTAATTTTCATGATCTATGGCCAAATAAAAGTCAGGGTAGATACCTTCTTAAGCCTTCAGTTGCGTTTAGCGCTGCATTAAAGTTGTATATGTTGCTCGCCAATCGACTCACCGAAGATTGAGCCCCAAGTATTACGACGTTCATTGATATTTCCATAATGACAAGTGCTTCTTTGACCTGATATGCCCGTACCAGTTTCGTTTTTGGAACTTATGGATAAAGAATTGGCATATACTTCCAAGGCTCGGAGATACCTTGGTGGCGAGTTCATGTCTGTTGACTATCTAAAAACATCCCATTAACAAAGAAACCAAGAATCGACGGAGTGTAGTCTGCTTCGAAGGTCATGAGCATCAAAATATGGGCCAAGATCATTTGACTTTTCCATCGCTATCAGGCAATGATCTATTATGAAAGCGGAGTGCGGCTTTGTCTGGCACCTGAAAATTGAACTCCTCATACTTATATTAAATAGCCCCCACAAGTCCAGTGTGACGTTAAAGTACCCAACCATTCCGTAGCTGAGACTATATATTTAGCTGAGAGTATGAAGCTTCGAGATCAATGTCAAAGATTAACTACTTGATATAAGGAGAGAAATGGGAGTAGAGAGGAAGCTATGACTCATCCAATCGAAGACAAGGTGCAAATGACTGGAAAATACATCAAAATTTCAAAGATACGAATGTGAGTCTTACCGCAAGGAAGACGCACTGCCTGCTCGACTTAATCTTTGTTGACCAAAGCTCGTGACATGTATTTATCATAGTTCTTTGAGGGCACACTAGCTATTGTTGGCCAGGCGACCAGATCAATAATTACGGATTATACATTTATACATAGCACGGATGAGTTGGCATATTGATTTTCCAGGAATACTCTGAGAGAAATTTTTCTTTCTTTCTCTATTCAGAAAACTTCAAGCGTAGCCAGAGCAACGATCTGAGTTTAGCCAAAAGGATCAGCCCGAAGACCTTCGCTGCTATGCATTTATTGTTTCTCGAATCACTTTTGCTCGCTATGCATCTATTCAAGCAACTTATAAAACAATTGACTCAACGATGATTGTGATTATCATCGCGTTCCAAGTCCGATATTGTACCGCCCTTTTCAATATCGCCCCTGCCTATCTTCGTAACCTCGACTGCGGTCTGATCTATAGCTGGCATGATCTCCGACCCTGATTCGGTGACGGTTATAGCGTCCGGCGTTGAAGTTTCCTTTTTTGCTGGCTCGTCATTCCTTCCCAAACCTCGATCTTTAATCGATACACATGCGCAGAGACACACGCCAATAACCACAGTGTTGGTAATGTACAGGTACTTCGTTGCCTTCATATACGCTGATAGAATGACTACCGTGGTCTCGGAATCATCAAAAGTTGGAAGATTGTATATTGACGATGCAACATATTTCAAGTCCGCTGGAAGATGGCTTCTCAATCCACTTTGCAAGATAGTAGCCGATATTGCGAGTCCACATGCACCGCCAGCGCAGCGGAAGAAGTTTCGACTCGAGATTATGACTGCTCGCTGAGACTTAGGTGAGTGTGCCTGCAATGCCACCAGAGTAGGCTGAAAGACGAATCCAACACCGATGCCGATTAAGAGAAGTGCTACAACGCACACTCCTGGGTTGGTATCTTGATCGAACAATATACTTAGACCACATCCGACTGTCCAGCTTGCGAAGCCGCTCCAGAGAATCACCCCGTAGTGATGGCGGCGAGAAATGTATTGGCCGGAAACCACAGAGCCAACGGACTGCATGAAGACCAGGGGAATACTCAACGCTGCGCTGACGATTACACTGTACCCGCGTATGTTCTGGTAGTATTGAGGAAGATAGTATAGATAGCTCTGATATACCCAACCGAGCAAGAAGCTTTGCAAGAGAAGAGCCACGATAGATTGGTTTTTGAAGATATTCACTGCTCATTCTCATGGTTAGGTGTTATTCATTCTAACTGACCTGCAGGGATCATAGCTATAAACTCACTTGGCATCATAGGAATTCTTGCTACCTTCCACTCGATTATGACAAACGCAACAAGCGCACAACTTCCAATCACTAGCATGGAAATCACCATTGCTGAATTCCACTGAAAGTATAGCCCTCCACCGGATATCGGAATCAACAACAGTACAATTCCAGCAGATGATGTTAGACACCCCCAGACATCAATCTTGCTTAATTTTTCACGAAAACCGCCAGTTACTTTGGAGGCTGGTAGTACAAACCAACACACAGCGCCTCCAGACGCTACAATGGGTGTAAGCGTCCAGAAGAAGCCTCTCCATCCCACTGGTGCTTGAATGAAGCCGGCAGCCATAAAGGGACCAACGATGTTGGCTACTCCAAGACATGCCCCAATGATACCTTGATATTTCCCTCTCTCTTCAAGAGTTACGACGTCGGAGACAAATATCATGGCCAGATTTGTAATGCCGCCACCAGCCAATCCTGCCATTGCACGAAAGAAGTAGAGCATAGGCGCATTTTGCGCAAATCCGCATAATAAATCTGCCACTGCTAAGATGACGCATGCCGTTAGAAGCACAGACTTGCGTCCAAATATGTCTGAAAGACGGCCGTAGAGCACGGAGAACACTGTATTTGCGATAAGAGAGGATGTTCCGGCCCATGGTATGGTGTCCTCCGCGTTGAGGTCTGCTGCGATGCTAGGTAGTGCAACAGAGACCCCATTTTGGTCGATAAAAGCCGTGAATAAGACGAGAGAAATACAGCTGATAACTATGAGGAGTCGAGTCTTGGGGAGAATGTTTTCCTGGTTTTGTAAGGAGGTGGCATCTTGTTTGTTGGACATTTCGTGTTACGTGTTGGCCACTTTATTCTTCGGAACGACGAATAAATTTTCATTTCTGTTCCTCCAGGTTGAAGGAATCAAACTCAATGAACAATCCATCCTAGAAGATGGCTGATCTTTTCTCCGTATTGAGCCAAGACCTGAATCCTCATCTCAGAGTCCTTCCAGGACCCGTTTCATGACAGCTTTCATAGATTTCCTATCCGTACAATCCGGAGTCCACTGCAGAGAAAAACATTGCAATCATTCCCACCGAGATCGTTTCACGGTGCCTCCGGTCAGATTAGGGTTATCTTCGGAGGGTCCGAGGAGTGGGTATAGAAGTGGCCCGATCCATAAATCGCTTATCTTTGAGAGCGCCTATCTTTCTACGGAGCATCCGGACATCTCTCTTCTGTTGCTGTTCTCGCCTTTTGTTTGTCCTGGTACATGGGTTTGACTTATCTGGTTATCAGCCCGGAAGAACGATGATGATGTTTTAGTATTCACTATCTATTGTCATTGACCTTAGTTGACCCAAATGATAAGCCTGTCGTACGTTAGCAACTCTATTTAGATCCATTATAAATGTATCAAAAGCAAATCGAGACATCTTTTTGGAAGCTGCAAGCCTCATAGGAACATATAATCGGTGTTTGAGATCATCAACTTTTCTGGTCAATATGGCCACCACTAAGTTATCCCGAGCCAAGGAGGCCGTGTCTTCATGGTCATCATTCAAAAAGGCCATTCAAACAGATGATTCTCCCGACAAGGAAGAGGCTTCCTCAGCATACTACAACGCTGATCTCTTGCCTACGCCGCCATCGCAGCGAACATGGACGACCATGCATTTCTTTGCATACTATCTGACCACCACTTTCAGTCCTTCATCGTACAACCTGGGTTCTTCACTTGTGAGCAAAGGCCTTCAATGGTGGCACGGAATGATCGCCGCAGTTATCGGCTCGATATTTCTCAGCATTGTTGTTGTTCTGAATTCTCGTGGTGCAGCCAAATACCATGTCGGATTTCCGGTCTATACACGCGCAAGCTCGGGAATAGGAGGAGCGAAGCTGTTCATTTTTGTTCGAGCATCTGTTGCTACTATATATTTTGCGGTGCAATCATACTATGGAGGTCAATTGACATCTGTATGTCTACGAGCGATGATTGGACAAAAGTGGGATAGTATTCCCAACCATCTCCCAGCAGACGCAGGTATTACTTCGAAGAATCTGCTTGCCTTCTTCATTTTCTGGATTTTGCAGTTTCCGGTAATGTTTCTGCACCCGACTATTCTCCGACATCTCTTCGTCTTCAAAGCCGTATACACGACAGTCGCGCTCTTCGGCGTCATGGGTTGGGCCATTCACAAAAATGGCGGCTCTATCGGATCATTCAGCTTTCAAACAAGCTCATTGCACGGCAGCGCGCTTGTCTGGCCCATGATCTCAGCTATCAACTCCGTAATGGGAGCCCTCTGTCCGATCTTGATCAACCAGCCTGACGTTGCCAGATACGCAAAGCGCTATTCTCAAGTCACTTGGTCTCAGAGCGTTGGTATTCTGCTTTCTAAAGTCCTCGTCATGTTCGTTAGCTGTGCGACAACGAGTGCTACAACCGCAATTTTGGGCAAAGCATACTGGAATGTCTGGGACTTGTACAACGCTATTTTGACGGAGTATTGGAGTCCCGCCGCACGCGCTGGTATCTTCTTCGCGAGTCTCGGCATGATCCTAGCCATTATCGCCACAAATGCAGGCACAAACTCGCTCCCAGTAGGTGCCGATACAAGTGGTTTGTTTCCACGATATATCAACATTGTACGTGGACAGGTCCTTTGTGCATTACTTGCACCACTATGCGTGCCATGGAAGATTATCGCTTCAGCATCATCCTTCTTAACCTTTCTCGGCTCTTACACCGTCTTCCTCATGCCAATCTGTGCTATCATGGTTGTCGACTATTGGATTATTAGAAAGGGTAATTTCCATATTCCATCACTATATACGAAGGCCCCCGGAACCCCATACGCGTATTGGCACGGTTGGAATCCACGGGCTTTGGTAGCATGGGTCTGCGGCGTGGTCTTTGTGGTACATGGAGTCGCCGGTAGTCTACATCCAGGAAGTGTCAATGCAGCAAGTACACGCATGTACAGCTTAGGCTTCTTCTTGAGCTTCCTTATGGGTGGGTTTGTGTTCTATTTACTTAACCTGGTGTGGCCGGTTCCCATTTACCCAACTTCAGCTGAGGCAGATACACCCAAGACATGGGAGTATATGACTACCACAGAAGGTATGCTGGATGAAGACTCGATGGATATGATCACGGGAGGAAGAATTCTAAATGGATTAGAAGATGGAAGCCACATTAGAGATGAGAATGTCACCATGAGTGAGAAGGCTTATCTTTCTGTTTGATTTCTGTTCCTTACCTCGTTCACCGGATACTTCGAAAGCTATTTATCATGATTCAATATACTTTGCTTGACAATTATTCATTCTTCCTGTCTAATTTCAACTTTGCAATATAACTATCATAACTCATTAATGTCAGCACCGTGGACCTATCTTGATATCATCATAACACTAAATGATCTGTCCCCCCTTGCAAAGATTCAAAATCAGGCATCCAGACAGATTGGCCATCTTGATCAATCCAGCTTGCCAGCTCATTGACGATTTGCATCGCACCCGAGTCCCCTCGAGTAGACTGTGAATAATCCTCGAGTATACGATCTCTGACATTATCATAATGCGTTGTCTGATAATGATGACGATCATAATGTCGATGATTATGATCATAGCCGGAGACACTAAGTGCAGTCTCTAATATGCCTGCCTGTTCTTTCAAGTTGCCTTGCAATTTCTCCATTGTTGCGTTGGTCAACAACTCAAAGGCATCGCGGTATTTTTTGACCCATAAAGTACGTTCACCCATGACGAACAAAACATTAGAACAAGCACGGATTCCATTGCTTACTTTGACGGACCAAACATGAGATGTTTTCGTCCAAACACAGAAAAGTAAAGTGACACCTGCTACAAATACGGTTTGCACGGCAATAAATGAGTGGCCATAGTCAAGTGTCTGGTGAAGTCGTTTGTGGATGTGACAAATCTCCAGTGCGGATTCGAGACAACTTGTATAATAGGGATCTGTGCAGGGAAGTATGCTGAGAAATGGTTGCAGAAGCAGACGGATTGCGCGATGATAGTAGAGAATGGGATAGTCTAAATCAACATCTGGGAATGAGCGAAGCAAGTCGATTTTCCATGTTTCGAATTCATGGTAATGACGAGTCAGTTTTCGACGAAGCTCGGATAAGGGTTTGTCAGTTCGGTAGATTGAATGATGCATTCGGGATTCGAGGATGTGAATGCGGAAAAGATGGATTGCCATCGCATTACTTTGAGATTTGCCCCTTTTCACAAATGATAAAGATATGTGAGGGGTTTGACTCGTTGCTGTTGACCCAATAACGTCTGGGAGCTCAACATCAATATGTCGATCGGCAATGCTGACGGGACGTCCAAGGGAGATTGAGATTGTACGTTCAAGTGAGTACACGGTCCAGAAAAGGGTCCGATAGCGTTGGCTAGTTATTGGATCTCGATTTATCTCCTTGTTCTTCCGGTGTAATCCAAGATCAATACAGGTTCTCATCGCCAGGCCTATCATATACCATAAACCATGACTGCTCGCACTGGAGCGCAGATGGTAGATCACAAGTAAGGTCATGGCTTCGATATTGTGTATAGATCGTGACTCTCGGGCTGCAGAGATGTGTTGTAGAGCTGTCATATATAGACTCTGCTTGTAGTCAGCACACACAGTATACACAGGCGATTACTGTGTCACTTCGATCCAGTCTGGACACTTACCTCCGATGAAGATGATGATGCAAAGTCTTTCTCAGTCAAAGCGAGTAAACTGGACCCAATTGCATAGACGAGGTATAACTTGAATGTTCCAAATCTTTCTCGCCTCGACAAATTGTTGCTGGTAGAAAGTCTAAGCCGGTCTGAATGTAGCTTTTCCATCTCTCCCCAGTCCATGAAAGGATATCGTGTCGCAACCCGCGTGAAGTAGGCTGATATGAATCGTAACCCTTCTTCGTCGGATGGAGGACCTGCACTCTTTTTCCGAATTTCTTCTAGTGTCAACGGCCGCACGCGAACACTATTATCTCTAACGGCACGATTTTGATCAATGGGAAAAGGGCCCGTTTCCGGCGTTGATATAATTGATGCATCCTCTGGAGCATCTGTTGTAGCCAAAGCCTTGTTCCAGACAGATGCTTGAACCATTTCCCTCAGATTGAGCGCTAAAGAGAATCCCGACGACGAGCCTACATAGGCCGGTCCCTCAAAATGCCCAAGGGTGAGAAATTCTGCTATTTCACCAAGTGCATTTCGCTGAGCTGCCTGGGTTTGTGTTCTAACGTCTTGTGCTAACGAGGGGGTCTCTGCGACGTTGGAGGGGGTCTCTAATCGAATCTCAAGCTCTGCGATGCGGTTTTCCAGTGCCTTGATATATCTGGCCATAATTTCAGCGTCATATAACCTATTCTGCAATCTTCAAAACTCACTCTTCTACTACACGATCGTCGGCACGAATGACATGTAGGTCACATTCTGCGGCTGCCTTTTGACAATTTCCGCAGACGGGATAATTGCCATCACACTAATACATTTCATTAGTCTAGTGCCATATGATATAAGTTGTACTATGTGAGAAATACCCTTTGTTTCTTATCTTTGCAGCGAGTACATGCTGTCCTGCTCCTTTTCTTAGAATTGAAGCCTATAGGCAAAGGGGAGGGAGACACTGCAATTGATCGAAAGTGTTCGGCCATAATGAAGCCATGTAACGAACATGAACTGCGCCTTACATGTATTGATTCGGTATATTCTAGTATATCTACCTAGTTCTAGCTCGAATCGTAGATTGGTTATTGATAAAGCGTCATCCATGCCTTATCTCCCGGGTGGGCCCACCAAACAATGAAAGTCCCCACGTTGTCGGCCTAGGCGCACATATGTATCTTTACTTGAAAACTTCTATTAAGTATATGATAAGCTCAAGGTATCTACCCAGCCTTCTTAGCAGTCTCTATCCATTTTCCATCAGGCTGATATGGAAATTTTTCGTTATAATGTTTAGCAATATCCCTTCTCGTCGTGACCCAGACACCAGGTTTCTCAGAAATGTACTTCATAAACTTCCTCAACGCCTCGCATCGACCAGGCTTTCCGATAATTCGTGTATGAAGAGGGATATTCATCATTTTTCCGCCTTCGCGGTATAGCATATCGAATGTGTTTTTTAGGTAATTCTCGTAGCTTTCGGCCACACTGCTGCCGAAGCCAGGGGCCATGTGGAATTTGCCGTCGTTGCAATCGTACTGTTATTTTCATTAGTCGATTTTCATTAGTCGGTTTTACAAATTCTCATGAGTAGCAGACTATACGCACGTTGTATGGAATCAGCAACATTCCCGTTCGCTCCTCTTCTTTCAAAGACTTCTCCCATGGAAGATCAAGCCAGTAAGGGACGTCGTCATTGTAGACTTCAGAAGACCAAAGAAATTCTGCGCCCAGTTCTTTCCATACTTCGGGGAACAACATGTGTGTTTGTGGTGTTCCACGCCCAAAGTAAGCACCCACGGGCATTTCACCTAAGATTCTATCAGCTTTGATGGCACGATAAATGAGTGACCAGACAGAAAGAGGAGAACATACCGCTCACTTCCTTGAGCAACAGTAAAGTTTTCTTAATGTATTCTTTATCTTGTTCAAGATTGTAATCCCACACGTCAAGCCACCTATATCCATGAGCAGCGATTTCGTGACCGTCTCGTACTAGTGCTTTGGCGAAAGTAGGATTCTTCTTCAGTGCAACGGCAACCGCATACGTCGTGAAGTTCCAGCCAAACTCCTTGAACAATCGAATCAGTCGCCAGGAAGCGGAGCGACTTCCGTATTCAAAGTCTTGCTCGGCGTTAAGGTAGCGAGCATTCTCTTTATAGCCACCGGATGATCCCTTTTCCCACAGATACGGCTCSGACATGTTGTCTAGATAATTCATTCATGTTAGTTGACTTCCACACACCACATATAAAGTCTACATACCGCCATCAAGAATGCTGCGCTCGCCACCCTCCTCATAATTCAGGACAAATGATACAGCTATACGAGCGCCGTTGGGCCATTTTGGGTCAAAGCCTTCTTCTCCGAAACCTTCAAAGTCTCGAGGGACCTGATACTTCTCTTCGATGTGAACCATTATGCCGAATGAAAAGATAGATGATGCAGCAAAACAAGTCGCAAACGAGAGAGCAACTCAATAAATACGTTTCAATCTATCGTTCATTTCAACTGCTTTTTCTATAGATACCTTCCGCATATTTCGTTACGTATCATTGTGAGTATAATCAATAATTAGGGCTTAGCGGGGGCACTTGATAAGAGCTCCGGAATGCCCGCGGCGCGTCCGTTATCGTATCGTTATCTATGCCAGGGACAATCTTCGGAGGGTCCGAGATCACTGATATGAATAACCCTAGCTTACGTGACAGCTAGGGTTAGGGCTTGTGGGGTCGTGTTGACTGTTTCTTTGTTCAACACACACGTGATGACTGGGCTAGAACTTATTGTAATGCTGGCGATGCGGGATTTCTTATTGACTGCCAATCGACTTGAGATATAGATTGCTTCAAATCAATATTCGCTGAACAATTGGGCCACCATGGAAGAAGAACTACGAGCAACTGCCGCAAGTCTTGGGTTTCAAGTTGCAGCTGAAGAGGTCGACGAATATGTGGCTCTACTCGAACGCATGGAAAAGTCTCTACAGACTGTTTCAGACATGCCTGGTGAGTCTGAGAAAATGCATTTAAGCATGAATCATGGCTAAGATTCCGCATCTGCAGATTATCAGCCAACACCGGATCATGCAATCTACCCACGATCTGATATCCATTTCCCAACCGCAGACTCGAATCCACTGGCAGCGTGGGCGTGGAAATTCAATGCAACAAGCACAGCGCCGAAATCTGATCTTCTCAAAGGCAAGACATTGTGTTTAAAGGACAATATAGCAGTCGCTGGCGTACCTTGTCTGCTAGGAACAGACACCTTTAAAAACTGGATTCCGAACACCGATGCAACGGTGGTAACCCGCATTCTTGATGCAGGTGGCATCATCACGGGCAAAGCAGTATGTGAGAATTTATCTCGTGGCGCTGTCAGTGTTACTGCTGCGACGGGACCTGTCCATAATCCCTATGCACATGGATACTCCGCAGGAGGAAGTAGTTCCGGAACTGCTGCACTTGTGGCCAGTGGTGCGACAGATATGGGAATAGGATGCGATCAAGGTGGTAGCATCCGAATTCCTGCGAGTTTATGTGGGCTTTACGGCTTCAAACCTACAGTCGGCTTGGTTCCTTACACTGGCATAGCAAGTAATGATGCTTGTTTAGACTTTGTCGGCCCAATGACAACAACTTGCCTGGACAATGCGATCCTTTTAGAAGCTATTGCCGGTGTTGATGGATTGGATGACCGGCAATCAGCTGGTGCGCCATTTTCTGGACAGGTACCGCATTACGCACAAATATTAGAGGAGACCAAAGAGGACGGGATCAAAGAATTCAAAATTGGCATATTAAAAGAAGGGTTGGATTTGCCCGGCATCAACCCTGAGGTTGAGAAAAAATTTCAAGATGCTATGGATGTGTTTCGTCAGCTTGGTGCAACTGTAGAAGATATTCATGTTCCGATCCACTTGCAGGCACGAACCATAATTGTGGTCTTGAGCAAAATGGGGAATCACATGGGAATGCTAGGCAAAGCCACGGGACGAAGACAAATGATGTTGACTGATTTGTTCGAGAAGAAGAACTTGCCATACACACCAGAAGCGCTCGATAAGGTATGCTTCTCTCGCACTCCTAATTTCTGCTCCTTTCTTCTTCGCTTTTTCCCATCTTCCCTTCCGTTTCGAGCAGAAAACGTATATGCTAATTCAACCAGATGAGCGTTATGATCAAAGAAGCCTTAATAAGTGGTGAATATGCATGGAAACACTATTCTACCCTTTATCCGAAAGTTGTCAACCTCATGCGCAAACTCCGAGATGATTACGATAAAGCCCTTGAGCAATACGATGTACTAGTAATGCCCACAACCATCACGGAGTCGAACAAGCTTCCCGCAACGGATGCATCCCCCCTTGAACATATAAACGCATCCAAGGGGAAGCTAGAAAATACGAGCCCATTCAATGCATCGGGCCATCCGGCTCTTGCAGTACCCATAGGACTTGTTCCGAGCCGAGAGAATCCGAGCATAGATTTGCCAACGAGCATGCAAATTGTGGGTCGGTATTGGGATGAGCTGACCATATTGAAAATTGCTTATGCATGGGAACGAGAAATTGGAAATTGGAAGGAGTTTTGAAAATCTATGGATATGTGTATTACTTGCGCACATTCATTATGTACCTGCATTTTAATGAACCGTGATACCTGACCTCAGGCATCGCAATGGCAAATAACAGATCTCTCATTAATAGAATGAAAGTATTCAAAGGCATTAGGATCAAGACAACCTTAACTCCGAATAACGAGCAGACCAAACGGTTAATTCTACAGATCGCCAACTAGCGTCACGTTCCATTGGTGTATTAAATCGGGCCTTGAGCATAATAACTCGTATATTATGCGGGTTTTCAAGGATCTTCTTCCAAAAGTCTTCCCCGCATTATCGGGATTTGGCCTAATCTAGTAGGTAGTTAGATCTTAATATAGCTGGTTTACTAGACATGATCTACGTACATATGACATGATTGGTGGTCGTTCCAATTCGAAGTATACAAAGATTTAACCGAAGTACAATCGGATAATTTATCTGGTTTTCACATATATAGTATGGCTGATCGCTCCAAAGTACGAATTGTGTATGTGGTTGGGATGGCCTTTACGCCTCGAATGTTGTCTGATTTTCCATTAGATTCAAAACAATGGCGTTGAACATATTCGCTTTCGCGAGCATGATAGGAGCTGGACTTGCAAATAGTCATTCGATACATGCTCGTATACAGAATGGCCTCGCTCAAACCCCTCAAATGGGGTAAGTAAATAGACACTTGTATTTCACATTAACCCGCTGACTAGCGATCAAACCAGATGGAATACATACAATCATTACGGATGCTCCCCCCACGAAGCCATCGTTCACTCCAATGCTCAAGCATTAGTTGATCTTGGCCTAGCCTCCCTTGGTTATCGCTATGTAACTACTGACTGTGGCTGGACTGTTGCTGATCGGCTCGCGAATGGCTCCTTGACCTGGGATGCGACGCTTTTCCCGTCGGGGTTCCCGGCACTAGGCCAGTATCTTCACGATCTTGGACTACTCTTTGGCGTTTATCAAGATGCTGGAATATTGTTATGCGGTAGCCCTCCGAATCAGACAGGGAGTCTCTGTGAGTTTTTTCGTTATGATGGTTTGACAACCTAGGGTTTTGGTCACTTAGCCCTAACAACAACTTTAAGATCATGAGCTGCAGGATGCGCAGACTTTTGCCTCTTGGGAGGTGGATTCACTAAAATGTAGGCAAGCTGTTTCGATTATTAAAAGATGACTACGGGATTGACGAATAACAGATGACAACTGCTACTCCGACGCAGCAACTAACTACCCAAACGTAAACTATGCGCCCAGTACATCCCCCGAAGCGCGTTACTCAAACATGTCAAATGCGCTCTCACAGCAAGATCGTAAAATCTTATTCCAGATATGTGACTGGGGCGTTGACTTCCCTGCAGCTTGGGCACCATCACTAGGCAACTCCTGGCGAATTGGTAACGACATATCCTCATCTTGGTCCAGTATCTACCGATTAGTGAACCAGATCGCACCTCAGACGAATTTTGCAGGACCTGGTCAGTGGCCAGACCTGGATATGCTTGAAGTAGGAAACAATGTCTACACAACTGCTGAAGAACAGACTCACTTCTCGCTATGGGCAATTCTCAAGAGTCCACTGGTGATTGGAGCAGCGCTGAAGGATACGACTACATCTATCAATGCAATTTCTTTGGCCATATTAAAACAAGAGGATGTTATCAGTTACAATCAGGATACGCTAGGGGTGAGTGCGAATTTAAGCAGAAGGTACACAGAGGATCAATACGATGTGTGGAGCGGCCCTTTGAGTGGGCAGAGGACTGTTGCAGCGCTTGTAAATTGGGCTGATGAGGCAAGGAACTTGACAATTGACTTACCAGACATTGGTATTCAGTATGCCGGAACTATCAAGGATATTTGGGGAAACATTACAGTGCAAGGAGTGAAGACTTCATATACCACCGAGGTGGAGGCACATGGTACGATGTTACTCGAACTACAAAATACGACACCATCAGGCCAATACTCTGCTAGCATATTTGGAACTTCATCAGGGTGAGTGTTATCAGGACAAAAGTGATAGATGACTGGGCTGGTGCTGATGTATATACAGAAACTCAACCACATTCGAAGCAATCTATGGACTCACCGACAGCAGCAATTACACACTCTCGATCACTTTTTCTTCAACAAGCTCGGCCAGCGAGACCATCACCGTGAAGTCTTCGGTCTCTACCCAGACGAGTACTGTCACTGTAGCATCAAATAGAGCGAGCGTTTCCCTTCCAATAACCCTGGCCGCTGGAACCACCAACTCACTCACCATCCAACACCAACTATCCATCAGTAGCATCACCATCACTCCTCCAGAGGGCACATACTATCCAAACACTGGCTTCACCACAACCGGCTACGCAACTTCCACCACCTGCGGTACCGGTTATTGTTTGCCCGTTGGCACAAAAATTGGTTATATTGGGCCCGGTGGTACAGCAGTCACCACCATCTCAGCGGCCAGCGCAGGCACAAAATTCGTTGAAATCGACTACATAAACAATGAAGTTGCATTCTCGAGTGGATCCAATGCGAGGAATATAACAGTCACGGTCAATGGAGGTACTCCCACACGCTTGGAAGTTCCGTTAAGTGGACAGCATAGCGAATTGTTTGGTCCGGGTCTGGGGTGGTGGGACACGGCCACATTAGGTATATTAACGGAGGGTTGGGTGCAGGGAAATAATAATATTGTGATTGGGAATGATGGAGGTGCTGGATATAGTGTGTATGCAGCTGATTTTGTAGGGTTGAGGGTTTACTAGGCTCTTGTTTGTTTGCTAGATTTTCATCCCATTCCCGATATAGCAATCCATTCTGCTTGATTATGCACCCCGAGGACCTTGTTTTTCGATAATTACAAGGAAAAAATCATGCCAAATGGAATCTGTCAACCAGCACCCAAATCTTCGCACAAAAACTCACACTGAAAAATAATTTGCTAAGCGTAATTTGCTTTCAGGTGGGATGCAAAGCTCGCAGACTGTTTCCCGCTTTACTAATTCTAAATCAACCTCATTCTGTGGTGTTTATTCGACAAAATCTCAAGAAAGTGCCTTGAATGGTCGGTAAACATCCAGGCACTGCGGGTAGCTAGTTACAGGGGAAGCAGAGCCAGTAGGAAATTTCTCCGGCGGTTAGTAAGTTAATATGGGTGCCGGTCCACTAATTCTAGCCCTAGTCGGGTCCTTCGCTTTATCTGAAACGCCCCAAACGATTTATAGCCGGATATTATTATGCCTTCTCTATGCTAGATTGAATCTACTGATCCATCTACTAGTTTCAATCTCCTCAGTGCAATTCATCTGTTTACTGGAATGTGTGTTTCGTGCTCTGGGAGGTACCGATTTGTCTAAGTGGACACGGCATGCCTGCTATCATACACATTTATGCGTGTGACGACGGTAATGGTCGTTGCAGCAACCACTTGATGTGTGTATTCCACCACCTGGCTAGGAAACAGTGATCACTTCGACAAACATAGTTACAGGTTGGGCAAAAGGATATAAAGTGCACACATCGGCTCGGKTTCCACTCGGAGAATATGTTTCGGTATCATCAGAACCGTGCGTACCGCACTTTATACTCAAAACACGCTACTAGCCTTGGAGACAACAGCGCTTAAATCCATATATTTTTCTCCCTGATTCTTTGGAGTTTGGATGGTGGACACCGAACGCTCCTGGAAACCTTGATTGACTTAGATGGAAAGGGTATAACACATTTACTTATAGATTGTCTCGTATATAAATTTAAGTCATCATCCATTACACCCTTTCTATCACATTTACTCGACCAAGTTGGCATTATATGCAGGTACATTCTTGTCACTCTTTTCATTCCTTTCTCTAAACTTTCATTTCTATTGGGTCTATACCCACCACATTCTTTTTTTGTCACTTCTGACGTTATCTGAAAATGTACTGGTCACTCCTTACCCTGTCTCTTCTGGTAGCTCTACCAATCTCAAATGCCCAGCTCACTGGCAGCGTCGGTCCCCTGACTACCGTAGCCGAAAAAGCCGCTATCAAGACATGCAATGTCCTCGATTACGGGGCGGTGGCCGATCTCTCCACAGACTTGGGCGCTCCACTACTCGCAGCCTTCAATGACTGCATTCACGGAGGACTCGTCTACGTCCCCGAAGGAAATTATGCAATGTCCACCTGGGCCACTTTGGACAAAGGAACTGGATGGGCACTGCAACTGGACGGAATTATCTACCGAAATGGCACCGGCGGCGGAAATATGATTATCATTGAACATGCATCTGATTTTGAGATGTTCAGCAGTAACTCTGCTGGTGCTATACAGGGATTGGGATATCAGTTTCATGCTGATGGAACTTCGACCACTACTCGGCTACTCAGGTTGCAGAAAGTGACTTCTTTCTCTGTCCATGATATTATTCTCGTGGATGCGCCTGCGTTCCATTTGGTGCTGGACACCGTTGAGGATGGTGAGGTTTATAATGTCGCTATCCGTGGTGGGGATGAGGGTGGATTGGACGGTATTGATGTTGCTGGCTCAAACATTTGGGTCCATGATGTGAGTTCTTTAGATCATGCAAACCATGACTTATTTAGGCTGACAGATAGAAAGGTTGAGGTAACCAACAAGGACGAATGTGTGACAGTCAAGGTACGTACAGTTCACCCCTGGGCATGTCTATACCGTAAGCTTACAGATGCACGAATGACTAGTCACCTTCCTCCAACATTCTTGTTGAAAGCGTCTACTGCAACTGGAGTGGCGGATGTTCTATGGGCTCCCTAGGCGCAGATACTAATATCAGCGACATCACTTATCGCAACATCTATACCTGGTCTTCTAACCAGATGTACATGATCAAGAGCAACGGAGGCAGTGGAACTGTAGAAAATGTTCTTCTCGAGAACTTTATTGGTATGAAACTACATCGATTTTGATAAGACTTGAGGTACTCAGATACTAATTTATGATGATAGGCCACGGTAATGCATACTCTCTTGATATTGACACTTCCTGGGCCGAAATGTCTACAGCCTCTGGTGACGGAGTTGGATACTCCAATATTACAATCACCAACTGGAAGGGAACAGAAAGCAGTGGTTTGCAGCGGGGCCCCATCAAAGTTCTGTGCCCAGCCGGTAACCCCTGCTACGATTTTACTCTCAAAGATTTTGCCATGTGGACTGAGTCTGGCAGTTCTCAGACGTACACGTGCAGCAATGCTTACGGTGAGGGATTCTGTTTGGCAAGTGGTGATGATCATGTCGCCTACACTGCCACCACGACTACTGTGGTAGCTGCTCCTAGTGGTTACTCGGCGGCTACTATGGCTGCAGATTTGACGACTGCGTTTGGTATTTCTTCGTCTATTCCTATCCCGACAATTCCGACATCTTTCTTCCCTGGTGTGACTCCTTACAGCGCGTTGGCTAAAGCATCAACTGCGGCGGCTGCTTCCTCTGTCACTGCTGCCGGTAATGTCTTGGCTGTTTCGTCTTCGGTTGTGACTCCTACTGTTACTGCTACTGCTGCTGTCACCTCTGTGGCTGCTTCTTCTACTTCTTCTGCTACATCAACAACCACAGCTGCCGTCTCTCCTGTTGCTGTTTCAGTTACCTCCTCTACTGCCCCTGTCATCGTGGCTGCTGTTTCTTCCGTTGCTCCTTCGATCACTTCCTCCACGGCAGCCTCTACATCTACCCTAATTTCTTCTTCCTATCAGGAATCCAGCAGCGCCTCAGCTACCGTTGGCGTCATCTCCTCGATCACCATACCTTTTGCCTCCAGTTCCGTTGCTAGTCACACTTCATTCTCCTCAAGTTTAGTCTCCAGCACCCAATCTGTCCCGTCCGAAGCATCTTCGACTGGAGTCCCGGAGCCTGAAGAGGAGGAAGGATGTCCCTCTGGCTCCGAGCATGAATCACACGCCCATGATCATGGACATGGACACCTGCACAGACGTCGGGTTGCGCGACATTGATGTACACAATTGTAATATTCTTTGATAGAATTTATGTGGAGTCATATACTCAATATAGATTGTTCGGACAAAGAGTTCCGAGACAAAATGGGCTGCAATCGAATCTTCTGTTGGGTGTAGGGTTAGAGATTAGTGCAGTAGTGTCTGGTAATTTGCCCTAAGCCGGCTTGCGGCTTCCGCGGGATCCAGGAATGCGACCCAAATACCAGGCGAAACAAACACGGCTACCACCTTTATGAGAATAAAGAGCTGACTCTCATTTAAACAAACAGTGACAGATTGGAAACGCTCGGCTCTGTCTAGGCTCTAAGTATAGAGTGGTTCTTTCACCATCTGTCCTCTCGATGCTGTTTGGCATTGGGGTCGTACAGTAACTGTACAAAGAAAAAATTACGAAATTACAGAGAAATTGGAGATCGGTATTTGTGGCTGTTGATTTGCACAAAAGAAAAAAACGCTACTGCACCCCAACCAAGATCATCCAGTCAGATTTCATGCAGTTCTGTGATAAAATTACTAGCGCATCGATCCGCAGGGACCGAAGCGTGTAATTTTATTGTCTCCACCCAAATTTTTGTTTATGACCAGTCGCTATCCTCCGCGCCGTATTTTCGATTGTTCAACATTTTCTCAAATTATCTCTCGCGCTGCGCAAGGGTTCCGAGAAGAACAATAACTACGCCTGGGAAACATGGCGATAACACGCTCTCAGGGGTGAGTAATTATATAACATCTCATCTTGCTCCTCCCTCTGGTCCCCGCTGCCGTTGCCCCCCTTATTTGCGCGAAAGGAGCTATTGCTTCACAGTCTTGAATTTAAACAGCTGCCAGAACCTGCGCTAACCATTTTCTGTTCTCCTCTTCTCTATAGAGCATCTGACTCCCAGAATCCTGTCGAAACGCTGAGTAATCGTGGAACAACTAGTCGCCCTGCACAAACCCCTGCTTCGGCTACAGGAATGTCCTCAGCAACCACTACCACACGAGGTCGCGAAACGGTTAAAAGGCGCCAGACGCCGGCGCCCCCTCTAAGTGTAGTGAACGAAGAAACATCATCTTCTGTAAAATCCAATGGCGACGCCAACGGACATACGAATGGACATGCGAATGGACATGCCAACGGAAAATCTAATGGAAACGCCAATGGACATGCGAACGGGCATGCGAACGGACACGCGAAGGGCGACGGTCATGATGAAAAACAAGTTATTGATGGTTGGATCCCAGGCGAAGATCCTAAGATTGACCACAGCAATCATTTTGAATTTGGAGGATCGTTGGGCACATTCTTGCTCATGATCGGTTTCCCATGCTTGATGTACTACATGTGGATTGGAGCAACATATTACGACGGAAACCTACCTCTACCGGAGAAGAACCAAACCATTCCGGAATTCCTTGCACATCTCTGCAACTTGGTTATAGAGGGAGCTTGGCCTTCGTTCAAGGCTTGGCTTATTTACTGGGTATTCTTCGTTTTTGAAGCACTCTGCTACATATGGCTCCCTGGAATCACGTTGACAGGACGACCTCTTCCTCACGAAGGAGGAAAGCAGCTGGACTACTATTGCTCAGCCGTTTCATCTTTCTACACTACGCTGATTGTGGCCGGGGTTTTACATTTCACCGGCCTTTTCAGATTGTATACCATCATCGATGAATTTGGACCTCTGTTGAGTGTAGCCATACTCTCAGGCTTCCTGGTTTCAATCATCGCATATGCTTCTGCTATTTATCGTGGAGCCCAGCACCGCATGACTGGTCATATTATGTATGACTTCTTCATGGGCGCTGAACTCAATCCGCGCATGTTTGGCATCCTTGACTTCAAGATGTTTTTCGAAGTGCGACTTCCGTGGTACATCCTTCTATTGCTCTCCTTGGGTACTGCTGCACGTCAATACGAGCTGTACGGATACGTATCCGGTGAGGTGTGTTTCCTTGTGATGGCTCACTGGTTGTATGCCAATGCTTGTTCGAAGGGAGAGGAGTGTATTATCTCAACCTGGTTAGTCTACACCTCAAGCTTGTCCAACGATCATAATCCTAACTCTGATACAGGGACATGTACTACGAAAAATGGGGCTTCATGCTTATCTTCTGGAACCTTGCTGGTGTTCCCCTGAGCTACTGCCACTGCACAATTTACCTCGCCAACCACCATCCTGATACTTACCGCTGGAACCGCTATGCCCTCGCAGCTCTTTTTGTCGCCTACCTCTTCGTCTACTGGGTCTGGGACACTGCCAACAGCCAAAAGAACCGCTTCCGTCAAAAGGAGCGTAATACACAGGTTTCCCGCAATGCTTTCCCACAACTACCTTGGCAAACTCTTGAAGATCCGAAAAAAATCGTAAGCCCTCAGGGTACCATTCTAATCGACGGATGGTATGGACTGGCTCGCAAAGTTCATTATACCTGTGACTTGTACTTTGCGCTCAACTGGGGCCTTATCACGGGATTTAAGAGTCCCTTCCCCTGGTTCTATCCCCTCTTCTTTGCTTGCATGATTTCGCATAGGTGCTTGCGAGATATTCAGCGTTGTCGGGCCAAGTATGGCGATGCTTGGAAGGAATACGAGAGAAAAGTTCCTTACTTATTCATCCCAGTAAGTTTATCGGCCATCTCAATACATATCAATCAGAAACTGACTGGAATATCTAGTACGTCATTTAAACCATGCTACACGCATTTCTTCCTTCCCCAGCTTGCAAACCCAAAAAATTCAACCCTTCCCCTCTTTCCATATCATTCTTGTGTATACTTTTACCCACTCTTAGCATTATCATTACGTCCTTAAACCCCTATTCATACCTAATCAGCTTGATCAGTCAAGCCCCATAATTTATTCATACATCATGACCTTTCCCTTCTGTCCTGTACTCATCAAATCTAGGCATTGTCTCTGTATTTTTATGCTTCTTTCTTTCTGCTCACGTCTGCCTGCTTGATATTGCTACGTTGTTGCATGTTTTCTTGGTTGTATCAATCTATGTGACTGCCAGTTGACGATTGATTTATACTCGTATTCTGGAATGTATTACTATCATCATAACGAATAATTTACTCTGGAAGTGAACGATTGCGCTCAAGTTGTCTTGTTATATAAGAAACGGTGTCTAATTCTACCTATCTAGCTAACCTACCTAGTCACGAAAACAAGTAACTAGATCTGTGTATGTATTATCGCGGCATTATTTAGCATGAGAAAATTCAAGTGCTCCTCAACTCAAAACACCGCGCGCTAGAGAACACAAGTAAAAATAGGAGAAAATGATATACACCTACATATCCGCCCCTTGGTCTGGAGACTAAGCGCCTCGTTGAATATTAGTAGACATCAACGTGATCTTCTTATTCTTCTTCTTTCGACCACCACCCCCACCGCCACCACCGCCGGCACTAGCAGAAGATGCAGTGGCAGAAGATTCAGCAGTTGCCTGCGCAACCAGCTCTGCTTCGCGGTGGCCTAGAAAATCTTTTTCCCAGCCCTGTAGCCAGCCATCGTTGACGGGGCCGCGATGGATTGGCTGTTGATCGGGGTCGGATTGTACGGCTGCTGTACCCCATACTGTGCGCGCAACGGGGGGGCTCGTGGATGGTGATGCGAGGGCTTCGAAATGGGATTGCATTTGGTTGGTTAATGACCCATTCGGTGGAGAGATTGCTGCGAATTCACTATCTGTGATCGCTGATGCGTCAAAGGAGCCGCTACTTAGGGGTAAGAAATCTTGATCGGAGAATGGGCGCTCGGCGGAGGTGAATCCGAAACTGGGCCGTTTGCGACGAGCAGCTGCCCATCGTTTTTCTTCTTCTTCTTTCTCTGCTCGTATTCTATCTTTCTCTTCGCGTGCTTCTTTATCACGGTTTCGTTGTCTGCGTTTCTTGATTTCGGGTCGAAACTTTTCCAAGACTTCGGGTACCACGACGTCTGTCCAGTCACACTCTAAGAAACTCACTTCGCAGCCATATGGTAGATGACCGAGGTATTTGGCTCGTTTTCTTAATTCGTCATCTAGGACATGGCCGGTCGAAATGTGTTCGACGCGAGGGAGTATGGTGGCTGGAAACGATGAATAATCACCAAAAGCAGCTTTGAGAATTCGTATGTCGAGAGCAGAGAGGTAAAAGTGAGGCAAGCATTGATAGAAATAGTATGGTTGGTCAGTAGTAGTTCCACCATCTCTAGCTGCCGACGTCTTAGCAGCGAAGGGATATTTCTCTTTCTTTTGTGATTCAGGATGGTCACTTCCGTCCACATTGACTGCTTCTACACCAGCAATTACTTCATCAACCAATTCCGATGTAGAAGCGTTATAGGTCAAATTTTCAAGACCTCTTTTATCGGCTTCCTGCACTAACCCTTCATCAAAATGTGTCTGAGGTCGCTTCCTTTCGGTACGTGCACTAGGTGGTGGGTTGCCTATGCCCCGAATCTTCTCTTGAGCGTCCTTGATACTGTTGATAGCTTTCTGAACCCAGGTCGAGTCATCGCCAAATAGAAGCTCGTCTTCCTGTCTCTGCTGGTTCAGGAGTTCAACTTCTGCGTCGTATTGAGACACCATGTAGTCTTCCCCGCCTTTCATAATCCGCGCATAGTCTGCAACCTCGGCTGCATGGTACCATGGAATGTCATCTTGCGCATGGAGTTCTTCCGCGCCGTCACGGGGCAAAGCCAGAGTACTTCCAGGGTTCCTCTTCACCAAACGTAATACAACATCACCGCCTTCGACAGGTGTGTTCGTTTCTTGTTCAATGAACCACCGGACCGGTCGTGTATCCGAGACGTAAATTGTATCCCAGCAGATGGGACATTTCTTCCAGCGTGCCTTCTTCTCTGGTACTGAAGCATCGTCATCAGTCGAGTGCATGTACCGGATAAGGCACGGAAAACAGAATATATGACCGCACTTGGCCATTCGAGGTGCGACTGGCATGCCCAGGCATATTGGGCAGCTTGCAGCTTGCGTTTGTTCAGATGCCAGCACCTGGAGCACCGAATCCCAATCCAAGTGGACGTCAGCATTTGCTGCTTGGGCGTGGTAGTTCCTTCGAGGATCCACTATGAACCGGTAATTTGCATGGACGTATCGAGCTTTGTCAATAGCATGATAGCCGGATCCCATTCCCCATGTTGGATTCCGGCGTGGACGATGTGTACTGGGATGATATTGAGGGCGAGGAGGTAAAGAAAAGCTCATCAGGTGGGTGATCGATGTCTGACCCTTTCGGCTGGTAGCAGATCTCATGATGGCCTGCATTATATTGTTAGGTTATCGCAAGTACAGGTCGGACCTTATCACCTACAGATTCTGAATACGCATCCTCATTCACCAAATTAGGACGGTGATGTTTCTTGTGCTGGCCCTTCTTGGCTTGATTATTCCTTGCCGCTGAAACCGTTCTCGTTGTTGATCCTGCACCAAAACTACCGTTACCTCCTGATCGCCGTTGAAGGCCGCTCTCGATGGAGTTATTTAGCCCTTGGAAGGAAGCCGATGACGACGATACGTTCGAAGAGTAATCGGTGGATTTGCTGAGGTTACGAACGATCTGTCCAGAAGAGGACGACATATCTCGTAGTCGAATAGAGATAGAAGCTTGCCCAGGAAAGGACAATGATGAAAACAAGATGGAGATTCGTAAAGTCGTCAAGTAGTAAGCTGGGTCTGCACAAGCTAGAGCCTAGACGTCAAGAATGACTCAAAGTATCTAGGCAGAAGCGGCGAATGAGACTCTCGCGTTCGATTCGTCTTCAAATGGGGAAAATAATCAAGCTCGATAACTGATGTTTGTTAATCAACAAGGGCCACTCGGTGGCCACTTGCGCGATGCGCTCTGGATGGTTGTTGACAGAAATTGCCCCTCGATGGTCCCGGCGGGGAGCAACCTTGAAGGTGCTTCTTGCTTGAAGAGAAGGAAATCCCTCTATGCTCGGTCCGCTCTGCCGTCAAAAAACGTGATGTCAGCGCGGTCTTGGCACTGAGGCAGAACACAGCGCGGTGTTGGACTGTATCAGTTCCAACTCACATTATTTTGGAATATGAGTTGAAGTCAAGTTGAAATGTATTACAGCACTTACGTAGCAAGATTTTAAGCAAATGATGTATGAGCCGGATTGATTGCCTGAGGCATCAAGTAGAGTCTCAATAAGCGCGGCGCTTAATGTCCAGCGCGGCAAGGCCGTTCCTCCTCCCTTGGCGATTCCTTTCTCGGGCTGGCATTTCCTTGCGCCGTCCAGACTGACCTTCACACGACTTCCTCATCGCCCGTCACAGGCTGCCTTGCTTGCTGACTCTATTAATTACTCGCTACTATTCATCCAAGTGTCTTGACTGACTCCCTCGCGGTCACTGGTAAGTCTGAATCTAATCATTCATGTCGCACAAGTTGGGAGACGCGGGCAAAAAAAGAAAAATGAAGGCTGAAGCTGACTTCATCTCTGACTCCCAGCAGCACCATCGGTCGAGCTTCACGACACAGACATCCATCCACCCTTTTTTAATTGCTATTGCTGTGCTCAAAGCATGGCAACTTAGGCGACCATCTAATCGATTGCATTAAGCGATTTAGATGTTGCCTAGTCATTGTCTCGCATGGCTCCCTTTGAGGCAAGGCAACCCGCACTATCTGCCTGGACATGATAAACCACCATCTGCCGGCAATGCCCCATGGGCAGCCGCCCATACCTCATCCCCGGCGACAGCATGATATGCACTTCTCCCCGGGTCCTAACAACATGCGCTCTCCGCCCGCCTACATGAATTACCACCCTCCTCCGGTCAACGGCCATATTCCCCCTATGTACGCGCAGCATTATCCACCACCATGGTACAATGGCTACCCCCAAATGCATGCACCGCCACCAGGCGTCCCCATGCCTCCGGGACCACCACCGCCCCGTCCATACCAGCAGCCTCCATACAGTCATGGCCCGTTGATAGTCTCGTCGTCGTATCCGCACTCGCAACCAGTTCCAGCACCTATGCATGTTCCATCAAACGTGTATTCCCAGCCGCCATCCACAACGTCGACGCCTATCCAGTCTGCCACGTCTCCTCCTCCAATGAATGAATATCAGATGATAATAGACGGTCACGAACGCCCGTCGTCTGTACATTCTGCATTATCAACACCAAGTGGCATAGCCTCTTCCCCTGCTCTGGTCGCAGAATTACCTAAAGGTGGTCTGCTACCACACATACCTTTCCGTGCACCTGTAAGTAAATTTTTTCGCAGAGATTCTAGCTCAATGCTGACCTGAAAATCTCTCCTAGCTTCCTTGGCTTTCTGTACCGGACGAACCCTTCCCTATCCGTGCTCCACACAAGCGTCGCAGTGGGCGATCATTGCAAACTTCTAAAGTCGCTGTTGAGCTTCCTGCTAAGGATTCTCAAAAGCAAGATCTCGCTCATGTTAACGAGAAGCAAGCTTCTACACAAGGCGATAGTCTCTCGGAGCCGCAGACACCTACGACATCTCAGGCGCCATCAGAGTCTGATTCGACACATCCTACCACACCTTCTTCCACAACACTTGCATCTCGTTCTCGAGACCAAATCCAGACTCCTAAACAAACAACGATAGTTCCTGTGGTTCCAATATTACCCCAGGTCCCTGTCACGCCAAAGCAGTCCGGTTCCGCCCATGAGCACGAACAAAGAGACTCTGCGCAGGTTCCGGGCGAGGCAGCTGGCCAAGAAAGCCCGGAACAAGCCACAACACCCGCTCCTGCAGCGCCAAAGTCATGGGCTGATTTGGTTCGGGCAAAGTCAGCTCGCGCTGCCGGCATCGTTCCAAATGTGCCAGTCGAATCAGACAATCTACAGGCTCCTCGCAGCGAGTCACTCGGTGATGTTTTGGCAAGTCTTGGTCCCAACGTGGACCAATTTGGCGAGAAAATTGCATTCTTGGAGCCTAGAGGCCTCGTTAACACGGGTAACATGTGCTATATGAATTCAGTATGTCTCCTTTTCTCGAATTTCTTTCAATTTTGTGTACTCATTGTTTTTCAGGTACTACAAATTTTGGCATTTTGTGTGCCCTTCTACCAATTCCTTGATTACATCGGTCACCGCGCAACTCACAGCTTCAAGAGTGATGTGCCTTTGATTGATGCAACGTAAGTCTCTCTTCCCCCACTCGAAAGGCTGCAATTCCTAACTAGTGGCTCGAATAGCATTATGTTCATGAGGGAATTCAGAGTGATTGATGCTGCGCGATCAGAAGATCAATTGCGCATGCGTTTGAAACACAAGGAATTGGAAGAGTACGGAGAAGCATTTATTCCGGAGTTCGTCTATGAAGTGATACGACAACTTCCACGCTTCCGTGACATGAGGGTAGGTTATTTTCTTTCCTTAGGCGGAAGCAACTCAGACTAACAACATATAGCGCGGTCATCAACAAGACGCACAGGAATTTCTTGGCTTTTTCTTGGAAGAACTCCACGAGGAATGTGCTCATGCTTTCAAAAATGGTGCTTCTCAAGTTAATGCAGCCTCTACTGAGCCTTCTTCGGATGCGGATGAATGGCTTGAAGTCGGCCAGAAACAGAAATCTGCTATCACTCGATCTTCAGGTGACGTCGATTTTGAATCTCCGATCACTAAGATCTTTGGAGGCAAAATTCGCTCAGAGTTCAAAGTTCCTGGAAATAAGAACTCGGTGACATTGGAGCCCTATCAACCTCTGCAGCTGGACATTGGGTCACCTGAAGTCAACAACATTATCGATGCTTTGAAGGGCCTTACTAAACCTGAAACCATTCACGGAGATTTCAGTTCTCCCAGAGGCCCCAAGGTTGCTGCTACTAAGCAGATCTTCATCGAGACTCTGCCTCCAGTACTTATTCTTCACCTCAAGCGGTTCCAGTACGATAGCGTCACACATGGCACTCAAAAGATTTGGAAGAAAGTCGGATATCCGTTGGAATTGGAGATACCCCGTGAAGTCTTTCCTCCTCATCGCCGCAACGCTATGGCAATCCATAGCGGACTTCCACATTATCGGCTTATCGGTGTCATCTACCATCATGGAAAGAATGCTAGTGGCGGCCACTATACAGTAGATGTGAGACGCCAGGACGGTCGCGAATGGATCAGGATGGACGACACTGTTATTCGACGAGTACGCAGTGAGGACGTGGCCGAAGCTGGGGGCGAGGAGGATCCCAAGGTGCTCGCAGCAGCGCTAGAACAGCATAAGCGTGACAACAACCCGAATATCTACGAGCAAATCGATCAAAGCAATCAGATCGATGATGAAGCTGGGTGGAGTCAAGTTAATGGCGGACCCAACGGTCACGCAAGCAAGAAATCCACCAGTGGCGTTGTCAACGGTGTTTCGTCACCTGCGGCTTCAGCCAACTCCCCCGGCAATAGGACACCTCTTGGAAGATATGGCGCTCGTGACAACAAAGTTGCGTATCTCCTATTTTACCAACGTATTTCTGCGCCTTAAACGTCCTACTTGCTTTATCACCCACTCAGCGTCCAATAGAATTGCTATAAAGGTACGGATGCATTATTGGTGGCAGCTTCTTGAAGCCTCGCTCGGTCAGTCGTCGACTTGATTGACGTACGTGATCATTTTGACAGTTTGACTCCCCGTCGCCTTTCTATATGCTGGTGATTGTACATATGGCATAGCTAGGCATTTTCCATACTTTTCCTTTGTCTTTCGACAACACTGGCCTTTCTTGACGCCAATTGTTGTTTACGAGGCCATGACTTTCATACATAATCATAATGTGATGTTCGGGTGTTGACCTAATCTACATCTCATTCCATTTCTACTTGTTATCTGTGACGGCTGCTGTGACATGCGGCGTTGCAGGCCATACAGATGCGACTGATTGACGACGTGCTTCTCCTTGACGAATGATGCACGTAGCGTCTGATTGTGATCTTATGTTTTTCCTTTCCCATTTCATACGGTCTGTTAGAGAGCTTGCATATCTTTGTGGCCATGTTCAGACCCCGATATACCCTTTTATCGACACACTACACGCCTACATATCCCCCTCTATCTGTTTTTATTCGTCATACTTTTCACATGCTCTCGGCGTACTACACATATTATCGCTGACCAGTCGATTTCAACGGACGAATCAGGAGTTGGAGAGACGGGCGAGGAAAGAGACATCTGCGATTCTTTGAATTCGTCTCTGTTCTCGGCAATGGTGGTTGCGGTCTGGTTTTACTGTGCCTTTTGCTTCTTGCACCTATGACTTTTTCCGCATAAATCATTTGGCGGTCGAGTCAAGATGCCTTTTATTATCCCTTCTATTCTTCAAAAAGCACATGCTCAGACAATACAGTCAATTATCCTTTATGATTGTAAGGCAAGTTAGTTGTTTCTTCTGAAGCTTGGATGCAAGATGGAGAAATATCCGGCGAAATATCATCAAATTTTGTCCGCATGTCTTCGAATCTCGTTTAGCTATGCCTACAGTCGGATTGCAATCAGTGTAATTAGATTGATTATGAATCAAAAAAAGTTTATCTAAGACTGTTCTATTAGATGTTCGTGATATGTATGCTAGTACGGTAATATAGCAGGGTGTCTCATGTAATTACGGTAATGTAACCGCGTGTTCTATGTCATAGCTCCAGCTCCTTCTTTCTCTCCGAACTTATTTTGTTGAAACAGTCATCACAACTCAAACAACACGCGCAGGAACTTACCCGAGTCCAACCTCTCAAACCCTCGAAGGTATATACTGACACATATTCTACTGGGAAGAACTAAGCTGTGTACGTCTCAATCTTGAAGCTGGTTGGCGCATTACATCCACCCCTCTCCCGCCTCGTTGCTATCCCCTCCTCCTCCCCCCCTCCATCCGGGGCACACTGGCCAATCAATCTCTTGTGATCAACCCTTGGTGACCTCCCTCCGATAATCTTTTCTCTCCCACATTGTTTTTTGTGTTCCTCGCCTCTTGTGGCTCSACTACTTGCCATTTATTCCTCTCTGTTCGACAGATTTGAAGTTCGGATTCTATCGTGATTTAGGGTCAACTAGCGAAACGAAGCCCATTGATAGACCCCCGTTCACCGTGTCTTCAACAAGGGCACTCCTTGTCGGACTCCGCTCTTCGAGGACAATTCAACGTCCACATCTGCCATCAATATTGAAAGAGAGAAATTCACACCATCAACGCCAGACCTGCAACATCACATTGTTCGGCCCCAGTTGGTCGCGACCTCCTTCGCAATTGGCTTTTCTGCACGAAGGGCAGGTTGATGACGATATGAATAACCACGCCATAGCTGCAAAGACAACTCCATCGCCGAGTCCCAGGCCTGGCCTTGCGGCTGGAGCATCGCCAACACAGACATCAACATCAGGAGGAGCCACAAGCGGAACAAAAAGGAAGCGTGCTGCAGCTGTGAAATATTATGCTGTCAAGGAAGGATTCCGTCCAGGGATATATTACAATTGGAATGACTGTCTTGCTCAGGTTACGGGTTTCAAGGGAGCTGTTTGTGAGTTTTCCTACCGCGTGCCTACTATGGAAAGGCCACCCAATTGACTTGGTTTGGATGAAATGCGACAGTTCAGTCATTTCCTTCCGTAGAAGAGGCGAATTCGTTTCTCACGGGTCAAAAAGTGCCTTCGCGTAATGGGACTGCATCCACCAATAATGACAACAGCACACGATTCTACGCTGTACAAAGGGGTAAAGTTCCTGGTGTATATTCGAACTGGGCGGAAGCTCAAGAGCAGATCAAGGGTTTTACGCGACCTCGATACAAAAAGTTCGACACACGCAAGGAGGCAGAGGAATTTGTGAAAATGGTCGAGGAAATTGGAGCCAACAAATCGTCTTTGCAACGACCAGGCGGTTTGTCGACTACGAATCCTGCAGATGCTGCAAATGGAGATGTTACGGTTCCGGCTGCCTTTGCGCCTCTGCCGCCAGGTGCGGAGGATGGATTCGATCCGAATGTGCTCCTCAACCCCAAGACGGGTAAGGTAGTGTACAAGGAGCCAGAACAGAAACTCATGACCAAGACAAAGCCTACAGGGCCTCCTGGGATGCTCCGAATATACACCGATGGCAGTGCACTCGGCAATGGTAAAAAGATTGCACAAGCTGGCGTTGGGGTGTATTTTGGACCTAATGATACAAGGTAGCCATCCAAGATCCGCGTTTCATCTGAGAGGTGCTGTCTTGAACCTGGAGCCTTTACTAATAGCAATTCTTTGTTAGCAGAAACGTCTCCGAGCCATTAGAAGGCTACCGCCAGACAAATCAACGTGCCGAGTTGACGGCAATCATCAGAGCGCTTGAAATAGCACCCCGACATCGTCCAGTGACTATCGTGACAGATAGTCGGTACTCCATCGAGTGTGTCACCAACTGGTGTCGGAAATGGAGTCGCAACAACTGGCAAACATCAAACGGAAAGCCAGTTGAAAACAAAGACCTCATTCAATCTATCCTGGTGAAGATCAATGAACGGGACTCGTTAAAAGTAACTACCACGTTCGAATGGGTCAAGGGGCATAACCGTGACCCGGGCAATGAAGAAGCAGATAGGTTAGCCGTCAACGGTGCCAGGAGGGGAGCTGGAGAGCAGGTGTCTGCTGTGCCTGAGCTCAGGGCAGCCGACAATGATATTCCTGACGAACTTGCTGATGACAACTTTGATGATTTTTGATGAAGCATACAATGTAAAGGTTGCCGGCGGGTCATATTTATTTATGATACATTGCCAATGGCAATGCAGGCTCTCATCATAAATGAGTGTTAAAACTAATATTTACAGTATGGATTGGTGCATGTAGTAAATATTAACAGTACGTATCGGGGCAATGTAGTACAGCATTCCACGTGGCTGATGGCCCTTACCGTCGGACATATAATTTCTGCATGCGGCGATGAAAGTATCTAGTAGCACATCCGATGTGTCGATGGCATGCACTCTCACCAGATATCATATTTTACTTCGATAAAACTTCAACAAGTGGCCATTAAAGAAAAACAAAAAAACAGACTCAGATAATCGGAGATTTGGTCCAGTAGCAACGGGTTTAGATTCTTAGACCTTTATCTATGCAGCCAATCACATGACGCAATCATATAACCGATGCTACGACAAAAGAAAAAGAATTCTCCCCGCCTCTTTTGATCTTGACTGTTTACAACCCACTTTGTATCGACTCCGACGGCAGCAAAACAGCCACCTTCTAAATCTTCCCAAGTCTACAGCACTGGGTCCCGGGTTGAACATATTTCCAGCGTCAAAGTGGCAGCCCCCAACGTCACGACCGATCAACGTCCAATGCGCGGCGAGCACCTCCTTCTCTCTTTCCTATCTTGCGCTACTCTCAGAGTTATGATTGAATAACGTTTGCTGAATACCGGTTCTTTTTGTGAAAGAATCATTGTGCTGACGAACCCGACGAGTTTTGGGCTTGGGTAAACTCGACCATTTAATTTTTTTTTTCCGTTGGCTGGAAGGAAGATTTTCAGCCAAGATGCCGACGCTTGAAATTACTAATTTCAATATTGTATGCTCCGTGCTAGGAGGGTTTATCACCCTCTTTGGGCTGGTATCGTATCTGTTCAAGGAGCGGTTTTATCTTTCTGAGGCTTGTACGTTTCTGTTCCTGTCATTTGCTTATCGAGACATACTAATCTGGGGTCAGTGATATCAACGCTGGCAGGCGTTGCATTCTCGCCTCATGCAACCAACTTTATCAAACCGATGGACTATGCAATGGGCTCTCAGGCCAACCTAGACGCCATCACCATGTACTTTACCCGTCTCGTGCTGGGTGTCCAGCTAGTCATTGCAGGTGTCCAACTACCAGGACGTTATCTACAGACCGAATGGAAGAGTTTGACTCTTCTGCTCGGTCCCGCAATGGCTATCATGTGGCTTTCGAGCGGATTACTAATCTGGGGTCTTGTGCCTAATATCTCCTTGATTCAGGCCCTGGCAATTGGCGCATGCGTCACGCCGACCGATCCAGTCTTGTCCAACTCTATCGTCAAGGGAAAATTCGCCGATAAGAATATTCCGCGGCCTTTGCAGAGAATCATCATTGCCGAGTCTGGAGCCAATGACGGGTTGGGATACCCGTTTTTATTCCTGGCGCTTTATCTGATGAAGTATACCCAGGGACCGGGATTTGATGGTGGGGGAGGCAAGGCGATTGCATTGTGGGTGTATGAGACGCTGGTTTATGAGATTTTGTTGAGTGTAGTGTATGGTGCGGTGGTGGGATGGTTGTCTATGAAGTTGCTTCATTGGGCGGAGGAGAAGCGATATGTCGATAGGGAGAGTTTTCTTGTTTTTGCGATTTCGCTCGGTGTAAGTTTTCTGTCTCCAAGATTGGGGTTCAGCTAGCTGACCGTTTTAGCTATTCATCATGGGTACATGTGGTTTGATTGGCACTGATGATTTGCTTGCCTGTTTCATAGCTGGAAACGCATTCACCCATGAGTAAGTTTGGCCCTGCACTTAGGTACACAGATACTAACGAAGCAGTGACTGGTTCCGACTCGAAACAATGGATGACTCCCTCCAACCTACGATCGATATGCTGCTCAACTTAGCTATCTTCGTCTGGTTTGGGGCCGTCTGTCCCTGGGCTCAATTCGCGCATAACGATATTGTTCCTATTTACCGGTTAGTAGTTTTAGGAATTCTGATACTACTATTCCGTCGTCTACCAATTGTGTTTGCGATGCACAAGTACATTCATCAAATTGAACAAATTTCTCAGGCGCTCTTTGTGGGATTTTTCGGTCCTATTGGCGTTGGTGCTATTTTCTACCTGTCGGTTTGCCGTCAATTTCTACTGGAGGAAATGATTGTCGATGGAGAAGTACGGGCTGATGCCGCCAGGACGGCGGAGGTGACTTATATCGTGGTTTGGTTTTTGGTTATCTGTAGTATTGTAAGTATCTGCCCCTATAATTGAGATGCAGCAAGTTAACTTGAACAGTTCGTGCACGGCCTCAGCGTCCCCCTCGGCAAAGCAGGTTATCACATCCCACGCACAATCTCAACAGCGCTTAGCTCTGCATCTGGAGAACAAGAAGCGATTCGGCTTCCCAGCAGTTCTAACACTCACAGCACGGCAACACCACAATCGCACCGCGGTCTACGCTTTTATCGAAAGCGAGGCAAAGCGCCGAGTCCACGTGAGCCTCCTCGGATTGTGTTCCAGATTGCTGGCTCTCCGCAGCGAGGTGAAGAACAACAGGGAGATCAGCAGGCGCAACAGCAACGCGAAGGCGTCGAAGGCGCGGCTGCTGCTAATGTGGGTCCGGAGGAGACGCTGTCGCCGCTGTCGACGCTACCGACTGTACCTACGCCGGTGACAATTCATGAGCCCAGGAGACCGATTAGGTTGATGAGTGATGATGGGCAGGTGACGGAGACGTTGAATGATTATGAATGATGGGCCGCTTGTCTAGGAACAGGCGTGGAAGGGTATGGAGAGAATTTTGGGTGGTTGTACAGACATTACGATCCTCTTTACGACGATCTAGAGTGCCACTACTTTCGGTTGTGATATATTTCGGAGGGTTCGGTGTGAATATTTCGACTCTGACTTGGTCAGAGTACATATTGATAGCAAGATAGATGAGGGGGAGAGGAGAGAGTTGATTATTCAATGGATAGAATGAACATGGAACAGTATCTCAGAGGATTTCACATAGGAGACTTTGATAATCCAATATTTGGCTGAATGCATTTCTGTATATGGCCACTCTCACTAACCCTTTTAAGACACTGACTCTGACTAGCACCAATAAGGCTAGACCCGGCGATCCACTATAGATCTCCCTTGCTGTTTAGCCTGTTGCTGTGTCCACTTCAGCTCTGTTTCACCTTTGACGCTTACACCAACATCGACTTATTGCCCATCATAAAAGCTACAATCTTTCGATTTACGGTCTGCACGATACAACTACTGACTCATCACCCCATTGATCTCGAAGTTGCAGGCAACGCTCTACTCCGGATAGTAGTACCATACTGACTGGTCACAATGCATGATCAAACATAATACACAATCACACCTATCATCATTGATGATTTTTATGCATGACTTCTAATCATCGTATATCTCAACGACATACAGAACATACTAATCACTCTGAAGAGCATCGCCAACATGGACTCCCAACCCTCACCACCACACACCCTGACCCAAACAGTTAAGGAAACTGCCGAACAATACTCCCTCTTCATCCTAATCGCCATCCTGATTTTCTCCATCCTCTCAACCCGCACCATCACTGGACTCCAAAGTCAAAGCCATGCGGACTCTGCGGACGGTGAGCCGCGTCGTGTCCGGAAACTTCCTTATTGGGTACCTGGGCTAGGGCACGCTTTTTCTTATTTGTGGAGGCATCGGGAGTTTTTGCTTGATGCTCAGTATGTCTTGCTCTGAACTGCATGTTGATACGAAGGTCTAATTTGTGATAGAAAAACTATGAATGAGCCTGTGGTGGCTCTTCAGATGGGCTTGCAGACGCAGTATCTTGTGTACTCGCCTGATATGATTAAGTCACTTATCAACAGTGGTGACGCTCGCTTTGGGGTTTACTTTCCGAGAGTAATGGAGTACTTTGTAGGCGACAATGGAGCTTCTCGCAGGTTGTCGCCACAGGCCCGGCAAGCGATCGATGCTACATTGATACCTCTTACTCAAGAGCCATATCTCAAAAAATTTACATCGGCATTAGCCAAAGCCTTGGAGCGCGAGACTGCAGATTTCGTCTCGTTTAATCGGAGTCTGATTGACCAGATGATCTGGGAACGCAATACTGGTATATCGGTGATAGATAGCAACGGTATCGACTCGCAAAGCTGTCAAGTGGGGTTATTTGCATTGACCAGGTGTTTCGCCAGCTATCACATTACATATGTCCTCATGGGACAAGCTCTGTTGGACTTTCACCCCGGAATTGTGGAAGACTTGATGAGTTGGGACCAGGAATATGTGCGGTTAATAGCCGGCGCTCCACGATGGATTCCCTCACCGGGCATATCTGCTGCATACGCCGCTCGAGATCGTGTGCAAAAGACCATATCGGTACTTCAAGCCTCTTTTTCGGCGCTTGAAGACGGTCGAAACGCTCCCTTGGAGTTCCGCGATTTGGATGACGTCTCGGACCTAGTCCAAGAACGCATGCGATGTTGGCGAACATCGGGGATCTCAGCTTCGCTCAGCGCTCGACTCGACGCCTGGTTACTGTGGAAGATGACTACAGATGCATCGAAACTGGTATTTTGGAATATACTACACATCTTCTCAAACCCCGACTTATTGTCTAGTGTGCGAAAGGAGATTGAGCCATATGTCAAAGTATCTCGTTCGGATCCAAAAGTCACCGGTCTGCCTATAGCGGAACCGCCGAGACTATCCATTGATACGGAGAAGCTTTTTACGAGTTGTATGTTACTAAAAGCAACGTTCGCAGAGACAATACGTTTGGACGCGAATCCAATTTCTTATCGGCAATTGACTGCAGATCTGACCTTGACGGAATCAGAGGAAGATGCAACTGTTTTCGGCCGTGACAGTGAAAAAAATCCCCGGTCTTACCAATTTTACAAAAACGATATCATAGGTCTCGCAAGTGGCGCACACCACGCCGATTCGAGATACTACCGAGACTCTAAACGGTTCACGCCTCACCGCTTCCTTTCACGTGCTGCTTCGCCTCCATCATCAAAATCAAGGGAAAACGATGAAAAGCCTCCTGTCACCAGGTTTGATTGGCAGGCGGTCCAACCATTTGCCGGAGACGAGACGTTTAGTACTCTGATCGAAAGAGAAGTTATGCTGATCACGGCTTCAATCATTTCGTTGTGGGATGTTGAGTCTGTGGACAGTAAGAAGGAATTGAAGATTCCGGGTCATAGTCTATCGGCGAATGCGTTTTTGCCTTCTTCTGATGTCAAGGTTCGATTGACAAGGCATGAATAGATGCATTACATGGCTTTAGAGTTCCAAATTATTAAAAAATGGATCGTACCCTTACAATGTTATAGATACGAGCGGTATTAGCATGATACCTAGGTACGATATAGAGAATACAAGAACTTCAAAATGAAGATTCGGATTGATAGATCCAATGTTCGGCGTTTTCCAGACCAAGTTCATTATGTCATAGATCTCAAACTCTCTCATGACAATGTTCACTTCCACACAGACTATGCGCGTACATTTCCCCATGAGTAGTCGTAGATAATAATGAGCCTTAGCTCGTTAAGCAACAATTAGGGGCCATTATATTTGAAAATTTCCCTTTCCCCGCCCAATTAATGCTGAGTGAATATAAGATTAACACACCTCTCTCTGTATAATAGCTTGGGGTTTATAGGGTAGATATCTATCGTCACTTGGAAAGGCTCCATATAGACAGGGCAATTAAATTGATTAACACACATCTTCAAGGACGACTCATGAGTCTTAGGTATCCATACAAGAAAAAGTTGCTGAAGATTGTTGATAGTATAGGGTATTGAGGATCCTCAAAACTTCCAAGCAACAAAGCTGTGGGAGTCATGATCCTGACTAGCCTTCCTGCGGGTTGCGCTGAGGGTTCATATCCTAGATTCGGGTGAGAGCGGCTGCTGGGTCTAGGTAGAAGCGCTGGAGTCGTATCTGTAAAGCATCCCAGAAGCCACTAGCGTAGTACGCTTTGACATACGCTCTGCTCCGAATTTCTCATTGTCACTCTGTCCCAGATCTATCATTGCACAGTTCCGCATCGACATGGCGGCTAAGTTCTTCCCTAAAAAACGCTCTTTCTGAACGATAAAAGTCTAGTTCCTCTATTATGACTTGTATTTGCTTCATCAAAAATGAAACACCTTGTTCAAGTTCAGCACAAGTACTTCTGCGGTACCGCGATGTTTGAGCTGCATCATTATTGGCAATCAGTTTCTTGGTCTGGATGCTGGACGTCATCAAAGCAAGGTGACTTTGGCTGTACACACTGAATATCATGTCCGGGCGTATGGGGTTGTAATCACTCCAGTGTCTCATGGTAGATGTATAATTATATGGGGACGCCGGACGAACAGGAATCTGTGGCGTACCGACGTACCAGCCTAGTTCTTGCCTAAAAAAGTCTCTTTCCAATCGATAAAAGTCTCGTTGCTCTGTTGTCAATCGTCCTTGCTCCATAAAGTGCAAAATTCTTCTTCGAAGAATAGTTTTTTTGCGGTTCCGGAAACTTTGAGCTGCATCGGTGTTGGCCTTCCGTTTCTTGGCCTGGTTTCTTGATCCTGTTTCGCGGTCGATTACGACAGGAACCATAGAGCTGAAGGGAATTGGTGAGCCATAGTCATTTTCGTGCCTCGAGCTGATCATTCTGCTCAGTTTGGGAGGGTCCATGGGAAATAATGGCATCAATGGGTTCAAGTCTGGATGCTCGACTGTAAACGGAGAAGACTCTTCAGAGAAACTTGATAAGGAACCGGATAATGCCCTCTCGTCGGGGCTCAAATATGCCAAAGGAGGTTGCGACTTTTGCCCATCGTCCCAATCAGCTACACTTTTATAAAGGTCGGAACTGAAGACATTTTCTAACGTTATCCGGCGCCGTTTGCGCGCACCAGGCGGATGAGAGATTCCGGACGCATGGCTACCGACTGAGGACGCCGGGGAGCATTGGCGTGAGGAGCGGTCCTATGGGCAATGTTAAGGAGATAAGACTCATGCATGAAAAGACGAACGATTTCTACCTGAAATTCAATTACTGGGGACGCAGGCCTCGGGCCCAAAGGTACAGGAGATTTGGGAGAGTATGCTGATACTCTTGACATCGGATCGATGAGCGGTTATGCTTGGACGGGAAGAGAGTGCTGGTCGGTGTAAACGATGAGAAGCTAGGTATTCAATACCGACTCAGCCTTGTCTACACCGCCACGTCACCCCCGCGTGCGTGATGAAGGTTATTACTTATATAACAGCCTGATGTGAATGGACATCATACTACAGGCGCTACGGGCATCTCTCTGGTTCACGTACACCACAATCATACCGAGCGACACCACTAGCAATAAGAAATTTGGACAGAGCCTTGTCAGCGCTCGTGGGCAATACGACGCCTCCGTCTCTGTCCGTCTGTTTGAACATGGCATCTAACACATCTCTGGATGGCTGCACTATTGTCTGGCTCTGTCCACTCGAAGTCGAACTCCGGGCAGCCATCGCCATGCTCGATAAGGTATCAGATGAGTGCCCCCCAAGAGCCCGAGGTCAGAACGTCGTCTATACGATTGGCGAAATCGGCCTGCACAAGGTGGCCGTTGTCGGCTATTACCAGGAACAAGGTCTCGCCGTCTCTGGGAGCATAGCCGCCGAGGTTTTGAGAGACTTGAGGAATCTTCAATTGGGCCTCCTAGTCGGTATCGCCGGCGGTATACCATCATCAACCCACGACATGCAACTCGGGGATGTAGCTGTCGCAGTCCCTGAAGGCGATCGTCCAGGAGTGGTAGGCTATGACTTTGGAAAAGCGGGAGATGACGATCACTATCAACTCAAGCATTGGCAAAACTCGACCCATCCGTTGCTTGGATCAGTAATCACCAAGATCCGGGCGCACGACGAACTGCGATTCAGGCGACACTTGCAAGTACTAGACAGACTACCGGAATTCCGGAGGCCCGAATCTGTTAGTCCGCACTCAACCAACGATCACCCCAAGGTGCACTATGGTACTATTCTTTCCGGAAATACGGTGATCAAGTCAAAGTCTAAAAGAGACGAATTGAGACAGCTCTACGGCGGCATTGCAGTCGAAATGGAAGCCGCTGGTATGATGACGAGACTACAAGTGGCTGTCATTCGAGGAATCAGCGATTTTGCAGATTCCTCCAAAGATGATAAGTGGCAACCATACGCTGCGATCACGGCAGCAGCGTACGCTAAGGAGGTTTTGCTGCGCCTCCCCTCAGAGCATCAGGAAGACTGGAAATGTATGTCATTCATTGAGCCTTAGAGCATAAAATGATTCCCTAGGGCTACCAATATCCAAACACTGACGTGCTAGTTTAGATGTTCGGGGAAGAGATATGCATGAGACTAGATCAACACCATTTGCAGATCAAGATCTTCGCCTAGCACAAGTTCTCCCCGAAAAGTCGGCTTTTGTGGGTAGAGCGGAAGAGATGGCTTTCTTGGAAGAGGAGCTTGGTTTCCAAGACCAAGCGCCGATCCAAAAGAGCGTTGTCTGTCTTTGGGGCCTCACCGGAGCTGGCAAATCCCAACTGGCCGCCAGATTTGTGAGTCAACAACGGTTGACTCACCCCAAGAGAGAAATCTTTTGGATTAATGGTGAAAATCGAGAAAGCTTTGAGCGAAGCATTACCAGTATGCTGAAATCTTGGGACAATAGTGCTGCCTCTGAGAGCGCTCACTTGATAGAGTTGTCTGATGAAAAGCGAATGCGACTAGTAAATTTGTTTTTCGCTGAGCTAAATTGTTTAGAAGATGCGAGATGGCTTCTGGTCATTGACGGGGTAAATGAGACCCCCCCTCGTTCAGCTTCCAAGGATCCCGCATCTTTTGATATTCACGGCTACGTTGGTAGACTCAATCGAGGTTATGTTCTCCTCACTTCTCGGAGGCGCGATGTAGTTGAGAGGTATTATCCGAGCCGTGAGTTGAAAGGACTGAAGATTCAAGATGCTGTCAGCCTGCTTCATTTAAAGATTCATCCTCAGTTGATGGAAGGTATTTTCTCGCATACTACACTCATGTGGTCCCGTGGAGGCTGATCTACCCCTAGGTGCAGAAGATCTAGTAGGCTTACTTAAAGGCTTACCCTTAGCCCTTTGTCTAGCCACATCTGTTATCTCCAGATATCGCTGTAGTGTAAGGGAGTATTTGGAAATGTGGAAGAATTGTAGTCAGACCAGTGAAATCATGGGCACAGATGAAACACTCTATCGCTCCTTGGAGCTGAGTTTGGAGGAGCTTGAAAAAGCTGATCCAGTAGCTGCAAAGATCTTGACTCTTTTCAGCTTCCTTCACCATGGTGACCTGTGGTACGATCTCTGCTACAATGCAATAGATGATACCTATCCAACGTGGCTTCAAGATCTGGGAAATGAAAAGAAGTCATTTAGACACTACTGTCCCTTATTGGCAGATCTATCGTTTATTGAGCTTAGAATAACCACCAATGGTTCTCGATTCTGGGAAACACACCCCGCAATCCAGGTGGTGGCTAGACAAAGAGCGAAGGCCAGTGAACAAGAGTACATTCGCTGTGCAGTGTCACTTGTGGCTTCTGAAGTCCCAAGGTCCTTTGAGGCGAATTCGTGGGACACGATCCGTCGTCTAGGGCCCCATGTCCGATTGTGCTGGGACTATGTTAAACGGGGGGCATGGGGATCAGACACTAACCTCACGGACCTGGAAAGTCTTGGACGTGTGTTCCGACATATTGGTCATTACAGCGAAGCGTCGATCATCTACAGAATGATCGAACACGGCCTGGGTTTCCTGCCCCCCACACGGGATAATAACGAGTTCCTGGCTAACGTGCTCACTAATCTTGGGCTGGTGTATACGCGTCAACGGAAGTTCAATCTCGCATTAGGGGCCTATGATAGGTCACGGCGTCTGATGACCAAGCTTGATATCCTTACACCCATTGAATCGATGTCAATTATGTACAACGAAGCAGTGGTGTTCATGATGACGGAGAGGCTGAACGAAGCGGAGTCGCTCTTGCAAAAAGCCGTGACCCTTGTCTCTGAAAACACAATACATGGGCATACTTGGAGGCGCAATGAGTGGAATGTTCTTTATCTTCGAATTTTGAATGACATGGGCGAGGTGTCCTTGCGAAAAGGCGCTGGGGAAGCGGCATTGAAATTCTTCCGTGACGTTTATGATAGTCAAAGGGCCTGGCACGATGAACTCCATCCAACTTTGTATTCTATCAAGCTGAACATGGGAAGAGCTCTGACCAAATTAGGACGATTCGCTGAGGCTCGAGCCTTACTCCTCGAGGTCATCGCAGTTTATACTGAATGGTGGGGAAGGCACCACCCAGAGACCATGCGAGCCATTGATGAGTTGGCATGGGCGTCCATGGAAGAAGGCAAGGAAAAGCAGGCAGCGAATGAAACCGCTGGCGTAGAGATACAAAATGCAGAGGAGCTATGGACTGAGGTTCTGAACTTCTACCAGAGCACTGACGGAGATGAGTCAGACACGGTGACCCGCATTGAAGCAAATCTGCAATATCTGTACTCTTTACGACAAGAGATGACTGGTTTAAAGCGGATTCAGTAGTTCATATTGGTGATTATTTGAAAGGGGATGATGAACAGGACAGTAAATAGCCCTAACTGACCCTAACGAGCCCCTTGCTGAAGCTCATATGCAGCCGCGGCTCATTTTATGAAAATGGTTTAGCGCGTCCAATTTTGGGGAGGAGCTCGGGACAACAACTTTTTGTTGAGTTCGCTTTCCTAGTATATATACCCTGCCATCCACCGCAATTGTATTTCCCATTGTACAGCACTCATCTTTCATACGGTATCTATCAAACATGCCGCCCAAAAGGTCTGCTGCAGCAGGCAAAAAATCCGCCTCCGGTCTTACACGAACATACCTGTTCCTTTACAATCTCCTCAACTTCACCCTCTGGGCAACCTGCACTATCCGCACCGCTCTCGCGCTCTTCGAGAAATACCAACAGAATGACCTCCGAACCATCTCCTCTATCCCGAACGATGTCTTCCCGCTGTTACTAATAACCCAATCGCTGGCCGCGCTCGAAATCCTGCACTCCCTCATCGGCGTCGTGCGTGCACCGGTCATCACAACAGCGATGCAAGTCGCTTCTCGCTTCGTGGTGGTCTGGGGCATTATGTACGCCTTCCGTGAAGGTTCGGAGTTGTACGATGGCGTTCTATCGAAGTACTTCCCCGACATCCCCTTTGTGCGCCAATTTACGAGTCAAGGGTTGATGGGTGTACCTGGAAAGACTCAATACGGGGATTTGGCGTTCTTTGGATGTATGTTTGCCTGGGGCATAACGGAGTGTATTCGATATGGATTCTTTGTGTTGCAGCTTGGTGGCTTGTCGGTGCCGGGGTGGTGGCAGTGGTTGAGGTACTTTTCCTTTCCTTATTTCGTTTGCTAGATGCCCTGGCTAATTGGACAGGTACAACACATTCTTCGTCCTGTATCCCATCGGAATCTCGTCCGAATGCTTGTTCATGTACCTCTCGCTCGATCATGCAGAGAAGTATGTGCACGAGTATTACAAATGGTTCTTGATGCTCGTCATGGGAATTTATGTTCCAGGTAGCTATATCCTCTACACACACATGATGGCGCAGCGCCGACGATTTATGCGAGGAAAGAGCCGTGTTGATTAAACAATCATAAGACAGCAAATTCGCATTTTTGGGAGTAGGATGAAGGCACGAGTGATGGTAGATGACTTTCTTCGAGGCGACGGGTAGCATAGAATGGTTCAAACGGCGGGGATGTATATTATTACAGTATCTATACTTAATGAGCAGCAACTATCTGCATTTATGCAAGGATTTAAAACTCTCGCATAATGTCTTTCACAGCCTTGGCCGCAAAGGCCTTGCGTTTACTCTCTGGTAAATCCGACGACATGTCTACCTCAACAAAATCAGCTTGACCATTCTTACACGTGTACTTGGAACGAAACAAACCTTTGATAGCCCTCATACGCATCATCAATGCCTCCAGATTCTCAACTTGCAGCTCCGTATCTTCCTCTTCGTCGTTGCCATCGTTATCATCCTCGTCATCGCCTCCGTTGATAGCGAATCGCAATCCCATCATTTCACGCTCTAATTGATTGACCTCAAACCTGAATCCGGTGCTTTCATCGCGTCTGGTCCCGCCGTTGAGGAAGGACATTATATCATCTTCGTCGTCGTCGTCACCGTCATCGTTATCTGTAGAGGAAGCGGCTGTCCATTCATGGGTAGACAGAACCTCCTTGAGACGCGGAAGGCCTTCTAATTCGCCATATATATTCCTCGTTTCTGGCACATCCATATTTGCGCCTGATGACGAGGATGGAGTCCATCGTATAACCTCCATACCAAATACACCCTGCTCATAAAGTAGCTCTTCCCACCAGGGCGACGAAAACGGTTCCTCCGCCTCAAGACCTTCCTCCTCCTCCTTATCGCTACTATATTCCTTCTTCTTAGAAGCAGACGACGAAGAGGAATGCTCATCAACCAGAACTAGTATACCCGGCACCTCCGCCCCTCCTACCACATCACTTTCTTGTTCATCCTCCTCACCACAGTTCCTCTCCTCCTCAATCTTAGCCTTGAGCTCACTCACAACCCCCACCAACTCTTTTATTGTGCGCACATCCTGTCTGTCTCCTGCATCCATGCCATCCTGCTCAATAGCCGATTGTAGCGTCAACGACGAACCGGCCGTCGTAGTACTAGTAGTAGCAGCGGTAGCAAGCTCAAGCGCTTCTCTCGGCACAGCTTTACTAATCGACAACGACGGATTTCGGACACATAGGACTATGGCGCCGATTGCGTCACGAACTTCGCGCGCTTCGGGCGATAAAAAGGTCGTCTTCCATTGCGGGGTGGTTTCTATATCCTCCTCCCCTGTATTAGGGGTAGCGCTTGGTGAATCGGGTGATGGTGAGGTGGGAATCTCGTCAACCCAAATCGGCACGTCGGCGGCGTAATATTTATTCGATATTGGTAAGGGCGCGTGAGTTGTGTAGCCGGCGAATGTCTGGATTTCCGTTCCATTATCCGCCGTCGATGATGAGGCTGGTGGTGGTGTGACGGGGACGCCGGTCAGGGATTGTAGAAGCGCCGGAATCGTTGTATTTGATTGATCTGAAGGTGTGAGGATGAGGAGGCGTAAGGGATTGGTTATTAGTTTCGGTTTTGAGGTTTGGGCCTGGCCTGTAGGAGCTGTGGTGGGGGAGGGCATTTTCGTGGTCTGATCGCTGGCTTGGTCTAGATGATGGGAATTATGATGTGGTCATAATTCGTTATCGAGTTCGTATACAGACAGAACCCCAAGCGTATATGATCGTGTATGTTGTTTCTGTAAACGATGATGTTAATCCAAAATGTTAACTAGATACGGTCAAGCGGGGTCAGATCTCCGACTAACTCCGCAAAATCTTTATTATATCAAGCCGTTGGAATTCTATTTATTGACGCTTTATATGATTACAATGAATAGTCCAATTAAAGATCAGTACACGAAACTCCATTCCCTTTTTGATTTATCTAAGAAATATTATCGAACCGGCAGTCATCCAGTTCTTCAGCAATCAACCCGTCCTCAGGTCGTTTGCGATTCCGTAGAAAGTCCTGCAGACAAAAGTCGAAAGCATACGCAACACTAGTCGGAAAGCCAGGCCATCTATTTGAAATGATATCAGGAAAATCGACACTAGGGATAACCTCCGATGGGAAAAATTCGCATGTCGAACGAACGGAACCGCGCAATATCGATCTTCAAAGCTTGCTGGATGGACACCGACCCAAACATGAAAATCCGCATTGAGTCACTCCCATTAACCCCGTCGTTGACCCCGAGCTCTGTTAACAGTGGCTTTACCACGCGCCAAACCCACACCTCTACCACGCTGGCCACGAGTACGGAACATGGGCGCATTCCTAGTAACAAACTCATCAGCCAAACACTCTAAACCTACTTCGTAGAGAGAAGGGAAGGGAGGACAGACCTCAACATATCCGGCACAATAAAGAATCGTACGTGACTGCCACGAATATAAACCTGATCGAGATGCGAGACTCGGCCGTCGCGCGCGGTCACTGTGATGTCTTTGAGCTGGACGTTCATGTTATCTTCGGCTGCGGAGGACGTCAGTATCGTATAAATAACGGAAGCGGTCGCTGCTACAAGCAACCTCTCTTCCACTGGATGGGGAGAGAGGATAAATGACGAACCTTCGAGTAGTTTCCCGCGATATACTTGTCCCGACGTGATCTCGAGCGTCACGACATGGCCCTGTATTAGAGAACTGGATCAGTACACAGTCCCATCGCAGGGCAGTTCAAGGAAAAACAAGGTGTATGCGACAGTCATACCTGCGCTTCATTCAACAACTTGATCGGAATACCGATTGTGCTCGTTAATTTGCCCATGGTGACTTGTTTTGTGGCGGTCGCTGTTGATCGCGCGACAGGTTCAGAGCTCGACTATTGAGAAAAGATCGGCGCGCGGCGTTGCGTAACAAAAATCTCCTTGTTGAAAAGTAGACAGGTAATTTATCTGCTTGAATTGATTCTCTCGTGGGCGTTCGTAGGGCGTAGACTTGTGTGTCGAGTTGATTTTGGAGTTCTTAGTTGAAGCCGAAAAGTCAAGTTCTAGGTCGGCGGAACTCCAAGCGTGGGGCCGGAGATGGGATTCTGCGGTGAGCTTCCGCCTATCATCTATCATCTATCATCTAGCTTCTAGCTTCACTTTTCTGTCTTCAGGTCTCATATACATACCATGTACATACAACCTCATAAAAGTTGAGGACATAACGATACAATGGCCCCTCTAAACACAAACCTCCAAGCCTTCAATCTAACCGTCTCAACCCTCCTCAAACAACCATCCCATTTCCTCCCCAATTTAACCATACCAACCTTCCTCGACCTGCCCGAACAAATCGGCCACCAACTGGCCTCGTCTTCTTCAGCGACAATAACCGGTCAGCAGCCAAAAAGAATACCAAAAATAAAAGCCCTGATCCTCGACAAAGACAACACCCTCTGCCCACCCCACACAACAACTATACCCAAACCATACCTCGACAAACTCGAGCAACTCCGTACGTCGCCTACGTCGCCTTTCAATCTGAATACGAACCCGGATGGAGTGCTGATTGTGTCAAATACGGCGGGAAGTCGGCCTGATGTGGAGAAGTATGTGGATGAGGCGAGGACATTGGAAGACAAGTTGGCGCATTTGAGGATTTCGGTTTTTCGTGTTCAAAAGCCTTCTACTACTACCAGCAAGATAGATGGTGCCGCAGGGCCAGGCGGAAGGAGGAAGCCGTTCTGCGGGCCCGATGTGCTTGCGTGGTTTCGGGAGCGAGGGGTGATCGATCGACCGGATGAGGTTGTTGTGGTTGGTGATCGGTTGGGGACTGATACTCTCATGGCAGCACAGATGGGGTCTTGGAGTGTATGGTGTAAAGATGGGGTGACGCATTCGGTTACAGACCAGCCGAAAATGGATTATAGAGGGTTTTTGGCCAAAGTGGAGATTGTCTTGGAAAGATACCTTAGAGAAAGCGGAGGCCTGAAGGCTAGAGTGCCCGAAGGGTGGGAGAGAGCTACAATCTAGAATTCGTGTATATTTAGATGTATTTATAGATACCCAAGTCCTATCGAATAGAATCATACATAAATTGACTCTACCCCATGCTAACGTGGTCAGACAACTCTGACAGAAAATGACAGCTAATGCAGTCGACGAAAGAAGTGAAGCTGACATGCTGACATCAAACTCAAGCCGTTTTCATACAAAATAATGAAGAATAAATGATAGATGAAGAATAGAAGAATTTTGAACGCAAATATAACATCCAGAAGTGAAGACGAACGAAATGTGCAAACATTCGCAATTCAAGATCATCCAAGATATCAGAATGGAAAAATGGACTTAGTCCACGCTACAGACCGGCCGTAGGGATGAATGTAGCAATCCGTAGCACTGAACTCCACCAAGTCAATGCCTTACCGGATAATCTCGCCAGCCGGTAGGCAAAGGTAATTGGAGAAGTAAGAAGAAAAAGAAAAACAGCAAAGGATATCATGAAATATGTCACCAAGACATAGAATAATCGCCCGAACGCCATGCCAACCAAACGCCATAAATCATTGTAATAACCACGTCAAGCCGACGTGGTTTGGCTCATATCGAATCCCTGCATATCACCGGTCATGGGGGACTGGGTTTCCGAAATCGCATTCATGGAAAAGTCAAAGCTTGGGCCATCTTGAAAATGGTTGATGTGATGTTTTGCATACATCTCGCTCAAGACAAATCCATCTTCAGTCAATCCCTGTTGCTGATCGCCACCAAAGTTGAACATGTCATTGGATATTGTATTGTGCATGGTCGAAAGAGGAGGCGAGTGATTGGCAATAAGAGGATCAGCATGGCTAAAGTTAGCCATAGATGTCGGTGGTTGGCTCATCATCTTCTGTTCCATCATTGGCGAAGGTGACATATAAGACATATTGAATTGGTCTCCAGGGTTGCCGGTTATGGCAATCGATTCCGTCGAGGGAGCAGCGCTGAAAAATGATGGGCTAGCAGCAGCAAAGTCGGACATGGTTGTCGCAGACATCGGGTAGGACCGAGGATCAACAAACGTGGCGGTAGTGTCGATGCGGAGTTCATTTCCCAAGGTGTGGACGGCGTTTGGATTTTGAGGAATCGGAGCGTACATGTTCGGGTTTGGTGTCATATGCGATACAGAAGGCTGTTGAATATGGAAAGGAGCAATTGGCGTGTGCAAGTAAGACAGATCGATGGCCGCTGGCACTGATCGACTGCGTTGGCGTTTGTGGCCTCGAGGCATGTGATTTACACTTAGATGCGAATCCGGGTACATGCCCATCTGGGCCAATGTGAATCGATTTGGCTGAGAGGCGGGACGATGGATATCTTGAGGAGGAGTGATTGGTGCAGAAACAGAATAGTTGAAGTCCAACCGATTTTGAAAGGTTTCCAATGACACGAGCTTGGCTAACTGAACGCTCAAAACCTTGGGGTGACCGCCAAGGTGATGGGTCATGACGCGACTGGCTTGCTGGTCTTCAGTAAAATCACCACACTGGAAGAAACCGCCCGAATTCGAACAATCCATCCAGAAAATAGGCGGCCGATTCAATTCAATAACCAGGCCACCAGGTCGGGTAGGCATACCGTTTGCATTGGGGGTCAGGTCGCCGTTGTCTAGCATTACGCTCTTGATGTACGAGAATGGGTATTCAATTTTGTAGCCAGCCGAATCATTGTTGATGTAATAGGTCATGGTAGCCTTGTCTGGCGAGTAAAATATGACCAAATCCATGGCATTTTGTCCAATGCGTCGCCAGCTGCCGATGCTTAGGGTACGGCAGGKGAAGTGCTGAATCACGATCTTTCCAGGGGTAGACTCCGCGCCAAAGCCATTTCCTAATCCACCAAGTCCATTGGCTCSTCCMAATAATTCTCTGGCACCAGGTTTGTGAGGGTCGAAATGCATCGCCAGATACTGGCGCATTGAGTCCGGAATAGAATCGCAATCCTCGCCAGTCTCGATGCTCTTCTTAGCAATCATTTTGATTTTGGCGCGTCGATTCTGGAACCAGATTTGTACAGATCTTTCGGTCATGTTAATGTCCTGGGCGATTCGTTCGCGGACTGCCGCAGTCGGAGTTGGATTCTTATTGAATTCAGTTTCCAGTGTAACCAGTTGGTCCTGTGTTGCACGCTGTCGCTTTTGATTTTTCTGCTGCTGGGTCAGTGTGCTCTTACGCGGCGGCCGGCGGGACGCAGAACTCGAAGGAGCGGAAGCCGCAGGGCTGGTCGTAGACGGCGAGGGAGTCGAATTGGTTGGGGTGGCGGTGTTTGAACCCGCAACAGCGGGTTGATTGTCTATCGAAGACATTGTAGATGATGATAATTGATAATCGAATAAGTTGTTTAGTGGTTTTCTTTCAGAAAATTCCGGTTCTATCTCCTGAACGGTAATGAGTAAAGATGTACGTGCAGTGTTGATCGATTTCGATCACAATCGTTGGCGATTGTATAGCAATTGGATAGATATTTCTGTCTAAATCCAACGTGCGGTGATGCGAAGTCGATGTTCACGGCCCGTGTATCGAAATAAACAAGTGAAGAGGCGCTCCAGAGCTGCAATGGAGAATATGTCGAATATTGAATAGTGAAGAACGAAATGTTGGGCTAGATCTTGGTGAGATGGGTCGGAATGTATGACAGCTGATCCGGGCAGCTGTATGGTAAATACTACTACTAGTAGTGGTAATGGGCAATCTCGAGATGAGAATGAAATGATGCCAGATCCGGCGAGTGAGTCCTTTGACTGAACTGTGAATATAAAAATGATGTGATAATCAAACAATGGCGAGGGTAGCAGTCAATGCCTTTGGAGGCTGTCAGCGGTAGGGACCGTGTCGGGAGAACGAAAGGAAGGCCGGACGAATCGTCGGTTCGAGGCTGAGAACAAGAAAATCGAATGAATGACAGTGTTGATGGGCGCGGTGAAGGAGTGAACACGCGGTCCCAGGACACGACGGATAAAAAGAAAAGGAATGAAAGGGAAGGTGAAAAGAAAACGAATCGAGAACAGACAGACAGATGGATGGGGAAGGGAGGAGAGGAGAGGAGAGCAGAGCGGAAGAAGTCAGAAGGGCGACGCAGAAAAAGGGTGGGATGGCGGTAGGCACGCTAGGAAGGGACTAGCCCAGGCACAGCACAGCACACAAGGCAGGCACGCTCTGGGCAACGCCAGGAGGCAGGAGGCACTGAGGCAGGAGCGACTCTCGTGGAGGGCTCCACTCGAGCGCCGGTAGAGCCTGTGGTTGGCTGGCTAAATCCAACTGTCCGCTAGTCCCGACCGGGCGATGCGCTAGCAATACTATCGACAGCAAGCTCCAAAACATTGAAAACAATAACAATAACAATGTTGAATGCTCGTTCTCGTGATCCTGATACTTCGCTACTGTCACCGGTGATGGCCACTGAACCAGTCTACTCCATTCTTAGATTTCTAGCTGGGTTAGTGTCGAGTTATGAATACTACTGCCGTAGACGTCGGCTGGTTCCGATGCTGATCTAACCAAGTCACGTGCAGCGACAGTGACCGCAACAACAAAACAGGAATTGTATGGCAAATTCTTGGTCCGTCAGACTCATCGTGGCCCCGACGGCAGTCAAACACCGAGAGTCTGGTCTGGCGGTGGTGGGGAGTGGAGAAGAAGGAAGGTCCAGGGGTTCATGGTTCATTCTTAGCCTTGGCCTGTTTTGTCTGAGCGATCAAACCATACACAATCCTTAGATTCACTTTATAGTCCATACAACAACTTCAACACTACGTGTCAAACGCAAGTCCTGGCTTCAGACTTACAGAGTTACGTACTCGCAATTGTAGGTCTCCTTACTTACAACGTCCTGAGTCAGTGCCGTGATACCCTCCCCTCCCGGCGCTAACGACGACATGCACGCTCTGGGCCAATACCGAGCTCCGCGCCGTTCAAGGTGAATCCTGGCGTCGAGTCTGTCCACGAATGATAAACAGTGCCTGACGATCATCCCATTTTGACACAGTCTGGCTCCAGTCTTTCTTGGTCGACCCAAGAATCTTTCTACTTCAACAAAAAGTCTAGACATCAGAGCTGTGACCCAAGGACCTGCACGCTTTGTTGTTACCTAATCCTCGGCTGTCAGTTGTCTCACGTGCAAGCCAGAGTTGAAAAATCGATCCGACGCTTTCCGCCACAAAATATCCGCTGTCTCTCACCCTTTGGAACAAATTCCACGGTACGGACTACGGAGTGCCTTGACCGTCAACCAGCGACAGAACCTAGAGCAGCGAGGTCTATGTGTCACGGAGTACTTGTACCACACAGCTCGGAGCTGGACGGTGAAGTATGAAACTAGACCAATCCGAAAACGGACTAGCCCGAAACTAGCGTCTACAGACAAGGAACGCCAAGATTTCTTCTTTCTTCGATCTTTCACGTTCGACACTTCCAAAACGCCACACCAAAATCTTCCCTAGCTCTACGCAGTAGAGTTTGGAGGCATTGTGACATCGGTGGTGAGATTTGCTGTGGTCGTTAAAATGTACAACCATCGACCACAGAACCAATAATATGTAGATAACAGTGTCGATGTAACATTTTTCCTTCTCCGTAGAAAATCTCTCCTTTTGCCACTTTCAACTCTCAACAATAAACACATCATATGATGTTGCCGGCATGCCCAGTGCCCACCAGTCAACCGTCAACGGCATTCGTGTCTAGACCGTTTGCATAAACCAATGGCAATGGCGGATCACACAACAATGCGGATTCCAAAGATCTTCTCATCATTTTCCTCTTCAGGAATCATATGGAGCCGTCCGAGTGCCGCACAGAGTCTATGACTTCATTGACTTGGCTTTGGAGCGGATCAATCAGTTTCGGTGTTGAAGGTACGTACTACGTAAGTCTAAGAAGATATGTAGCACGAGGACTGTGCTACGTTCTATCGATCTTTGGAATCTTGGCAGCTCGGCAATTAGGTAGGACGGTCCGACTTGTTGAAACACGCTGGCTAGTTTTGTCCAAAGAACTCCGCCTTTGGATCCTGTTCTCACTCACAAGGCTGGCATACATGTCACAACTCCATATGACAAGACGGCATACCTAGCACAAAATGCCCGCACGTGTGGCGACGTTCCATTGCGCAGAACGGAGTACGCCTGTTCTGGAAGAAGGGTCACGCGTTCTGTGACTTCTATACATACTATGAAGAAAGACACTAGAACCGGATGGAAGAAAAAGCATTTCAAGCAAGGTTCCCTGATTGTGAGTAGAGACCTGTCAGTTAGGATTCAGTCGGTTTATCCGGTTTGTGTCAAATGCCGTAACAGGGGTTGTCTAGTTCGAGTTGGCGGAATTACTTTCGAGAAATCTGGCTGACTTCACGGTTCAGGCTTACGTCTTACGAAGAATCGAACTAAGCCAACCGATACGTATACGATCGGACTAGATGCATTAGGACTGACAACTCCGTGCTCCGTCTCTATACGGAAGGACGGAACGCTAGTTCGACAACATCAACTTTTCAGCTCAATCACCCACTTTACAGTCTTTGCCTCTTTCAGAACAAGTACTGTTCATGTCGGAGTAGTTTTCCGATGGTTTCAATAGTGTCTAGTAGTGCGTATTTCAGGTCTCTTTCCTGCTCAAACATTCCGATTGTTCATATATGAGGTTGCGGCTTKCCCGTGCGTCCTGAATCCGGTTTTGTGCGCGTTGTGTTTAAAGCCACCGATGTAGCTAGCGCGCTGCTTGACTTTAACCGGGCTGGCTCTCTGCATGCAGGGTGCGTATGTTGCGACACTGAGATGCCTGCGATTCCCCTCGTGCAAGGAGACCCTCCATAACCGGCTTAGCGTCAGGTACACCCGCAATGCATGTCAAAAGGGGCGGGACTTGGCGTATCATTATTGGTGCGACTAGGGATAGTGGGTCATGCACGAGTCCGGTCTAACGTTCGCGTTTCAGAAACCGACCAGCGTGTACTCCGTAAGTACCAGGTACAAAACGTACACGTAAGGATACTTACCTTGTACATAGTTAAGTGCATCATAACTATTGAACTTTATCGCACACTCATTGCCTCCGTACTGCCGAGGCATAATACATAGTACATTACTCGATCATATGTAGCGGAGCTCACAATGCCACATACACAGTCCAGAAGCCAGCCAGCGATATGAACAGTACGCACCTTGTCCTGCTCAGCCCAGAATCATCACTGAGTGTGTATATCATATATTCTATAGTGGTTCGTCGATTTTAGTACACGGTAAGCAATGAACGGACCGTCTCCACGATGGCACGATCCGTCGTCGTAGTTCGTTTGAGCGCGATCGATCTTCGATCTGGTAGGGATGGATGCGACGCTGTTCATTATTAAGCACTAACCAAACACTACTTAATTACATAAGGATACGATAGGATATATGGTATACCTGATACAAGCTATGTCTAGATCAATAACAATCAGACTGAAAATATAGTACTTTTTGACCAAGTTTGATATGCTTGCTGCAAAATTGAATTCCAATCATTCCATGGAAGAGGATGCCTTTCTCGCAATCTGGAGATGTTCCCGGGTGGCTTGGAGTTTAACGTCGTGGCATCGTTACCTTGCTCTCGAACGATATTTACATACCTAGGTACTTCTTGATAGAACTGTCTACGGTCATTTTGACAACTTCCATCATAACAATCATACATGGGTAATGGCGCGTGCAGCTGTTGGTGAACTGAGCGTGAAATATAGCACTAACCCTATGTGGTACATAACCCTAAGACATGCGGGTCTCGCGGAAAGAAAAATTCCGCTTAGTCACCGGAGACGGATAGTGTCTATCCGACGTCATCAATCACCCTCTTCCCTCTTGCATGTTTTGATATCGCTTCTGTAATGAATTGAGAGCACCAATAACGAGCAAAAGTCATCAATCTAGAATCCCATCGGAAAGCACTCAGCCTGCAGAATGACCTCCGACTCCTCACCAGTCGCTCTTGTAAGGCGAAAGAAACGTGTCGGGATAGCCTGCGATTTCTGTCGGCAGAGAAAGGTTCTCCTCTCCGAAAGTTGTCCTTAGAGTCAATTCTAACTTTCACCGTTTACCAGCTGGGCTGCGATAATGCCAAACCAAAATGCGAGAATTGCAGATGTTCAGGCAAAAGTTGTAACTATTCGGAGCGGGCGAAGAAGATCAGGTGAGTAAATCGTTTTCACAGTTTGATGTCCATCTCTAAGGTGTTAGACCTACGAACTTTCAGATACGGCATTTAGAGGATGAGAATGCGGAGCTCAGAAGTTCCTTGTCGAAGCTCAAGTCTCGTTTGAGTCAGGTGGAGCAATCGATTAGTGCTTCTGGCTCTGGCGGCATTGATCAGAGCAATCATGGACAGTCTGTTTTGCAAGTCTCACATCCCGTACAGCCTACAGCTTCGGCACGTGTCATAGAGTCTCTGAAACCACTCTTTAATCAACCTTGTTACTCCACCGGTGACCGAGAAGTCCAATTCCATGGCCCCTCAAGCGCCATGTTTGATGAATCACATCAACAAACCACCATCCCATCAAATCCTACTGTTTCCATCGATCCCACGAAGAAATACGAATTACTTGGAAACTGCATCAAACAACGTATGCGCCTATATTCCCTTTTTGGTAATTGCTTATAGCTGACTTTGACAGGTCAAATGGAACCCATCGATCTTGCGGCAGGCCGCCTCGACTTCGATGGCGTAGATCCCGAAATAGGCATGCATCTCCTATCCGTGTTTTGGAACCGACAGCACGCCTCCGGATTAGTGGTTTATCGCCCTGCCTTCATGCGGGATATGGCGTGCAGCGGGCCGTATTTTTCTAAACTGCTGTTAAATGCCATCTTCTTCTCGGCATCCAAAAACTCGCCTCGAACGGAATTCAAGTGTTCAGGTGTCGTTACAGAGGCGCCCGCCGCTGTTTCACCGTTTAGAATACGAGCGGAGGAACTATTGTCCATGTCCACATCTGGACTGCCGACAAGAATGAAAAGTGATATTACCACCATACAGGCGCTGTTGATCATGTCCGAGGCGCTGTTTGCATGGTGCGATGAGCGGAGTTTGTCTTGGCTGTATTCCGGGCTTGCGATTAATATGATTGTTGATCTGGGAATACATACTGACAGACGGACACCTGCGATGAACAAGGCTTTTACGTCAGAGGATTCGGAGATTCGTCGTAGACTATTTTGGGCTGCTTTTGGTATGTATTTCCTTCAGTTAGCTGGTTGCCGTCATCTCACGCACTATAGTCCAAGATAAAGTCCAATCTATCTACCAAGGACGACCCGCTCGTCTCCGTGAACAAGATGTCAACGTACCCATTGCTTTCATGGACGATTACGAGGAACTGGATCAATTTACTTCGCTTTCTTATGCGCGAGAAGACATTTCCATGAGCTTTCCTACTCGCAGCGTTTCTGTATTTGAGCAGCAGTGCAGACTCAGTCTCATCATGGATAGAATTCTGTTCGGGATATATGCAGAAAATTACAATTCGAGGAGTACGTCTCAACTGCTCAATACTGCGCGCGCTCTGCATCAAGACCTCGAACACTGGCGGAAATCTCTCCCGGAGCATCTGAATATGAACTTTGATGCTTCCAGCAATCCACCGCTGACACCTCATGCTTTGTCTTTAATGTGAGTCTGTATAGATTTTACAGATTACATGTTTGCTAATGCGCTCTACAGGTCCATGTATTACTCCCTTATCATCCTCCTATATCGCCCGTTCGTATCCGATGGACACGTGAACGCTATCTCCCCATCCGCGATTCGCGACGCCTTCACTACATGCGCAGCCGCCGCTTCGGGTATCGACGCAACACTACGAGTCTATCTACAACGCTTTTGCATTACTACAGTCCCATATTTTATGTCTTTTGCCACATATGTGAGCGGAACAATCCACGTACGCATTGCAGCACAGAGCGGACGCGAGTCGGAAGCATATAAGAGTCTTGAGAATTGTCTAGACATCTTGTCTCAGCAGCAATCGGTGTGTCGTGCGCCGCGGAGAGCTAGACGGATTCTTTTGGGGTTGGCTAGACGCTTGAACGTCCATATTGATGATTCGTCGGCATCTATGGGAAATACGCGAATGAACTCGGACACAAATCTTGATGCGCCAATGCACGCATCAACACTGGAAAACCCGCAAAGTGACTTTGAACTATTGATGTCGGGTTTGGATATTGACGCTATCATTCAGAGCTTTGAATTCGATCAATCGAGTATGATGAATCAGGCCGAGCACATGAATAGTTCATCCGCAGCAACGAATGCTGATGATTTCAGTCAGTGGATGCTACAAGACCCTTTGTTTGGATATGATTCGTTGTTTCCAATGGATAGCTCTTCTGCGTAGTAAAATACATACCAATTTTTTAGGGTATATATTTGGGAAATGTTTACCCATCAACAATTGAACCTCAGGTCAGATTCAATAACAACTTCCAAAGAATAGCAGTAGTAGTTTATGATACAACATTCACTCGAATCAAATCAACACACTTAAGCAAAGTCCTTATACATCGCCTTCTCAAACCCAACAATCACCTCCCGAACCTGCTCATCCGCATTCGGTAACACCTGCGTCCCAAAAACACCACATAATCCAGCTTGACGATCAATGAACTGGTGAACAGAGTCAATTCTCTCATATTTCATAATCAGGATGTTCAAGAGGGGGCATACCCAAAAAATGTTCGGCAGTCCACTCCAACACAAATACCCTTTCCTCCTCCACCTCAAACCCGCCGAATCCACATCCTCCAAACTCAACAATCCGCCCAGACTATAATCATACCTGACCTGCGCAAACGTACCTACATACGGCGGCGCACCACTCTCTTGTCCGGGCTCAATATGACTGAACAACCCCTGCAGAGATTCGCGCGACGAAGCCGAGAGCTGAGGCTCAAACAAGAACGTGTCTACCGTCTCGCCCCTGAGAAGTTTGCCATCATTAACAAGCAGGCTGTGCAGGATTTTGATGTATGAGGCCATGGATGTGTAGAGGCCTACTCCGCCCATTTCTTCGGTTGCTTCGGATAGAATATGTGGCGCTGTGTCGGGGATGAGTTTTCCTCCATGGCCATTTGGGGTAGAAGGATCTCGACGGGTCATCGGTACCAATTTCGCAGTGTCAATTTCGGGGTTTTTGTGAGGGAAGTATGTCAAATCCCGTATACCGAGAGGGGAGGCGATGTTTTGTTGGGTGTATTGCTCGAGTGATTGTCCCGTTAGATGAGTGATGAGGCGTCCGGCCCATTCCATCCCGGAACCGTATTCCCAGATTGTGCCTGGTTGAGCGACAAGAGGTTCTGAGAAGGATTTTGTGACTGTTTTGAAAGGTTGGAAGGGTGGGAGGCCTTGGGAAATGTTGTATTTTTGCACGAGGGGGGATGCGAAGCCATACGTTAGGCCGGAGGAGTGAGAGAGGAGTTGTCTGTATCAGCATCAGCTACAGCTCAATTTGATTCTCCTGTGAACGAAGTCTTGACAGTTACATACCGAAGCGTAATTTTCTCCGTGCGTTCCTCAAGTCTAACCTCCCCGTCAACCTCCTTCAGAACTTTCAATGCACCCAACTCGGGCAGTACAACGCCCAAATCATCATCAATACCCACAAGCCCGCTTTCAACAACTTGTAATGCAGCAATAGAAGTTATCAGTTTTGATGCGCTGGCTAACGTCATTATGTCGTCGACTTGGAGTTTTTCGGATTTTGTCCCTTTATCGAGGGAGCGGTGGCCGAAGGATTTGGAGTACACGAGACCTTGAGATTTGGTTGCTGCCATGACAGAGGCGCCGGCAAGGCCGCCGTTGCTGATAGCGGTTTGGATGCTTGTTTCGAAGCTGGAAGTCATGATTGTATGTTTCTGGTATAGTCGTTGGAGGAGGTTGGGATATGGGTGATTGATTCAATGTCGGTTCAATCTAGAAGTAAATACAAAGTCGACGGTATTCTTCACTTCTTATATCTCTATGGAACCATACTACTTGCTCAAATTATTACGAAAAGTCTGTCTCTCATAATTACTGATGTCATGCTAGACGTGGGTATACGGAAGGTGAGAACCCGCTGAATAAACGGATAATGTTGTTCCCTCATTAACTAGCTACCCCTAATCGCAGACTGGGACTTCTCGGGAAAAGCAATGTAGATAGTAACCTGATTACAAAGGCAATTTTATTTTCGTTTCTGAATATACTATTTCCACGATGCATTGAAATCGGATGAAAGGTCTCAGATAGCCGACCACGTTGCTCGTCGTTAATAGACGGAACCTCACTTTCCGCCGTTCCGTGATTAGCCCTAATTGCGTGCACGCATATATGGTCGACTTTTCGAGGATTCGAGAATAGTTTTTCTGATTCATCGGAAGTGAAAAGCTTTTACGCTTGCGGCAGTCAGAAGCTCCTTTACATGTTATCATATTTAGGTTGAAGTGCAAAATCATTCTGTCAGAATACATATACTTTGATTGAACCAATGTCAATCATATAGAAACGAATTATATGACTAGCTTGTAATCCAATTTTTTTTCCATCGTACGAGTTTCGTAACCCCATTATTCATATCCAACTCAGTAATCATCTATCGCCAAGTATCGCTCTCAGTAGCAGTGCTAACACCACAACCGGACGGCACAGTATACGAGCGGTTAGGATCACTCTCCCAAACAATCGACCCACTTGACTCCTTGCGAATATACTTGTACTGGAAGGTTGTTCCAGCGGGCAGGCTGATAGTCACGAACCAGAGGTTGTCGCTGGAAGTATATTCACTAGCGCTGAGTGCAATGGCCTTGCTGGTATCCCAGCTACCGAGCTGGGAAATTGAGCCGGAAATGTACACGTTTTCGCCGTAGGTGGTTGTTGCGATTTCGTCAAAGGTGACGGCTACGGAGGTCGGGGTTGTGCAAGAGGTAGCGCTGGTGGTGGTAGTAGTGGTTTTTGAGACGGAGGTAGTGGTAGTGGCAGAAGTGGTGGTGGTACCTGCTGTGCCGCTGGTTAGGGTGCTGGGCCAAGAGGTTCCGGTAGGAGTGCTGTAGGTGCCAGTGGCAGAGCCAGTTGAGCAAGAGCTGGGAACCGAGTTGGCAGAAGCAGCGCCCCAGGAAGGAGGCACGATACCGTTACGACGATTGTTGGCAGTGAGCAAAGCGGCATACGACCATGTGAGGTCACGAGCGGAGAGCTCGGTACCGGCTGACTTGTCGAACTGCTCGGAGAGAGAACCGTTGGTCAAGGCATGAGTCTGTACAATGCTGACATATCCGTCGGCATAGGTCTTGACGGCGCTGATGATCGCTGTGAAGGCAGTGCTACCAGAGGCGTAGGTACCAACAGCGGCAGAGCTGTAGACATCCTTGAAGAAAGCCAGAGAGGTACTGGTGATGGTGATGGAGCCGATCTTGTTCCATTGATAAATGGCATCGTACAATTGTTCAGCAGCAGCGAGAGTGGTCAAGAACCACGGATTACCATTATAATATGAGTCCTCAGGGTAACGTCCCACAGCGACAGCAACGCCCTCAGCGATGCCAGAGTCAAGGGAATAGACAGAGCGGAACGAGTCAGTGTAGACTTTGTGGTTGGCGAGTGCGCGAGGTGAGCAAGGCTGGAAAGTGACATCGTCACAGGTGGCCTGGGGATCAAACGTGTTGATACTAGCCAAGACAGTGTTGGCATCCTTGCCGGAACGACCACCGCCAGTGTTGGCGTTGATGTAAGATCCGGTCCAAAAGGTCTGCAAGTAGCAGAGAATCTGGGGAGCTTGAGAGTCACACCACGAGCAGGATGCGCCAACTCGGCCAGCAAAGGTGCTTCCCTCGACGAGAGCACGGTGCTGGTTGGCGACGGTGAAGAAGGACATGCTGTTGACTTCTTCCCAGAGATCTAAGATAAAACATTTAGCAATAATCCGTATATTGGCTGGKGAAAGACGTACCAAAACCGCTCTGACTCCAGTACTGGGAAACGTAGGACAGATCGTTGCGCACAATGGGCCAGATGTTGCTAACAGCATAGCTAGAGTATCCGTTGTCCTACAGGGGTTAGTGACGTCTACTATTTCCAGGGGCATGATGACATAGCCGTCTTTCATGTCGAGAAGAACATACAAGCAACCAATTACCAAAGTCGATCAAAGCAATAGCACGGAGCGCAGGTCCGTCGCGTTGCGGACGTCCCCAAGAGCCAGTGAAGGCGGTCGTGTCAACGTTGAACTTTGGCTCAGCGAGACCAGCACCATTTGAGAGGTCGCCAGAGGGATTGGAGACGGTCTGCAGGTGCGCCTGTGCATTGACGTACTCCTCGATGATAGTCTGCAGAGCGAGGTCCCCATTACGGAAGAGATCGATCAGAACCTTCAAAGTGAGAGCGGAGTCTCTGGTCCAGGTGTAGTAATCTAAGCCGTCAGAAGCCGCTACTCGAGTCAAGATAGATAATAAACTTACAGTCCGGGCTGCTTGTACTGGGACTGGCGATAACGATACCAGCGCTTGCGCTCTGAGCATAAGCACCGCTGGCTCCGATGTTGTTCAAGATTCCATTAAGAGAGACGGTAGTCTCGGTGGCAAGCCAAGCGTCCAAGCTAGTTGTAGCACGGCGAGACAATTGGGGAGCTGCCAGTACAGATTGGCCTAGAGCCAGTGCGCAAAGCACCGAGGAGAGGCGAGAAATAGTCATGATAGACAGACAAATTTCGAGATAGGAAGGGTAGACGAGGGTGATGAGATGATGAGCTGGGAGTAGTCCACGGTGAGGTTTTTCGCACTCTTTATAGACATACTACTGCCGGCATTTTCTTGTATAATTACAATCACCTTTCTGAATACAAATCTCCGGTGAGCATACCTCTCCGCAAGTTATTGCCCATCTCGCCACCCTTGTGCACACTTGATTGGTGTGGCCGGCGAGAGATCATCAGGGCAACTTCGCCTTGCACATCAATGCAAGTCAAAAGCCGAGAACCACGCACTCCAGAGTCCGTTTCAAACCAGAGCACGGAAATTATAAAATCATTCCGTCGCTGTGACTGGCTCGCAAACCCGAAGCTGACGGTTAAATTTAGTGCCGGACGCAGGTTCCCGAATAGGATGAAAAATGAGACTATGACAGGCTTTAGTAAGGGGAATTTTTAATCTGAAAGTCTCGGCATCGCGAATCAATGAATAATCGTGCAGAATTTCAAGGTTTTCAAATCCCCGCAATCCGCATTGCTACCGTGGGGTACTCCGGAGAATCCTTGTGTGCTTGCCTAATGGGACGTAGTCTTCTGATTGTTCTCAGATCGAAGAGGCTTATGGGCTTTAAGCTACGGCCGCACTGACAAGTCAATTATGAGTCTGAGGAGTACGGATCGGATCACTTCGGCTATTCGACACATGGCATATGATGATCGAGCTCTAGCGCATTAAAAAACGGTTGCAGTACCATTTACCTGCTCGGCCGCTATTAGACTAACCTTCTGTTGACGGGTTTTCCTAGTGGGACTGAACCTGTTGGTAAGCATAACGGCTTATGAGTTAACTTAGCATTTGATAATAATATAAGCACAACTATACCATGCATTTAGCTGCTTAGTATCAGATCATCACGGGAGATTGCCTCGGTGGACGGTCACGGACTCGGACCCGGCTTGATTTTGACTGTAAAGCGTTAGAAAAGTTGTGCTAAACAGCTAGCGAATTTTTGAGAGTTTTAGTGCCGGAAAAACTCAATTTGTTTCTATAATTGCCTATAGCACCTTTGTATAGTTTCATGCATTAAGTTCACTTCTCAATTTTATGACTACCGATGTCCGATGTGTCCTTGGCCTGGACATAGGATACTTCTCCTCGTCCTCTTTCAATTTCAAACGATCGATCGAAGACCTTTTTCTCGATTTTTGGTCATATTGTATATTGTATCTTGATCTGTCGCTGTAATTATCACCCTGATATATGAATCCTCCTGAGGATTTTGATCCCTATATAACGTGGTTATTGTAACCCGCAAAAGTTGATGATTACTATCCAAGCTAATAAATGAGAACTATCCTTATGTCAATATTGATCACTAGAAAGCTAGGTATTATAGATACATGCTACCCTCAGGTTGATAAGCCAATCTCCCGCTTGCTTGCTGCACGATAGGCAGCAATTACATCTCCACTCTTCGTTATGGTTGAATGTAGGTTGGTCCGACTCGGCTTCTTTTCCTGCGACATTGTCTTCCTCGTCCTTGAACACAATTCTCATCTCGTCAGGTGTATGGCCTCTTGACTCAGGGTAGAAGAAGTAAACGGTCGGTATAACCAAGACCAGAGCAGGGACAAACTCAATATACTATCTTCATTGAATGGCGGCAAGTGCAATTGGATCAAAATATCGATTGCAACCTTGCAGCTGAAGTCGAGAAGAGACATAGGGCCACACCACGGGCGCCGTAAGAACATGGCCAGGTTTCCATCGTGTACGCCATAACAAGAAGCATTAATGCAATGTCATACCCACCAAAGAAGATGAAGAGAAAAGGAATATCCCGTTTCCAATAATCAGTGTTTTGTTTCTGGGTCCGAAACTGCACCTATCCCCATTCCCGCTCACCGCAGATCCCACCGCTGTTGTGTCTCCGCAAATTTGGCTGATGAGCATTATCACGGGAGAGGTGAGAAATAATTTTCGCCAATCGACTCAATCGACCATGAAGACGGCGTCGACTGCCATGATGGATGATATTCCACACATTGAGGAACCCATTGAGCAAAGTTTGTTGGGGGACAGAAGCTATACCAACAGCCTCGAGGATAAGTGCAACATAGTAAGAAATGACACCGCTGCAGTGAAAATATCGAGCCACTAAATCTGCTAGTCCTTGTCAGAAAATAACCAATGTCTTCTGATACTTAGTTTTCAACCCATTGCCCAAAGACGCCGACAGATTTGTAATGAATAGCCGATAACAATTGGCCTTTGAACTAATCATATCACAGTAGCTGGTTGTATCAATAGTATTTCGTTCAAGTATGAAGAAGTCTCTGATGTATGACATTTCAAACTCAACGAGCGGATGGTTTATATCTCCACTGGCGCGATATTTTGCAATCACATCACGGGCTTCTTCAAACTGATCTTGCGATATGAGCCAAAGGGGTGACTCTGAAAAGGCCAATGTAAACGGTAGTCAACAATGGAATGACAACCTAAAGCAGAGATGGAAATCTCCATGCTCATGAGCCGGTCATGGCTTGTACCCCGTTTCAACCCAAGCCACGATGATGCTCCCCGTATCAGCGTCGGCATGTTAAAAATAAAAGGTCGTTTCTTGCGTGAATGATACTCACAAAATTGATAATTGTATAGAGCAGTACAGGTCTTTCGATGCGGAGGATACGGAATCTCCGTAATGAGGACTATAGCAGAGACGAACCAAGTCGCAGAGGCGCCGACAAGAAAGCGACCGATATTAAAAGATGTTTCGTTCTGGGCAGCGGTCTGATCAGCGGTACCTGCAATTGACAACAAAATTCTATTATAAAGACTTTTTACACGGCCATAGCGGTCGGAAAACCATGCTTGTAATGGAAGAAAGACTAATAGTTCAAGCGCATACTCGGCTGTGATTGGCCTGCAAAAGTAAGCACTAAATGTCCCTGTCATTTGACGGCTTCGTATTCAGCGTCCTACGACTTCAAATTCAGTTTTTCATCATATATTTATTTTCCTACATTGTAATTACTGAATTTTATCAGCCCTCATTTGTTTCGAAGGCCCTCCTTCTAGCTCAGTGACTCAGGATCATCATTTTACGCTGTTCGTATCTGAGCCTTCGAGCTCTATTTTCCTCAAAAAATGTCAATACAGCCTACTCTGAGGCGTGTCGCGAGAGCAAGTAATGCGCATAATCATACAGTTCACACCGCTTTTGCAAATCCTCATTCTCAAACATTTCAACTACACGATGGCCGCGTGTTAGGGTTTGCCGAGTACGGCAACCCAAATGGCAGGCCATTACTCTATTTTCATGGCTTTCCATCATCACGCATCGAAGCAGAACCTGCAGATGACATGGCTCGACGCTGTGGCATAAGGATTCTAGCGCTAGACAGGCCAGGATTCGGTCTGTCCACGCCCCAGCCAGGCCGTAAGATTGTGGATTGGCCTAATGACGTTCGCGACTTTGCGACAGGCATGGGTCTGGATCGATTTGCGGTCATGGGCCTTTCTGGTGGTGGACCTTTTGCGCTTGCTTGTGCTCATGCATTGCCGAAGGATATGGTTGCTGGTGTTGGCTTGTTTGCGAGTGGAGGACCCTGGGCGGCTGGAACGCATCATATGTCGCTGATGCGGAGGATGATGCGTGCTCTGGCTGTATACTGGCCATATGGGCTTGGATTACTGCTCAATGTGCTGGTTCGTGGATTTCGAGCAGTAGCTACCTCAGGCCCAATCGTGAGGCGAGTTGATGCATGGTTAGAAGCACAAGATAAGAAAAAGAAGGAGAAGGAGCAAGAAAGCGCAGCGTCTATCGAGAATGACACCTCTATTGCAAATCCGAAAAAGACCCCTGCAGAGCGCAGAAAATACTTACTGGACGTTTTGATAAACGAACCATTTGTACAAGGCGCTAGCGCAACTGTCCTGGAAGCCGATTTACTGTCATCTCCAGACTGGGGATTCAAGTTCGAGGACGTCGACTTTGATCCTGTACGGATCTGGCATGGGTCTAAAGATGGAAATTCGCCCATAGCGGCGATAAAGTATCTGGCTCAGAGGCTACCTCATGGTGTTTTGACCGAATATGAGAACGACACGCATTATACGATGTTTTCGCACCTGGAAGAAGCGTTGACAGAGCTTGCAAGGGATTATGATGCCCATGCTTCTGATATATCGTCAACATCTTGAACAGACACGTTTAAGTTGACACCAATGATTTCATATTTGCATTTTTTCCAGAATATCGGTGATATCCCTGTATAATATCTTGTCCTCCACTCAAATTTGAAAATCTCCTCTATCAAATATTTGAATGAATGGCTGTAGACATAATGACTGTGGTGTCAGGTTACGATCAGCTATGACAAAACCACACCTGAACGATATGAAGGCTAAGTGGACTGATTGGAAGAGCCATTTTTGAATGAACACAAACAAAGTGAAGAGTCGCCCGGTCCAAGTAGTAGAACCTGGGGTTTAGGGTTTGTGGTGTTGGGGCCTGAGGCGTTGGCGGGCAATGCCGGGCAACAAACAAACAAACAGAGTCGACTGACTGAAAGAAGAAGGACTTCTTCCTAATATCACCTCTCTTTTATTTTCATCAGGTCTTCATATAAGAAGACTGGCAGACACTTCACCACTTCATTGCTCTCCATCGAACAATCGAACAGGACCAGGAAAAGGAACAGACTTCCATTTTTTCTTCCCTCTGAACGACACCAGACAAGTAATATGCCTTGGGAGCTGCAGGTCTGTCGCTTCTGCGGCAAAGGCTACGGTCACAAAACTGGCTTGCGCAACCATCTGAGTCAGTATGTTGGGAACTGGCGCATTCCAGCCGATGGTGTTCATGACGTGCTGGAAATTCAGAAGATCCTCTACCCTGACGATGACCATAGCGAGTATCAATGTCCATCTCGTCATTGTCGGGAGATTATTGCTACTAGACAAAAGTTCACCCATCATGTCATTGCTTTCTCGCATTGGGGAAGATTCTCTCAAGTCCCACAGAGAGACGTCTTGGGTAGTAACAAGGATACCGACGAGGAGAGTATAGACCTCAGCAATGTTAGCGAATGGGTGCTTCCATTCGATGAGGAAGCGGTTAAGGTCTTTAAACCAGAAGGGTCGTTTCCATTTCTCCGCCTCCCACCAGGTCAGTATGACACTGAATTGTTATGGCTACCCAATCTTGACTCTGTCTAGGCTAACCAAGATACATGAAATGAAAACAGAACTGCGGTTGATGGTATACGATATGGCCTTGTGCTATCCCACAATCCAATTTTCTTCGACGGAGGAAGACTACCCAAGCGTTCGAAAGGGGAAAGTTTACTCTCAGCATAACACAGATCACAACCCATTGGCTCTCTTGATTGCGAGCCGTGGAATTTATGAAGAGGCGCGAGGTGTCTTTTACGGGAAAAATGAGTTTGTGTTTTCTCATATCGATGCTCTCCCAGTTTTTCTCATTGGTATCGGGCAGGAAAACGCGAATCTGCTACGATCTGTGAGATGGTGGGGTGCTGCTGAGCGTCAATATGATAACCAGCTTGACACTATTCGACCTTACATTAGGGGACTAGCGGGACACAATTTAACGGACGATAACCAACTCAATATCTGGAATGACTACCCAACATATTTGGCTTTTTTGAAAGCGATAGGTCGATTGAGTTGTATTGAGCCACTTCCAGAACCGCATCGCTTACTGCTCTGGAATCCAAACGACTCGAGCCGCGCAAATCGAATTCGATATCAGTTGGGAATTCATTTTTCAAATACTATCTTTGACTATAGATATTGGTATGCAGATGCATGGCTTGGAGGGGCCACGTATGAGTTGATCTGCCGCGTGGAAAAGAGTGGTCGATAAAGATACGTATGAAATGGGTCAATAGATTCTGTGTGCATTGCAGTCAGGGATGAGGGATATGTCGTACCTTACATTGTCAAGCCGCGAGAACATTGAAACCGAGAGCGAATGATATGTACCTAGAGAATGATCAGGATAGACGAGTTATGCTAGACTGACATGTAACTATGTTTACAAACCCCCAAAAAGCGACTAATGAACAAACTTTAAAATTCTATTCTAGTCTTTCCCTATTATAACTATTTAGCTACAGATATGGCCATGGAAAAGACGAATATTGAGCTGTGAAGTATTCTAAGTCAAAAAGTTCCTCATCCGTCCATGAAGAACACTTTTCCTAGCTATGATACACAGTCTCATGCCTCTACAAAAAGTAGCCTGCAAACTCTAAAGGATCCAAAATTAGGTTGAAAAACAATAAAGCTATAAAAAAACTGCGAATATAGCTGTGATCGCTCTGCCTCTCACTTTCTCAATTCTCGCCGCTTCCTGATTGGGGGTGAAGTTTTCTACACGCCGCCGCCCCCAGAAGACACCTGAATCATGCACCAGTTATGAAGCAATGCCGATCTCCATTTGAGAAACGACTAGACTGCGCAATTCACTCTCAGCCCTACCGACCTGGCAAATATCAAATGGAAGATTTTTGTCTGCCTCAGTATCCTGGACCTGGACTACAACACGATTGTAATGGACGCTACACATGTGTATATATGGTGCCAATAGCAATTCAACGTTGCTCAATTCGTTCCGGTGCTAGTATCACAGAGAAGAGGTCACTAAGTTCTGTCTAGTCGGATAGTATGATTTCCAGGTGCGGGGTTACACGTTCTCCTAGCTACGATCATCTCCTCTTCGGGCAACGACGCGAATGCAAAACCAACTAGACTCTAACTCTGTTATCTTATAGACCTTCCTTGATAAGCCCGATATTCCGGACTTACGAAAGTGAATTGCTTGTCTATTGGACAACGAGACTGTTATCATGTAACAACATCACAGGTCTCAATGTTGGCATGCTCTATCTACCGAGTGGGAAGATGCACCTAATGACAAGAACTAAGAGTATTCCACGTTGCAGCTCGAGCTCGTTCCAGATTCATGGGGTCTTCGTAGACTTTTGATCCAGCAAATACAAATCATCTAACGTGTCTTTGCTAATCTGCAGATAAGAGTGCTTGTGAGTCCTTCCTCCTTGCGTTGGTCCAATATCACGTATTTCCGGGTGGCTACACAAGAGTGCTATACGCATAACGAAAATTCCTCCCTCACTTACCTAGGATATTTAAAGTTTAAGATCCTAGTAACATAAGAACAGGCCTCGATAACTCAGTAGAACTTTTTGAATTTAGCCTTCGATACACAAGTTCCTTGGATCCTGCAACTCCAACGGAGGGCAAGACAGCGATTGGCCACTAGCACACAAAGAAACATACAGACTAAATAAAGTGGCAATGTAGGCAGGGCTCATGCCAGAGATACCACTTGATCACAAGACATCATGCAAGAAAGCTACCGTTACAACAGTACATTTCCCCGCATTTTGGTATTGCTTATCAGCCCTTCATCCCCTGCATAAATACGAGTTCTTAAGGGAGATCAACAATTAACCATTAAAAAAAAAATAAATAAAAAAAAAATAACTTCAGTGCCACACGAGAAGCTCCGAGTCTGACATGATGGATATCGATATTGCCCCAAGCGCCTTCGAATCTGATCCCGAAAAGAAGATCCAGCCACATGTTGCAGCTGAGCGCATCGGTGACCAAATCCCACATGAATTACTCGAAGAGCTGGCGCCTAATGGCGAGAGTGAATACATTCTCGGAATCATCAACTCAATGGGCGAAGAGGAAGCCATAGCGATTGTTCACGAATCACTGGAATTCCATGCCGATGACTGGAATTTCCCTTCTGATATGCGTGAGCGAATGAAGCGGTTGTTGGAGGGACCCAAATTGTATGGCGAGTTTTACGATCGCGATTTGAGAATAGATGCCACTATGATGCGATATTCGTCGCCGTATCCTGGTGTCCGTGCTGTTGCCGAACTGGTCGATAATCCGGACGTTCCCATTGAGACTATACGAGCCTACTTTTTGGGTATTGGGTGGGCGGTCATTGGGACTTTTATGTCGACCTTCTTCAACAGCAGATTCCCTTCAATTGGTTAGTGCATATTGCTTACTATTGTGTAACTCATGCTAATTTATGTCTAAGGACTGTCCGGTTCTGTAATCCAGATCCTGTTATTTCCCTGCGCAAAATTTCTTGAAGCCGTTCTTCCCGACTGGGGAATCACAGTTATGGGCATTCGTCACTCTTTGAATCCCGGGCCTTGGACTTTCAAAGAGCAAATGTTTGCTACCATCACTTTCAATATTGCCATCTATACCACAAACAGTTATTCAATGATTCTGGTCCAAAAATCACCTCTATTCTACAACGAAAAGTTCATCACGTTTGGATATCAATTGATGTTGACATTGTTCGTGCAACTCATGGGCATGGGCTTTGCCGGCTACCTGAGGCGATTTAGTGTATACCCTGTCAAGGCATTGTGGCCTACTATCCTGCCAACTATTGCTATGAATCGCGCCCTGACCAAAACAGAACCCAGGGAGAACGTTTACGGGTGGACAATATCTCGTTACCGGTTCTTCTATATTGTGACGCTTTGCATGATAGTATATTACTGGTTACCAGGGTATCTGTTTACTGCGTTGTCCACCTTCAACTGGATGACGTGGATCTCGCCTCAAAACGTCACGTTAGCAATCATCACGGGGTCAGTTACTGGACTCGGGCTTTTCAATCCCATCACCACCTTTGATTGGAACGTGGCAACCTCATCTTATGCCGCACTCGCCCAGCCGTTCTTCAGTACCATCACAATGTATTGTGGTAGCGTGTTGGGCGCTTTTATCATTCTCGGCATGTACTATTCCAACATGTACAACACTGCATACTTACCCATCAACTCATCATCGACATTCGCAAACGACGCAACAAGCTACAATGTGTCCAAGGTGGTGATTGATAACAATTTCAATGAGACTCTATATCAGGAATATTCTCCTCCGTTTTACACCGCTGGATACATCTTGACCGTTGGCGCCAATTTCGCCTTTTACCCGGTGTACTTTTTGTACATCATGGGAAACCAGTGGAAGACCATGAAGAAAGCGTATATTGATTTCTACCAGGGTTTACGACATGGTAAGGGGAATTACGAAGGAGCCATGGACGTGCACAGTCGGCTCATGTCGAAATACAAAGAAGTCCCGGATTGGTGGTTCATTCTAATCCTCCTAGCGGCCCTCGTCGTTTCCATCGTTTTCTTACAGATCTATCCCCTCAGCACTCCTGTCTGGGTGACTTTTTTGATGATCGGTATCAACCTCGTCTTTGCGGTACCCCTATCATTTCTGTCCGCTACCACCGGCACGAATCTGGGGCTAGGATCTCTAATCCAGATTATCACTGGCTTCGTCTTACCGCAGAATCCTAACGCGTTCATGTTCGCGCAGTCCCTCGGCTCCTGGGCTCTGGCCGGATACGGTGACAATTACGTGCAAGACCAAAAGATGGCCCATTACTGCAAAATTGCGCCCCGAGCTGTATTTCGAAGCCAGATTGGCACGATTATCATCACCTGTTTTGTGGCTGTGGGCACGCAGGATTTTGTGCTGAACAATGTTCCGGGTCTATGTACGTCGGACCAGCCTAGTCATTTTACGTGTGCCGGGGATGGATATCCTTTGTACACGAGTAGTTTGATGGTAAGCCCCTGAACCATGATAGCGATACGAATGCTCATATGTTTGCTACAGTGGGGTTTGCTCGGATCAGATCGCATGTTCAACTCTCTCTATCCACTATTCAAGTGGTGCTTCCTCATCGGATTTGCCATCGCCCTCATCTTCCTCGTCGGCCAGGGCTACGGCCCTCGATATCTCCCGCGACTACGTGAAAGCATTCGCACAAAAGTCCGACCCAACACCTTTGAGACCTTGGACCGAACGCTCTTCCGTTTCATTGCGTCCTTGCTGTGGTTGAACCCCATTCTTATCATCCAAGGAATCCAGCACTGGGCCCCATCGAACTTATCCTACAAAACACCAGGTCTAATCCTATCTTTTGTATTCATGTATTGGCTCCCACGACATCGACTAGCATGGTGGGAAAAGTACAACTATGTATTATCGGCTGCACTAACCGCTGGAGTGGCTATATGTGCGCTGGTTATGTTTTTTGCGGTCGAATATCATCCAAAGACGTTGTCGTGGTGGGGGAACAAGGTGAGTTCCGCAGGCGTGGATGGTAGCGGTACTGGAATTTTCCCTATTCCTGCTAGGGGGTATTTCGGGCCGGACAAGGGGACTTTTCCATGAGGTTCAGAATCTCATGGTGATTAATACCTAGATATAGTATTAGTGGAGAAGGATATGTAGTCATCCAGTAGACACTGATGCTAGTCTCCAGACCCTTTCACTAGTTGTACTGATGAGGGTTTCATCCGGGTCTATTTAGTTTACGATGTAATCAAATTTTTGGTTATTTTGGGAACATAGTTTTGTCCAAGAGACGTTAGTAAAAGAATAAATATTCCTGTAACGGTGCAAGAATTCGATATTATATTCGCAAATTATTGCGTGTGATGCTCAAAGCAATGAAGACATACTAACAGAACGGATGGCTTCATGCTCGAGTATTATGCTCAAACATAATGGATATATAATGGACTATATGATGCTATATCTATAACGAAACGCTATCAGTAGGAAAATATGCAAGAACGCCTTGAAAAAGTGAAGCAAAAAAGAAGAAAACTATGTGTACTTCTTCTTGATGATATCCGCTGCTTTTTCGGCCACTGCGTATATAGTGCTTGTCAAGTGGCCACATACTTGGAACGGAATGATAGAAGCATCAACCACGCGAACATTTTCCGTACCGTACACCTTGAGATCAGCGTTAACAACACCGCCTTTCTCTCGAGGAAGCATGCTGGCAGTACCGACAGGGTGGAAGTTCGATCGATCTGAAGGGGATGGGTGTCAGAATTATCAAGCATTCAGTATTGCGGACCGGTAGGAAGAATGGAATCCTTACATGTTGACTTGACCCAGCTAGTGTATTTGGACTCTGGTCCATCTTCAGGGACAAGGTCCAGCCCCGGTGCAAGCTCATCTCCTACAAGGCTGTTTAGGGGGCTTGTATTGAATATCTTGCGGATGTACCGAGCTACATCAGCCTGACTGTTGAGATCCTGCTCGAACATGAAATAATTCGGGTTGATAGAAGGCGGATGAGATGGATCCGAAGAGGCCATGTGGACACTACCTCTTGAGAACGGCAGCAGAGACCAGTATTCAGTCGTGAACGAATGTGCGATGGGAAGGAACACAATCTCTGCATATGGAACTCGATGTTTGAAGACCAAATCATACTGAATTTGGAATGCGGCCTGAACATTAGCCTCCAATACTGCTCCATTTGAGAAATTGGATACAGCCTTTGCGTAGTCAGAGAGACTCGAGTTAACAGCAGAAGCAACCGAAGAAACATTGTCGCCGTAAATATGGTCGACTGATGGGAGAGCCGAAAAAGTTGGTGAACCGAGCCAGAATTCCCTACCGTCGTAAGACAAGCCATTATTTGTCTGATCCTGCAAGTTTTCACCCACAGTAGAAATGTTGACCTTAACGGGGATGTCGAACTTTTTGAGTATATCAGGGTTTCCAATGCCAGATAGCTCTAGGAGTAAAGGGGACTTCAGAGAACCAGCTGAGAGTATCACCTCCTTCGAAGCGTGGATCACTTCTGTTCCATTGTCACCGGTAACCTCGACTCCAATCGCAATGGCCTCACTCTGAGACCCTTCAGCCCAAATGATCTTGTTTGCCTGGGTGTTTGAGATAATCTTGAGATTTGACCTATCTTCATAAGGCCAATAGTAAGCTCTCGCTGCGTCATAGCGCATATTGGCGTCTCTGTCAATGGTGTTTGGATGGGATGTGAGTCCGACCATGCTGCCATCATTAACGTCACGGTCATAAGGGACACCGACTTCCGACAGAGTTTCGTCGAGTACAGGAAGCATGCTAGAATTGGTCATCACTTTCGGCCAGCCCACCTTGACTGGGCCATTCTCCCCATGATATCGTATAAAGTAATCGGCGCCATGATCAATCTGGTCCAGAGTGGGCACCTGAAAATCCTCTGATTTCTTATAATATGGAAGGAGGTTGTTCCAATTCCAGCCCGTGTTTCCCACCGATTCCCAAGCATCAATCTGTACAGATTGCGCTCGAGTATATGTCATACCTATGAGATAAATCAACAAAAGCACCATATTGCTTACGAAACGGGGACCTTGCCATTGATAGTGCTCGTTCCTCCAATGGCCTTCCCAGCGCGCATAATCTGCTTTGAACCTCCGGCATAAGTTTGGTTCTCAGTCTCATAAGCCCAGTCGATTTCGGTTCCGAAGCTCAACCCATAACCGGTGGTTTGAGTAACATTGTGGTTATTGAAAACCGAGTCTCCCGTCTCGATTACGGCAACGGTGATATCTGGTATTTCCGAGAGTCTGTTCGCAACAGCAAGTCCTGCGGTACCCCCGCCAACAATAATAAAGTCATATTGCGGCAATGAGTCAGCATTCTGGCAGTTAACAATATGCAGCAACAACGTACCCAAGGCAAGTCTTGAAAGTGACATCTTTATCCAGATAGATGGTGAAAGATTAGTTGAAGGACACCAGGAAAGAGTTGTCAATTGACAGCTTCAGTAAACACCTACTTCCAACCAGGAAAAATATATATAAAGAATCTTATTATTTATGCCCAGCCTGGTGTTCCGGCCAACAGCGAATGGAATGTTGACTCCACTTTGGAATTGTAGACATTCTTGAAGCATTCCACAGGTCCCGGGCTACCACTAAATACCTAACAATTATGCCACGAACATGTCAAACGTCACCTTAAGGCTTATCCAGGATTACACTGATAACCAATGACGTCGACTTTCCTTGGGAAATTGGGAAAACCAGTCTTTCATCTCCTTTTGATCATGCTCAGGAAGAACGCGAGATTTATGTACACCGGGTAACGCCAGTTGGATTTTCAATCTCGCTGGTATTCACCACATATCGATTTTCTCTAATACCAGTAACTTCTAAATAGCATTCAGCCAAATGACACGATCCTAATTATACTCATCTATATATTTCATTGTTGCCCACGTGAAATTCGCGGGTCTTTGGGTCCACCAAGCGGTAGCTCTCTGGCATGGAAATGAATGGGTAGTAATGCCCAGAAAAACGAATTCCTCTCAAAAGAGTATAAGAGACAAATAAAGGTGGCAGATTTATCAGTATACACTTTCAATCTCCTCCGGCAAAGGCTATGTCGTTACTCATACATATATAACATGGAGACTTGCTTCAAATGTTGTGTCCCCCAGCTCCCAAGTCCACACATCCAGTAACCGTTCCCGGCACTTTTTCCAGAAATATGACCCGGTTATCCTCCGTCTCTCCTTCATCTCTCGTGTATGATGAGCATGACCTTCCAATACATCTATCGATAGATTGGCCAAGTCATAGTCAGTCGCTTGTCCCTGGGCTTCCAATTCCATGTACCCCGGCCCAAAAATTCGCAGCTCATCCTCCCAATCTGCTAAATCCAGGATATTATTGAGGAGTCTTCGCTGCATGGCAGAATCCACGATTGTAAGAAGCGGATCATCCATATTCAACCTGTCTCATATTAGTTTACTATTCTTAATCACGATAAAGGAAGAGGAGAACTTCACGGTCTATTGAAGCCTGGGTTCGCAAATGGGTAATCATTGTAATCAAGTAATCGACGTAAAGGCCGTCCAGTGCCAGTATGGTGGCTCATGATCTCAGCAAAGCATCAGGGTAGGACGCTGGCATGCAGCGATATCTCTCCATTAGCTTTGAATGTCATTACTTCCACCCGGCCCTGCTTCAAACTATCCTGATTGATTATTGTATAACCAGTCCGTGATTGTTCCTTGGGGAATATCACTGTACCCGATTGAGTCATAGAAACAGCGTTAAAATCAGCCGAATGTAGATAAATGTTTGATATCAAATTATCTGGGGAAGATAAATCACTAATATTTAATACTGCAGATGAGTCGGCCATAATAAAGGGAATATGAGGGGACTCCCAATCTCCGTATGCTGTCAACGGATGGGCGACATTCTTATCATTATGGATATATAAGAGGATAAGGAGCTTAATAAGCCGTGTGTAGTTATCTGGATGATGCTCTTTATCCACTGGAACCAAGCAAAAGAAGCGTTTGAGAAATTGGCCAGAGAGAAGATGCGAGGGGTAATCCAGTGGTGAGTCTCGTAAAGGAGCACGCTCTTGATAAGACTAGAAGAACATAGTTAAATCAGTTTCATGTTGTGATAATTTTGATAAATCTTACGTCTCGTAGGGCCTGATCTGAATTGGCCCACCTCTCAATGAGTGCCCGTCGCTGTTGAATCTCTTCAATAGGATCGGTTTTTGGAACCCACTCCTCCTGCGCAAAAATCATTTATGTTAGGGGATATTATCCTACTAATCAATTAGAATTAAGCAGAATGACATACCTGCACAAATTGGCACCATCCTTTTGATTGTTCCCTCATCTCATCATAAGAAATATCGCCATTTTGGTGAATCCGCACGGTGGATGGAATGCCACCCGGCCATAGTTTTTCGGGCGTGAGGATCGGTTGCAGCATGCTTTTGGAGTCGAGTTGTCTGTATCTAGACTATATAAACAATCTAGCCAGTGTTCAAGAAAGTAGGCTTACTGACGATTCAAGTAGGTTAACTGCAGTTAAGTAGTTAAGTTAGGAGACATTTTGATTACCAAGTGGGTTTTCACAAACCACTACCGTCTAATATTTAGGGGTATTGACTATGGATTTTAGTTATATTCATTATTACACGTCCCTTATTAGTCCGCGCGCTCACAGTGACATAGGTCAGAGTCGACGAGAATCAAGCAGTACGGACACGGATTTTCTTAGTACGTAAGCCTGTATCCTATGGTATTACAACAACTCTTGCTATAATATGACTTACCTATCGTCTATTCTGCTGGTACGTTTAATGCGTTGCTGACTTTCGTTGTTTGAGAAAATCCTAACAGCAACCTAGGCAAACGTATAGCCCAATCCTATCCTGACCAGACAGTAGTTACTACAACAAGACATCTAGATACAATTCAAATATCATTAGTTGTTGGGGACAAAATAGGGGGCTGGAAATAAAGAAGTTATTTATAGAAGAGAAGGTTTAGCCGAATACCACATCAACAATTCTTGTCAGGCGAGATGTCCCTAATTAAAGCGGCAACAGAACGAAATACAAGATCAGCAAATCAACAAGCAAAAACACATGAAAACAAAAACATACAACAGCTGGGATTCGCTGGTCAACTACTAACCAGCCGGCGTGTGGCTTAAGTACGGCTGAGCGGACGGGAAGCCCTGTTTTCCACACCCTATGGTCGTATGTGCTAGGTGTAGAAAAGAAGAGGTTGATATAGGAAAGTTGAGAAAGTACTGACACCTTTTCGGGATACATAAAGCCCTAATTGGTGACACAATAGATGGAAGTAGACATCGTTTCAGTGAATTAACAATGTTAAACTCGAATTTGCATCTCATTATGGAATCGTATGCCATTCCCCTCGAAAATTCTTCAAACAAGGCCCAAAAGCCATCCGGAAGTCTAGTCCTTGTCATCCCTGATCACTCTGTTTCACAAGGACAAAGCCATCATCTGAGCCTAGCCACAGTCTCTTAATCCTACCGGAAGAAGCAAGTTTTCGTTTTTGGTGGTGATGGGATCTGGAAAACTCTCTCAATTCTCAAAACAGCAACGCATAAGGAGACTCAGTACGGAGTAGCTCTTCCCAGTTTACCTCTTCTCCATGATGGCTCCGTTTCCAGAAACTGTCTAAAAGTTTATGAACGCTCGAGATGTTCCCTAGGGCTAGCGTACTTTCCATCAGAGTGAGTCGGTACTCTATCTGGAGACGTTCTGTTTTCTTCGTAGCGCAAAGCCCGGCCATGAAAAGAGGCAGGAGAAGCTGGTTGTTTGCCGGGGAGGTTGGAGAGATGTTGGACACGCAATTCAAGATATTTTGTACGGCGGCATTTTTTCGGGATTGGTGATAATCAGAGTCATTTTGGTGATGGGATATAACATGATAGAGTCTGATAAGTACCGCCCAGCGGATCGCCTCTGCTGCCATTGTCGCCTCACGAACGAGGCGAGTTTTAGCAAGGTAGATGGGTTGATCTGGTACCACATTCCAGTCTCGAAGGGCTTTTTCGAGCCGCTGAGCCTCTGTATTAAATTGAGAATCACTCATTTGCAGGCGTTCTAACGGCAGTTGACTGACTAGGTTCAACGTATCATAAAGGCTGCCCGCGAGCCCAAACAGTGGATGAACAGGAGAATTGGTTCCATATTGGGTGGTGCAAGTCATAGATGGTGAATGATCCAATGTTGCAGGAACGTTGTTACAGGTAATCCTAGTTTTGCAGCAGATGAACTCGTAAAGGTCGATGAGAAAAGTAGAAGGGGTTACGGTGATAGTCCCATTCCGATAAAGGTCAATGAGTGCCTTAGCCCCATACAGGTGAAGAATCCATTTTGGGGAGTTCCCTTGGCAGATCTATTCATGTCATTCATCAGTTTATGACATTAGTCAAATTTGGGGGGGGAAAAAGGTTGCTTACACCAAAAAGGCAAAGAAGGAGAGATGTCGTCAAAGCATAAGGCACCCTATACTTAGATTCCAAGTCTATCTTCAGATGATTCAAAGCCAAGCTATGTTGGCGTATCAAAGTATCCTCAAACATCGGGTAAAGTTTGCACAGATGACAAGCCGTCAAGGCGAGCATTGCGTGCCTAACTGACTTAACATCTAACGCCATTGGCAGAATCTCGGTCAAATAGGGATTTTCTGCGTCATCATCAACAACGACCAATGCTCGGGAGACGTATTGCGCATAATGGAGTAATAGGTATCTCTCCGTAGGCTCGAATTCCGTTAACCTTTCCGGGAGTATGGCTATGGTTTCTGGTAGAAGGGTTTGGGTAAATCGGGACATTTGGGATTGTTCTTCGCCTTGGCTTTTTTGCTGCGATTTCAAAGCATTGCTTTCGTTTAAATGATCGCGACGGGTTAGTCCCGCTAAATTCCCCTCTGGCATACGAGCGATTTGAACAAGATAATCGTTTACGTTGAGTTGCTCAAATGTTTCACCATCATCTGTAGGACTTTCAATAGGCCCAATATCCGACTCTTCCTGTAGGAACTCATCAGACGACCTTATACGATCCGATGAAAACAATTGTCTCGGTCGACAACCAGTCAAGCCTAGTCGACTACACTCGTCGCACATAGGAAATTCTTCACCACACTTTTTCCGTCTACGCAATGTCAATTTTTGGTCAAAATAGCTAGTACAGCAAAAGACCATTACCTCAATAAACAGTTAACGCAGCCTTGACTGGATCGTTTATGACGAACTCTCCGTGACGGCTCGACTCGAGAGCGCTGGACTGTCGGAACGCGCTGAAATTTGATTGCGTAGGAACATGTTAATGATAAACCTGTATGATTTAATTTTCCTGAAGTCATGTGAAGTCCTAATGTTCCTTTGAGAGGACTTACGTTGGCACCGACGACATGGGTTGCCTCGGTTACATGCAGTCTTGATAGAGGCGCATTTAAAGCAAGCTGTTCGTTGACGCGGCATTGAGAAGAAAAAATGACACTAAAAGTCTAGTTAATGGACTTCTAATCGTGGGGAAACCGAGGTCAATGTCTATCTTTCTTATTCTGAGGAATGTTGGTAGAGATAAGGTAACAACAATGTGGGGCCTTGATCACGGGTCTTCCAAATTTAGTAGATTTAGGGCTAAGGCTATTTGTTTGTCACGCCTTGTATAGGGCTTTATATCGGCCACGAAGGATGTATCAGGGCCGAAGGCATCCCGGATAACTTTTCATCGGAGATCCTCCAGCATTTGTGTGATTTTATGATAACATGGGCTTCATACTCAGCGATTCCTGTTAAAGATTCACATGAATCTATTTATTGAGAAAAGTTCCGTCAATGTTGCTCAAAAAGAATCATTAAACAGAGTTTACCTTGCATTGATCTCAAGCAATTCAGGATCATGTTCATCGTTGGCTTTTTGATCCTCTGTTCTGCTCCAAACTCGTCATCAGCGGGCATTTTGTTGCAGTGAAACAGGATACGGATTGTCTTGGAGATGTCTCATGGCATTGAAGAGATTTTTCTTAATATTGACATATTCTTCGAATATTTTGTTCTCTGATTCTTCAGAACCTACAAGGGATTATTCTGGTCAAAGTCGGCTAATGCACCGAATATGTGATGAGGTATCAAAAACAAAACCAAAATATAGAATGGAGTTATAGCTTGAACCATAATTCCACTAGTCATATTCGTATACGACGGCATTCATCTTATCCTAGCCCCAGTCGGTTTCGACAACCTTAGCCGAGTGCCACCCTCTCATTTTCCTTCTGCTCCGATAACTGCAAATTCTTGTGTTATCGCTTATGAAAAAAGCTCATTGTGAATACGTGTAATGGCAACTTCGAAATTCTCGTCGGTAAAATTGTCCTGCCTAGTTTAGACTTGTATAGCAAAGAAGCTAAAGGCAAGTAGAAAGAAAGCTTATAACAAACAAGTTACTCTATGCTCAAGTCAAAGGTCTTTTTTTGGCTATGTTTACATTCCATAGCATTTAACTAGCAGATAACAAGTGCACCAAAGATACGGGAATCAACATCAGTATGGTTTTACACCAGCAAGTTTCAACAGTCCATCCGTCATTTCTGGCAACTCCAGAGGTACTTCACGGTCTCTAGGATCGGGGTTGCCATTGGGGAAAATAGCTCCACGTTTACGGACCACCACATTATCGTGTGGCCAGTGAGTAGTGCCGCCGTAGTTGCGAAACACCTCTGCCTTCCGCTTCAAGGTCTCCGTTGACGCCAGCTTGGACGGAGAGTATGCTGCATATATGACTGTGCGAATGGTATTGCTCGCTTCAGTTGGTTCCGCACCATAATGTATAGTACGACTGTCCCATACAATCAAATCGCCGATATCTGCACAGACTTTGTGGGGCTGTATTCCTTTCTCCTTCTGAAACCACGCAAGTTGCTCTGCGTGGAACCAAAATAGATCTTTAGACTCCCATGTAGAAGGATCAGTTTGTGTGGTGAGGAATTCCTCGAGATAGTTGTGCGAGCCAGGGTATACTACCAGGCCTCCGTCATCTGGCCCTGCTGTGGATAGATTGATGATTCCTTGAACACAATGCATACCGCGACGTAGGGGACTTTGATCGACATGCTCCCAGGATCCCTTCCGTGGCACATCTTTTCGGTTGGGAAAGGTGATGTTCAAGCTATCGAAACTAACGATGAGCTCATCCGTACCCCAAATTCTAGCAAAAGCGTCGACAACCCCCGGCTCCAGCCGCGCATCCCACATGAACTTTTCATGAGCAACAGCATATGCACTGAAAGTATTGATGGTGCTTTGCACCGGTAGATTCTCTGCGAGCCAAGTTTCCGGATTCTCAAAGTCGAGCTTGTCATTTCCAAATGATTTGAGCCATTGACGAGCCTTTTGTTGGTATTCAAGAGCCCTTTCTCGGGGTATCGCTCCTTTAATCACAGCAAAACCATTATCGCGAAGATCTGCTCGCCAATCATTAATTGGTGCGTTGGATCTATTTCAGTGTCGTGTCAGCAGAGGAAGTCAGATCCAAATGCATGCGGATTGAATTATTACAGGGTGTTGAAAGGTTCCGGAAGAATCTTCGGAGCTGGCGATGCCAAATCAGCTGTGGCAGCAGGGGCCATGGAGAATCCTAGATACTAGGTGTATGTTCTTGTAACAAACTTTTCAAGCAATATCAAAGCACTAGATCAAGAGAGCTAAAGGTGAGAATCTGTTGGAGAACTCACCTGCTATTGAGCCCAAGCCAGATTTATATTTGATGCTGGGTCGCCCCTACGACTGAGGCATTTACTCACATACTTGGCAGACGGATTTTCTGGAGGCTTCACCATTTTCGGTCAGTCATTTCTGGGAATGCCGTCGTAAATGATCCATCCCAACCAAACCTTATCGAAGTTGAGCACTTCCCCGCAATTTTAGCTCTTGCGGGTGAATGCCGTCGTAAAGCAATAGATAAGACGCCACCAATGAGAAATATTCGAAACCTTATTATTTTGTTCTTAACTGATAACGAGGGGTATCAGGACAAAGTGCATGCTAATACATCGGGTATGTACTTTGTGCTGCGATAGTCAAAGGTAAGCCCTTTAGTATAAATTATCCCTAAGACGGCTGTGTGATGTCGAACATTTAACTGAGATCACATAGTCGCAATACCTGGCCACTTTCAGAAAGAAAACTCGTACTTTAACGAATTCTCCATTCACGAACTTGATGGCGATTTCCACGAATTCCGGAACAATGGCAGATGAGCACACGGAAAATCCCAAAGATACGAAGCATGTGCTCGACGTCACAGTTGCGGATGCAGACGATGCCCTCCGTGCTCTAGCAGATGTTCAGTACCAATCGCAAGAGCCTCTCTCGCCGCAGGAAGACCGTCGCATACTTCGTAAGGTGGACATGTGGTAAGTTTCTATCTGCTCTTGACATTAATAACCGTATCAACTAAGACTGGATAGCCTCATCCCACTTTTGTTCTTCTCGTATCTTTTCCAGTACTTGGATAAACAAGCAATGGGATACAGTGCCATTCTGGGTCTGAGAACTGACCTGCATCTGGTGGGACAAGATTACTCTTGGGCAAGTAGTATTTTCTACTTTGGCTATCTCGTTGCGTCTGGCATTGTTGCTGTTTTGATTGTGCGGTTACCCGTAGGCCGTTTCATGTCTGGCTCCATGTAAGTTTTGGTAATCCTCAACGTCGGATTCATGTCCATAGAACCTTGAGCATATTCTAATCTGATTGTCGGTTAAGGGGTATATGGGCAGCGATTCTCATGCTTACCGTCTTGTCAAAGAATGCATCAGGCTTGTGGGCTGCCCGTTTCTTTCTAGGATTTGTTGAATCTGCTATTGCCCCTTCAATGAGTCTCATCATTTCCATGTGGTATAAGAGGTCGGAGCAGCCTATTCGTCAAGCGGCTTGGTTTATGGGCAATGTGATCGGTGGTCTCGTTGGTGGTCTTTTGGGGTATGGAATCGGGCATGTTAACTCAATTGCACCTTGGAAAGTGAGAAATTTCTGCTTGTGTGGTACATGATATTTGATAGCTTGGTACTAATATTTTTAGGCACTGTTCCTATTATTTGGTGGTATCACTTTTGCCTGGTCGATTCTCTGTTGGTTCCTAATTCCCGATAGCCCTTTGACAGCCTGGTTCTTGTCACAAGAGGACCAGGTAAAGGCTATTGAGCGGGTTCAAGACAATCTGACAGGAATCAAAAACCATCAAGTAAAACGATATCAGGTTGTTGAGGCTCTTCTCGATCCCAAAACGTGGCTACTTGCACTATTTCAGTTCACGCAGAATGTTCCAAACGGCGGTGCAGGTTCCGTAAGAATTCTTTTGTTTGCCATGGTAGATATTATTCTAACTCGGTCTATTAGTTTGCTTCAATCGTAGTTGAGGGTTTCGGTTTCAGTCGCCTCAACACACTTCTTGTTCAAATGATCGCTACTGCCTACCAAATTTTCTTTATCGTTCTATCGGCCCTCGGCAGCACCTACCTCAAGAACACTCGAACTTACTGGATGGCTCTTAATACTATTGTTGCTCTAATCGGCACTGTTATGATTCGGGAAATCCCTGCCGAACAAATCTGGGCTCGCTTTGCTGGGTACTGTTTCATTATCGTCTTTTCAGCTAATTTCCCGCTCACAATGGTGATGATAACAAGCAATACAGCTGGGTTCACTAAGAAAGCCACAACAACAGCAGTGGTCAGTACCACTGTTCTAACCCTTCCAAACATTAACTAATCATAAGAAATGTACGAATAGGTATTCGTCGCGTATTGTGCTGGAAACATCGTCGGTCCTCAGATAATGTTTGCAGACGAAGCACCGAGTTACCCGTCTGGATTCGCTGGCATGCTTGTATGCTTTGCCTGTTCAGCTGTTATCACTATGATACTCCGGTTATATCTAATATGGGAGAATAAGAAACGGGATGCCCTTGGCGAAGCACCGGATGTTGTTGAGATTGATGGATTTCCTGTGCCAGCATCTTCGTTGAACCTGATTGACAAGACGGATTGGGAGATACATCAGTTCCGCTATGTGTATTAGCTAGGATATTGACAACATATCCATGCATCTTTCCGGGAGCTGCAGGCCATATTGATTAATGAGCTTTCGTTAAGCTACAAATGCCTCATATATATTCAAGCTATCTATCTTGAAGAGATCTCTGGTTTCTGAGAGAAAGTGGATAGTTGTCATGAATAGTACATGCTAGAACATTTTCTAGAGCGCCCATTCCCCGTGTCCTCCTTTTCCTAACATTTTAGTAGGTTAATGGCATCATTTATTCCTGATATGCCCGAGTAGCATCTTCATCCGTCATATCAAAACTATACTTACTGAATAATATGAGATGAGTGAAAGTACTAGATAAGATGAGCTAATCAACATTGAGTACATTTTTTTAATATAAGTAGCGATTAATAAGACCTAGCATGGCCTGGCTGCCAGGGACACCGTGTATGCCTACCCCTGAAATACTCTATACCAATAAAACGGAGGGCAGTGAACTGTTGATTTGTCTTTTCATTGGATCACATTTCAATCAAGTCTTCATCCGACCATGCTATGCAATGCGGATCATGCGACTCACTATCTTTGAGAGGAATACGACACTTAGCGAGCGGCCAAAGGAACTGTATTTGGGACGGTTCGGAGCTGAGCGAGATCGCAGTTGGAGGAAGGGAAGACGATGCTTGGAGATTGGCAGTAAAATCTTCCACAGCCTACTTAGATAATGTACGGTATAGCCCGTTACTACGGAGTAGAACGTACGGAGTGTCTTATTAAGGCAATTATTGCATGATTATATAACATGTTAATGGCCCGGCAATGGCTGTGTACAATTCATAGCAGGATGTTGACAGAGATCATCAAGCTGAGATTCAGACACTGAGGTCCGTGTCTACGCCATGCGGCTCTGCTTGAATGTGCTGTCGGTCAGATGATCCAATCACCCAACGGTTTCTACATAGTACTCATAGTAATACTCTGTACTCGGTAAAAAGCGCCAAGGTTATAAGCAGGGCATGTTACATGGGGGCAATGCTAGGCATGTTGGCTGACTCCCATTGGCGGGCCTGACGCTTGGAAAGCGCGGCGCCAACGCTCAGCCGTCCGATATCATTGGCTCACTCGGAGCCAAGCACGTGTTTAAGTGGGACAAATTCAGCCTCAAGGACGCTAGCCTTTCTGGGCGGCCTTAATTAAGCTTTTGCTGAAGAATCAGGCCCCCTAGTTTGATGGTTTGTGTTGGTTGAGTTGTGCACATGAGTCAAACAACTGGGCGTAGAAATTAGGATGGAGCGAGTTTTTCGGGGACAAATTTAGACTTTCCCCTCGCAAAGATTTAAATTCTGACAATTCCCCCTTCTACGATTCCCGTTTCTTTTGTTTTTCGATCACAGCCCTTCTTGCAAGTACAGCACAACACCACTCAATTTCTCCCCCAACTAATACTTTCGTTTCGAACAACCACAATATGCGTACCTCCACCTTCGCGGCCTCTGCCCTCGGCATGGCTACTCTTGCCGCCGCCCAAAACGGCCTGATTTCAAATTCAGCCTCGTCTCGAGTCACCACCCCATCTCCCACAACATTCGCATCCGGCACCACCACCATCAAAATCTTTGAAGCCGCAGAAACCTCTGTCGACGCCGCCGGTCTCGCCGGAAGTATCATCAATATCAACGCCATCGCCACCACAATCCTCGTCGAATGTATCGACACTGACATCTGCGACAGCCAGGCCTCCATGACCATGGTCGCCGGCCCTTCAACCTGGGGTTATGCTTATACCACTGTAGAAGAATTATACGGCATCCCCGTACACATCACTGCCCAGTTGGCTTGCAACGTCGTCTCTTCTACCCAGGCAGCTACCTGCACTGCCACCGAGATCGTAAGCGCTTCCGCCGACGGCCAAAAAACCGATACCACCAGCACCTCTACGACCACCTATGCCAGCGCCCAGATTTTCTATGATGATTTGCTCATCACCGCTGGTGTTGAGAAGTTGACCAGCCCCCAGGCTACCGAGACCCCCAAGGGTGCTGCCGCCCCGGTCCCCACGGGTAACCTTGGATTGAGCGTTGGTGGAATGGCTGCCGCCGCTGTTGTTGCTGCTGCTGGATTGTTGTAAACGCTGCATGTCTGCTACGCTGTACTACATTATTATTAATTCTGTAATACCATGATGGAACCAAAAATACCACTAATGTTTGCGCTTTCTGTTTGCAAGATTATAGTTCGTAAAGTCGTATCCTCAGTGTATGTAGTTCGAATGTCTCCGGATATGTGCACCATTCGTTCCGCGTATCGGTGCACGCGAAACAGTTCCAGGCAAAATACCTACAACGGCATGGCAGTCCCCGAGAGACGATTTGGTGTAGACTTTGACAATAACGAAGCATTTTTCTGCAACACAAGATATCGCTGCGCAGGAATAATTGAGCAACCATCTCTCAAGGATACTGGGTTCCCGCTAGAACTGAAACAGTACTTCCATCATTCTCAGGTCATTCTCTTCCAACCATCTGCACAGATCTATGCTAAAAAAAAGATGGAAATCCATGCTTTAATTGGTCAGAACCGATATAGCCAGAAATAGCTAGCCACGTGAAAGAAACCTCGCTATATCCAATCAGAAGGTATACAATGCAAGGAATGCCCCACTTGTAACAAATAACCCCTGTAACAGATTCTGGGTCTGGTCGGTGATTGGTTCAAACCTCTTGAATTTACTTTGGCGTTTCGGGGAGCTAAGCACACGATAAAGGGCTGATCCTCGTCTTATCTGACTCCTCTCCCAGACGTTATCTTGTTTCCTGTGAAGGACAGGGGAGTACAAAATCGACGATAAACAAGAATGTTTGTCGTGTTGTTCATAAATAATTTTGAGAGAGTGGAGAGGTTCGAATCGAGATAGTGAAGAATACTGCACAACGATCAACACAGGCCGTCTAGCCGTGGATGTGAAGTCTGTCACAAGAGGCGCATCAAGATGAACACAACCCCTGAATTGTCATCTCGTTTGTAGTTCTGACTTACTGATTGCATACATGCAGTGCGACCTTCGACACCTGGCAAGCACACGGTGCACAAGATCTGGAAGACGTTGTCCTAGGTATCGCAACCGGATGGCATCCGCTTCCAAGTTCATACAGCATCACAATACGGAGATCGCATTACCAAGATACCGCAACTATCCTCTTCGACCTCATTTTTATCACGACCCAAAACTGAGCATCGAGATAGCGTAGATCATGTCCGATGGCTCAATGGCGCAACACGATCAACTTCTCTAAAATGGAATTACGCATTACTACCTTCTCTTCAATTAGCAAATAGTCGAATTAGTGTTGGCTCTACTGCCGTCTTACCAATGCGTCTCGGCATTTGGCCACTCTAAATTTTCCTATCTAGATGCGGAAAGTGAAGAGCTCGTGTTTCTATCGTATAATCAATGTAGATCGCTGTCTACAAAAGACAACAGAAATGAGTATATTCTCCTTTCAATATTAGAGAATCCTAGGTTTCATCGTCATAAACTCCTGCAGGGTTAGTGAGAATTAAACACTCGTATGCCGTGTCCTCCGTGTCACTCCGTTCCTCTTTCGGCAAGACTGAGGCCGTGGATTGACACCCGTGCCTCTTTTGGTGATTGCTTTCCTTTTGTTTCCTGTAAAGTTTATTCTACTTAGATTAAACTTATGCACCCCATATCTAGATCTACATCCTTTCCGGGGGTCCCAACGCTTGCGGGGAAATGTCGGAGTAATACCTGTATTCAACAAACGAATCAAGATATGGATCACCATAATGTAACCACATGTGGACAAAACGTGTTCAGTGGATATATCCCCTTAGATTTGGTATCATTTCATGACTAGCCAAGGCTTTTGGGAAATCATATATATTGGTGGTGTAGATTCATACTTGTTTCGGTACGGATTGTACTCTTTCGACAAATATGGAAGCCGTCTGCAGGAGGCCAGTGTTGAGTGTTAAGGTTAGCAGTATAAATTGATGGACAATCCTCTCCAGAGACGAAACTATCTATCACATTTCCAACACAGCCTTCAACAATCTAGCCGCTTTCTATCATCATGAAGTCATTTCTGACACTTCTTCCTGCACTCTTTCTTACTGCTTTGGGTTCTCCCATCTCAGAGGACTTCAGCAAGAGAAATGATCGTGGCTCTGAGACCGTGTCTGGCATCGGCGCTCATAAGACTGCCATCTTGAATGCCGGTGGAAATACACTCGATCTTGCTATCGCCATGCTCGAAATGTAAGACCAAAATCGGCCCATCTCTTTCGTTCATCTGGCTTTTATTGACCTGACTAGCAAAACCATGAACACCGCCGACTACCCCTACGGCGACGGAAAGACTTATGATGCCGCCAATTTTGGTCTGTTCAAGCAGAACTGGGGCATGCTTCGCGTATGCGCCTCTCGCTACGGATTCCAAGGGCAGTCTCAGGATGACTGGAACAATGGCGCGAGGTTGAAGTAAGTCGTAATCCTATAATCGTGCGTCGCTTTACGAGTCTCTATCTAACGAGATTCTCTGAATAGCTCGGATGTCTATGCCGATGTCGCATCTCGTTGGGATTGTCAGGGATACTATGGCTATGACAAGTGGTTTGGCGGTCATCGTGATGGAGCAACTGGCCTGGCTAATCCTTATACCCAGGATATCACCAGTGAGTTACCCGTTGACTCTTCTTTTTTTTTGTCTCAAGGAACATATAAGCTAACAGAGAATAAAGATTACAAAAATGCTGTCGAGTGGATCCAGCAACAGATTGATAGTAACGACCAGTACAAATCGGATGATACCCGGTTTTGGGTCGATATTCCTCCTATTTGAGTAAGATACTGCAAGAATTATTACATGTAGCACGTGATGACATCTCTGAAACTTGTGACATGTATTTTGCATGTATTTGATTTCAAGTTGACGAAGCCGATACAAATCTATTGCCCCCCAGAACGAGTAGCACCAAATTATTGCAGCAATCGATGCCAAGCCTTATAAGCCCAACGTACATAGTATAACGATCTTTTGGTGCTCAGAATGCACTAGCCAGGCTACAAAATAAGCCTCTGATGTTAAAAATAGTAGGATTCCGGGGCAGGAAGTGATCAACGAAATGTGGCTGTACAGGGTCCAAGATGTGAGTTGTCTGACAACGACAGTTTACGATCCAATAACAGGCAAAGTATTTTGCCACTTTATCCGCCGGTGGAATCGGATGATGGTACATTTAAGAATTAACGTAGTAACGAATAGATAGTTCATCGACACTGACAATCGTCAAGGCAGGAAAATTGGTGCCTTGGGACTTATCTTATCCAGACGTCGCAAAGACTAACCAGATCGGGACTTTCTGGAACCAGATTGCCAAGTCCGTTAAGTCACATTCGGATTAGGGAAAGTGTACGCACGTCGCAAACGTCACTGCGTCTCACTCAGCCTCCCGCAGTTGAGCCAATCACGTGTCTTTATTTCGCCCGCCGGCTAGAACACCGAGTCAATCGCTGTTATCTTACCGTATCCATGGTATTCGGCCTGTACGGTCCATATATCGGCCTAGCAGACAGGCACAGACTGCGTACAACAGCGTATTCCTTACAGCCACCCTGCCCTGCCCGTCTTCATCCCAATTTTCCACCACGTTTGCGTCCGGAACTCGTGTTTGACCTTGCTTTTTTCTTTGAATTGTGTTGCCTTGTTTGTGTTTTTGTTATTATTTCCCATTTCTGTCACTTTCCTCTTCTCTGTTTAGTTCTGTATATAGGACACTTAACCCTCTCAGAGGTTCTTAGTTTGAGTTGGGGCCCCCAGAAAGTTGGAACCTTAAACCTCGTGACATTGCGCCACCTTCGACGACTTACGACGACGACGGCCTATCTACGTTTACGAGTGTCTACGAATTTTTGCCCTATTCACGAAATTTGATTCCATCGATCGGTCGATTGGTTCGAAGTATTATCGCGCTATGAATCACAGGTGAATTATCGCATCACCGGATCGCAAGAGGAGATTGAAAAGGAGGTGTCTGGATCGATACCGTCTGGAGGATAGGGGTTACGAACATGAGCGACAAGAAAGATCAATTCGCTCAACCGTCGGAGCAGGGGACGGCTCAAGGTGATGAAATTACTACACCAGTCGCCGCGAATACACCCGAAAACAGACCACAACCAGCTCAATCGCATATCGGACGGGCAGCGACCTTGCCAACACGAAGACCAGTCGACACAGCGAATACAACACATGCGCCAGGGAAAGTACGATTTTCGTCGGAGATTGAGCGAGCGCCGCGCACGAACTATGAGCCGCCTACAGGACAAGACGTAAATGCGCAGAGCTCGCCGACTGCGGGGAAACTCAAGATCAATACAGATGTGGAGTTATTTCCCAGCGTTGTGTCGCCTAACCAAGAAGTTGTCAGCAGCGACAATTCCATTACCAATACGCCTCTTTCCCCTCCTTCGCCGCAGTCACGAACTCGAGACCGAGGTTATTCGCTACGACGATCGCTTTTTGCGAGGAATATACAAACTCAGTCGGCGACTGAGACGACTGGTCCGAGCATTGAACTAGAAACGAGGCAATCGTCCGCAGCGAAGAGATCCGATACACAGGAGAAGGTTTCTGTTGTTGCAGAAGAGGAAATTCAGCCGGTGGCAACGTTGGAAACTGACTCGCAGGACGAGGACTTGATCTCGTTGGCAGATTCAGACTCGACTCCGCTCAAGTATAATCTATCCCTGAGTGCGGGTCAGAATTGGTTAAAGTCCACGGCATGCAAGACAAAGGCATACGAACGGCTGAATCAGTGGAATGAGACAATCAAAGAGAAGGTCTTTCGGATCAAACCTTTACCGCCTACCAAAGATGGTCGTCACATTGAGCTGAATGTCAGTGATGTAGATTCGCTTATCGACGAGCGATCCGGCAGTTCATACGTTGACAATTCGATTCGTTCGAGTCGATATAGCTTATGGAGCTTCTTCCCGAAACAGCTCATTGCGCAATTCTCGAAGGTCGCCAACTTTTATTTTTTGGTAGTTTCCATATTACAGATGATACCTGGTCTCAGTACGACGGGTACTTATACGACAATCGTTCCGCTGTTGATTTTTGTTGGTATCTCCATGGGCAAAGAAGGCTTCGACGATTTGCGCCGGTATCGTTTGGACAAAGAAGAGAACAACCGCTATGTGCATGTTCTGAAGCCGGGTGGAAGACAGCATGAATTGAAAAAGTCGAAATCAAAAGACGATTCTCCCGCTCTTGAAGATGACGGAGACTGGGTGGCAGTGAAATGGCACGATGTCCGAGTCGGAGATGTCATCCAACTCAAACGCAATCAACCGGTGCCTGCAGACGCTGTACTTTTGCATGCGGACGGGCAAAACGGTGTTGCTCATATTGAGACTATGGCGCTGGATGGGGAAACAAATCTCAAGACGAAACAACCTTGCCAGCCTGTGGCTAAAGCTTGCCAAACAACCGAGGACATTATCGAACGAAAGAATTTTATTCGTTTCACTGTGGAAGATCCCAATATCGATCTCTACAAGTTTGATGGCAACGTTACCGTCAACGAAGAGAAGCTACCTATCACCAACAATGAGATTTTATATCGAGGAAGCATTTTAAGAAACACCGAGCGAATTTATGCAATGGTCATATACACCGGACAAGAATGCAAGATTCGAATGAATGCGAACACGAATCCTCGCATCAAGAAGCCCGCTTTGCAGACCGTGGTCAATTATGTCGTTGTACTTATCGTCGCCATAGTTCTTCTCATGGCAATGATTTGCACCATTGCATACAGTGTATGGAACGAACAATATCAAGAGAACGCCTGGTATCTTAGCAATGCCATCGTTGCTGTCGGTCCAGTTTTTACTTCTTATCTAATCATGTTCAACACGATGATCCCCATATCTCTTTACGTGAGTATGGAGATTGTCAAAGTTGGCCAGATGCTCTTGCTCAACGACGTGGACATGTACGATGAAGAATCAGATACCCCTCTTGAAGCCAGAACGTCAACCATCAACGAGGAACTCGGTCAGGTCAGCTACATTTTTTCTGATAAGACTGGTACATTGACAAACAACACTATGAAGTTTCGTATGATGACTGTTGCTGGTACTGCTTGGCTTCATGACTCGGATCTGCGCGAGGAAGCAGCACGGGAAGCCGACAAGCAGTGGTTGATCCACAAAAAGCGAAGCGTCAAAGGAAAGAAGGCAATGAGCCGAAAGTCGGGCGTGGATAGCATACGTGCGTCTTCAATGCGGATGTCTATGGCGTCTGCGCATGAGCTACCATCTCGTTCTCGATCCATCATGCATGGCAAGCCGTTCTATGGGGGCAATACCAAGCAAATGCTGGAGTACATTCAGCGGAAACCTCACACCTTATTCGCTCGCAAGGCCAAGTTTTTTATCCTATCTTTGGCACTGTGCCATACCTGTATACCCGAAAAAGACGAAGCTGGCAATATCACTTATCAAGCTGCATCTCCTGATGAGATGGCTTTGGTCACAGCAGCACAGCAATTAGGGTATTTGGTCATGGATCGACAACAAAATACCTTGACTGTGCGGACTTATCCTAGTGGTCTCGATGATGATCCATGGGACGAAATATACGAGGTTTTGGACGTGATTGAATTCACTAGTGCCCGTAAGAGAATGTCCGTGATTGTTCGCATGCCAGACCAACGTCTTTGCCTCTTCTGTAAAGGTGCGGATTCTACCATCACGAAATTGCTTCGACAGGCGTCTCTAGCGCAGCAAAAGGCGACACAAATCGAGCGACGAGCCAGCCAAAGGAAAGCGGAGGAAGCCTTTGAGGCCATCCGACGCCACAGCGAACATCAAAGTCCTGTGAACATACAAAGGCCAAGTCTGTCGACAAGGCGGTCGAGCGGTCTGTCTGGGAAACGCGACACTCTACGCCGTAGCATCGACATTTGGCTAAAGGACCGGGAAACTGATGGTGGTATCTTGAAGAGAGACACCGGCAGTGAACACTACAGTCCTCGACCATCGACCCAGCTAAACCGAAATTCGATGGCCTCATCTGACGGCCGGCCTTCTTTCCAAGAGGATGATGACGGACATCTGGTTGAGGAGAGCCTCGTGGTTGATGATCATGCTGTGTTTGAGCGATGCTTCCAGCATTTGAACGATTTCGCTACAGAAGGTTTACGTACTTTGATGTATGCTTCTCGATTTCTGGACGAGTCTACTTACACAGAATGGAAACAAGCATACCAGGAGGCTAGTACCAGTTTGGTGGACCGACAGGAAAAGATTGAAAAGGTGGGCGAGCAGATTGAAACTCAACTTGAACTCGTCGGTGCCACGGCTATCGAAGACAAACTTCAAAAGGGTGTACCGGAGGCAATTGACAAGTTGCGACGCGCAAACATCAAGCTTTGGATGCTTACTGGTGACAAACGTGAAACGGCTATCAACATTGGTCACTCGTGTCGACTTGTCAAGGAGTACTCCGAGGTTATTGTGCTGGATCAAGAGGCTGGCGACGTCGAAAAGACCATTGTGAGCACCATCAACAGCATCCGCAAGGGTCGCTTGGCGCATTCAGTGCTGGTAGTCGACGGTCAGACGTTGTCTATGATTGAGAGTGATGAAATTTTGATGCCTCGATTCTTCAAGCTAGCAATCATGGTCGATTCCGTCATTTGCTGCCGCGCTAGCCCCAAGCAAAAAGCGTTTTTGGTTAAAGCCGTACGAAAGCATGTGTCGAACGCGATCACTTTGGCTATTGGTGACGGCGCGAATGATATTGCCATGATCCAAGAAGCGCATGTCGGTATCGGTATCACCGGCAAGGAAGGTCTTCAGGCCGCCAGAATATCGGATTACTCCATCGCACAATTCCGGTTCTTACTCAAGCTCCTGCTCGTCCACGGTCGATGGAATTACATCCGGATCTGCAAATACACTCTTGGCACATTCTGGAAGGAGATGCTCTTCTACCTCAGTCAATCCTTGTATCAGCGATACAACGGCTACACAGGTACCAGTCTATACGAAAACTGGTCCTTGAGTATGTTCAACACGTTATTCACTTCTCTCGCCGTAATTTTCCTCGGAATCCTAGAAAAAGACCTCTCTGCAGCAACTTTACTCGCCGTGCCAGAGCTCTACACAAAGGGCCAACGAAACCAAGGCTTCAATATCCGTATCTACCTCGGCTGGGCCCTGATGGCCGTCATCGAAGCCTTCATCGTGTTCTACACCATGTACGGTCTGTTTGGTTCATCACTCATGGGCATCGACAACACCATCTTCCCCATGGGCCTCCTCTGCTTTACGGCATGCATAACAATCATAAACCTCAAACTCCAATTCCTCGAAATCCACTACAAAACGATCGTCTCTGCCATCGTCCTTTTTGTATCTATCGGCGGCTGGKTCCTATGGAACATGATCCTTTCCTCGCGCTACAACGACGCTAAATCGGGCAAATCCATCTACGACGTGCGCGGCAATTTTCTGACTCGTATTGGCCGCAGTCTCAATTTCTGGGCTGTCTTGTTTCTGATCGTTGCTGCGGTGCTGTTGTTCGAGACCACAGTGACGCTGTTCAGACAGTACTTCTTCCCGACGGATGTCGACGTCTTTCAGCACCTTGAGAAGGATCCTGCTATCAAGCGCCGCTTTGAAGAAGCGGCTGCCTCAGAATTGCAGCAGGGCTGGGACCGCGATAGTTCAAATATCAGATCGAGTCTGGAAATGGCGCGTGAAGAAGAGGAGCAGTTGGCGCGCGAACAGGAGGTGCATCAGTATCTCAACCGTCCTCGAGACGAGGACCAGCACAACCATAACAACCTCGAACATCGTGATGAACTAGATGAAGAAGCAGCAATCCCGCGCTCCGGCTCCGTGTCTACGCGCCGGAAATCGCATGACATCCATGACTTGTTCAGTAAGGGCTTTGGGACGATCAAGAGGGGGCATTTGTGATTTTGCTCCCCCCTCTTCTTCTTTTTGTTTAAAATTATCGGACATTTAACGCATATGTATCTATTGTCTTTTTCGGTTTTGCTCGAATACCCTTGTTTGTCTTTTATTCGCTTGTTTGCTACGCAGGAGGAGGTATACATAGGTTATAGTGATACATGTACATATTCCAATACGGATATACATTAGAGAGGTTCATGATTTGGTTCAAAGTAGACTGCAATTCCGCGGCTAATAATACTTCCTATCGAAATGATGATGAAAAGGATGTGAATTTTGGATAAAATTATTCCATACACTATACACCGCCGTCGTCAAGAAAGCTCCCCTGTCACGCAGACTCTTCGTGTATCCCTCGCTTCATCCTTCCGACAAACTTCAAACCTCAAATCATAAGGGTTGGGGCTAGTAACGACGAGGAGGTGGCGCGCCATAGCCCTGCTGAGGGGGATATCCAGGCTGGCCGTATGGTCCACCCTGACCGGGTGGAGGAGAATTGTATCCACCGTACTGCTGCTGGGGAGGCTGGCCGTATCCTTGTTGCTGGGGAGGTTGGCCATAGCCCTGTTGTGGGGGTTGGCCATAGCCTTGCTGACCACCGTATCCTTGTTGTGGTGGATAGCCACCCTGGGGCTGTCCGTACTGTGGTGCTTGGCCATAACCGCCGCCGTAGCCTCCTGCTGGAGGGGGAGGAGCCTGTGATTTTTCGTCTTTGGTATCATAAGAAGCGTCAATTGCTCCAAGCATGACTTTTGCGACCTAAAGAAGCTTAGAAAAATATGAGTGATGGTTAAAAAAAATTGCTTACCCAGAGTTCTCGTGTAAGGTTAACAGGAGGATTGGCTCGTGACATTTCATCTTGTTCAACCTCAAAGCCTAATCCACGTCAGTGATGATGTCTTCCCATATTGGACGCGGCGAACTTACTAGAGGTGCAATCAATCAGATTACCCAGGCTGGGGTCTTCATCAAGCTTAGACAAGAACTGGCGTGCGTGCAAATCCGTGCCGACCTGGGCAAATTGGAAACTCACACCACCACGACCATAGCGAGTGCGAGCCAGTTCGTCCGTAACAGAGCGAATAGCATCTTTGACGGCACCGTGAGGTTCACCAGCGGGCTGTCCGTCGGTGATTGTGATGACAAGTACGGGCTTCTCAAGGCGACCAGATCGGGCAGGACCAGCAACCAAGGGATCTAAGACCTTATTCTTCAAGCTGGTACCCATGGGGGTAAGGCCGGAGAAACGAACACGCGATACAAGAGCTTCGGCATCTTCGCGGCTGCGAATATTGTCGCCACGCTCGTCAGAGTTCATGAACCGAATAGTTACTCCGTCTTGGTCGAATTTGGACGCGGCGGTAGAGATGAGGCCGAGAATCTGTCGCAACTGAGTTAATCGACTACCCTCCTCCTCGAATTGAATGGAACCGCTGTCATCGACATAAATGACAGTATCGAACAAGGCCAGTTTGATGACATCCATTGCGACTTCCTGGCCTACATTCCACTCGCGCATGAGCTGCTGAATACGGTCGGGCGCATTATGGAGGCCTTGCAGGACACGCTCGAGTTTATCGGGGGGGTAGAAAGACTGTATATTTCGCTCTTGAATTGTTGCAACCAAGAGATTTCTGTATGTTGATAATTCTTGGGGTGTAGCCTGACGACCAGGACCGGAGGGAGCAGGAGCGCCGCCATAGCCTCCACCGTAAGGTGCGCCGCCTTGTGGAGGTGCGCCATACTGTCCTGGAGGCCCCGGTGGAGGAGGCCCTTGTTGATGTCCTTGTTGTCCCTGGGGAGGATAAGCACCGTAGGAGCCCTATCAGTCGCAACGTCAGTTTCACTTCATTTAAACAATAATTATAAATAAAAACAACGCAATTTTTTCAGAATAAGCTAATCAAAGATGGATACACGAACGCCGGCATTGTAATTAGGTGCATAAGATTGCTGTCCCGGGGGGGGTTGACCATATGACTGCTGCGGGGCACCACCACCGTACTGCGGCAGAGGCGCAGGAGGTCTGGAATAACCAACCTGCTGTGGCTGCTGGCTATATTGTGACTGCTGAGGAGGGTATCCTGGGTTGGTAGAAGGAGGAGGCTGTTGCTGACCAGCAGGAGCAGGACTGTACGCGGGATAGGGTGGTTGCGGGGATGACGTAGGGTAGGGCGCCTGCTGGCCTGGGTATTGGCCGTACGGGCGCGACATGGTGGGGACAAAGATGAAGAAAAAACAATGAAGATGAAAAATGAATGAGAAAGAAAACAATGAAACACAATCAAGTAGTGTAGGAGAAGAGGTTGATAGAAGAAAAGAGGGGGAAGTTGAGAAAAGCTTGATGGCGAACGACGAGGATGCCTGAGTAATACGAGGAAAATAAATATGGACCTACCGGGCCGCCTGGGGTCTGCTGCTGCTGCTGTTGTCCTTGTGGCTGAGGGGGTTGATATGCCTGATACTGCTGTTGGCCGGGCTGTATATAATTAGGCATACATTCTTTGTACCATGGATAAACGTATTTCTGAGATCGAGATAAGGTACTTACATACTGAGATCCGCCTTGTGCTGGGGGAGGGCCGCCCGTGTAGCCAGCTGGAGGAGCTCCAGAGTAGACCCCTCCGCCGCTTTGACTGGCTGCGATTTTGGATGCGAACTGTTGCATACGATGTTAGTATTCTGTTGCTTGGTATTCGTGCCCGGAGTATATTTGAGAAACAGGGTCCTCACCCCCATGGTTATTCAATCGATCAGTCAATGGTGTCAAGGATGTTGATAGATAGAAAAATGAATAGAAAGAAAGAAGAGTGAGTCGCCAGTGACAGGAGAAATAGGTAGTCTTGGCTCTCAGCTGAATAAACGATTAATGGTTGGTGATTATGATTGTTGTTTACCTGACGTGACAGCAACATACAACAAAGATGTGGCTGAGCTGGAGGGGTTGAGGGGTAATTTACTCATTGATTACAGAGCTAGTACGGATTAGGCGATAGTACGTGGCTGTGCCTTTGACTTGACATCATTTCGGGAAGGTACCTGGTAAGTACCTACTATATTCTTTTTGTACATGTATGGCTCATCGCTTGCCCTTCTTCTTCTTTGCTGAGGTAGTACCCGGGGTCGCTACCTTCGGTTTCTCTGCTTCAGCCTTTTCATTTACAATACCTCCCTGCGTCCGGTCCGCCGCTCTTTGTTTACCTTTCCGGCCCTTGGGTCGGTACGAAGACCGATCACGGAGTGGTAGCCATCTCTCTGGATCCGGCTTCTTGCTTGGGTCATACTCCTTCGGCAGCCTCGACTTGCGAATCCGTTTCTTAGCTCGGGCGTTTTGTTGAGAGTTTGTAGCCGCTCTCTTGCGGGCGCCTGCAATGACTGCCGCGTTGGCTGCAAGACTGGCCTGTGATTGAGGCACGCCGGCACTTTCCAATGCCGCAATGTCAATATCCGAGACTAGATCTTGAGATCTGGGCAGGATGCTGAGTTCTTTTTGGACTTTCTGTATATCACTAGTAGCGTATGATGCGACATAACCAGCGAGGGCAAACTTGTCTGCTGCATTCTTTTGTCGGAGAGTGCTGAATAGTTCCTGAGAAATGGCTAGATCGGCAGGGKCTGAAGAATGGAGGAGGGAAGCAGCCGCTGCCCGCAAAAGTGAGGACGGTTGTTGCTCACTGCTCTGTTGACGCCAGAAGGATGCTGCTTTGGCAAGCTCGGTCTTGATATGAGACTTGCGACCTTCACGTTGGTATAGCGCAATCAACACGCTGACCAATCCGGGATTGTAGCGCACAGCTTGGTCGCTTTCGGAGATTGATTCTTCGAGTGCCCTTAGACTGCTTTCCAGGACATTGATGGCGGATGTAGTGTTGCCAACCCCAGCATATAATTGAACGATAGTAAGAACCAGGCCAATATCCTTGGGCCGTCGGTCGAGCAATGAACGTAGATCCTGAATAGCCTTCTGGTTGGTTTCACCGCGCACTCGAGCTGCGGCATTGTAGATCGACAAGAGATTATCATGTGGTTCGGTGGAAGGATAAGGTCGCTGTGCTAGTGCCTTGGTGGTCGACCGGATAACTCCATCATATTTCTGGACTCGTAGGTCCAGAGCATGCGAATTTGCTTCGAGAGTATCCAACTGAAACTTGAAAAAAGTATCGCTACCTTCGGGCTCTGAAGCATCGTGGAATTGTTTGTGGAGTGTATAAGGATTGATGTTCAGATGCTGTGTGATGAGGATGTTATTCTGGGCAATTCTCGTGGTCGACTTTTCTGCAATGCTAGACGATATGAGCGAAAGCAATGAAGTAAAATATGAGTTACTTACTTATCGAGGGAAATCTCACTCGCAATTTCTTCGGCCTCTTCTACTTTGCCCTGGCTGATAAGCGCGTAAAGTTGCTGGATCGTAATGGGCAGCAGTTCGCTCTCTTGCTCCTCAGGCGACAGATCCTCGGATGTCTTGCATAGTTCTATACAAGTCAGTGTACCGCCATCTATTTCTTTTTCATACTGGCATACCCTTTGCTCGCTTCAACAAAATCTCGCCCTGCTTGAGATCGCCCCTCGCCAGACTTGCACAAGCCGCATTGTAGGATGTCTCGAACGACTCTAGATCCTCTCGAGTAGGTTTTCTGGCTCGGGTCAAATCGCCTTCTCTTTGCCATAATCGTTGTGCGTCGATGGCCCAGGTGTTAATGCGCAAATCGTTGTACTCATTTCCTAGTTCTTCCTCCTCTCCTAGCAAGCTTTCGTATAACGTCGCTGCGTTGGCGAAATTCTCGGCCCGGTAGCTCTAAAGGAATAAATACGTTAGTGTTGGCCCTCTCAAAGAGTAATTATTCCAAGTAAGAAACTTACAGCTTGAGCCTCCACATGCTTCGCACCACGTCCCCCAGCAGATTTCGCAGCAACCTCCGCGGCCTCCCTTAACCTTCCATATTTATACAGTGCATACGCATATTCCACCGCTGCTTTCTCTTTTAACGCATCTCCAGCATCTTCAAACACACGCAATGCGTCCTCGTATCGATCGAGTTTGATCAATGCCACAACCTTGGAATGTTGAGCCTGGACGTCGGTCTTGGATTTTTTCAGGACTTCATTGCTGGCTTTGAGAACTTCATCGTGGTCTTCGATTGTGGAGCTCTGCAGGAGGGTGCGTAGGGACTGGACTGTGGCGGCCATCTTGAGCTCGTCGTTTTGTGGATGTAATTCGGAGAAATTGTGTTGAGCGCGGGGTGGTCGCTATCACGATCGGTCAACGGTAGTAAGACGACGATCAATTTATTCCATTGTAACTGCTGTAGTTATCGTCGAGCTAATCTGAATCACAGGTAACAAATTTGTTGATCGTGATTTCAAGATCTAAGCAAGCAGAGCAAAAGGACGTCCATTCTTCCCAAACGGTCTTGCTTGTGCGGAACCACGTCGGGAGTCCTGCACTGATGGTCTGTATCCCTCTCCGTATACTAAATGTTCCTGCTTTGGTGCCTTGATGCCTGCCGCATTTCAGATCTCTTTACAAACCTATCAACCTAAAACCCTCTGCAGAACTCATGTCTTGTCCATGTTCAACCACTCCTCGTTACCATATCAATCAATAACCTCAAATCTAACACTTCGAAATGTCGAAATGACGCAGAGCATGCGAACGGCCCGGTCCCGGCCCGATTCAGGGCATCAAAGTTGTGGATCTACCAATACACTCTCTTTCATTGGCTCCAAGCGGATAAATATGCCCGAGTCATGTAGAACGCAGCCGAGGGGCAATGCCGCGATAGGCAATTGTTGGATAGGCTTTCCTACTCTTCTCTTATGATTTGATATGGTTTGTTATGATAGCGGGGCTCAGGGTATGGGTGATGGATACTCCTACGTAAAGAGGGCAGGTATAAAATCTCTTTCGAATGGATCTCCATCCTGGTTTCGGTTTTTCTTATTGCATAGAATTATTGTCGTAATTGAGAAAAGCCTGCACATACATACATTCATACATTCATACATACATACATCATGTCGACTGCCGCAAGTTGCTGTACTCGTACCCCCATCGGGACGGCTCAAAAGGTCCCTGTAGTAAAGATTGCCAACCTCGATACCTGTAAGTAGCATTTCTCCCTTGCCGGATGAGATCCGAATCACTCACTTCCGAGGGACAAAAAAATTCAGACGTCGCCGGCAACACATCCTCCAAAACTGGCATCGTCGTGATCTACGACATCTTTGGCTTCTACCCTCAAACTCTCCAGGGAGCAGACCTGCTTGCCGCACAAACCGGTGCAGTGACATTTGTTCCGGACGTACTGGAGAATGAATATGCTCTCCAAGCATGGTTTCCACCTGACAATGAGGAAAAGAGGAACAACCTTACGACCTTCTTCAAGGAGACTGCTGCACCGCCTGTGGTTTTGCCCAAGGTGAATGCTTGGATAGCGGAGGCGAAGKCTAAGTATCCCAGTGTTGAGAAATGGGGGATTTTAGGATTGTGCTGGGGTGGAAAGGTGAGTGCATCATTTGAACTCGAGGACGAACGATAGATTTCTTACGTTGCGAATTAGATTGCCATCCTCAGTTCTACGGAAGGAACCGAATTTGTCGTCTCCGGCCAAGTTCATCCCGGGTGAGTTCCATGCATTAAACACTTGAGGCATTTTGATCTGATAGTTTCAAGATTGTACGACGGAGCGGACGCAAAAAACGCAGTCATTCCTCATGTCGTGCTCGCCTCGAAAGAGGAATCTACAGACGTAAACGCCGACTACAAAGCAGTCTTCGATAAGAGCACCCTCGGTTCTTATATCGATGTTTATCCTACCATGCACCACGGCTGGATGGGCGCGCGGTCCAATCTTGATGATCCTGAGAATAAGAAGGAGTTTGACCGGGGGTGAGTATTATCTTTGCCTAAGTGAAATGTTCAAAGAATCGCTGACAATATGGCTACAGATACAAGGAGATTGGTGACTTTTTTGCCAAGTACTTGTAGGTATTTGCTCAAGTTACCCCTTGAAAATAGATTTAGCTGTTACTCGATTTGAGTCAGCAATAAAATCGATTTCTCAACTAGAAGACAACCTCTAGTAGAAGGCAGCATCCAGATCTCTTCCTGATACCCCACGTACACGTATCAACCGTAATTCTACTGTCATCCTTCCTGATACGTCCGAATAGATTTCTTCAATGAAGGGTAATTTCCACCCTTCAGCCTTCTCGAAAACTCTGGCTTGATATGATCACACAGAAGCTCAACGACACTACTTCGACTATCCAAGGCGTTGTCTCCTCTGATTATTCTGTCCAGTTTTGTGCACAGATATCGCCAATCAATTTGCTCTTAATTGTCGGCAAGTTCATTTATCGCCACAAGATCCAATGAAGCACGATGACGCCAATACCTTTCTTCAATGACGATTGAAAATGCTATCTCTGACTTCATGATTTCCACAATTGTAAGGATGTCCTGAAGGCACCATTTCCTGCGCTTATCATGCTGTCAAGAGCCTGATCGAATAGACAGCTCTCCTTAAATGAGGGTCTACGTAGAAATCCATACCTTCTTATTACTGCTACTGAGGATGTGAGAACCGTAGGCCAAGCATAAAAAACCGCTCACGTCCTGAATACACCTGATATACTTTGTAGTTTTTCCACACATCAACATATTTGAGATCGTAATTTCTCATATCTCTCTGTCCCGACTCCTGACAGGGACAGAACAAATCTTGCCCGATGCTCAGATTGAAGGTCAACGCAGCGGGTCTAATTGCCCTTGCTATTTTGACAGTTGCTAGTCCGTTAGCTGTTCGTGCTGCTCGCCGCAATGGTGTCTCCCGTTCCCACAATCGGATCATTTCCAAGGACGGTCAGACCAAGCCTAGCTCAGTGAGCTACAACTATGCTGGCGCTTTCCTTACTTCCTCTGACTTCACTGAAGTCTCTGGCACCTTTATTGTGCCTACTCCTCACATCCTGGGCAACGGTGATGACGGCACCTAATACCGTGCGACCGTCTGAGTTGGATATGATGACGACAGCTGCCGAAGATCCCTCTTCCAGACGGGCGTTGATTTCTGCGTCCAAAGCGACACCTCAGATACGATGCCTGGTATGAAAGGATTCCGGCTAGTCCCATTGATTTCAATAGCAACCGCTTCTATGCCGGTGACTCCGTTCTCTGTGCGTTGTTGCTATCAGTACCATCAGTGGTGTTGCAACGATTACCAACAACTCCAGTAGTTAACGCGTCAGTCATACATTCACTTTACGCTAAACCACCAGTACACTCTGTGAAACCGATGCTGAATGGATCGTTGAGGGCTTCACTATTGTTTCTTATGACGGATCCGAGGCTTTGGCTCCATTTGCCATCTTCGGCAGTGCTACTTTCACAGACGCTCATGCTACCCGGGAAGACGGCCAGGTTGATGTTGCTGGCGCCACCACCTTTACTCTCCTGACGAAAATAACAGCGCCTTGACAAGGTCCATCGCCTCCGGCAGCACAATTTTTATTACTTACATTGAGCTTTAAATCTATTAAATAGCATTAAAGCGAAGGGAATAGTGAAATATAACAAGGATACGATGTATAAATGCCGATACCCAACAGTCGGCATTGTACGCTCAATTTACTTAGGCGATAGCTATAGAACTGTGAGAGGGTGCTCGGGCGTAGGGACAAGAGTTCCAGGAGGAAGGGTAGAGATTAAGGACACTCCTTCACCATGTACCTACATGTAGCTTCCCGAGGTCATTTTACGGTCTTGAACGCCCAGGTGAACTTTGCTAACTTGAGTATACGTTCTTCTCTCGAACAGGATAATTAGTTCGCCTTTTAAGACTTAGTTTTTAAAGAGCCTTTAGTACTCAAATATATTCTTTTTCCGTTGATATAATTATTCTAGTCCTCTTCTATTTCAAGTCAGACACGTCTGGTACCGTCTTTGACCTGCTGGCGAATCAATCCGAGCAGATACACTGAATCCGTGTAACGACTGGTCTCTGCCGGACTACTATCAGATTCAGTACAATGAGCATGTCTCATCTCAATCGCATCAGGCATCGCTATACTAGAGTCCACGTTTGAGCCTGCATGTTCTTCACAGCATGCAATTTCATTGGTACCTCCCGTTTGCTGCACAATAGCGTTCTGTGAACTTGTTTCTGTAGTGATCCATACATTGCCCAAGAACATCACCAAAATTGTCGCCAAAGCGGTAATGGGAACTATAGAAATGAATGCGAACATAATCGCTGTCGAAGCCTGGCGCCTGATCGTGTCCTGTTGATCATTAGGGAGAGATGATATCACATTGATCGAATCCAGCCCTTGAGAAGTAGGGCTACCGTAACCGTTGGCTCCCGAAGTGCCCGTGGAATTTCCAGCAATCTCATTTTGGAAAACGGAGTCCATCATGGCCAGAGCTATAGTTCCTCCAAATGGAAGAGAGAATCGCATTAAGCTGTAGGCTGAAGCTAGGTGGTCGTTGAACATGCCAGCCACATGCAGATTGCTGGGCATGAAGACCGCACCGGTGCCAGCACCAGTCAGCGCCATAGTGATTGCAACTAGTTTCTCGTCACGAAATTTGACCGCAGCGGCGAGGACTGCAATGCCCACGGTCTGAAAGATAGTCCCGAGGCACAAAGCCCAGAAAGTCTGACGCGGCCAGTGATTGCAGCACCTGATAGCTGCGTATACTCCGATACCAAGTCCCGGGATATAATATAGCAATTTCGTTCCAGCTTCGCTTGCTGTATAAGCCTTCACAAGCGTGAAAAATATACCAACGAAATAAAAAATGGAGTAAAACGTCGCGCCAGCACCCACGGCAACGAAACAAATGATAAGTATGTCTTTTTTATGAAGAAGAGCCGCTGGAATCATAGGAATAGTTCGTGGGAACCATCGCGAGAGGAGGCGGCCGGGTTCAAGAAGGTATTCATATAAACAGAAAAGTAGGATAAGGATTCCTCCAACAACAAGGGACGAGATCACTGCTGCTGAATCCCATGGAAAGGTTGCACCTCCCCATGTTGTGCCCATAATTAACAAACAAACCCCAGTGACGAACATGAATATGCCGCCATAGTCGAGCGTGGAGAGCCCTTCAATGATAGCTGCGGTGGGGGTCTGGCCACTGGGCGGATGGTAGACGGATAGCTTTCCAGGCTTCAGTTGACCACGTATTAGAAAAATGGCGAATAGACCTAAGAAAACAATGACCGCACAAAGGACAAAGCAGTACCGCCAATTCGCTTTGGTGAGATAGCCACCTACGACCGGTCCTATGCCTGCTCATGGGTCAGAATTCCAGCGTACCTATCAAGAAACAGCCTGGACAAATATAAATGCATTGACTCACTATATCCAATACCGTTGAGCAACTGAAAAATGCTGACATTAACTGCGTGCTCTTTCAATGAAGCCTGATCGGCCAGTATAATCATTGTCACGTTGTCGATMCCCGCCGCGCCAATTCCTTGAAAGGCACGACCAAGCAACAGAGCAGGCCATGACGGCGCAGTAGCACATATGATGCTACCTATCAGTGACATCACGGCGGCGAACTGAAGAGATGCATAGCGTCCAAAGGTATCTGCAAGTTGCCCAAAGACGGGAATGAAGGCAGTAGACGTTAGATTGAATGCAGTCGCCGGCCAATTGAGCTGTCCAAATCTGTCTAGGTTATAGTCAGTATATTTGAAAATGCTATAGCTCGAGGTCAAAATCAACCACGCGGAAGAAGCCTCACTATAATGGGATGCGATTTCCGGAAGCGCCGTTGCAACAATAGTCACTTCGAGACTAGCAACGAAGTAGGCGGGTAAAAGACCGAGAAGAAGTCCCCAACTTTTTGTATAGTTGGCACGCTTTTCTGCTGCACATAAGGTACAATTCCCTCTTGGACGACAGGCAGGGGTGGCGCCGGACTCTTCAACAGATATTGGAGTGGTGAGACGTTGTATAGAACTCTGGTAAGAGTATGGGATATATTTTTTGGCTTGTCGGTATACGAATTTGATCATGATAGCGATACAAAGAGCTGTAACAGTTTTAGCAGATCACTTTATAATGTGAAAACTTGAAGGAGGTGGTTTATAATTTATATTGAAAGAATTTCAGTTCGCACTTAGTGTATTCGGTCCTCGGCTTCAAGAAAAACATGGTGCCCCGGGGACATTTCTGTTGACAATGGAGGCTGACGAACTCGGAGCTCGGCGATTGCTCTTTAGATTTAGCAATGCTGAAGACCTCCAGGACGAGACTACCTCACACATGAAAGACAAAAACAGGAACCTAAGCATAGTGCCGTAGATATTTGGGCCGCCACTCTGGCGATCAGTTTGGATAGGAATATTATGTGTTGCTGAGCATTTTCCGATCGCTGATTTTCCAGAAGCTATTGATCTGCAATCTTACTATTTGTCCAACGATCTTAGAAACGATTGAAAAAGATGAGCCCTAGTATCATTTCGATCCATGGTTTTGACTATGGCAGACAGATCTACTGTACTCGGTGCATGGGAACAGTCCCGAAGCGCTTCCACAGATGCCAAGCCCCGAATACCGAGAAATAATTGATCACGTGGTTCGGAACTGTCGGGGTTCGCAAAGCAGCGTTTCGCGACGAAGACTAGATCACATCATACATGCCCACTTCAACTGAATCTCGAACGCAATGCGTGCGTACAGGGTAAACAAGTCTTGCGATCAATGTCGTAATCGTAAAGTAAGATGCAATGGTAAGTAATTCAATTTCAACGGCTCACCCTTTTGAGACTGCTGCTGCGTGGGACCTCCCAAGTATATATCGTCCGAAGCTGATACTCTCTTCTTCAGTCCAGACAGTATTGCCTGGACAGAAGGTGGCATGTACACATTGCAAGGTTATTCTATCATGGTCCACTGTTTGTCCCGTTTTTGTTGACTTGTCTTAGAAGCGAAACGAGAATTGTCGGTTCAGCACCGCCAAACGCATATATCGAGCCGACACCCGTAAGTTATTCCGCTTATATTTGGATCAGTTTTGCAATCTCAGCCAGCTATAATGTTTAGACTCGACAGCCTCCAATGCCTCTCGGTCGCGAGAGAAGAATGCCGACCTCTTTATAGACCGCCTTCTCCGAAACAGTTCGGAAGAAGCAGTATTGTACGATGAATTTTCAATCATGAAGGCATAGTCAAGCGATTTCTCCATTGTTTTGTCCAGTCTAACTTCCTGATTAGGTCCACGACCAACAATGTATGTTATCAAAAACTTACTTCCCTAATTGAATCGCCCGGTCTATTAACCCCTCAGCAGCAACCAGCTCAAGCTTGGCTATATTCTCGGAACAGAGACTCAACTCCTTAACAGAAAGGCTTGGCAGCTCCCGATTGAAAGTTCTCGTCAATGGCCTTGATGATAGACTGAGAATGCATTTGAAGAAAGGAAGCGCAGCGTTCTCAACCCAGACCTCCAGAGGATCGGACAATCAAGTCAGCATTTCACTTGAAGAGAGAAAGTTATACATCGGCAGTATATCACTCCTTTGTACAGAACGCTGATTAAGTACTGAAATATTTTTAGGCTATTTTGATCATGTGCAACCAATTTATCCCTTCTTGAATCAGGCGGAGTTCGAGGCCAGTGCATTTCAGCCTGATATCACCCAGTTGAATGCGTCAAACCCTTCATTTTACGCATTGTACCATGCTGTCCTGGCTTTGGGCTGTTTGTACAAAGGCGGTGGAGAATATGACGCAGGAGTCGGAAGATCGTGGGAACTCTTTATCGAAGCGAAGCGATATTTGTCGGATATCTTGATAGGCAGGGAATCACTGCAAAGCCTCCAAGTGAGTTCGAGAATTATTATATTTGTATTGCGGCGCGAGAAGGTTCCCTCGCTTTCACTAATGGTTTGCTGATGTATGACTGAGGCTTTGGTTGCATTGGTAAGTAACAAAAACACATCCCTATTCGTTACCCTTGCTAGGCAATCAAGAAAGGCGACTAATATGCTCCAAGTCTATATTCTCAATGACGCCATGCTGCCTTCAAGTAAACCACCCTTTGCTTTCCCAAGCATCACACATGGTTTTGGCACTTCGATACCATAAGTCCCCTGTCCCTGACAGCTCTGCGGATGCCTGCCAGAGGATTTTCTGGGTGATATACCATCTCGATAAACAATACAGTTTTCAGGCACGGAGAAGCTCAGTAAGGTTGACAATACGGAGAATTCGGATCATATGAACTGACAACATCTGCCAGGTTCTTGCAGACTACGACATATGCTGTCCGCTCCCGGCTGTACGAGACTCCATCTTTGGAAAGTATGACTGGTTTCGAGCATCAATTTCATTCTGTCGAATCCTGTCTAGTACTTATGAAACAGTGTTTTCCGTGAGTGCGATGACGAGCGGTGCTATTGCTCAGCTTGCAGCCATCGATCGCATCCGGGAACTTCTAGAGGACTGGAGAACAACCATTCCAGAACAATTCCGACCGCATGAAGCACAACGGGGCTCTATCTTCAGAGATCTCAAAAGCAAAAATGTGGCGATCCAAACAAATTACTATTATTATCATCTTGTCATTGCTTTGGAAAGACTCACAATACATCTCGATCGAGAAGGGAATCGGCAGGATAGTAGAAGACAGCTAATGAATGCTGCAAGAGCCGTGATTGAGCTCACAAAATATATCGACGTGGAGGCTTATACGCCTGTCTTGTAAGTATCTCTCGAGGTTGCCAATCTATCTTTACCTGATTCTTCTACGCAGCATTCAAGCCATAATGCCACTCTCGGCTCTTCTTATCCTTTTCGACTTCATAATTCACAATCCTCGTCACACTGAGACTAAAAGTAACCTCGCCCTTCTTGATATTGTATCGGGCCACTTCAGTCTTTTGGAACTTGCTTCCAACGGATCGCTTCCTGGCAGTTACTTGACAGAATTCGCTCATATTGCCAGACAGTTCATCAACCACCTACCAGAGTATGATGCTTTGGAGACAGGGCAAACTGATGCCGTTAACCTAGACTTGCTCGATGAGAGTGTAAGTCCAATTCATCGATTATTAGACCATATATTCMCCTTACTGGATRGGTCSGAGCCGATATTAATCCGCCACTTAATTTGACGGATCAACGTTCGGGTGTACACGAAAGAAGTGATGTCTCTGAAAGCCTTTACTACCCATCCTTCGAAGAGGATATTAACAATTTTGATATGAATGGGCTTGAGTTTTGGTCACTCTTTGAGTCTCAGGCTCTCGAATTGAATGACTGAAATTCTCTTACAAGTATAAAATCAGGAGTCTAAGCCATCTGGAAAAGATCTACACGTTATCTATCCATGTGCAATATCTGTCGCAACCACACAACAAATAGAAGTAGATCACTGCAATATGCTACTGATACAAACTCTTACCGAAGCAGATTTCATTACCACGCAATTCAATTAGCCTGAAGGAATTACTATTAGAATGAAAATATTTCGGCCGCTGCAGTAAAAGACAGGATATAAAGGAGCCTTCGAGGCCTGGTCAGCCGTGGCACAACTGTCACAGAATTATAGACGCAAGCAATGTCGACACAGCTCAGCGTACTTGAAGAAGGATGCGTTGAAATCGATTGGATGACACCACGCAACGTGCTCTAGGAAGATTTGGAAGACATTTTCAAACCAATCTCGTGCAGTCATTCAATCGGCCTAGGCGAAAAAAAATCCACATTAACTACATGATCCGTCATCAGGCCACAGAACCGCTCACCTCAATTTCAGCCACCACACGCGGATGAGCTCCGTGATATACTGTCAAACAATCTTAAAAGCAGATCTAAGAATTTCCACATTTTCAGCGACAGTAGTACATAAATCTAAGCAAAATACAAACCCCTATATTACCCATAGCCACCTCTGCACAAATACATTAGTTGCTTCCCAGCCTTATGGATCCCACAAGGCACCCCATACAATCACACCATCGCGACCGCATCTCACGAGCTCGAAACCTCGCAAACTGCGAGAGAGGTACGCTATATTGTTTATATACTCAATTTGCTACAACAAATTATTGCGAAGTTCACTCACTAATATAAGAGCAGGTGAGTGGATTCATGCGCGGTGCTCACCATATCAGGGATAGCTGTAAAGTAATCCTGTCATATATCGATATGATCGTGGAACATTTTAAGGCCATGGGTTGTATCATCATTAAGTATATTAGATATGCAGCACAGCCGAATTAATTAAGGACGCCATTTCTTACCCATCGCCAACGTTTACTGCCTAAAAAGTTGTCATTAAACAAGATACCAATCAGACTGCTTCTAGCCCAACCACGGACTGGAGACAGCCTAGTAAATGGGGTAATTTAAGCTTATACTACGTTGCTATCTCGTGGCTGACGCGGCCCATCCCCCATTTGGCAGGTCAATTGTTTCGTTTCTGGCTAGTATTTATGCAACTAACGATGGTAGAGTTACTATCACAGGATTCATGCTTGGGAAACTTGAATAAAAACAATCTACACGGAGTAAATGCTCCATCCCACCAACCATCACTGATAGCGCTTTAAACTAGCGTCTCGTGGCTTGAATATTCATACCTTTTTGCGTGAAAAATGTAGCATTTAGCGTGATAGTACCTGCTTAAGCTTTATCTGACTCATTATAGTAGAATTAAAGTGCTTTGATCGACGCGCGATCAAATAGTCAATGGGAGCTCCGTACTGATAAGCTCAGTGAGCTATATAAGCTTGGATAGCTCCCCAGATCGACTTTTGCTTCGTATTCATTTGGCCAAAACATCGTTTCCAGTTGCCTACTTGGGAATCTCTTCACCATGCGTTTCTCCAATCCCTCCGTGGCTACGGCCGTGCTCCTCCTCTCTTTCGGAGTGGATGCAACACCCATCAAATCAAACAAATCGCTCCGAACCAGAAGAAGCCTCGATGCCACAATCTGGAAGCCTACCGCTTTTGCTGAATCGAGTACCCTTTCCAAGTCAAGCAACTACGTTGCATTGAAGAAAGTGGCAGGCGGAAGCGCCAGAACTAGCGCCGCTCACCTCAAGGGTTCGACTAACGGTGCCTCTACGGGATTGATCTCTCTTCTCGAGGGCGAGGAATTCGCGACTGAGATTACGATTGGTACGCAGACCTTTGAGGTCATTCTTGACACGGGTTCGAGTGATACCTGGGTTGTCGAGTCCGGCTTCGAGTGTGTAGATGTTGAGACCGAGAAGAAGGAATCGGAATCGTACTGTGATTTCGGTACCCCGTACTACACCGTCGACAAGACTTTTAAGACCATTAAAAATGAACAGTTTAATATTAGCTATGGTGACGGCGAGTTCTTGGAGGGCATAGTGGGTACCGAAACTGTCACTTTGGCCGGCATTACTGTTAAGGATCAAACTATTGCGCTTGCTAATTATGCCGGATGGTACGGTGACGGTACTACCGCTGGACTTACTGGTTTCGCTTATCCTGCCTTGTGAGTGTGTCCTTCTGGCTATAGACCTAACCCTACTGACCCAATAAAGGACGAGCGCCTACTCTTCCAGCGGCACACAAAAAGTTTACAATCCTCTGTTCACAAATATGTACAAGGAAGGCTTGGTCGATTCTTACTTCAGCCTTGCTATCCTCCGTGATGTTTCCGGAGCATCTGGCTATCTCACCCTTGGAGGTCTGCCACCCATCACATTTAACGAGACCTTTGCCACTACTCCTATTCTCATCACTTCAATTACCGGATATCCCAAGGCCTACGACTTTTACACTATTGAGGTTGATAGCATCAATCTGAAAGGAAAGGCTCTTTCCGGTGGATCGGGCGCTAAATACATTGTATGTTTGATCTATCCGAAAAGAGATTGTTTGTGATAAATCGCTGATGCCTATACAGGTTGATTCCGGTACAACACTAAACTACTATCCCACCAGCATAGCCAACGCAGTCAATGCCGCCTTCTCTCCTCCAGCCACCTACAACGATACTGAGGGCGCCTACGTTGTTGACTGCAACGCCACAGCCCCCGCGCACTCCATCACTATTGGCGGCACGGAATTCACCATCAACCCCCTGGATATGATTTTATATGCGGGTGATAATGTATGCATTTCCGGTATTGTTGACGGTGGGTCCGATGTCTCGCAAGATTTGTATATATTGGGAGATACATTCCAAAAGAATGTTGTTAGTGTCTTTGATGTCGGTGCCGTGGAGATGAAGTTTGCGCCTAACGTGAATTACACTTCCAACGACACTTACTAAATAGCCAGGAGGTGACCTTTGATGATGAAATCGCTGGAATGTACCATCTTCAGCTAGTTTGGTCAGAAGACGTTCAATACATCAGCGTACGAAGTACAGACTAACTAATAACTCACTCGGTACAATTCCATGCGTTAAAGAATTTGAGACAGGTGTCTACTAATCATATCATTATAACACATCATGAAAAGATGAACCTTTCTCCTTGGCCTATTCCCTTAACAAAGCCCAATAAAAACGAATCTATGTCAACCTCAAATCCCCAACCTCATTCGTCCGACCCTGCACGAACCCCCTATTTCCTGTATTCACCACCCCCGTCGGCTCCATTAACATAACAACTGCCTCTCCGGTCCCATCATCATTGTCCACCACTGCTGGGCAATGCATGACTCCCTTGGGTACAACAAAAATATCGCCCTCATCCAGGTAGACATCCTCCAAGCCCGAGTTCTGACCAGGCTCATTCAACCGAATCAGAACCTTGCCTTTAATGATGTAAAAAAGCTCATCAGTATCTGGATGACTGTGCCAGATGAATTCGCCGGAGAATTTGGAGATTTTGATTTCGTAGGCATCGTTAAGCGAGGCAATGATCTTCGGCGACCAGTAGGAGTCTATTTTGCCAATGGATAAAGGTACGGATTGCTTTGTTGGTTGTTTAGATGCCATTCTATTTGTCTTGGTCAAGTAGTGAATAATAATTTGTTTTGTTGTACCTAAGTAGAATAAATCAAAGGCTTGCTTTCTGTATTTATATGACTGTATTCTTGTGAGATCAGAAGACACTTGTCATAGGGCGTGGCATCGTCGTGATGACTGCAAACTGTACCTCTACACTACCTAGTCTATGTATGGCTTAGTGCATAACAGCTACTGATGACAATCTGATGTTACTGTAATGAAACAATCTCCATGATACTCACTCCATTTGCTACTGCTTTTGTTTGGCATGATCTGGAATATCAGGCCATCGATGAAGCACATATGCTGTATAGCTAATGTTCTTTCGTCGAATTGAAGCTCAGATATGCGGCAAATCAAAGTTCGGCAAATTGTAATCTAAGATCGTCAAGTTAGATAGGTGGACTATCAAACGTGAAACAACCGATGACGCATGTTTTTTGTTTGATATCATACTATTCTCGCTATCATGCCTTTTGTACTTTGCACTGACGGGAAAGACGCCCACATTTATTGAAGTTTTCTAAAAACATATTACTCCCCGTATATACGATTTGGACGCGTTTGCTAACTCAAAATCTAGAACTCCGAGAGGCCGGTTACCGTCGATAAAACTGGGTTTTACCGATAGTCAACATCGAACACTGACCAAACGGCTCATTCCATAAAAAGCGGTTACAGCACATTGTATCCCGTACTTGTTTGCGCCTGCTATACAGTCAGCTGTTTATAACCAGGGACTGCCGTCTCCCAAGGTAGAGGACGGGTTCTCGCTCCAAGGTAGAGAGGTACGTGATGTACAATTTCCGACGATCTACATAGCTCGCAGGAGTGTGCAGGGACAAGCAATGCGGAACGGCTGAACCTGTGTACGCACTCCTGGAATTCTCTGGGCGAATGATGAACTGTCATAAGTTGCGATCCACCTGTATTTCCCACAGTGTACGTAGATCGCTCTCCACTGGGTCCGGCCTGTGCTCACGCCAGCTGTCCTCATCCCTACGGCGTGAGATTAGAGGATGGCCGATTGAGATGTCGAAGTGATAATTAACATATAAACGTAAACGTATATGCGTATGATCAGGATGAGATGCCGAAGCATGCAGTAAATGGATTGACAGACGAAAAGAAGGAGTCGAGACTTCGGGATTGAAGAGTGGAGTCGCCGGTAGGTGCAGCACGTGATTGGCCACTGCCGGACGTAGAGGCCGCCTTCAGCCACCTTCCCCTTCTTGTCATTTTTGTCTGAGACAGATTCTCCACGAGCTCCTGACTTCTATCTCTCCTTCTTTGTCGTCTACTCCCGCCTCGTTTTCTATTTACTTACACATTTTGCATCGAGAAACGGCCACTCCGAACCATATCGGCGCTCGCTGCATGTATTTCTCCTAAGCGGCCTCGTGCTCCGCCGACACTCGTTTTAATTCGCCGCGCCTCAGGGGCAGAGTCCAGGCTGTGCTGAGAAAATTCGACGCTATTCAATAATCGATCTTCTGACATCTATAGACACAGTTCGACAACGGATTGATTCCCACCGCATCGAGGATTTTTCCTGTTTCCGACCGCAGAGTCGACATAATCCACGAACTGGCGACAAGACGCAAGTCGGACATCATGTCCATCGCAAAGGACGCCCTCTTCGTGGGCCCCGCCACGCGACAAAGGAAAAGAGTTCGATTGATATTAATAGCTACTATAGCAGCTGCATTTTTCTTCTTCTCCTATAACTTCTCCAGAAACCGAGTACTCTACTCTTCAATCTCCAGCTACGATCACGAACATGCCGGATCGCCAGCCACACGCCCCTCGTCGTTCACAACCGGAGCGGGAACTTGCAACGTCGATACCGGCGTCGTGGAGAGATATGGATTGAGCGGAGACGTCAAGTACACCCGTCGTGAAATATACGTTGTCCTTACGGACAAGGAGGAGACACCGATCACGACCCAAATGGACATGAACCTTTTCGATGTAGCGCCCACGACTTTGTCCGGAGATGTCGAGACGACTGTCAACTGCTCGGATCCAATTACTGTTAGAGTGCCACCTTCTCTACCGTTCAGGGATGCCTCGCACATCGACTTTGCAATTTCCACGAATATGGAGCGATTGATGGACTCCATGGATGCATTCTCGGTGTGGGCCGGATATACAAACACACGATTCTTGGTATTCATTGAACCTGGAGCAGATCAGAGAAAAGCGCAACGCAAGGCTAAGAGTCTTGGTTTGAACATTGAGCTTTTTGAGTCGGATGTCGATTACGAGAATCGGTATTCCTTGTTGGTGAAGCTCTTGGCCGACAATGCTCGCCCCGAAACGAAGTGGTTTTGCATCATGGATGACGACACATTTTTTATGTCCATGTCTAGACTCTTGCAGATGCTTGACAAATACGATGTTTCCAAGCCACATTATATTGGTACCGTGACTGAGAGTGATAGTCAACTCTCGATGTTTGGTATTTTTGCCTATGGAGGAGCCGGAATGTTCTTCTCTCGCCCTCTGATGGATGAGCTTGGTCGTATTTGGGGTGAATGCGATGCCGGTACAGATCACGGTGATGGAAAGATCGCTCACTGTGTCTATCAATATACCCGCACGAAGCTTGAAATGGAGACCGGTCTCAACCAGCTAGATTTGATGACCGATGCCTCTGGATGGTTCGAGGCCGCGCGCTCTGTTCCAGTGTCTCTCCATCACTGGAAGTCATGGTTTGAGGCCGATGTTGTGAAAATGACTGCTGTGCGTGATGTCTGCGGCACTAACTGTATACTCCGCCAGTGGAGGTTCGCTGATGGATGGCTTTTGACCAACGGATACTCGGTCATTCATCACGGAGCAGGTATTACGGACGATTATGGCGCGTTTGCCATGGAGAAGACATGGGACGACCTTAACGGGTCGACTGACGAGTCTTTCGTGCGTACACTCGGTCCTCTACGGTCAAAGGAAGAAGATAAGATTTCGCTCCGACTTGCGGACGTGATTGTTGAGGGAGGCCAGGTCAGGCAATTCTATATCCGCCGTGTTGAGGGAGGCGACGAGGTGTTGGAACTTGTTTGGCGCTTGAACTAATCAGCCTGAATCTTCACCTCTTTCCCAATTTGCTACACCATAATATCACCGCATTATATAACCATCATTACCATTACGACCATTTATTATAGACCGAATGCCGTGGGTCGAATCAGATGTCCTTCTGCGTTCGCCATTGTTTACCGTTACTCAGTGCGGATTACGATAGCTTGCCTGGAATGATGATTGATTTTGATCCACTACAACAAGCATTTCGATATTCGTTTCATTCACAATGTTCCTTTTACACTTGTTTGGACCATTTAAGTTCTGGCTTGCTTTTCATCGGGAATTGGGGTATAAGTTGAGTTCAGTTCTATTGTATTGTATATAATTCTTTTCGTGTGTGTTGGGTTGGGTGTTGGAGCTTGCGTAAGCTACAGGATAGTGTTGTTGATTTCGATAAAAAATTTCAACTGGAGTTTTCCTTTATCCATCAATACACATGCATTGCCGGACATTCGTAGGGTCATGTATCAATGTCTAATCAATAACATGTGCGCGTAACCGAGCAACGAACGCAATATGTCACAGACGAGAGGCAGTTACTATGTACTATATGCATGTCATACCTAGGTTGTTTATCTACCAATATCTATAGAAAAAACGATACCCCGCCCGCTTGCTTTCATTTACTCCGAACCCTCGGAATGTCACGTTCCCAAGAGATCTGGTCACCTCCAATGTGCATCACCCCCTCCCCCCCTGGGCTAAGCGCAGGAGACGATACACCCGCCAACTCATATCTCATATTCTCCTCATTCGACGCCATCTCATGCACACCACCGCTCGGATTGAGTTCTTGCGGCGATGGGGGCGGCTGCTTTGCACTATACGCTGTTGCTGCAGCCCAATCTTCGCTGCCACTGATTGATCCTCCTAGTTTTGTATTTGACAAGGGTTGTTGATCTGCGCTGTTGCGATTGCGTCGGCGGATGAAGATGAAAAATACTAGGGCTGCGAGGGCGGCGGTTGCGGCTACGGCGATGCTGATGCCGACGCCTACTTTTGCGCTGGTTGACAGGCCTGATGATGCTGATGCCGATGGCGATGATGTGCTCGAATGAATGGACGAGGTTGTGGCGGCGGGTGATGGCTCAGTAGTAGTCGTGGTAAGGGCAGAAGTTCTGAAAGATGTCGTTGTTGAAGAGCTGCTGCTAGCAGATGAGGAAGTAGGTTGGGCAAGTTTCTGAGCGATTGTGATTGCACTCGTGGATCCACAGCAATCTGTACTATTGCCACAGCACCATGTCGTTGCATTCGCTAGCCCATTACATGGGGTCACTTGCGTGACTGTATTAGAGTTTCCGCCATCATTAGGATTCTATCCTCATCATCAACACCAAGTCCACTCCCATAAATCCTTCTTTTTCCAGGTTTGAAGGACATACCGTCTCCGCCGTACAAATATTCAAACATCCTCCATTCTCCCAATCCGTACTTGTACACTGATCCCTGAAATAACCCACATTCTCCACGGTCGTTCCATTATCATCCCTCGTCTGCCAGACATTCTGACACAATCCATTCTCCAGACAAGTATCCGCCGTGAACCCATTATCGCGACTCCCACCGGACGGATTCGAGCGGTTTGTGCCGCAGCACATACTCGTTGTACCGCTGTAGGCGACGCATGGTTGGTATGCTGAGTCGGACTCGCTGTACCCGTTGGGGTAGTAGCATACTGCCAACGAGAGTTGTGGAAGAATTGAGATAAAAGAAAGAAGAAAAGGGGGATTCGGTGATCTCATTTAAGACTTCTCTTTTAGCAAGAAGTCGTTCTTGAATACATTCTCCAATTAGACAGGGAACACAAGATTCGATTATGGAGTATGCATGAGGTGGAAGGGAAAACAAGAAAGATACGGAATACAGATTTACGGGATAAAATGCAGCAGGCACTAAAAACCCAAGGTCTCGAATCTCGACCCTGTTCATGAAGCAGCCAAGGATTCGTGGCCGATCCTTTAGAGACGCCTTCGTAGTACCTATGTAGCTTCAACTAGCAAGGATTAGCAACCCAGGGGGCTACCAGAATATCTGAAACCGACTAAAGAAGTCAGTAATGAGCCCCCAAGTTTAATTCTCATTCGCTGGCCTCGTCAGTCATAAGTTCCTCTTAAATTTGTTCAGTGTCATTGAAAATAAGCTTGATCGACATGTGCCATGTTGACAGTTACCGTGAGAAACTGGCATCGAGCGTGGAGGAGTGACTTTGTTGTCGGTTTACAATTTGCCGTATTAGGAGATTTTTGTGGAGACTTAGGGTTTTGGCCACTGGACCGTTGAAGACTTCTCACTTCAGTAATCGACTAAATTACTTGACGCTGCATTGGATAATAAGTATAATTGTAGAATATCGGTTTTAATATATATATCAAGTGGTTTTTAGTGATGTTACTTTTAAAGGTACATCTTACTATATGTGGTATTAGATCAAGTTTGACCCTGGTTCGTCACCCGTGGACCTAGGTAGATGATACGTGGATGAGACAGAGACACAGTTAAGTAAAAGTCTTTATTTAGTGTTTTGTTCGTCTAGTCATATAACCAGGTAGTGCGGCTTTTTAAAGGATCTTACGTGACGTTCACGTCAAGATGGTTAAATTTAATCAGATTGCAAAATGGACTGATTTTTTCCACTCCGGATTCTGTCTCCTTGCTAGTCGTGTATAAAACCCTTCCCGCGATATGGATATAAAGAGCTACTGAGCATTCAGATCATGTCAGCTTCAGTGCCAGACGTGTAATTGGTACCGAGAGGGAGTATTAAATCAGAAGCGACCAAGGTCTATGATTCAGTTACCTGACCAGGCATCTTGTGGATATTCTATAAGCCCATTGCCCTGAAGAAACAGATTGGAGGCGCGGTAAACACTGTTCCAAAAACAAGACACGGTCAGTACTTTTTGCATGCACAGCAAGCACTCCATCTTATCTCTATAGCGACACGGTACAGCGTAAGCTCGATGCTTCAGCAGCTGCGACGGTTGAGAGATCGACAGATGGTGCGTACTACTTTATTTTGGTCATTATTCAAAACAAAGTTGACCAGCTAAAGTCCTTGGTGGTAGCGTTCATCGGTTAGGAGAATGTCCAGGCGACCGCACTCTCTGATAAACATTAGAGATCTTCTGCAGTGGCCAGCCGCCCATAAAAGCAAAGAGAAAGCTTCTTAAGAAAAATGCTGCGGAGATTTTCCTTTTGACGGATCTATGTGGACAAGACTGGTGAAATACCAACATTGTTTGTGTACGCGCCGCCCTCTCTCAAAGAGCGAAAGCTACATGATTTATCTTCCCGGACTCAAATCGCAGTTATTATGCTAATATGAGTTGGAACCAGACGGAATGCTCGCGGTTGGCTTTACAGGGACCTTTCTGATGTATCCCGGCCTCCTCTTTGTTATTATGTGTATAGGGAGATTTTCAGCGCACAAAGGAGCCACATCAAATGAATGCTCATCATCTTGCTGATACGAACCCAATCCCAAGCCTTCAGTCGATGGTTCCGGGAAACTTTTTCGTTTGGAAAAAACGTCGACTGCCAGCCATCCTTGTACATTCGAGACATTGCCACATTACCCCCATTAGAGTATCTCCGCACGGTCAACATTCAAAATTATCGCTGAAATCCCCGGGGTATAGTCAGTCGTCTTTCTCTACGCATGAGGTACAATTGAGATGAGTCCAATTCACGAAGCAAAACTCCGTTCGAGGCGGAAATGCGTCGTCGTACATGGGCCGTTATACACAATGTCAATTGCTCGGTTTCTGTTCAGTTTGGACAGCCTAGAATGATCCAGCTTCGTGCATATGGTAAAGTCAAACCCTAGACTTTAGTAGATCGGGATTTCGAAATCAACACAAAGAAGCTGCCCGTTACACAACTAGACAATTCAATGCTCAGTCCCAAAGACCCTACTTGCAGGAACATCGGGTTCGAAGCTCGAATCCTCGTCTTGCTATACAGATATAGCGAATTTGGACCGCCTAAATGAAGCGTACAATACCATTCCACCAGGTCTTCGGTTGCAGCCACTCACGCCGTCGGTTGATAATAGCTCTGAGATGGTAATGCACCACATCTCGCTGGCCTTGCCGGCGTAGAAGTCGCTATGTAATCTTCACCATAAGTATCAGGGGGCGAATCATGATTCCTTGACAGGCAGAAAACATATGATGTTCTAAATGGTACTAACTATCACCCTAATGCATTCGAGGACGAGTTCAAACTTGTAGGTTGAGAGACAATGATAATAGTTAAGAGGCTGGATTGACCCGCAAAGCATTGACAAATGCTTAATTTTGCGCAGCAAAGGTGGCTGGGTAATTTCGCTTTTGATGTTTAAGCATTGAACTGCTCTCCAGGTATACACTTAAGTGCAATTGAAACACTACCTCATCTGAACTTATACATCAAGCCTTTTAGCTGGGACATCTCCGGGATGATGTCTGTCTTAGGAAGTCGTTCTTTGCAACACGGTCGGAGACATGTTGGTTGTATCCGCAAAAGTGGTGGCATCCAACAATCTCCATGACCTGGCTACCATGTGAATGTGGATCGATGGTGACGAATACAAGTGGAGGTTCATCACTACGCGATTGACATAAGCACGATGATCGCCAATTGAAATTTGACACTTACAGACTCATTAAAGTGCCAAGTAACACAATCGCCGTCGTTTCAAGAGGGAATCTTTCCGAGCCTAGCTCCAAAAGAGTCTTTGCCGGATCCGAGATCATCCCTCATCCTTCACGCTCTATGAAAGGCCTTCACTGTGCATTGTGGAGTTGTAAAATATGACTTAAGACGAAAGAGGATCTAACCCCTCTTTCTCAATACTCGTAGATCAGAAATTTCCTGTTCTTGAAACTTTAAAGTCTCTAGTCTTTGCAAATAGATTGACTTCAAAAGCAGGAACGCACACACTCACATCACCGCTACTTAGTCAAACCTTAAAGTCCTGCGGCATCGTATTGATTATTCCAGAATCTTGCCGCATTTGATAGAGTTTGAAGAAAGTTATAGAAACGGCTTCTGTGCTATGGATTTGATACGGAAGAACCAATCAGTCTGTGGGCACAACATAACACGTACGTGGCTGCCTGAATACCTTCGATTCAGGTATTAGAATCCAAGATGGAGAATGGAGTCTTCTACTCCGCAACTTTTCCAGTACAGTCATCCTTCACTCGTCTTACGGTCTTCGTGATCAATGTATGCTTTACTCCACTAGCCTACTAAGCGGAGTGCGTTGTTGATCCCGTCCCCATACGTACTGACTCGCCGAGTCGTTGCGCGTTACTCGTATCCAGCTCACCGAGTTAAATTGAAAATGATATAATCGGTAGTTGTCAAACACGAGTTCAGCTACCGGCATCACGTCAGGGATACTCGGCACTCACCGGGTTTCATTTTGATCGTGGTCCGGGGTTGACAGCATCTATCAAGCAGTGACGGGCACACTATCGAGCAATCTTGAAACAAGATGTGTTAACTCAACTTTGTTACTAGGGCTTTGACTATTGGCCACTAGTGTTAAAGTACCCACTCAGCATCCATTAACTAGGGAGCAAGTGGTTAGTACTGACCAACCGTACTACGTTTGTACTACGGAGTAGTGTTTGGTAATGAGGAGCTTCGAGTGTACGCAATTTACGAAGGTTTGAAAAGCATCAAAATCGTACTAGTTTCCTCGGCTCCTTAGATACGCAAATGCAACCTTGGACAACAAATCATCAACCCCGCCATCGGCAGATATTGCCGATTTTTGTTAACAAGGTCTGTCGAAAGGCCCCGGCTGAAGAATCCTCATCCTTCCTACAAATTTCGGTCCGTCGAATTCAACTCCGTATTTCATGAGCTATTGTGTCAACGATATTTCTGGAATATTCTTGTTGGGATTTGGCTTTGGATTTGGCTTTTCTTCCCCGGACTTTCGATGTTCCCATAAAACCCACTCAAAGTAGTCCAATCATACTGCTTATGTACTTACAGATCTATGAAGCACAGATTTGACTAGCTTAAGTACCGGTAAAGTCAAGATTGTGTAACTTCCGTGTTCTGAGCAAGAACGTTCAGCATGCCTCCCAAAATCACATGCTTATGCTGGAGTATATTTGATACTTTAAACTAGATCAGGCCACCTGCATGAGGAGGTATTGAGTCAATTAGATCGATTAATGCACACAGTTAACAGTGAACAACCTGCTCTAGCCCTAGTGTACGTAGTACAGAGTCCACGCACTACAGACTAACCACTAACCCCTCTCCAGCATCTGCCAAGGGGATATCTGGTTTTAAAATTGCAAAGGATACGCACTTTCACGTGCAAGAACTACGTCAAGGATGATTTTGGTGAATGCCATGCATTAGTGTGTCGGGCAGGTCTGCGCACGGTTCTCACCTCCCTGTATACTTATTACAACTATTGAGGTCTATGAATAAAGGATCGATACATAGACTGTGGCAAGTGCGTTATTTTTCTTCGTCTTTCCAACTCAGGATGCTTAGCTCGATTACTTATTCTGCGTTGGTTGGTTCTTTTCAAGATTTTGCCCTGCGCGTCGAAAATGTAACTACGTACATATCTCCGATCAAGCCCTAGACAATAAATCAACGGATTACAGAGGACCGAGTACGATCTTGCGTTATCAGTTATTGTATGATTCTGTCGTCAAGGCAAAAAATCACTCATGAAGGTTTTCGTGATTACCACAAAATATCATCAGTTTTCGCATTAATGCTCGTGATATATTTCTAGAAGGGTACGTACACCGAAGTAGGTCTCCGGATTGCCGACGCCCTGAATTTTTGCCGACTGTTCAGATATAACTACATGCTTTTGCAACCGACGAGGAATAGCCATAATTAGCGAGTAGTAACTACTAGTCAGACTTTTAGTTGTTTCAGGAAGTAAAAATAGTTGTGAAAAGATGTGGGCTGTGAAGCGATTCGAGCCCCCTCTTTCGAGACGGAGGCTGAACTTGTCGTCATCATGCACCCCAATGTCAAGGCGCTAGAAAATAATGAATGGTAATATGGATCGTCTAAATCTCTTTCAGCTTCCCTGAATTGGCCTGCAGTTACGTCGATTACGATAATGAACATGCGATTTCGTGGGCATGGGTGGTGTGAGTACGTACCACGTACGTGTGTATGTGTATCAATGATGACTCGGGTTCTCCGGTCAAAGACCTCTCGGCATCGTCTTCCTGTTTCTTTTCTTTTTCTTCTCTAGCGACTGCCTTGTCAGGTGTAGTACCCCATAGTGCGCTCTCGCATCTGCCGGTCAGGCCACCGGCCATGTTAGCGGCGGTCGTTCCTGCAGATACCCTTCTCGCTCGTTGGCTGTCAAGGTAATAAATGGACTATTAGCCCGGGAAGATCATAAGTTAGACTTTTACTACTACGAAATTTATCGCTCCGGCTATGCCGGGATCAGTAACGCTGGTGTTCCAAACAAGTGACATGACCGAGAAGGTTGGAAGGGAAAGGGCTGAACAGTCACTAATGTAAATCCGATTTCCGATTTTCGGTGGTATCGTATTAATGTATCGTATGGAATTAGACTCATTATTAATTGATAGCCCCTCCTCGATGCGCGGGGAAGTGACTACATTCAGAAATCCAGAAAAAATCAAGAATCGAGATGCATCGATGGCTCATGAGGGCCTGATGCGAGCTGCACAATCACGATCGTCAGTACAATGCAACATTTCAGATTTCAAAATCGTTCGCAATCATGCATCGATCCTACCCAAGATTGTCTCCACGTCAGCGTCAATTATGTAGGTACTCGACCATCATCAAAGCGTCTCGTTTCAGATTAGTAAAATGGTTACAGTTCATCCATACTTTATCTACTCGGATTGGTACTAGTCCGTACGCCGTATTATATCTTTCGACCTATGAAAAACCCGGTAAAGTCTACGACGGAGGCCCGTCCAAATTCCGTAGATTTAATTAGTCCGTTAGTCGGTATGTATGTTGGTGATAATTGATTACAGTTTTTGCGGAGGAGTAAATCATTTTGACGCTCGGCCTTGCGAGCCACACATATCAACCCCTGCCTATTATCGGCACATGTAGTTAGGGCTTTGACTTGCCTGATTGAAAACACCACGAGTCCAAAGGGTATGGATTCAGGTACACCGAGAGCCCAAACGGGCGTAGAATGATCCACCCCCAGGCTACAATTAGCGTTAGAAGTTAGTCTTTGTCTTTAGTCTTTGCTACGTACGTATTGGCAACGCTCCGTTTAGATCCCGTTTATTCCTTCACCGTCAGTCAAAGTAGGCCCTTGAATCTTGAACTTTTTTCAACCAAAGTATGCCCGACTAAAGCATTGTTGGTTTAGTTGCGTGGCTCCTGAAATATACTCTAACTTATGCGGAGGCTTTCACACTAGGTGTAAGTTTTTTCCCCGGTCTTTTTCCCCAGTGAATCCATTCGTCAATACATGCGAGAGACGACTAGGTATGGTCAAAATCAAGGTCAACGTCACCGTCCATATCTATTGAAATTACTCTTAAAAGGTGCTTAGTCAATTTGACCGATCATGTATGTATCGTATAGTTACAGGGTATCCACTTGAGGGAAGTAAAATAAAAGAAGTCGGAAATCCAGTTCATTTCAGCTCATCTATATTCAATCTAAAGTCCGTACTGTATCTAACATATTGAACACCAAGTACAGTTAGCAATACGATGTGAAACGTTCAACAACATTTCCTTCGAGATCTGCGATAAGTGCACCTGCAAACTTGTTTATCATCTTCACAATGACTTCCGTTTTCAAGTCCGAAATTGATGCAGCTTCGCCTCCTCCTCCTCAACAAAAGGCTTCAAAACAGGCCTGTGACAACTGCCGACGACGCAAGATCAAATGCAATCGTGCTCAGCCATGTGATAAATGCCAACGTCTGCTCTTATCCTGCTCTTACTGCGACGTCCTGCAGAGAAAGGGGCCCAAGTTCCGTACATTGTATCCCCTTGCACCCCTGCAGACATTAGTCTCGCAATACCCGACTCCTCCTCAGAGTATTGCTGATAAAGGAAGTCAAGCTGAGTTGATGGTCCCACGTGAGTATAATCCTAAACACCTGCTTCTTACCTAGACCTGAAAGGTTTGCTAACCTTCAAGGGGGATGTTGACAGTGGAAGGCTGGTCCGCTCCAGTACCATGGAATATTAAACATGAAAGTTATTCCTCACCGGAATCTGTCGACTCTCAATATGAGATGCCGAGTACTAGTGGTGGCTATCAGCAAACAGCCCTGCTCCCACAGCCACCATCTCAATCTCCATTAATGTCACACCAACCGCAATTACAGCCTGAAACCCAGTCACGGTCACAATCCGGACGCTTATCTGCTATGGTAATATTGGTACATATAAATGTCTACTTAAAGTACCTATATCCGATCATACCTGTGGTCAACCCGGAGAATATTCTTAACGACAGTCAACAACCCGAACAACTCACCGCGGAGCGGTATTCATTCATAACCGCCCTTTGCGCTGCAACCCATATTCAGCTGCAACTAGACGCCATGATTGACCCGTCCTCCTCTTCTGCATACTACGATTCTTCACTTGCTCTATCCGGAATAGAGATTTTGACCGAAGCAACTAATGCAAGAAATGAATGCAACAATATCTGCGAACAAGTCACGCTGGAATCACTCCTAACTTCATTTTTCCTGTTTGCTGCTTATGGCAACCTAGATCGTCAGAATGAGGCTTGGTTTTATTTAAGTCAAGCTACGTCCATGGCTTTGACGCTTGGGCTTCACCGGGAAGCTACTTATTCCGCTTTTGGGGAAGATGAGGCCGAAGAACGGAGAAGAGTGTTCTGGTTATTGTTTGTGACTGAAAGGTAAGTCTTAAAAAGCATTCTTGTACTTAGATGTCAATAGTAGCCGCTAACTTCCGCGATAATAGAGCGTATGCCCTTCAACAAGCAAAGCCCATTATGCTTCGAAACTCCATTCGAAAGCCTGCCATTCTATCGACAGAAGATCACATAATCCAGTACGGATTCTACAATCTTATCAGCATATTTGAGAAAATCACGGCAGAGCTATTCGACTGGATAGCCATTGAATGTGATGAAACTTTTATAGCAAGCATGACTTCGGGCCGGACCAACCTACGGGATATGAGTCGACAGCATCACTTCAGTCAGCCTATTCCTATCGGGAGCGTCGCAGAGATTCAGAATCTAGATATCGCCGGGACACAACAGTGGCTTCAAGCCATGGCTTGGAAGCTCTCGATGAGCGACCTATCGCAATTCAGAAGTACAGATGCTTTGTTACCTTTTCATTTCCCGGTATTGGTTGCGAAGGCAGTAATGGATGTATTTCAGGGCTCGACGGTATTACAATCAGCAGGTGTGAGTAACAAGCTTCCTTTCCATAGTATGGTTCCTTTCGGACTAGAACTGATTGGTTTATGTTCAGGGCCATGACCGAAGGATGTCAATTATCAAGTCGGAGTCTGGGATGCAAGGTTATCCAACTCGCGATATCAATAATGAGGAGTTCCTTCTCGACATCATGAACATTCTCTCGCGTATCCGTCCAAATAATAGCCACCAACCTCAAGCTCACCATTCTTTTCTCTCGCAAATCCCGCCGACATCCACCTCGCCCTCCAATCAATTCTTTCGATAAGATATAACGACGACATGGTTTCGTGCATTAATGTTTACTGGAAAGCGGATAGATTCAAAGTGCATTTTGGGGGATCTTTTGAATTGCGTTCTGCGAATATACCAATTTCACTAGTTTGTCTCAAGTTTTCAAAACTCTGTACACTATCTTCTAGTCTACTAGTCATACACGTGGTTACATGATGCTGCTTTCGAGATATAGCTTCCTTCACCTAAGACCCATACTTATAGCAATGGCTACAAAAATCGGACTATGTGCCTTCGTAACAGTGCAATCGCTCCCCTTGTTATGTATGCATTGTAAGTTTAACAAGGCATTTATATACATTTCTTCAATTAGATCAGCAGGACTTAGGCTTCAGCCTACTGCCAGCTATCATTGATGCAGGCAGTGCTCACACCGCAATCACTGGCCACAGTATACACCCGATTTGGATCGTTTTCCCAAGTAATTGTACCACTTTCATTCTTGAAGAACTTGTATTCAAATGCGGTGCCACTGGGCAGATTCAGTGTGACATACCAAAGATTATCGGCTGACCGATAATCCTGGGCACTCAACAAAATCGCCTCGCTGGCAGCGGTGGACCAACTACCGAGCGCTGAGATGTTACCTGTCAAATAGATATCTTGTCCGAGGCTTGTCGTCACAATTTCCTGGAATGTGACGGCTAGTTTGGCGGGGGCTGTGCAAGAGGGTCTAGTACTGCTCGTAGGTGCCGTGGGCCAAGCTGTGTTAGTCGCAGATGTGTAGCTACCTGTGGCGGAAGATGCGGAGCAAGTTGTTGGCACGGTATTTCCGTTACTAGAGCCCCATGATGCGGGCACTGTACCTGCGCGTCGGGCAGCTGCCGTGAGCAGAGCTGCATATGACCAAGTCAAAGCGGAGGCCGACAGAGGTGCGCCGGTATCACGCTGGAACTGTTCGGCAAGTGTGCCGTCTGCCGGTGTGTATTTCTCGACGATGCTCATGTATCCGTCTGCGTAGGTCTGCACGGCTGAAATGAGTGCATCAAATGTGGATGATCCAGAGGCGTATGTTCCTGTCGCTGCGGAAGAGTAAATAGCCTGGAAGAACCCGAGGCTGACGGAGGTGATGGTAATAGAGCCAATCTTTTTCCATTGATAAATCGCATCATACAACTGTTCTGCTGCGGCAGTAGTAGCCAAGTACCAGGGATTGCCTCCCTGATATACATCTTCAGCGTAGCGGCCAACAGCAACAGCAGAGCTAGCAGCAATTCCTGAGTTGAGCGAGTATACGCTGCGGAAGGAATCCGTAACAGCCTTGTGGTTAGCAAGGGCTTTTGCGGAGCAAGGCTGGAAAGTTGCATCATCGCAGCTGCTCGCCTCTGGATCAAATGTCTCAATAACTCCCAGAATCGAATTAGCGTCCAAGCCTGTACGGCCGTTGCTAGCAAAATTGGAAAGAATGTATGAGCCTGTCCAATATGACTGTAGAAAACAAAGGACTTGAGGAGCCTGAGAGACACAGTTGGCACAAGACTCGCCGAGAGACGTGGCGAGGGCATTGCCCTCGACTAACGCACGATGTTGGGCTGCTGTAGTGAAGAAAGACGATCCCTGTGTTTCTTCCCAGAGGTCTGTTTCGGCGTGTCAGTGCTGCACACATTATCTGGTAGATAGTTCAAGGCTAAGGAGGACTCACCAAATGTAGTCTTATTCCAGTACTGGGCGACATAGGCCAAATCGTTCTGGACTATAGGCCAAATTATGTCTTTTGCGGTAGAGCTTTGGCTATTATCCTATTATATTATAGTTAGATTTTTTTTAGAGCCAGGGCTGATGTGAACATCCAACAACACTTACAATTAGATAATTAGCATATGCAATCATTGCAGTTGCTCTAAGCGCAGGTCCGTCTCTTTGTGGACGGCCCCAGGAACCTGTAAATGCAGTCCTATTGACGTTGAATTTTGGCTCTCCAAGCCCAGTACCATCTGCAAGGCTTCCGGACGGATTCGAGATCCCTTGAATGACTGTTTCAACATTGATATACTCCTTGATAGTGGATTCCAAATCGGATGTGCCAGCAATGAAGTTGTCGATCAAAGTTTTGAGGGTCAGCGCCGAATCTCGAGTCCAAGTGTAGTAGTCTACAAAACATTAGAGATGTCAGGATGTCGGAGGTATATTTACCTACAGTCCGGGTCAGCCTTGCTGGGGCTTGCAAGGACAATACCCTCGTCCGCTCCTTCGGTAAAGGCACCACTTGAGCCGATATTGTCCAACACTCCCTGAAGTGCAATAGGGGTTTCAGTCGCCAACCATGAGTCCAGCGATCCTGATGCACGTGGGACAAACTCTACCAACGTTCCCTGCACTAAGGACAGCAGGTTCAGTGCTGCCAAGGCAGTAGTAACTACCATGATGCTGGTGTTTTGAACGAAGAAATGAAAATAAGGAAGGAAATGCGACCACAAAGGATTGACGATCGACAAGATTTTCGTGCGGTTATTACAATTTTTACAAGGAATAATTGATGGAAGCCAAGGCCGTGTTTAAGTAGGCTTACAATTACCGGCCAGGTACCTTGTTTATCCATGACGATCCCCGGCTAGAGATGCAAAACATCGCATACGATTTAGTTTAATCTATGTCGGTGACCAGTGAGGAGTCTGGGGACTGCCGGGCGGCGTTTGATGGCGCATGATGATAGTCGTCTGATATTGCTGGAGTGGGTATACGGTCTAAATAGCTGGAACTCGAATATCCGAGCCCTTGCTTACTCGGGATTGACTGCTTGTAGTACGGATACGGGGTCAATTTTAATATTCTTCCTTCTCATGTTTCCTTTCCCCGGATTTCTTAAGTTTTCTCCGCGTGTGAAGACTTGTCCGCGTCTTGAAGATGTTCGATGTTGTCATTTGAAAATGCAGTACGTATGCACTCCGCAGAGTGTACCCCACAGTCTCGGACGATCAGCTTAGATTTGTGTGTTTGTTGGCTGGTCTAGCACCGAGCCACCCGAGCTAGGGCTTTGAGTGGTTTGAAGGGTCGTCGAATGTCCGACTGAGGTGACATCGAGTATTGGACACGTGAATATTACAGGATCTATAGGCGCGTCAACCACCAATAATTTGGCATTTTGACATGTCTCTCTCCTCTTTGGCAGTCGATTAACTTCTGTCCAATGTTACGATTGACCGATAGGTTTGACTCCGAAATTTACTACGGGCTCTGCTGGTCTATCTTTATTCTTAGAGGTCGACTGTAGTACTAATTTCTGCCTTTTGGCATGTGATGAAGAGTACTCCGTAGCGACGTGAAAATTTTTGGCCAGTGAGAGACACTACGTACTTAATTACTGAGTGGATTCCAGCCATTTCGGCTTGTTGGGGCTAGGATGCTTGTGAATAGCATAGGTAAACAAGCAAGCCACCCCGTCGCGACTACATCCAGGGAAATATCCAACTCTCTCTCAGTATGCCCTGATTAGTACGATCTTCAGTTTTATTGCTTATGAAATAATTCTGGCAAATCAAATCTAACTTTTACGAGTCAGGTCGTCAACAAGCTCACGGCAGTTGCTTCAGTGCAATACTCAAAGATCCATCGTCTATGAAATATACACTAGCTACTTGTAAATTCATGCGACATAATATCGAATTGACTCGTCGTTTCAATGTGTCCACAACAAGGTCCATAATGATCAATAAAACCGAGCAAGTCAGAGCTACGTTTAGAGTCATCACTCCGGGAGTCCATTTAAAATCTGCCGAGAATTCTAGAAATATACCATCGTTTCGTACATATTTAAACATGGCTACGTGTGCCTAATTAGTAGCTAGTGCTGCCAGCGCAAAGCGCCAAAGAAGCCGACGATTAGGTCCCCACTAAGTCATCAACTTCGTATAGCCTCATGCTGACCATCAAGTCTTAGCTACTGAATTTTCGTTGAGAAAGATGAAAAAGCCGCTTCATATGAAGCTCAATCGGTGGAAGAATCAAGAAAAAATTAGATCACAGTCAATTTCCACATAGATTCCCCGTGTAATGACGTTTTCGTACTCCTATAGAAGTTTGCGGATCACATCCTCACGCGGCAAAATAACCTATTGTTCAGGTACAAAGAGTCTTTTATGACTGGTAATTCCATAAAAGAGATGCAGTAGGAACTGATAGGTCGCCCAATCCTTTCCAAAATTCCACCTCTGTAGCTCCACAGAGTCCATACAACTACTAGCCCGGATAGAAGATCGGCAGATGTGATCGTGTAAAAGACTATTTAAGTATGACACTCGATACCTCCAATACGCACGTATGAGTGTGCACAAAGTGTCTGTTTCAAAGAGATTCTATCTCCAAGATAACCGACCACAACAGGGCTTCACCGAAGGAACATGTATCTTTCGGATCACCCGGTAGCTCCTCAACATGATTCAATCATCTCAGGGTTTCAATTCAGGGTGAACTAAGTGATCGTAGTTGAGTACTATCTTTGCTGGTGAAACAAGACAGACGAAAGATTTGCCCCCCCCAAAAAGCCGAATTTACCGAATGTACCGATAATAATCCGTAGGTGTGCAACATAGAATAGAACCATGCTGAAGCTAATATTCTATAAAACAATATGAGATCAAAAGATTTGGACCAACCGATTCCAAATATTAGAACGTCTACTCCGTATGCGTCCAGTTGCATGCAAGGACCACAAGCCGTGGCCCCTTGAGATCGTCGCCCTGCCTAATCTCCGCCCCCGTTGCTAGAACGTTACAGTGACTAAGATGGGTTTGTGGATTTAATGCGGACCTCTTGAAGACAAGAATGGTTCTTAGAACACCATCTTGAAAGGACATCAAGCTATAAGAAGACGCGCGGTCATCTTCAAGTCGTTCTGTCTTTTCGGAGTATCGTACCAATACTAGATTGCTGGGAATCTGTGTTGCTATGCTAATGCTTTCTTTCTCCTGAAATTATAATCTTTTCTCTTCATGGTTTATATCCTTTCGTTCATTTCGAACAAACTGATCAACAAGATGAAGCTGTCGCTCTTCGCAAGCGCTGCAGTTGCAGGTCTTCTAGCACAGGTTGCTGAAGCTGCTACTCCAGATGAATGGCGCTCACGGTCCATTTACTTTCTTCTCACTGATCGATTTTCTCGGACCGACAATTCAACCACTGCAGAGTGTGATGCTCAATTAGGTGTACGTCCTAAATTCTGTGTGACTTGGAGTCTAAATAGACTAACTCTCCATAGCAATACTGTGGAGGATCATGGCAGGGAATCATCAACCAGGTATGTCAATCACAGTAGTTAAGCGAGTTCAGTATTGACGAGACTAACGAAATCCGTTCAGTTGGACTATATACAGAATATGGGATTCACGGCCATCTGGATTACTCCTGTCACTGAGCAGTTGCCTCAATCTACTTCAGATGGAGAAGCTTATCACGGCTACTGGCAACAGGACATGTATGTCTTATGTTTAATTGTTCTTCTACTTGTGACTGACATTGAAATCAGTTACTCCATTAATTCGAACTACGGTACAGCCGAAGACTTGCAAGCTTTGGCTACGGCTCTCCATGATCGTGGTATGTACCTCATGGTTGACGTCGTAGCAAACCACATGGTAAGTCTATTTCATTCTTCCCAATCGGCAGTAAATCAAACTTACATGATGGCAAAAGGGTTACGCCGGTGCTGGCACAGACGTAGACTACTCAGTCTTCAATCCCTTCAACAGCCAAGACTATTTCCATACTTACTGCGAAATCACCGATTACTCCAACTTGACCATGGTCGAAGAATGCTGGGAAGGCGACAATATTGTCTCGCTTCCAGATCTTGACACGGAGAGTACCGATGTGCAGAACATCTGGTATAGCTGGATCCCAGAATTAGTCTCAAACTACTCCAGTAAGTGCAGTTCATTTCCATGCTCTTTTCGGGAGACAACCAAATCTAATGATCGTAAAGTCGACGGTCTCCGTCTTGACTCCGCGCTCGAAGTACAGCAAGACTTCTGGCCTTCCTGGGTCAGCGCATCTGGCGTTTACTGCGTTGGTGAAGTCGACAATGGCGACACAACCATCGCATGTCCGTACCAAAACTACCTCGACGGAATTCTTAACTACCCAACATACTTCCCCCTTGTCCGCGCCTTTGAGAGCACCAGCGGCAGCATCTCCGATCTATACAACATGGTCAACACCGTCAAATCCGACTGCAGCGACTCGAACTTGCTAGGCTCCTTTTCGGAGAACCACGACAACCCGCGATTCGCTTCCTACACTTCGGACTTTTCGCTCGCCAAGAACGTTCTAGCTTTCACAATCTTGTCGGACGGTATCCCAATTATCTATGCCGGTCAGGAACAACATTACAGTGGTAGCAGCGTGCCCACTAACCGCGAAGCGACTTGGTTGAGCGGGTTTGATACTTCTGCTGAGCTTTACACATGGATTGCGAAGCTCAATCAGATCCGCAACTATGCTCTTCAATGGGACAATGGTTACACTACTTACAAGGTATGCACCGTATTTTCATCCTTTGAAATCATTCACCTAATACCTATTTCAGAGCTACCCAATCTACCAAGATAGCAACAACCTCGCCATCCGGAAAGGCAGCAACGAAAGTCAAGTCGTCACCGTCCTCTCCAACTCCGGCGCGGACGCCAGTTCTTACAGCTTGACCATCTCTGGAACAGACTTTACAGCTGGGGAGGTTATCACCGAGCTAATTACCTGCACAAACATTACTGTTAGCGACACTGGTGATATTACCGTTCCTATGGCCGGTGGATTGCCTAGCGTGTTGTACCCTGCCTCCAAGCTACTCGAGAGTGGACATCCTTGTTAAATAGCTCAAATGTCTCGACCTACACATGCTCCCTGTTGCGATATATTCCCTGATTATTGATGTATATAGTGCATAATCTTTAAGAATAAGTGTAATCTCATACTTGACGTGCTCATACCCCGATATGTCAGTGCCTGTGTCTTTAAAATATTGTTTTAATCAATGTCAGCCACTGTCGCAGAAGCTTTGTAGTGGTATAAACATATGGGCGATCCATCTCACCATGCATTTTCTGGTCTGTCGTTCCGAATGAAGATGCAGAGTTGTATAACGTTACAAACTGGACTGAAGATTTCATATAAATTGATTTGCTCATATCTGACTGCCTTGAGTCGCGACAGCCGACGATTAATACGAGCAGGGATCTGGATATTAAATTCAAATGCCGAACGGGCTAATCATACCTAGTTAACACGAAGAGAGACATGTCTTCTATGCACAGATACATCTGAAACCCGACTAAATCTATCAATTGCCACCCGAAGTGAGAGGGATTTCATATGCACCTTGACAGTAAAACCAAGGTCACAACAAAGAACAAAAAAGTGCGCATCGAGATCCATGGAATTCTTGCATAGATATATCATATTGACGGTCAATCTCAATCAGATCACACGGTCAACGATTCACCCATTGTATCTTTTCCTGTTCTGTTCTGTTCTTTGACATGCATTGTGTAACCAACTAATTTGGATCAAATATATTATGTGTGTGTAACCACCATGCTAACAGGCCCTGTCGAGGCCATGGATCTGCGGTTATACCAGGTTATGAGACAGGGAATAGCCTTGATCAATACATAGAGCTCACAATGAGATTTCATATCGATATAACTTTATTTTCGGTTTATTGTATACATGCAATATGGGTATTTCATGTGTTTGTATGCTATTTTCAATAGGTAATACAATTGTTCTTTGCATTTTTCAAGAAGTACCGTCATACGAATGCTCTAGGCCGATCCTTTATTGATGTCAAATATATCACAATAGACGAAAGAATTCAAATCCTAGGGAATACTTCGGTAACTTTGTGAGTCCTAGATGCGGTGCCAACAAGATTGGAGATCAGCGCTTGGAGATCGACAGTCCCTAGAGTACATAAAATCCAATGCGTTTTGTCACGAACAATGGAACTATCTAGGTTAAAAAGCAATCATGCCTTCTTTGAAATGATACATCTCGGGAACAAAGGGATAAAGGACAAAGCCAGGTCATTTGACGCATATGACATTTCGAAAGCAACTGAAATAGTAGCAGTAGACAAACAGCTATTTTCTGAACAGTATTCATGGTATGTAAAAGAACGCCCTGACTTCGGTATTTTGATTCAGATTACATGCCTCGGTTTTTTAGACCAAGTCTCAACATTTCCGAGCCGTGACTCGTGTTTTGAGCCTGTGTTCTTGACAAGCATATAATAACGATACGTAAATATTATTTACAGGACAAAGTGGTCATGCACGCATACAACGGAGATGTTCGGGCTTGACTCCTTCCAAACAAAAGAAAGGGGCGAACATCCGCCTTGCAATGTAGCATGTACGTAACATGTAGAATGTGCTATGTAGCATCTCAAAAAAAAAAAAAAAAGGTGAACCCTTCAAATGTAAGCCGAGGATCCATACTTAATAAAAAGGACTATTATATGTTAACACCCTATGCACATCGGCAGGCATGCAATTAAGTTATGGAACCAATCCATTTGGCGTCGGGGAGGTTGTATCTACAATCTAGTGGGAAGGAAATATTGTCCGTGCGGAATTAGATCCCGGGTTCATTGTTATATGATTCGATCGTACGTAATGGTCAAGGCTGAGTGCTGACTTGCTGCCTGGTTCTTGATTCACGATGCATCGTGAATCCTTGCGTTGGAGGGGCTTATATCTCGCCACGAAGTGTGTACTAGATACCCAATCAATCCATCGGTAAGTAGAAGTTATTCTCAAGTCACAAGATCCTTTGACATGAACCCCTCCAAAAAAAGAAAAGAACAAAAGACAACGCATTATATTTCTAATTTGCTCTCCCCATTCTCCCCCCAATCCTAGTAGCACGCGTGCACGTACCCATTACATGGATCTTGAAAAGATAGCCTTTGTGATAGCTCACATTCCTGACTAGTGCAACCAAATCCCMCCAGCCACTCATCATCCGTGGATAATAGAACCTTACTTTTATCATAATCATTTCTGCTTTTTTCTTTTCTCTCGATTTCAGATCATTTTCCCGATCATTTTCCCGATCAATCCGATCCATCTTATTCAGCAGATCATTGATGAAATTGAGCAGATCGCGATGAAAAGATCAATAAATCCGAGAAAAGAAAAAAAAGAGAAAAGAAAAGAAAAGGACAGCGCATGCACCACATGTTTGTTGTATCTGGTTTTTCAATACCATTGATACTACGGAGTACTCCCTGCGTATTTGCAACGCACACGTATGTAATTTGTTTTGAATAGTAGTATGAGATGAAATCGACCCGACAACCTGGTTTCGACTGGTAAGTCCCATGATTAGAGTACCTACATTGATCGAGATCTAATGTGGTAACGTGCATGGCATATGTATTTAGATACTAGTCAGAGGAGAGCGGAGTAAACTCGACCTCGATAAACGATCGAAATGGATATCCGAATATGAGTTTATATGTCATATCGTGGATTGGTACGCTCAGACTACATCACATACTCACAACATGTACGTCAGTCAAGAGAGCTACGTTGTACAATCAAGAGGGATGGAAATTAGACAGACGTGTCTTGCTCTTGTATGACAAGGACTGTGACGGGTGTACCGAGGTTGTGAAATGCACAAAATTGGCAAGTATGTACCTTGCTAGGGGGTATATGTATAATAAGCCCATATTATAGACAAATGCCGATGGATGATGTATCTCAGCGTCACGCACCACGTCACAGCACATCGCATCGCATCGCATGGGATTGATCGTGCATGAATAGCCTTCGACTAGCTATGTAGCTCGATGTCAAGATCTACAGAAAAAAATACTTCTGGGGAGTTCTGAATATGACATCGGTCGATCCGGTACGTTGTGTACTAATTACCGAAATAGGCAGGTCGAGCTTAGCCCTAAATTTGCCCGATTGGGTTTCACAAGTCCCAATTCAGAGCTCGCTCAGATCATTAATCTGAGAATATATTTACAAACGATGGACATATTTTATTTGACAACAAGCGATACAGCTTGGCCGATATCGAACTAATAAGTGGTTTTATCGGTCTTCCCACGTATTTTGAGGGTTTGGATGGCCGCATATGAAAAGTCACGTTATTTTCGAGATTTGACAGATCTTGATTCAAGCATAGGTGTTACATAACAACGGTGATTGCATGATTATACAGAACGTCGTGCAGATCACCTTTGACCAGCTTCCTTATCAAGATAGAAGAGATCCAAAACATACCCATCAGCCACGACTAATCAGATTATTGGTTTGAAATAGATTAAATGATTCACAAATGTCAACCATGACACGAGCAGTATGGTGCAAGTATATCAGAGATCGACGATCAGATCTATAATAGCATATATTATACACTAGTATGTCAGATTCTAGGAGAAAACTTGGCACTGAATTCTCGAAGGGATATACGTACGTGCTCACTACTGAAGCAAGGGCACAAAGCATGTACGTACATGGATGCCACCTACCTACCTGTCTGCCTACCTAACGTACATATGTACGATGAGTATGTACGTTAGATCTCAGATCTTGCATGGCATGACAGTCGAACTAGCCACATTCAGTCCACAGGGGCATACGTACGCCAACTTAATAGGTTAGGAATGTCCTGATGTAGCCTCAGATTGATCTCGAACTCGATCTTGCGTGCATGTTGTACAGACTACTACTACGATGATTGTGGCGGTGCAGATGCATTGATGTGATGCTACGTACGTGCGTAGGCCACCCGATTTCTCGCCTGACTCTTGAGAATGACCTCAAGGATTGACGTTGGTATGCATGCATGGCAACGGAGTTATATAATGGAAACCATAGATCGGCGTCTCCGTAGCAATATAATTGTTGCTACTGCAGAAGCACGGGTTCACCGAATATGGAGTTCTCTTGCCTTCCGTAGCATACTGCAATATTGAAGGGTTAATTAGCTCTACCTTCATCGCGGGACAGAAAAATTCAAGCCACTACGTACTTCAAACGTCGTATTTCGGACTATGTAGGAAATACGTGCCACTGCATGAGAAAAAACGATTAAGCATGATGCAGGTCAACACTAGCTGATCCTTGGCGTATTTACCTCTAGGATCTAGACCATGATCTGAAGATCTAGAGGTTTTGAAGATTTCAATATTTCAATAGTTGAATCTGAATATGATGCTTGTAGCGAATAGAGTCAAGGGGATGATACGCTACTCCGTAAGCTTCCAAGGCTGCGACTCGCAATATCATGTTCGATCTCAATCTAGAAACTTCAAACGTGGAACGCCTCGTATCGTGGATGGTTGATTCTACTTCTATGCCGGATGCGGAAGTACCAGTCTCGATCGGGACGTGCGTACCATCTCAGTCTGATAACCAATCAGAAAATTGAGTTCCGTGGAAATTCTACGAGGGGGTGGCTCCATATTGCGGATGTCACTCAGTCTGTCAACCAGGGTTGATCAATATTTTGTGATCTGCATCAGAAAGTGATTGAATCATTCAAAATGAAGCTAAGAGAAAACGAGGACTCAATCGAGATGAACCTACAGTGGTACGCCACTAGTTTACACGAACTAGTATCGGTGACAGCCAGCTTGTCAATCTGATTGTTCTGTCAGCCCCGCATGCCCTCGAAAGACCCCTGCTCTGATTCTTCTTCGACCAGCATTGCTTCGTTCATTCGTTCCTCAGTACATCAGCGCTACTTCTGTGTCCGCTGTGTCGGTGTTCATTCCAACTCTATATCTAAGCGAGGTGGATACTACACACATCAATGGGGTCTTTGGGTAATATGCCATCCGCAGAACACTTC